GTATATCGTGGCGTTTGCTCTGTTACATCTTGACTGACTTGGAGCTCTTCCACAGGTATTGCGGCATTCATAACCCGAGCAGCGTAGTCAAGTGCCTGGCCTGCAGCAAGTGGTTCTGCAGCGCCCGCGGTAACACCTCGTCCTCCCATATTGTCAATCACCTCGTTCGGGCCCGCCACAAGGAAGTTCAGTTGCATCCGGCCTCATCGCTTGGGGATACGATATTGGAATGCTACAATTGCGGGACTAAGAACGTGTTCCTGCTTGGATTCATTCCGGCCAAGTCTGACACGGTCGTCGTATTGCTATGCCGTCAACCATGCGCCGCTATGCCATCTTCTAAGGATATGAACTGGGATACTTCCCGCTGGCAACCGTTGATTGAAGACCGTTCGTTCTTGCCATGGCTGGTTGCTGCGCCGTCCGACCAGGAACAGCTCCGCGCTCGCCACCTCAGTCCGCAGTTGATTGCTAAGCTGGAAGAGATGTGGAAGGAAAATTCTCAAGCGACTTTCTCGGATTTGGAGAAGGCCACGGCTGTGGACGATGAGCCAGCACCTGTGCTTCTGCGTTATGATGATGCTTTCCAGTATCAGAACATTTTTGGGCCTTTGGTCAAGATCGAGGCCGACTATGACCGCAAGTTGAAGGAATCCCAATCGCAGGATGGACTGATCGTGCGCTGGGACCTTGGTCTCAACAACAAGCATCTGGCTAGCTTCATTTTGCCGAAACTTGAACTTGGCGATGTTAAATTGGCCGTGGGAGATGAAATGCGCCTCAAGTATACCGGCGAACTGCGGCCCAAATGGGAGGGAGTTGGATATGTCATTAAAATTCCGAACAACCAGTCCGATGAAGTGACGATTGAGTTGCGCGCAAAGGGTGATCATAAGTCTGTGCCTACAGAGTGCACGCACAATTTCACAGCTGACTACGTCTGGAAGTCTACATCATTTGATCGTATGCAGCTGGCTATGAAAACATTTGCCGTGGATGAGATGAGTGTGTCTGGTTACATTTTCCATCGCCTTCTCGGACACGAAGTCGCAGCCGCGCCGATGAAGACCCAAATGCCGAAGAAGTTCAGCGTTCCGGGACTTCCAGAACTCAACGGTAGTCAGATTAACGCTGTGAAGAGCGTGCTGCAGAGACCATTGAGTTTGATTCAAGGACCTCCGGGAACGGGAAAGACTGTGACCTCGGCTACGATCATCTACCATCTTGCGAAGATCAACGGTGGTCAGGTGTTGGTGTGCGCCCCCTCGAACGTTGCGGTTGACCAACTTTGTGAGCGTATCCATCGGACAGGTCTGAAGACTGTGCGTGTGACAGCTAAATCGCGAGAGGACGTTGAATCGCCGGTTGGCTTCTTGTCCTTGCACGAACAAGTCCGCATCAACGATACCAACATCGAACTCATTAAGCTCAATCAGCTCAAGGCCGAGCTTGGAGAGTTGTCCAGTCAAGATGAGAAACGACTGAAACAGCTAACCCGCTCGGCGGAGCGCGAGATCTTGAATAACGCCGACGTTATCTGCTGTACTTGCGTTGGTGCTGGTGATCCTCGTCTGGCGAAGCTCAAGTTCCGTACCGTCCTGATTGACGAATCGACCCAGTCGGCTGAGCCAGAATGTATGATTCCCTTGGTTCTCGGATGCAAGCAAGTAGTCCTTGTCGGCGATCACCAACAGCTGGGACCTGTCATCATGAACAAGAAGGCAGCCAAGGCTGGTCTTAACCAGTCACTCTTTGAACGTCTCGTCATTCTTGGCTGCTCCCCTATTCGTCTTAACGTTCAGTACCGTATGCACCCGTGCCTGTCGGAGTTCCCGTCGAACATGTTCTATGAAGGTTCTCTACAGAACGGTATCTCTTCGTTTGAGCGTCTCCGCCGTGATGTCGACTTCCCCTGGCCCATTGCCGATAACCCTATGATGTTCTGGTCGAACCTGGGTAACGAGGAGATTTCGGCCTCCGGAACCTCTTACCTTAACCGCACTGAAGCCACGAACGTGGAGAAAATTGTCACCCGCTTCTTCAAAGCTGGAGTGCAGCCCCAGGACATTGGTATCATCACTCCTTATGAGGGTCAGCGCAGCTACATTGTTAGCTCTATGCAAGCTAATGGCACCTTTAAGAAAGAGCATTACAAGGAGATCGAGGTGGCTTCGGTCGATGCCTTCCAGGGTCGTGAGAAGGACTTCATTATCCTTTCTTGTGTGCGTTCAAACGACCACCAGGGTATTGGTTTCTTAAGTGATCCTCGCCGTCTCAACGTCGCTCTCACTCGTGCCAAGTATGGCCTGGCCATCCTTGGAAACCCGAAGGTCTTGTCGAAGCATCCTTTGTGGAACTGTCTCCTGCAGCATTTCAAGGAAAGGCACTGCCTGGTTGAGGGACCCTTGTCTAACCTGCAAGAGTCTTTGATCCAATTCAGCCGACCTAAGCAGGCATACCGGGGTCCCCAGCGGTTCCAGATGGCTTACAACCATGCTTCTAATGTTACCAGCGGGTTGATGAATGGAAGGAACGGTCAGCGCAATGACTTCCATGACACCGGCTCAGTGGTTGGTTACATCCCCGATGATGTCTCTTCCGTCCACTCCTCTGCCCTGGGCGGGGTTGGCATTCCCTCTGGTTATCCTCCCATGTTCCAGAATTTCGCGGACGCGTGGCCCGCTCTTCCCGGAGCCCGTCGGGCCAATGGTAACCGTATGAAGGGAGCACCTAGCATTGCCGGAGAATCTGTGGCAGCCACCGAGTCCGATGTTACTGGAAGCATCATTGATGGGAAGAGCGTCGACCAAGGTGGTGTCAGCCTTGCTGGCTTGAGCATCAACGATATGGGCAAGCAGCCCAGTCTCAGTCAGTCCGATCGGCTGAAGCGCTACGTGGAATCCGGAGGCCGGGAGCCTTACAAGCCCGGTGTTCCCGATAACGGCAGCATTTTTGGCGGAAGCTCTGCTAGCATTCGTGTCACTCGTGGTGTGCCAGGCCACATTCACGATGACGATGATACGCGCAGTGTTTCGACTGCATTCGCCAGTCAGGTTGGGGGCAACTATGATTGATCGGGGAGCACTTGTACCCTTCGCGGTTTAGAGCGGGCCCAGTAGCTTGCAGCCTTTCCCGAAGCTCGGGGGACAACCGTCCGTCGAATCATCAGGTCACTCCAACATGAATTGATTCCTGGGGATTCTGCTCGACGTCATCCATGTCACCATTAGGCATGAGACATCTGTAAAATTCAGGGAAGCGTTGGCGAGAGCCACCCCTCAACCATCTGGTGGGAAGTGAGGCATTCCTCGGATTCTTTCGCATTGCTTTTATCCATATGGAACGATGCCAGTCTACAGGAGCTACGTACGGTTACCTGACATCTAGACAAGTGATTCTCTCCAGTCAGATGACAGCATAGAACGCTCTGCGACATGGCATGCAATGGCAGCGATTATTCCGTGTACATGGCCCATTATCGATATGGTTTGTCGCCATCGACTATTTCCAATGGGAAAAGAGTCAGTGGTATGTCCCGGCAATTTTTCTGGCTTACGGCTGCACTCGGGTTCGACTTGATTCGAGGAAGCTGGTGAGTTCCAGCATTTTCGCGGACAGCTGGAAGAGGGTGGCTCATCACCGATGATGCTACACATTTCTATTTGTTGCCAATCCTGGTTTACCCGATACTATTTTAAAATCCTATGACTGCCTATTTTCTGTTTTGTTCTTCTTGCCCATTTCTTATTTTCGTCCTTCTCGCGTGTTCTGTGGCATTGCTATGGCGAAGCAGTAATTCTCTCTGGATTTTCGCAACTGAGAACCAGGAGGATGATTCCCCGAACACCGCCTGCCCAGTGTGTCTGTTTACGCGGATGTCTCGGACTTGGTGAGCCATGGCAATGCCGTATGTCGACTCGAATCGAGCTGTTTAGTCCCGCATCCCAATCAAACTACTGTCGTTCGTTGACCACACCGCCTCGTAGCTTCACCATGATACGTCTCAGTATGCGAGCCAAGTTGAGGATCGTCTGCAGGATGAGTAGGCATCCGCATATCTCGCATCCTTAGCAGCTGTCTGGCAGTTATTTGTAAATTGATGATGGCGGATACGGCCGCCGGTCGACCTTCGCCGAAGGATCCGCACATTCGATAGAAGACTCCGCCACGATCTTGTCTAGAATATCCGGTAGTAACCTGCATTCATTCTTCATTTAGTGGTGCTGTCAAGAGCAGCACGCGCGAATTAGGGCCAGGTAGCTGCAGGAGATGCATTTTAGGCACTACTCATTCACTGAAGGAAGACCTCTAAGCCACACGCGCATCCATGCCATCATTCACGGAGACACCGGCCGTCTCGTTTGTGGAGAAGAAGGAAAGAAAGAGGGTGGGGGGGTTACAAGATCACTGAAGGATGCTTTAACTACTGGTCCATGCAGATCTCTCTCGGAGTGACAAGGATGGTCTTGCATACATCGTGGCGGGCGCTGCGCCACTGGCTGGGGAAGATCCGTCCTCTCACAAAAGGCGATCAGAACCCCTTCCCCTCATACGTCTGATGATGCTATTTTTAAGAAATGAAGATGCCTACGACGATCTGATATCGAAGGATTTGGTTTGATGATAATCACTCCCGTTTAGATGTGACGTAGACGATAAGTTCCTTTTTTTGTGGTTCGCAATTGTGGCCGTGCTTTGCAGGCAACAATAACCAACAATAACCAACACCGACTAACAATTAACAACAATAACGAACAGTCTCAGCTTGATATGCGCGCCGGCTAACTAGGTTAGTAGTTTTAGTTTGCTGGCAAACTAAACGAGGCAGGGAGCGATTCGCCCTGTCCAGGCATTTTGGGCGTGAATTGTCGCCTATGCAAGGGATGGGCGGCAGATATCTTGACGTTGACACGGGAAGGGCGATTGTCACGACAGGGATCAAGAGGGAGGATGAGGGAAAGATCTATCTATTCGATCAGCAGTATGCAGCTTAAGCATTACTACTGGTTAAAATGTATGATCTCTTGCCTGTCAGACGTGGGAAGATCCCGTCCGAGTGGATCAGGGTTGGCATACTTGGTACAGACAACCCTGTCAGTAAGCAGTAGAACTATTCTTTTTCCTTTCCTTTTCTGTTTTGCTTTTTGACATTAGCGTGGAAGGCAGGTAAAGCGTCTCAGCCTTCATTATTATTTTTTTCTCTCTCATTGCCTCGTGTTGGGAATTGGTTTTCCGAGGATTTCATTTGCCTTGGGCCCAGAGCGCTTAAGCAGGTTCTTTGCCTGACGGAACGCCGGGCTTGGGATTGGGCAAGAAACGCTACCGGAGTTATGCTTGCTGGGTACCTAAGGTACCTATCACCTACCAGTAGATACCTCTTTCCTCCACCTGCCACGCAGGAGTGATAGAAGGTATACTACGCTCTACTTTGTGATGTATACACTAGAAACCCGAAGAATGAACCAAAAACCCCCTCCTCCAAACACAGCAACAACCGGCATGTCCGAGGGGTTTGTAAGGCAGATCCCATGACTTCCGAGACGCCACAGTGGGAATTACCGAAACCGGCAATGTGGCTGGGGGGAAAGGCAGACCACGTGCTGGAGAGCCCTGATTGGCAGGCAGCAATGAGGCATGCAACCCGACGGGGATTGTGGCGGATGGGGCCCTGTCGAAGCTGAGCAAAGAAATTAAGGGAAGTAAAGAGAGAAGCCGACCTCTGGTAGACCCTAGTAATAGCATAGGAAGGAGTAAAGTTATCTGGTTGCCTGCCTAGCATGACTCACTAGTCGCAGCCTAAAGACCTTTCAAAGTTTTGCCATCCATGCCGCAGTCAATCCATCGTGATTCGGCGCCCATCAAGGCTTGACTGATACATAGTACAAGACACATACGGCGTTGTCTCCGATCACACCACGTGTGCAGGCATGAATACTGGAGTCCTTCAAAAGAGTCCTAATCTGGGTTTTAAAAATAAATTGGAAGCTTGGTGCTGTTGCTGTTGCTGTTGGATTCTACGCACCAGTAACTAACTGGGGTTATTAATGCCGTATAAGTAAACCAACATCGACCGATCTTCTCTGTCATTCTCCTCTTTTTACAGATAAATTGCCCTCCCCAACCACTGCGACCTTCCCTTTTCAGTGGCGGATCCGCCAAGACATTTCCCAACTGGCCACATCGTATCACGTGCGCGTGTCGCTAGATGCCTTGTTTTCCGTCCTGAAAAATTTGGCAATCCGTCCTTCCGAACTGAGCAAACAACCATCCATCGCCCAGTGCCACCCGACGCGCATTGAGCTCGACGATCAAGCTAATATCAACTCCCTTTCCCTCCCATCTCCTCACCTGCTGCACTTGACCTTTCTTCATCTTTACCACCGTCTACCTATCTTCTATTCTCCGCCTCGTTTTCCGAACGCCACCAGGGCCAACCCCCTTCGCAATTGACGGCGGGGTTGTAGCTGCGCTATGGGTGACGGCTCTGATTATCCTAGTCCACGAAGTGAAGGTCCCGGTGGACCTACCTCTGTTCTCGTCACTGTTCAAGATTCGCTTTCTCCAGCTCCCAAGATGAACGACCAACTGTCTCCGAACTTCATGGAAGGGACGCGCCCGCGACTGTCGGTGAGAAGAGCGCGGGATCCGCCCAAGAACACTGCCGGTCAAATCTACTGCGACCATCCCGAGTGCCAGCACTCGCCCCCAACATTTCGCCGTCCGTGCGAATGGAAGTAAGTTCACCCTCATTGTGATTTAAAATAAAAAAAAAATATATATTTAGAAAAAAGAAAAAAAGACAAATCTACAAAATCCCCGAATCAAGGAAAAGCTAACGGTTTGCCACTTCAGCAAACACATGGACAAACACGACCGCCCGTACAAGTGCATGGAACCCGGCTGCGACAAGATTCAAGGTTTTACATACTCTGGCGGTCTGCTGAGGCATCAGCGCGAGGTGCATAAGAAGAACATCAATGCCAAGAAACCCTTGATGTGTCCGTACGCCGACTGCAATCGCAGCACAGGGAACGGATTTACGCGTCAGGAAAACTTGAAGGAGCACCTTCGCCGCCGCCACATGCACACTGAGAACGGACATGCGTCCGAGCTGCCCATCGCCCCGTCGCCCGATCTGGATGGCACCACGTCTCTTGCGGCGGCATCCGCAGCCTTGAAGAGGAAGCGCGAATCTCTCGGAGATGATCCGGCCACCCTCGAGCTTCCTGAGGAGGAAGAGAATGGGGTGGATCTTCGCAATGAATTGAAGAGGCTGCGTCGTGAGGTCCAGGAAAAGGACCGCCGACTGGAGGAGTTGGAACGCATCGTGGCTGGACTACAGCAGGCTATTCCTCAGACCGCGACGTCACAGGGCTAGCTGGATGCGCAGGATCAAGTTTTCGACGAGTGGTATTGATTCATCGCTCTTTCACTTTCTTATCATTTGTTGCTTTTCTCTGTTTCGTGCTACTTTGGCTCTCCCCTTTCGCTTTGCCTACTCCCCCTTCTCTTTTTTTCTTCTCTGGTTCAGAGTCAGTTCACTTCATTCTCATGGTTTGCTGTATGAAATTTGCATTCAAAGGGCGTTCAAATTATGCAAATTATGGGCCATGGTTGATTTCGCGAAATTTGTCTACAACATCTACGGGTGGTTCATATGGGTCGGTCTACATCTCGGAACGCATGGATAAGATCAGGCAGCTCTGAAGATGATGGCGTTTGCTCGAGGTCGTTGATACAGACCAGGTGGTGTTTTTCTATTCTGATTTATCCTTGTGATTCTTACCCTTTGTCTCTTTCCCTTATATCATTTCCTCCATCTCCTTATTACTTATTATTCCCTGAAATATACCCAGGCGTTTTCACCCCGTTTCTTTTGTTGCCTCTGACCTTTCCATAATCTTGTCTCTTCCAGTTGTGCCTTAAATTCTCCGATGCAAACGTAGCTGTCGATCCTGGGATGCGTAGTCCCTCCACCACGTCAGTGGGGTGAAATCATAATATACGGCTCTCATCTATCTACCTGTCTGTCTTGACGGCAAGCTGGATGCCGCCAAGGGCTCCATTCGTAGTGAAATTGTAATAAAGACCGGCACGTACATTCCTGGACACATACATAGCCTAGTCCTCAGATTCTAGTCGATCACGATCTCCTCCGTCTAGCCTAGGCAGGCAGACAGGCAGGCAGGTATCTATTGGCCTTGCATCCAAGGCTACCACACCCATCATCCATTCATCCTTCCATCCCACTCCTGACTCCATGATTACCAAGCAAGTAACCGCAAGGCTAATAAGCACTCAAAATTACTCACCACGTATAACATATGACACATACCTCACGATCATCCTTCCTTCCTTCCGTCCTTTCGTCCTTCTCACCACCTAGCCAGCCAGCTAGCCAGCCATGTACAGCAGTAGTCCAGGTAACAAACAAGCCCCATACTAGTGAGTCTCAGTAGTTAGTCGTCGTCGTCGTCACCCACTTCCTCGTCTCCCCCCTTACATAGTACATAAGGTCCAGCCAGCCCCAACGTGGCTCCCTTCCAGGAAGGACACAGACACTATAGTACCCGGTCTAGATTACTGCGCGTGACTCTTCCGTGACTCATAGTTCTTGTGTCTCGGTAGTAAGCACTCACTCTCGGTGGATATCTACTCCTGGACTAGCTTGTTGACTGGGTAGTTGGGTAGGTGCTTATCTGGGATGACTCAGGGAGGTTAGCTCGGATTTCATGTGCTTGTTGCTCTGCTGGGTTTTTGGTTGGTTGGTTAGTTGGTTGTTAGCCTTGTGGATGGGGATAGTACTATGTCTGAACTTTAGGGGTAAGTTGTTGGTGTGAGAGAGCTAGCTGGTAGAGGGTATACTACGGTTGTGGTGAGGGTATAGATTACTGACTGGTGATTGGTTGTATGCATGCGCTGGGTAGTAGTAGTATACTCCGTCGGGTCTGTGGAGGATGCGATGTGTTGCGGTGTTGGTGCTGGGTGACGAGTATATGCTTTACTTATCCTGAGGATCTACGGCCGTAAAACGAGACAGATGTGCTATGTAGAGGGATAGCTGAAATGATGGCTTATGGATGTCGCGCCGGATTCGGCGGTTATGTACTGTTAGGGATAGGCGCTGTGGTAGCGCGCAGGGATCCTGAGGTGGTATCGGGGACTAAATTGGGGTAGCGCTTAGGGGTGGGTCGGAGAGGGCCGTGTGGAAAAGTAAATTGCTTTAGATATATCCATAGCATGTGATGGCAATGGTGAGAAGGAGGCTGATATTCAAGACTTGGGATGCCTGGTGCTGAAGGCAGCACCACATAGTACGAGTTGAGCTAGGTACTGCGGTGAACGATTGCTGTCTCCTATTTCTTAATACTGAGCCGTATTATATCAATTAGTCAGTGTGGCCGAGTGGTTAAGGCGATAGACTAGAAATCTATTGGGTTCGCCCGCACAGGTTCGAGTCCTGTCGCTGACGTTTTTTGCTTTCTATAAGTTCAGCCGGGGAAATTAATTGTTCGGTTTCCACCACTAGTATAATCTTTTAGCTATTATTTTTGCTTTCTTATATTCGTGTGGGTACGATGAGGAGCAATGACTAGCTTATGTTGCGATGTCGCACTTCAAAGCTTGACGAGATATAGCTGCATTGTCGTCCAGGTCTTCGCGGAAGGGAACTCTAGCTGGCATGAAACCTCAGTCATCGGCTTTCTATTTTGGGGTAGAATCTCGCCAGTGATACGATGGGCCATGGTAGTCAGCGCGTTTAGCAGGTCTGGCTGTGTTGTAGAAGCGGGTATCTTGTAATGTGCAGGGTTTATCTGGATTGTATTGTTTTGTTGGTGATTTGCTATGAACCCGGCTGTTTCGGAATAAGAGCGTTAACGCGGAATTTTCGGTGACCTATGCATCAACAATAATGGCAGCCTCCCTGAGAAGCCTATCTGTATGTGTCACTTTGCAAGGGCCAGTCTTGAACCGCACTAAGGTTGCACGAGAGGTACTTGTATGGCCTCTGGCCTGAAAACACCTTCGATGCGTGCTGACTCTACACACATGACTGGCTTTGATTACCTGTAAATATGGTCAGCTGCAAAGCACACAGTATGCAGTATATCTTCTGGTAAAGCTGTTAGTTCATCTGACTTGCATGTTGTTGTGTTCGCGATATAGGCAATCTCTTGAGGTCAAGCGCGGGACCTTTCTGCTGAAGCTATAAGCTAGAACAGAAAGTCCAGTATACTACAAGTCTTTATAGCTCACAGCTCAGCATGGAATAGGTAGGAGCTTGGTAGACTTCCCTGTAACTCCCGGATCGGGCGTAAGCTTATAAGGACCTCGTAGTTATCTTCCGCTATGCTATGAAGTCAATAGTACTCGCCCGCAACGTCACAGCCCGACTGGTGAATGACGATGGTCTGGACTTCAGGTCCACGGGACAAGTAACTCAGAGATTGATCTGATATGATCTGGCAGACCAATGGGAATGCTCAGCTGGGCGAGATGTTGAAACAATCGCGAAAATCCACTTCTTGCTCCTGTCCAATGGGGACGTGTCGAAAGTACGCGTTAAAAACTTTGTATTCACCTCATCCTGACATCTATACGCGTCTTGCGCGGTCTGTATTGTTGTTGTTAGTATGTATGACTTCATGCCGTGCTAGTGGAGGCTGCTATGGCACAGTCGTCTCGGGCTGAGGTTCGATGCCTGTTCTATGGGTGGAAAATAGGGGATAGGAGCTCTGAAAGGCTTCAAAAACTTCAAATGTCCCTGATTCGAAAGCTACCTAATAATCTGGAGAAAGAACGACGGCAATACGTTAAAGAATCGCTGGCATCCCTCCCTGATCGGGAAGGTGCGGGCATTGCCCACAGCATGCTACCGGAAGCAGCTCTTCGTGCGTTCCTGCCGCATGTAATTGCTTCTTTTATCCGGCAGATGGAGATCATAAGGTTGACATATCGATTATTTTCATACCGAGTGCGTTAAACAACATTCGTACCTATGAGAACGATTTGCTCTCTGCAACTGCAACCGTATCATTCTGATATACGTATTGGTAGATTAGCAACTCCACTTGCACCAGTCACTTTAATCAGGTTGTTTATACGGATCGATGGGTATGAATGCATCAATCATAGGGCCGGCAATCCAGAGTCATACATCGATGACTGATTAGGACAAAGCTCTGAAAGTAATCTGAACTATATTGAAACCTACGACGTCTGGCACTCATGTCGTTCTCGCGGCGGTCAGGCAATAGTGTCCAAGCAGTTTTGAGGGAAGAGTCCATAGTCTGTTGGCTCTGGATACCGAGGATTGCAGGCATTCTTTGGGACTTAGATCCACCACCGACAATTGGGCAGTGATTGGATTGCAATTTTCCGATGTCAGACGCAGAGAACGTACGCTATGTTATAGTTGAGATCCGCTGGCATTGTCTTGCTTGCCCCAGATTACCAGGGGGGTACAGAAGAAGATCCCTAAAGAAGGGGAGCTGGAGTTCTGCATGCTAGTCAAGGCAGGACAATGAAACAAGTCAGCATGAAAACTCCTTGATTGTGGCATCCTTCATTCGCACAGTACGGTCTCCCTGTGGATGAACGACATCGACAACTGCCCGCCAGAAGAACAGGCTATCGGCAAACTCCCTCGATGGCAAAACGACTATGCGGCCTGGTTGTGTCGATGGGTATGGATCTTAGTTGAGAGGAACCAAAAAAAAAAATCAAAAAAGAAACGTCAGCGACAGGACTCGAACCTGTGCGGGCGAACCCAATAGATTTCTAGTCTATCGCCTTAACCACTCGGCCACACTGACTGTTGCTTGTTTTGGACGCCATTATTTTCATACATGTCTAAAGTGACACAGCTGTACATGTACTGACCTTAGGTTGCACATCTCCCATGCTATAGCCCCTACCAAGCGCGATATGAGAGTACTCGGTGGCAGGTTTAGCATCATTCACCGGTTTCGTTGTCTGATGTGTCGGGAATAAGTGTTTCAAGTGACAGTGGAGGTCGTCAAAAAGAAGGCAATTTTCTGGCAGTTATTAAAGGGGTTTCTTCATGATCTTTACCAAAATTACTTTGCCAGTATGCACAAGTTGCAGTCCTATCTCCGTGAATTATTACCTTCTGCGTAGTCAATTCCCCGCCAGGTCCACTCCTCCGGGTGATTGTGGCTAACAAGGATTGGAACCAAAAAGAACAAAAAAAGATCGTCAGCGACAGGACTCGAACCTGTGCGGGCGAACCCAATAGATTTCTAGTCTATCGCCTTAACCACTCGGCCACACTGACTTGTGATGTTGTTTTGTTCAGGATTCTTGTATCATGTTAGGAATGGATATCTTCGAGATAGCTTTCCCCATGTTGCATTCTGATGGGGTTATTTTGATGGTGCGGGTAGTGACGGGTACACATGGGAAGAGTTGTACCGGACCAAGATATTTCTCATCATCGGAGTATTTGCAGCACATTGTAGTGAATGCTACTAGGCAAATTCTGTGACCCCCGATGACGGCTTGAATGTATATGTGCTCTGTCAGTGCTAGCACTACTATGGTCGGCGTTGTTTCAGTGTCTCTCCAGTACACGGGCACAGCAGATTATATATCCTGGCAACGCCTTCCAATGATGTCCCGCAAATGGCATCCGCTGAATGACACGACAATAAACATATCAGTACCACTAGTATCACCTACGATTGAATCTACGCAGTGAACCCGCCCAGGGCAATGTCGCACACAAGAAGAACGAATTTGAAAGAATCCCATAAAATCCTACCGAGTGACAAGGTGGTGGTATTAGAGTGCACCAACCGAGATCCAGCCACCGTAGATCAGTCGCAGACCAGACTGTCATAGTTGACTGAAATTTAGTATTCTCGATGCCTGCTGGGGCAAGTATTTAACCAGAAAACGTCAAAATCGAGGCAATGGGTAGTCATATCCTCTATTTCCTGAGGCGAGAGCCCGGTCGTGTATACATCATCTCGACAACATATCCCTCACCTTATCATTAGCAGCTCAGGAGCTCCCCAGTCGCTGGTTGCAAAGTTTACTATCGATCCACGGGATATTCCCCCCCTTCCCAACACCCAAGCCTCCTTTCCGGGTGATACAGGAACATAAAGCAAAAGAGGCACAAAGTATTGTTTACATTAAGCCTCACAGAAGAGCCCAGCAATTGTCCAGTCGGAGACATCCTTGTGACTATAGAACCGAGCAAGCCAACTGCTACTTAGAGCGTCGCCATTTCTGGCATAGAGATACGTCGAGAAGCAACAAAAGCCGGACGAGTCGGGAAGAATCTCCGGCGGAGTGAACCAATATCGAACCTGTCCGAGGACTATGCCCCTTCTGGTAAGCTGGCATTATCCGAAAATACGAGATTGTGAGCAAAGAAAGTGCACTGGCTTCGGAAGCCTACAAAGAGATAAGGAAGAAACCAACTTGCCACACAATGAAAGTGAAAGAGAAACAAGACAAACACATGACGAGATGGCCTACAATGGTTGGAGTAGAATCCCTCCGCCTCCCCTAACGACTAGGCCCAATTCACTGAAATTTGACCCAGTCCCACTTTATAAGGGACGGTCCCCTCCTCCTCCTCCCCGAATCACTTCACATCTTCAAGCTTTTATTTCCCTAGCAGAGCCCGAAATAGTCATTGGTTTTCTATAACTGAATTTGGGCTGTGCTGTGCACGCAAGCCCCCGCGAAAACAATGGCTCAACCATGTCATCCGGCGGAGCATCCCATGTCCCATAGCGCCAACGCCCAGTACACTGCAACTCAAGAGTACAGCTCGGGGAAATCCCACCTGCAGCCTTCAGTATACACGTGGTCGACTCTCGAGGATGTGAACTCACACCATTGTGACTCTGATAACCCTGCTGTGCATCAATTCCCAGAGGGGGAGTTTGTTCCGTCTGGTTTCTTTGACAAGGTCAACATAAGTCTCTTCAAAAATACAAACTCTCCAGGTGGCGATTGGAGATACGAGAAGCGCAGACAGGTCCATCAAATACTTCCCTTCCTACACCTGGGACCCTGGAGTTGCCTCGCGGACAGAGGTTGGCTTAATCAGGAGGGATTCACCCTGCTCCTAGGCATCCGACATAGTCGATTGGCCAAGGCAGGTCTTCTCTCCGGCAGCAAGGCAGCCGCGGCGCTTGATATAATGACAACTTCTGTTGATTATCGAGACAATCAAGAACTCACTGGCATGCTTCCTAGTGTAATTCGCTGCATCAACGAACACATCGCTTCCTCGGCTCCCCTTGGCCTGAGCCAGAGCACCGAGAAGAAGGTTCTCGTATTTTGTGAAACAGGCAACCATTCGTCGGCTGTGGTGGTGATGGCCTATTTGATGGTGATGCTCAATATCAGCCCAATGAAGGCAATGGACCTGGTCCAGTCGCAGCGATTAAGCATAATCGTGGACGAGCCGGCATCGCAGTTACTGTTGGCATTTGAGGCCATCATCATGGCCAAACGGGATGTCGAAAGAGTGCGCCGAGCCAGCATCTTGGATACATCGTCTTCCTCGAAGAAGCGAACCAATAGCCAAGATACCGATGACATGGATATTGATGAGATTGGGACTTTGGACCCGGAGAGAAAGCCGTTGGCACCGTTTCAGGATCGTTCGGCCGACTGAAATCTAATGTTATTATCCGCTAGTAGTTGCCATAGGAGATAGATAGATCTAGCCTGGTAGCAGGCGATGAGTGAGAGAGTAAGGGTGGGAAATAGCAGTCTTCCATTTTTTCTTCTTACTCGCGATTTCACGCATGATGTGCTTGTAATCAGATACCATACCGAGATGGAAGGCGCCGTGCTTTTATTGCCTCGTAAAGTCAACATCTGGCCCCAGAATCCAAGGAAAAATACAAAGTCGCATGTAAAGGCCATCGATATATATGTCTCATTTCTATTCGTCTTCTTTTCCGGATTTCTCCCTGAGAAGTTCATCACGCAGAACAGCTGCTGTGAAGCCGAGTGAAGGCGCGCCTTCAGCCCGTCAACTATGAAATAGCATTCACTGCCCTGCTCAATGCCACTACTTCTGCCTTCACCTTCACCTTCCCACTCCATGAACTGATACATCAGATTGATGACACTTTAGCATCTCATCGTTATTCCACAGGGACTTTACATATCTCTAGCAATGTTTACTCCATTTTCACCCAAGAGCACCATGCAACTTCGAAGCAGCATTCGTCCACCGAAGCGCTTCAACCAAGACCAGTTCTACAGTCCATGTACACAGAAATCTTTACGTGCACCACAAAATCAAGAAAACCAGGACTGCATTCATAGCACTCAGTTCGATCCCAACCTACCTCCGGCAGCGTTTCCGACGCTAGATCATTCGTCTCCCCTCAGCCTACGCCATAAAGAAACGGAAAATTGGAATGAGCAAGAGGAAGACCCCTCCAAGCGCCCCAGGAAGCAGGAGAAAGGTGATGAAAAGACCGAGGACAAGCGTGTGGGGGAGGCAAATACAGGCGTACAGATCAGACCCTTAGAATCAGGAGAAAATTGTTTCTTAAGCAATGGGGACCTTAACCCAGTCTACAGGAGAAATATGACCATTCTTGCTAATATTGGCCGGGAGTCGTCAATTGAAAGATATCTAATGGACAGCGATGTGGATGAGATCATGGCCGATGCCCCTGGCGAGGAGAATATAGAGGTACGTTGAGCATAAACGGCTTTCCCCCCCTTTTTTCATCTTCTAACCACCAATCTCCTAACCAAATTTTATTTTACATAGACTTCTTCGGCACCACCTCCTTCCCGACCACGAGAATGGGGCGACCTTTCCCCAAGAATTCAAGTTGAGATCATCGACAATATGCTCCAAGAATTCAACTGGCCAACCGTATGCCATTTACTGGGGCTAACGGTAGGGGAGCGTGAGGAAATTCAGCAGAATATTCGCCAGTGGGATCAGCAAGCTAGGAAGGAAGATCTACAATTGGAAGATATGAGAGAAAGGCAACTGAGGGCACTCCTGCGAGTCGACAATACTATACGTGGACATAATCGTGTTCCTCACCAGGGTATCTTCAGCAAAATCTCTCGTCAGATTTCCGGCAAACTACAGGATAATCTCAACTCGGACATTTTATTATGCCAGGCAAGTGAGCTGCTAGATGCCGAATTGTTTCTGCGCACGCGTGGACTCGACCGCAAGTATGCAGGAGAATGGGGTAATGGTACGTCTGCTTGGCAGGCACTCGAAGACCATGACATTGAGCCGTGTCTAGATGGTGACCAGAGAACCCAGCAACGCGTTGTGGACAGTGCAACGATTAATGCAGATGTACCGGCAGGGGAGGATACAAACATCAATGTGCCTGACCCGAATGATAACTGCACGTTACAGGCGGAAATAATGGCGGCATACTGTCCGAACTCTGAGAGGAACAAGTACCTACACAAGTTCCGTTTTAACAAGCCCCGGCAATGCCACAAAGATAGTCAACCCAGACAAAAGGTAGTGTATCATGACCCTCGCGGGAGTGAACCGTGTCGCCTGAGTGTTGGCGCGGAGAAAGCTGCTCATGTTTGTGATATGAGATGGAGATATTCCAAACTGGCATTGAAACCCTGGGAAATGCCTCTGACGAGTCTCTCCATTAACGAGCCACGACCACTCCTTGGAACGTTTTATAATAGCCACGGCAACAAAACCAACGCCAGGAATTCTCATAATGCAGCCTTCGTTCCTCTGACCAGGTTTTCTTATGAAAACATAACCGACAGGCGTGCAGCCGAAACCGCCTTTTCTTCGAGGCTTGACCCACGACACGGAACTTCAGCATCGGAAGTACGTAAAGGGATACCTCCCAAGCCAAGCAGTGACAACACGTATGTTACATTATCCGATTCAGGGAGAGCCTCTAGCCCCATTATCTGGACCCCCAAAGCCACCCCAGACACAGCAGTATCTACCACAAGCTCAGAGTGTCTTCCCACAGATGAGAACAAACAATCACCACGTGTAAGCAGAGCATTGCAGCCCCCACTGGAAGCAAGGAAGGACCTCAGAGAATCAGTCGACGAGGATTCTGGTCATGAGGTGCCAAGCGAAGACCCGAGGCCTGGAACACCCCCGAAACGTTCAGTTGAATCATCAGTCTCCAAAGAAGACATAGTGCACGCACCGGATAAAACGAGCGATGGGGATGACAACAGTGAGGATAGCCACGACGACGACTATGATGAGGTCGTACTCCTACCTGTATAGCCGCTCATAAGACTTTCTAGTGAGGACGCAAATTACGACGGAAGATCGAGTGTGCCCGTCCCCAGAGCAATGGTACCTGAATCAGACTGACCAGAAGATCTAGAATTTGCTAGGAGTAAACTCTTGCTGATGAAGACTCCTCATCACTTACCTTGCCCATATTTCCCGGTGTGCTCCATCATCAAATGTAATTTGCACGCAGCAAAGAGTATTATCGACCTTAGTGAATAACTGGCCGCAAAAATGGATCTGAGCTACATCATACAACCTAGATCTTTGAATTTCTCCGTCCGAAAGGACATATCTCTATTACTGGTTTTCTTAGGTTTGTAGCCGCTCCCAGCGGATTAAGGCTTTTACATATTTAAGCCGACGACTGCGAGCCCATCGAGAGTGATATTGTTGGCGATGGAAGTCCAAGATTGGCAACTACAAGTAGCCAGAAGCACGCGAGGTCAAGGAGAGCCCAGGACAGCACTCACTTCAAACAATTGTGGATCTGGGGTGCGCAAGACAAAGCCAGGACACGCCGCGTGGTTTTATTCCACGACTCACAGGAGATCTCCTTGCTCATTCTCCGTCTCTTCACTTCTTCATCTTTGCGCTCCCCATCTCATTTATCTAGGTATGCGGCCTATAGCCCATTAGGTTCAGGATTCATGATCCAAGTCAGCGACCCCTCAATGACCTCCAGGTAAGAGCGTCTCGAGGACAAAACCTTGCTCATCGGGTACTGCCATTACTCTTCACTTCGAAGAGGCCTGCTGACCTTGTCCTCGGCCTGCTAGGTTTATTTCTTCGGATATGGTCGGCACAAGGGCAACTCTTCTCAATTCGAAAAAGCATACCTAATCAGTTTACAGGTGGCAAAGAATCCAATACGTGAAAGGCAGGAGCTGGGGTGGAACCATTACTCGATTTCAAGCCATTTGAGCCAGCAATCATGGCCCACTCCTACAAGCGGATGAACGGGTCATTGACATCAGGCGAGAGATGCAGTCGACAAGAGCCACTACTTCGAAGTGCCGAGCTGACAACAGGCCTCCAACTGAGCCCAGCCAAAAATTTATCTAGCCCCGAATGCTATTGAGACAGGAGGAAGGACAGCCAATTGGGGCTTGTGACCGAGGCCTGATTAAAGGAGTATTGCACCGTGATAATAGCCTGCCAGGAGAGAGGCGAGATGCTACCGGAGTATGCACAATCCCTCTGAAATCGTGTATCCACCAGAGCCCTCGCAGAATCAGAGGATTCTTCTCGGCGGTGTCATACCTGATTTGTTAGGCTGGCTGTGCCCTTCTCTGTGGGTTCACTTCTCGGCAAGCTTACTGAGCGTACATAATACCTACAAGGCCCAGATGACCAGGTGCTCAGTTTCAAGTAAGAGTGTGTACGAAGGTACTTGTATCCACAAGAAAGTTGATGGTACTTGAAGCGATAACCTTAATCACCGCGACGCCACATGACGCTGGCCTAACCATGGGGATATTATCTGCAACGGGCAATAAACCTGTTTTGCTCGGCTGGACGACTTGGTTATTCGACAACAGTGGTGGCCTACGTACGCTGAAGCCCTCCAACCTAGGATCTAACAGCCACCAGCACCTATGATTTCAGTTCGGAGATAGATCTGGCGATAGTCTCCCAGAGTTTCTGGATACTTTTGGGAGGCTTATAAAGGTAGTTTAAAGCACCGAGAAAACGGGTCCATAGTGCGCATAAGGTCATCCCCTACTGATCAAACTGAACTGGAGATAGTTGGGTCTGTCAAGATCGAGTTGTGCGGTTTACGTTGAATGCCCGGCCATTGTTTGCCTGGTATCCTTGATGGTATCACGTTGTTTTCGACCTGAACGATAAATCGCTGCACCACACATCAGGACATCCATCTTCTTCTCTACGATTCCAATACCTTAGTCCACTCCCTAGAGGGTTGCATAAGCTGAAATAGTCGCATTGGAACCCAGAATGCTCACCACTTCGTTTGATTGTGTTGTGCTGGATGGCACCGTCGTGACGGCCGCCGATGTTGGTCGGTATGACATCGGAATTAAGGATGGCAAGATTGCTATACTTGCTCCTGCGCGGTCCCTGGCTATAGCTCGTGCATCTCGACTTATTGACGCCGAGGGTGCATATGTTATGGTATGTTCGATCCAAACACTTTGCGCAGCGATGATCTCAATTTGCTGACAGTTCACTACTAGCCAGGCGGCATTGATGCCCATGTCCACTTGGCTGAACCGCGAGGCCAGGGTCAAGCGTCCGATACTTTCACGACAGGAAGCCGCTCCGCCATTGCTGGTGGTACAACAAGCATTATCGCATTTGCTCCCCAGGATAAATCTGATCCATCTTTAGTCAAGGCGCTGGAAAAGGCGCAAAAGAAAGCCGATAATGCTGCATACTGTGATTATTCTCTTCACCTTATGATTTCAAACCCAAGCAGAGAGGTTCTTGACGAGTTTTCCATACTTCGCGAACGCGGCGTGTCCTCAGCCAAAATTTTCATGACCTACGAGTCTCTACAACTACGTGACAGCCAGGTCATGGATGTCTTGATGCAAGGCCGCATCGATGGAGTAACCATACTAGTCCATGCTGAAAACGGCGACATGCTCACCTGGATGACCGAGCAGCTTGAGAGACGCATGTTAACTGAACCAAAATACCATGCCGCTTCGCGACCCCAAATCCTAGAATGTGAAGCTACCAGCCGAGCCATATCCCTGAGCCAACTCATCGGAACACCAATTCTTATTGTCCACGTTTCCTCCCCAGTAGCTGCAAGCACCATCCGCACCGCCCAGACAAGCGGATGGCCTAATTTTGCCGAGACATGCCCGCAATATCTATTTCTGACCAGGAAAGACCTCGAAAAGCTCGGTTTCGAGGGCGCCAAATGCATATGTTCACCTCCACCACGCGAGGGTGAAGACGACCTAGAAAATATCTGGACAGGGCTGCAGAATGGGACATTCACGATTCTCTCTTCTGACCACAGCCCATACGTTTACGACGACGATGTCAACGGAAAGAAGATAGCCGTCACCGGCGAGGAACCTCTAGGCCGTTTCCGAAACGTCCCTAATGGCTGCCCGGGAGTTGAAACGCGCCTGCCCTTAGTTTGGAACTCCAACCGACTCACGCCCCAGAAGTTCGTTGAAGTCGCGAGCACCAACCCGGCCAAATTGTACGGACTTTATCCGCAGAAAGGCTCGATCATCCCGGGTATATCCGATGCGGATCTCACGATCTGGTATCCTTCTGCTCAGGAGCCATTCCCTATTACGAATTCTGCTTTACATCACAATGTGGACTATACGCCGTATGAAGGGCACATGATAACCCAGTGGCCGCGATATACACTGCTGCGTGGGGAGGTCGTCTGGGATCGAGATAATGGAGGCGTTGTGGGCAGGAAGGGCTACGGGAAGTTTTTGAAGAGAGGGCGCAGTGCGTTTTGCCGTGAGCAGTCCGAGTTAGATTTTACGAGGTTCTAGTTTTTGCCTCTTAGAGTTAGAGGACTTATGGGAATAGTATGAAGATCACCCACTTACAGAGATGGACATTTGCCCAGTACAGTCAATTTATATAATATACGGGTAGTAAATTTGGACCTAAAAAACAGCGAAGTGGTATTGAAGCTAAGGCTCTAATCATAATTACAAGCCATGTTCAGACAGCTCTATATAATACCCAGCTACCACCACCAATTTAAGTTCAGAACCAGTTCATGGATTCATTGACGGCCAAAATGACCCCGAGCATTTCAAACCTGACTTTCAAAGCTTCAAGCCGCCCATCGATCACTGGGTCTCGCTTGACCATATCGTACTTAGGAGAAAGTTCGCCGCGACAGGCCCTACATTGCTGCCCATTGATCTTCTCAAAACTGGAATACACGATGTACACCATATTAAGCAGAGGGAAATGTGTCTGGCAATGTGCTGCCAAGTCTTCCAGCTCGTCGCAGAGCATATGCGAACTCTGCAAAAGACACCCGTATATGGATAGGGACTTGAGCGAGCTTGGGAGAGTCTCCCACAGAGGAGAAACCGGGACATGTGTGCCGGGATGAAAAGGCATTAGATTAACCATCGGCATGTTTAGGGTTTCCAGGACAGGAAAGTCACACAGGGGCCCGAAGTATGCTGGCTGGGGATACTCCAGATCGTGAAAGAGGAACATGTTGCCACTGCACTCATAAGATATCATAGTAAGGTGCCGCAGCGTGGAGCGGGCTTCGTAAAGAGGAGCATACACGCGGTTGGGATTCCAGTGGTAAGCAGGACTGTGCGGGTCATTATAGAAATGATGTGTTGACTCCTCGAGCGCCCATGTGAAGGATTCGAGCTTTGAACACCCCGAGAGGAGGCGTGGCAATTGAGTGATGGTTTTATCACACTGTTCGATATCAATATGGGTTATTCCGCAGCTGAAGTCGCGAGGGAGAGCTTGCTTATTATTCTCAGTGAGCTGCCCAACACGTATATATCTCAGGGAAGGGATCCGAAGAAATGGTGCCAGCTGACTCAGGGGTATACCTGACCGCTTATGATGCCACCGTAAGTGAGCTTCGTTGATAGTGAGATGGGTCAAGCGGGGGAGGATCCCTGATCCGGGTTTTGCTGCCCCATGGATGACGCTGTCAAAATAAGGCGTCGCAGAGGTGTAGTTTAGTCCAGACACGCGTTCCTCGCATGGCAAATAAACAGAAAGACGCCGTAGATTCTTGAGCTGAAGCAATAGCAGGGCGAACCAGGGATTTCTCAGGGGCTGGCGAGAATCGAGTTTTTCGTCAGAATCAAGGGCCTTTTGCCAACACAGGATTGTCTGTCTGGTCACCGGATGGGGGAGCAAGGAGTCTAGCCAATCTGTTTCCTGAAGAGCTCGTGACGGTTTGAGTTGTGGAGAACCCTGGTGTGCGAGTGGGAGCAACACCAGTGAGCGGACGAAACCAGCAAGGACTGGGTGTTCACTAAGGGCATAAGGGAGACATCGGCCAGGAGGGCGGCTCTTGCGCGTTACCGGGACAGATGGCCAGTAGGAATTGGTGTTAGACTCCTGGTATTCTCCCGAAATCATGATCTCGCGGTAAAGCTCCGGGGTGAAAGTGGAATGATAGGATTTTGAGACGAGAACCAGCTGGTATAAATCTTGGGTGTGCAGATGTCGGCCGATTCGTATATGCAGTTCGAGGGGCAATCGATCCATGATGCCTGAGCGTAGTCTATCTTGCGAAAGAGTTGTTATTTCTTGCTTAGCTTGATTTCAGCGGGGCCTGCACTGAAATGAGCGAGCCGGAAGTTGAAGGGTTTAATGTTGTCCCTCAGTATCTCATATGTTGTAGCATGGATATGTCGAGGAAGCTCAGGTATCAAAATCCACAGGAGTCCTTTGTATGTGGTATGCAATATTGATTGGAAGGCCCCTAGAGGATTCTATTGGATTAGTAGGAAACTGTCATTCAATGCAGTGACATCTCAGAAGGGCATCATGCCGCCATAAAGAGCAGATTGGAATATCCCTGATAGTATCCCAGCACTCATGGTGCTACAGAACTTTCATTTATGACAGAGAACAAATCAGTCTCAGTGATATACAAAGGAGACCTAAGAACTCCTTTCATGGTCCGGTGGTGTTCTTCATTTGTATGTTGATAATACCGGCTTTCAGCCATGGTGGCAAATCCTTTGGAGTTCCCCATGGAAGACATCTCCCGCTCCTATCTTAGCAAGTGACAGGTGTAGTCCCTTCTAAGAGAAGCGATTTAGAGCTTAGCAAAGGGCGTCGAAGAACGTCAGCACCACGGCGTGGATTTCTTTCTGCATCAGCAGGACAAAGAAGACATTTTGATGCTTGGAATGTTCCGATGCAAGGCAACGAAGGCGTCACTGGGGGAAAGATAGAGGGTATAGGGTAGGCTGGCTGTGCTTTGAAAGCAACTTGCACTTCACACAGCCATGCATGATTTAGATTGTTTATGTGCCGGGAAAATTCACAGATATGCACTGCTCTTTCGGGCCCTCCAGAACTAATTTTGAATACAACAGTACCACGATGCATTGTCAAATAACGATTCATTGTTAGAATGATCAGTGAGGCCCACAAGTACCTGGACTATGAAACATCCTTGGCATTGCTACACCAAGCAGCGTGCTTTCATGTGAAAGAAGTGGTCGTTCATGTCAAAGGCAAAAAGCCCATTTAAAGATGGTCCGTGCGCTGACGCGAAAATCCGCGTGGGAGAACAAAGGCGCGCCGCCCGTCCGTCATGCGTGCAGGCTGTGCCCAGAGTTGATGCTCTGGTCCCATTCACAGGGCATCATTATCGTCTCTTGTTTTACGGAGTTGCAGGACATCGGGAAAGAAAGTCACCATAAGCTTTTTTAGTGAGCCTGCAATTGGACAGGTTCAACTCTGCTCCGGTTTTCGCTGTGGGAGGCGATTGCGACATCGATCGACTGCGCAGAAGGAAGTCCTAGCTGAACGACAGGGCTTATAAGCGATACACGTGAAACACGCAGAATCGAAGTGGAAAGATGTCGAATCCAGATACTCCCATAACCGGGACCGATTCCCTGGATGAATTCGCCCCCCGATCAGGCTCTTCGCAGGCGTCCACGCCGATGACAGACGAACCCGGACAAGATCAGAAAACAGCGCCGCAGGACAAGATGGATATGTCGGAGGACATTGAGGGGATGGATGTAAAGGCGAAGGCGCTGATGCACCTTCTGAACACTAGTGAGGTGCGATTGTTCGATCTTGGGCCTGGAGAAAATCTGGGTGGCGCAGAACTATTGCTGATGTGTTTGCTATCTCCTGATAGGTCTTCGTTGCGATCATGGCGGACAAAATGAAGAAACAGCAGGAGGAGGCGAGACTTGAAGCAGCCAAGCAGCAACAACAGCAACAAAAGCAAGTGAAAAAGACCGAAACCAAACCCAAGGGTGCTAGCGAGCCGGTGGGACGGCGACAGACGCGCACGAGTGCAAGGCAGTCAGCTGCCACGTCAACGGAAGCTACTGCCGAAGAAGGGAAGAAGGAGGAAGAACAGGAGACCAGTAAGACCAGGAGGGGCCGGGGAAGGAAGCCTGCTTCTTCTGCGGCTGCGAATGGTAACACCATCTCCAGCTACTTCAAGAAGGCGGATGTGAAGGTCGACGAGGATAAGCCAACGGTCCAGGAAGCTTTGGAACATGCTGCAGATGAGTATGAAGCGAATCCAACCGCACTGGGTGGTCAGGAACTGGTTGCTACCCAGCAGCCGGAGTTGGTGACCGGAGGAACGATGAAGAAGTATCAATTGGAGGGGCTGGAGTGGCTCAAGTCGCTTTGGATGAACGGACTGTGTGGCATTCTGGCCGATGAGATGGGTCTTGGGAAGACTGTTCAGGCGATCTCTCTAATTGCTTTCTTCAAGGAGAAGAATATATCTGGCCCTTTCCTGATCGCTGCTCCTTTGAGCACGGTGAGCAATTGGGTGGACGAGTTCGCAAAGTGGACTCCGGAAATCAAGACAGTCTTGTACCATGGGACAAGGGACGAACGTGCAACGATCAGGAGGAAGTTTATGAATATGAAGGACCAGAGAAGTGCGGATTTTCCTGTCGTCTGCACTTCCTATGAGATCTGCATGAACGATCGAAAATTCCTCGCGCAATATCAGTGGCGGTATATCATTGTGGTATGTTCTACTCTCCGTCGCAAGTCCATCTGGGATAATCTGATTCTCTAACATGTCTGCAGGATGAAGGACATCGCTTGAAGAACATGAATTGCAAATTGATCAAAGAACTGCTCACCTACAATTCGGCCAACAGACTCCTCATCACGGGCACGCCATTGCAGAACAACATCACGGAACTTTGGTCACTGCTACACTTCCTTCTACCTGAGATCTTCAATGATCTCAACAGCTTCCAGAGCTGGTTTGACTTCTCGTCCATGCTGGACAACAATGGCCAGACGGATGTCATGGAACGCCGAAAGCGCACGCTGGTCTCCACGATGCACTCGATCTTGAAGCCTTTCCTCCTCAGACGTGTGAAGACCGACGTTGAGACATCCCTTCCCAAGAAGCGGGAATACATCCTGTACGCGCCGTTAACAGCAGAACAGAAGGACCTCTACCGTGAAATTCTCAACGGCACTGGCCGCCAGTACCTCGAGGAAAAAGCCACAGAGCGTCTTATGGCCAAGAGCGGAAGACCGTCACGATCTCAGAGCCTGAAACGCAGCGCCGACACTAGCGGAGCTTCATCACCGAACAAGAGTCTCAAATCCAGCCGCTCATCCACACCAGCCAGTACAGCATTGCCCACATCCCGGAGACGCGGCAAGGTGTCGAGCTACAAGGAGCTGAGCGACCGCGAATTCAACTCTAGACTTCGCAGACTCGAGCAAGGCCTAGAAGAAGATCTGGACATTGCCGAACAGCCCAGCGAGACAGAACAGGAAGAGCAAGAGAGAGCCAAAACCATCCGGCTTGCCAGTAAGCACTCCCCTTCCCCCTGCCCCCCTTCATCCCACACCCAAAAGCTAACCTCCCCCTCCCACCCCCCCAGAGAAAGAAATCGCTCAAAAGAAGATGCAAAACCCCATCATGCAAGCCCGACTTGCCTGCAACTCTCCGCATAACTTCTATTGGCCGTGGATGGACGACCCGACCTCCATCGACGAGACCCTCGTCACAGCCTCAGGCAAAATGCTCCTCCTCGACCGTCTAGTTCCCTGCCTTCTCAACAAGGGCCACAAAATCCTCATCTTCTCCCAATTCAAAACCCAACTCGACATCCTCCAAGACTGGGCCACGCAACTCCGCTCCTGGAACTGCTGCCGCATCGACGGCGCCGTCAGCCAAGAAGACCGCCGCGCCCAAATCAAAGCCTTCAACACCGACAAAAACTACAAGCTCTTCCTCCTCAGCACCCGCGCCGGTGGCCAAGGAATCAACCTCATGGCCGCCGACACCGTCATCCTCTTCGACTCTGACTGGAACCCGCAGCAGGATCTCCAGGCGCAGGACCGGGCCCACCGCATCGGCCAAACGAAACCGGTCATTGTCTATCGGCTCGCGACAAAGGGAACTGTGGAGCAGACGCTGCTCGAGAAAGCGGATTCGAAGCGTCGTCTCGAACGTCTAGTTATCCAGAAGGGCAAGTTCCGGAGTCTGTTGGATCCGGGTAGCCTTAGCTCCAATGATGTTGATGACTTGAAGAAGGCGCTGGGACAGGATGAATATGAGACTTTTGAGGCTGGAGCGGATCCAGCCACTTTGCTGTCAAAGAAGGATTTGGATATTCTGACTGACCGGAGTGAGGAGGCGTATGTTCGTGCTGAGAAGGGGTTGGATACTACTGGACGGGCTTTTATGGCTGTCGAGACGAAGAGAGATGGGGACGGTTTGATGGCGCAGATCATTGGGAAGTAATCATTCTTTCCTCTTTTTTCTTTTTCCGTATCTTGGTTCTCCTCGAGTTCTCTTGGTTTTTCAGTTCTCATGAAGGCGGGCGTTTAGGCGGTTTGTGCCTATCATCATCAAACATTTTGACCTACTTACTATGGGGTGGGCGTCAGGTCACGGAAAAACGGAACCTAGGCTAGGCCTATAGGGCGTTCTTATTATGTACTGTACATTAGATAGAGGGGGTGACTAGAAGAGGAAGAGGAAGTAATAGGCGGGTAATGCGAGAGCAAGTCCAAATCGAGGGACTTCGATGGGTTGGGAGCAAATCACACCTCTAGTGAAAGCGAAGCATGTATGAAAAATGAATAAAACACACGAGACACGAATCGATCCATTAAGCGCCTGATGCTCCTCGCCAAGAAAATGGCTATACAACGACAACAACACAATAGAAAAGCTCGTGAGCGAACAAAATCCTCACGGCGAGTGAAGAAAATACCAGAAACAACCCAGGTGAAAGTATATTCAAGAAAATTGGATCAAGGACGGGAGAAGATGAGTCGGGCGAGGAATAGATTAGATGATTATCGGGACAACTTTGCCTCTTCGACCTGTGCCCGCAGATCAGAGAGCACTTCCTTCCGTTGCGCCAGATGGCTCTTCAATCCCTCGACCTGCTCGCCAACGGTCTTGACATCATCTCTGAGACGTTCTACGTTCTGGCCGTCTTTGGATCGGCCTGCGCCTTCACGCAGCTCCCGTAGCTCCCGCTCCTTGTACTCCAGCAGCTGGAGTGCTTCTTTCTTGATCAACACCCAGTTGGGCCGACCGTCGTTTCGAGGTCGATCGCGTCGGCCTTCGGAGGCCTTCCTAGCGGAATCCAGCTTAGACTCCATTTCCGCCAGCTCGCGCCTCAACCGGACCTTCTCCCACTCTTCATCCTGGATGGTGTCGCTGAAATCTGTTCCCTTGGGTGTATAGGAGGTCTTTCCTCCAGCACCCAACCGACTCAGATAGGTATCTCCGAACTTGGCCTTCCGGCCTGTGAGGGTCTCCGTATCGCCGCTTGCGCCCCATTTCTGGGCGGGACGGGCATTGTCGACTTGGTAGTCAATATGGTTGTTCTCGAATGAAGCGCGCAGAGACGCAGGAATGGCGCGGGGAATGCGGAAGCCCTCGTGGCGGTAGTTGAGCATATGCAGAAATGCAAGGGTAGCGTCTTTGTTGATGGTCGGGGATGCAGAAGGGTTGACCAAGTTCCATGCAGAGCGGATGTCCGTGTCCGGGACGTCGAGAGAGTCGTAAAGAGGCTGTAATGATTCGACTATACAAGACCGCATCATGTCAGTTTCATGGCTCGGGAGGTAGAAGTTGGGGGGTAGCTTGAACCCGGACATACATGAGATTTCCCCGCGGCGGTTTTTGTTCGCGAGATAAATTTCTTCATATTTAGACTTATCAGACGGGTTCATGTACCATTCAAACCCATCTTTCAGGCCGGGAGTATCGTCCTCGTCTTCTATCCGCTCGAACTGCTCCGGACGACCGCTCAGGGCTCGGGTCGCATGGACTAAATGAGCTTTGGATTCGGGCACGAGCCAGTCCGGCAGGACGTTTGGGACTGCTTGTAATTCCTTTGCGGGTTGGATACATTAGCATGGAACGTAATGGTGTGGGGGATCATTGAACTGCCGAAGCGGGCGGGAAAGGAGACATGCAGCACCAGGAGGGCCGGGAGGCGCCGCAGTAGGGGAGCTCACATACCCCGTTCACAAGGTCGAACACCAATCGCATGGCAACACAGAACTCCTCAAAGTCTAGTTCGCCATCGCCGTCGACATCTGCCAGGTCCCAGACCTTTTCCAGTTGGTCATCACGAAGCCGACTGTTCCTGAGTACCGAGGCCGCTTGGGAGTTGTTCAGACGCGGCTGGCCGCCTGCCAGCGATGCGAAGATCTCCCAGTACCGTTCGATTTCCCACTGCTCGATCTTCTTGGTTGACATGATTGGAGACGAAGTCGCTTGTCGACTTGGGAATTGAGCAGGACACCGAGCAATGGGAGACAAGAGGTAAGAGTGAAGGAAGGGAACAGGATGGGGGGAATCAATGGGGGGGAAGATGTTTGGCTGGATTGCTGGGCGTCATCCGGTTCGGGCGTCCCGCAATGGCTCCGCTGGTATTGCCGGAACAAGTTAGTTCCGTTCAGGTACTCCAGTTATCGACTTTATCGAGTTATCTAGATAGACAGTGAATAGCTTCAAAACTGATATTTATGAAGTGCTTCTCGAGTCGCGTGCTTTTCATTATTTTGCAAAATCGTCTAAATACTTCCTATCACTCTAATCGGGCGTGTGCTTCCAAGCCCCATTCGCCATGCACCATTTACAAACACTATGTACTGACTTGACCTCGGAGGACCTGGGGCAGCCATGGGGGCCCTGATGGATGCCATGTAGGAATCCCACTTCTGGGAGTCACAAATCTCATGCACATTCCCATTACTCATGTATCTTTCTTTTCGGAAGCCCCATCCTCACCATCTTTCTTCGCTTCCGCCTTCAGCTTTTCCTCCACCTGTATAATGGCTCTCTCAGCTTCCAACGCAAGATCCGGCGCCTCGAGTATCGAAGCTAGTTTCTTCGCATCTGTCATGCGGAGAAGTAATCTGTCGTCGCTCTTCTCAACGTCCTCTACCATCTCCGAAATGGGTTTATCCACCCCCGTATTCTCCAGTGCGTAGGATACGCGCTTTGCGTACAGTTCTTCAAGCCCAGGGTATGATATAGGATTCAGGATATCCTTCTCTAGAAGAAACTCTAAATGTTTGGAGCCGTTGAGTGCTTGGAATAGTCAGTCCTCGAACTGTCACGGGTAGGAAAGAACCGGGGGAAATCATCTTACCGCGTCCATGGGACCATGCTCGGTATACGAGATAGAAGAAAGGGACATTAGGTATACTATATCACAAGTATGGTTATGTGATTAGCATATGTGGGTAAAGCAAGTCCATGAGATTAACGTAATCCAAGAGGGCTCCTTACAGAGGAATAAGCCCAACGGGAGCGGTCAAGGGCGTCGCAAGCAAGCTCAACCACATCCTTCGGCGATGCAGGTCCTGTCTCTCCGTCGCGATTGCTTGCAGCATCTTTTGAAGCTTTTCCGGTCGAATAGCATTTCCTGGGAAAAGTACGTCCACTTTCTTGGTCCCGTAGGATTCATCAAGTCGCCGCACCGCTGCGAGGGATGGGATACTTTTCAGACCCCATTCTTGATACGGGATGCGTTGCTGCACCCGATTACCCCAGGATACTAAATGCTTCTTCCACCCCTTATCGGCCTCCTCCCATTTCGCCCACGTTTCTGCAGCCTTTTGTATGACCCGATCATGTATCGAAGGCTTCTGCGACGGACCACGGCGGAGGGGTCGAGCGTAGATTAGAGCTTGTCGCGTCGAGATAGGGATGACGAAGAGTCGCATAGCAACTGAGGAAGGGATGCGTTTTGTGTGATTATTATGAATGCCGTGGCGTGTTTCCAAGGATCAGCGACAATGGCTGATTTGGGCAAATTTGGGAGGCAGCCAGGGAGAGCTAGCGATCGACTAGAGAAAATAACCGATTCAAGGGCGTATATGAAAGTGGCATGCCTTTCCTGTCTGTTTGAGGATATGCGAAGGTCACGGGGCCTGAATTGGCTTTTTTGAGTGGTAAGTAGTTGTTACCGTTCTGTGAGTTGATATCAGAAAATGAATAAAGGTAGCGGGAGATGGATGCGTGGAGGTAGCCGGACCATTAATTGGCGGCGGTGATGATGATGATGCTTTGCTTAGTTGCATCTCAGACGTCATTCAGCTTACTGTTGTGACGGTATGCGTGACACTGCATCTGCCAAATATATGGAGAATCGTTGACTCCAGGCTGTACGGTAAGGTAAGTGCTAGGTGTACCTGGCTGTAAGTTACGCAGCTAACCGGTTGGGGCTTTAGCTCCCCCAGCTAAGATTACAGCCCGGACGAATTACTACGTAGGCTTCCATCATCCAAATTTCTTGAAACCAGCCTCCCAGCCTTTCGCTCTCTTTTCCCCTCCTTCTGCGCGCGGCGGCCGACTTCAGCTCATTGTCGCTCTGTTTCACCCGTCCTGCTCTTCTCTCGATGAGCCTATCTCTCCCAAGGGCCAAGGCTTCTCAAATTTCAGTCAAGCCCGGTGCCCGCTAATCTTCCGAGGGACATTGAGGCGATGCAGACTAGATCCGCGGCTTGCCCCCAGCTTCCGACCCGCCGACGCACCTTCGCCTGGAACCACCGCTGAACTGTACGGCAATGGCACACGATGTGCGCGACTCACATTTGCAGCCTCCGGATGCCGCTCCGCTCTCCGACGAACAGCTGTCGGAGCAACCATCCGCTACCGAGTGGATGTCGGCGCAATCAAACCATTCGACTGGCGCGCTCCACAGCGACAACGATATCGTTCACCCACATGATGCAGTAGACTACTCGGCTGGACACTCACGTTCGCCAGAGAGTACAGTCGTGGGCGAATTCGACAACATCCCGGCAATGGGGAAGAAACCTCGGACTTTACCAGGTGAGTTTTCCTTTGTGTCCTGACCGATCTCGGATCCACCGGGTGAAGTCAGCTAACCAACGATAACCTGTATAGCATGGATCCGTTCGGTCGAGTATACGGAGGACGAGGCAGATGCAGCTGTCACAGATCGGCTGCTTCCATCACAGCCCGGAGAAGCCGTTGTCGCCCAGCACAACCATTCGCCGTATGCGGCATCAAGACCTACCCTTTCGAGTGGACAGGGCGAAAGTAGCAGAGGTATCATCGGACGAGAGCGCGAGTCGCGCTGGAAGAACTTTTCCAGGGACATCGCATATCCCCGAGAACAAGGAGTTCAAGAGAAACCCGTCACGCCGGACTGGTTGAATGAGAACCTCGGTGATTATTCTGAACCCTGGCGAGGTCAGGGCGAACCGGATGAAGATACCGAAGACCCCTTGAGGATGAGACGACGACGAGAAATCTGGTTCAAGCGCTTCCACAACACGCTTCTCAAGAGTCCTATGGTCCCATTAATCTTTCGACTTACGGTGTGGTGTTTTTCCCTCACTGCATTGGCTCTTGGGGGCTCTATCCAGCATCTCTCAGGGAAGTACCAGCATCCCCAAGGCCCCTCTGCGCTAATGGCAATTATCGTCGATGCGGTTGCCTTGGTCTACCTCGTTTACATTACATTTGACGAATACACATCCAAGCCGTTGGGTCTTCGCTCTCCATCCGCCAAGGCACGACTCATTCTTCTGGATATCTTTTTCATTGTATTCGACTCCGCCAATCTCAGTTTGGCGTTCGAATCACTCTCGACTGTGAGGGGCGCATGTACAATGGCTGAAGTGAACCAAGAAGTTGCGCCGAAAAACGACGCAATATGCGACCGGCAGATCGCCCTAGCTTGTGTGCTGCTGATTGCGCTGCTAGCCTGGCTCACCACCTTTTCTATCAGTGTCCTCAGGTACGAGAGTCTGCCATGTTACACAGATGACGATACTGACAGCTTCGATTTAGACTTGTCGAACGAGTTGCTTCATGAAGTTGCAGCTCTACAGTATACCTATCCCTCGCTTCTTCATTTCTCTATTATAGTCCCTCTGGGGCATTTTTATTTCCCCCCTTTCACCACATTAATACCCAAGTTGCTTTTCCGGTAGTTCTTTTCCTTCTCCTTTCTTGGCTTACCCCTTTCAACATCTTTCAATTTCTTCGCATTCCCCCGGTTACTTTTACTTGGCGCTATATCCTTGCTTCGTGAGCTTGCTTAATTATGGAGTTTGTGTCTTTTGTGGTGGTCGGTTGGAGTCTCAAAGCATTGGGTCGGGAAGGGGAAAATCTGATTTCTTTTTTTTTGGATTACACGATCACTGTGCATATACGAGAAGAACATTATGTACATATGAGACTTTATGGTAAAGAATCCACGGCCGCTATTATCGTTCGAAATCCATCCCAAGGAATTTTTCAGACGTGCAGCACCGGCCCATCCTGCCCACACAAGGGGTCGCTGTGGAACCAACTCAAGGCATGGATATTCCGGGAAACCTTGTCTTCCTCCCTTGAGTCACCATAGCACATGTCCCATTGTTTCTGGGGCGGATAAGCGCCAACCATCTGGAAAGGGTCACCCTGGTTAGAGCCGAGCTCCTCCAGCAGCCGGTGGCCGACGCCGGCGGGCACGATAGTCAGATCTCCTTTTTCGACGGTCGGCTCAAAGCGTTCGGGGTTCGCTTCCCCACCGAAGCAAAGCCGTGCACGGCCGGAAACCACACCCAGTACCTCGTGAGTGGTGCTGTGGAAGTGCGTTTGACTGTACATGGAATAGACCCACTGTGGTCTGACCTCGCCAATTTCCTCCAGGTGCGTCGCGAGATCGCTAGCGGACGCGTTAAAAGCTTTGTGGTAGAGCAGGAGTGGCTTAGACTGGATCGAGGTGTTGGGGATGCCACCCCATTTGGGGATCTGACGAGAGGTCACGGAAATTTCTGAAGGAGGAGTGAACGACATGGTTGATCGAGTCTAATCACGACCATATGTTCTGTCTTATCTTTTCTATATTAGTGCACAAGCAACCGGAGTTATGGTGGTTTTGTTTTCTAAGGCCTCAAGATCAGTTCGTCCGTAATGAGTATATGTGACGTCATTGGTACTGCTTTGCCCCCTGCGAGGGACGAAGAATGCATGACAGTTAGCATTTCGTCACGCAATGAGCTGATTGTCTCGCATTCAAACGTGTCATTGCTGCCAGGAGATCCTAGATACGTCTTTCTAACGGCGGGAAGATGTGTCCAGTCAGATCAACGCTGACTGTGTGACAGATGGACATCTTTCGGCGGTGGTCAGGTAAAAAAAAAGGTAGGCGGTTACGTAGCGGTTGATCCAAGGGTCGGGTCCCGTGCCAGCCTACCCAAAGGGGTGTTGGGATTGCATCTGGGGGAGATCTTGGGGAAAGATATAGAGCTGGACGAGCCCAGAATGTAACACGATGCTGAAGACACCTGGAATGAACCTTCAAGTAGCCAAAAAGAAAGAATTACTCACAAGTACTAGTCTCGATCATCAGCAGGGTGGCCTGGGGAATCTAAATCTAGATCGTGAAGACTTGACCGCCTGCCGCAAACAGCGAGTAAACCCCCCTCCTCTGTTGGAGGAACCTCCACTAACTAACTTACTTAGTAACTAACCGCCAACCACCAGCCATCATCATCTTCCCCCATCTTAGTTCTTCCGCCCAACCGCCACGCCCTCTGCCTGCTTCAGTTCTCTTGCTCAAATCATATCTCCTCCCGCCTTCGCTTCTCTGCCCTCCCCACCCTCTTCCCTCTCTCTCCCCCCCCTAAGGCGCGTCACTACCTAGTACTCTAGTCCCGGGCATTTGCAGTGCAATCCTCGTGGCTCGTTCCCCGAACTGTCCCTTTGGGTAGTCTCCCACAGCGCGCCAGCTTCTCTTCTGCCTTAACTGCTAGGCTGAGGTCCCGAAGCTGATATTTAGACTCATCACCGCTGCCTTAAAACTTAGCCGCCCACCGCTCATCGTGCGGTCACTCATTCTATCCGTGGGACGTTGAGGCAAGCTCCGTGTTCCCTTTCAACCTCACATGTCTTTGTGTCTGGTCGCTGTCGCCTCCTTGTCCGTTATTTTGTCCCATAACGAACCCTCCCATCCGCCCTGACTCTCTTGCTTAAAAGGAGTCGGTTATAATTCGCACAGGCTAATGCTGTCCCGTTTACTTCATAGACCTGTGCTCAAGGCTCGAACACGATTATCTATAGCTCGCAGAATGCCCGCTCTTATCCCTCAAACCCCTCACAAGGATGATCTGGATGAAACGTGAGTCCTTCCCCACTGGGCGGCCGCTCTTGTCAGAGGGATCCAATAGCGGCTTCGGTCGGGATCATGGCTGACGTGCGCAGATGGACGTTCCTAGAGAAGGGCATCGACAGCGTGATGCTCAAGTTGGAGGAAGGTGTGGACATGAAAACTGTATGCTGTTCAGCGCTCCTTTCCTGGCTTCCCCACCAGGTCCTGTCGAGCTGGATGGTTTGCTGACATACATCATTCTCGTTCTAGTACATGGCCCTGTATACGTATGTCCATGTCCCGAGGCGTCTCTCTCGTGCCTTTATGTATTGGCTAACCTGCAGAAACAAGCGCGGTCCACAACTTTTGCACGTCACAAAAGGCTATCGGCAGTAGTCAAAACATAAAGGCGCATCATGGCGGTCGGTCACAGCCATATAGATTCTTGAGTCTCAGAAACCCACAGCTGACGCCATCACCAGCACACCTGCTAGGAGAGGAACTGTACAAGTTGCTCGGGGAGTACCTCTCTCGTCACCTTGACGCGGTATACAAGGAATCCGAGGGCCATGCGGAAGAAGCCCTGCTGGGATTTTACATCCGCGAGTGGCTCCGTTACACGACCGCGGCTAAGTACATCAATCATCTTTTCCGGTATTTGAACCGTCACTGGGTCAAGCGGGAAATTGACGAAGGCAAGAAGAATGTATACGATGTGTATACCTTGCACTTGGTCAAGTGGAAGGATGACTTTTTCATGAAGGTCCATGAGAAGGTCATGGAAGCGGTGCTAAACTTGGTCGAGAAGCAGAGAAACGGCGAAACTATCGAGCAGTCTCAGATCAAGAGCATTGTTGACTCCTTCGTCTCCCTTGGCTTGGACGAGAGCGATTCCAGCAAATCAACCCTGGAGGTCTATCGGTACTACTTCGAGAAGCCCTTCATTGACGCCACCAGGGTTTATTATGAGAATGAATCACGCCAGTTTGTCGCAGAGAACAGTGTTGTTGAGTACATGAAGAAGGCGGAGGCTCGTCTGGACGAAGAAAAGGCCCGCGTGGGCTTGTATCTGCACCCCGATATTTCTAAGCACCTCACTGACACATGCCTGGATGTGCTTGTTACCGCTCACTCAGAACTCTTGCGGGACGAGTTCCAGGTCTTGCTGGATAATGAACGCCAAGAGGATCTGGCTCGGATGTACCGACTCTTGTCTCGCATTAAAGACGGTCTGGATCCTCTCCGCACGAAGTTTGAGGCCCACGTCAGGAAAGCAGGCTTGGCTGCCGTGGAAAAGGTTGCCGCCGATGGCGAATCCTTTGAGCCCAAGCTTTACGTCGATGCACTATTGCAGGTGCACACCCGGTATCAGAGTCTGGTAAGCGAAGCCTTCAATGGCGAGTCAGAGTTCGTCCGGTCTCTAGATAATGCTTGCCGTGAGTTTGTAAACCGCAATAAGATCTGCAAATCTGGTTCGACGAAGACCCCAGAACTACTGGCCCGGTACACCGATTCACTTCTCAAGAGGGGCTCCAAGGCAGCGGAGGAGTCTGAACTCGAAGAAATGCTGGTGCAGATCATGACCGTCTTCAAGTACATTGAAGACAAGGATGTATTCCAGAAGTTCTACTCCAAGATGCTGGCTAAACGTCTCGTTCACGTCAGCTCGGTCTCTGACGATGCGGAGACCAGTATGATTAGCAAGCTTAAGGAGGCGTGTGGATTCGAATACACCAACAAGCTGCAGCGTATGTTCCAAGATATCCAGATCTCAAAGGATCTCAACGCCAGCTACAGAGACTGGCAGGAGAAGATCCTCGACGATGACGATCGGAGGAAACTGGTGGACTCACACTTCCAGATCCTGGGAACTGGGTTCTGGCCCCTTAGTGCGCCTTCGACTGACTTCCTCGCGCCACCGGAAATCGTCAAGACTGCTGAGCGGTTCCAGAGTTTCTACTTTGACAAGCACAACGGCCGTAAGTTGACATGGCTTTGGCAGCTATGCAAAGGTGAAATCAAGACCAACTATATCAAAAACACCAAGGTTCCGTACACGTTCCAGGTGTCAACCTTCCAGATGGGTATTCTCTTGCTGTTCAACGAGCATGACACTCTGTCCTACGAGGACATCCAGAAGGCCACATCCCTTGCTCCCGAGATCCTTGACCCGAACCTCAGCATCTTCCTGAAAGCCAAGGTGCTCACTATAAACCCTGAGGGATCGAAGCCAGAACCTGGTACATCCTTCTCACTGAACTACAACTTCAAGAACAAGAAGATCAAAGTCAACCTTAACATCCAGATCAAGTCTGAGCAGAAGGTAGAGTCCGATGATACGCACAAGACGATTGAGGAGGATCGGAAGCTGCTGCTTCAGGTATGTCCCCTGCAACCTCGTCCCATTAAAGAACCTCCAATGTCGCTAACATGTGGGTATTAGTCCGCCATTGTCCGTATCATGAAATCTCGCAAGAAGATGAAGCACGTGCAGCTTGTCCAAGAAGTGATCCAACAAGTCAAGTCACGTTTCCCTCCCAAGGTTCCCGACATCAAGAAGAACATCGAAGCACTTATGGAGAAGGATTACATAGAGCGGCTGGACGGTGATGAGATCGCCTACATCGCATGATCCCCCTACAACCCAGTTTCTCCATTTCCTCCCCCCATCCTTCTCTTTCTCTGGCGGTTCCCTCCCTCATCATGGATCAACATCACACCACATCAACCATCATCTCAAATGTCCTGTTAGCGCGGTAGCTTCCTTATTCTTATACTAGTCTTCTTTCATCTTGACTCATATTGTCCCAATGGCACATCAAGGAGCGGCGGATGGGAAACGTGTTTTTCTTTTCTTTCACAGCGCTGCTACGACAAATGATAACCCAGACATACAATTAGACTGGATCCCACTTTCCACTTTTCTTTACCAAGTCCCTACTTCATCTAAAATCATCTAGATTGCAATTGAAACCGAGCTGGGCAACAATTGCGTAGTGATCAGTAGATTCTATACATTAGATTTCATAGTATGTTAAAGACTGCCATTCATTATATAGACCGTACTACCAAGGAGTAACCTGTGAGTGTGTAATGCGACAATGATATTATGTATGATTTGGTATCAAAACACTATGAGCGTTATCTAGCTCCTATGCTATTACTATGTATCAGTTCACATGATGGGGAGAGAGCATACACGACATTGTGATAGATGGCATGTCATATATACAGGCATTATTTGTGTCCTCTTCGGGTATCAAGAGCTCTCGATGATAATAGACAAGAGCGGGTGAGAGGGTGGGTTCCCAAGAAAAAGAAGCCTGTCGTGACATAAAGCGGAAGGCGTACATACAGGATTAGAACAAGGGAGAGAGAGAGAGGGAGGTGGAGGTTTGCTCCCCTGTTATCAAAATCGAGTAGACACAAGCACGGGAGCACATCGACGAATTGAATGTCTTATTTCTCGGCATGTGGCTCGATTGGTTCCGGAGACACTTCCTTGATGTCAGGAGATGGTTGCAAAAGTGTAGTAGGAGCCTCCGCTTGGTCTTCCGGTGACTTTGATTTAGAGGTTTCGGGTTCATCGGAAGATGGCGACTTGTTCGTACCTTCCGCTGCAGTGGTGGGTGTTGACTCGTTAATTTCCGGTGCGGAGTGAGTTGTGGGCTCAATAGGCAGTTGGGTTGATTCTATCGCCGGGACCTCGTCATCGTGCACCGACGAAGCTGTGCGAGACAAGGGTGATCTCGAATACGTGTCTTGTTCGCCATTGTTGCTGCTCTCGTCGTCCTTTCGGTAGGCGGAGCTGAACTCCCCGCTCTCCCGCCGCAGGAGGATATTGCTCCACCGCTTTCTTCTGCTTCCACTGCGAGAGATAGTGGAGTCTTCACTGCGACGAGACTGCATGGACCGCCGCCTTCCTCTGTCCGCCTCGCTGGCTTCTGTGATGCTATTTAGAGCCGGAGCAGATGGCGAATTGACGGAAGTTGGTGATGCCGGCGTGTTCTTCTTCTCTTGCCATTCCTTCCGCTTCTCACTGGCCCAAGAACCCCAGGAGCTGAGATAAGCACCTGCCTTCTGGCTTGCTGCACTGACGGATGCCTGTGCTTGGGTAAGGTCGACAGCAGGAGCTTTACGCGCAGAGAACCAGGAAGCACCGCTGGTGGAGTGTACCGATGCGGTATCGGAAGGTGAAAATGGAGGAGAATTCCGCGAGCCTTTATCCAAGGATGAACGTTGCGACTGGGAGGCTTTTTCTTCATTCTTTTTGCGTTGGGCCTCCCTCATGGATTCAATGTCCGCCCAGAAGCTGTTGAATGCCGCGCTCACTTTCTTCTGTCCTGTGGAAATGTGCCTGTTCAGAGCCTCGCGGCTTTCGCGGACCCTTTCGTCTAAGTGAAGCTCCGCGACTTGTTGAGACAAACGTCGTTGGACGTCATCAATGGTGAGCCCTCCTGCGCATGGATGGCGAGGCTCAACGATCGAAAAAAGAAGCGCATCAGAGGTCAGACGCTTGAACAGCGAATAATTCGGCGTGTTCCTCCACTGTGCCAAGAATTCGGAATTAAATTCCAAAGCCGGGTCTCCCTCGATATTGAATGCTTCTAAATGAGCACGGCTCCTCCGACCTAACTCGTCGGCATTCAAGGAGTTGAGCTCTTCGTGATACTGCATGCAAGCGAGGAGCGCCAAAAGGTATTCTTCGAATTGCAGTCTGATGAATTCCTCCGACCCCATGTATCCGTGGGTCTTAGGCTGCTCTGGATGGGCCTCATCCCATGTGTCGTTGATGATTTGGGTGAGAAGGTCGATCCAGCGCCGGTCTGCGACAGAAAGTGCCAAGGCATTCCGGAGGGTGGGGGATGAGATATTAATGGTATCTTCGTCAAGCTAAGGAGATAAGATATTAGCAGGGAAATTGTAGAAGCGTCGAAATTATTCTCACATTAACTAGTATGTCGCTATAGCGATCTTTTTGCTGTAACAGTAATGAATTTGTCGAGCCGACGACATACGACTTTGTTCCATAATCCGCTAGCAGATCCAGCTGCTGCAATGGCGTGTAGGGCCCGAACATGCTTCCCTAGATAATGTTAGAAGCGCCTAAGCTCTACAAGTGGTGTTTAACAAACCTTGCCGAAAATCTGCAGAGGTAGGCCCATATATGCCAGTACTGTAACACTATTAGTATGAAAGTGGTGGAGAAGAAGATGAAGAAATCAGATGACCTACATGAATTCCTATCGCTCGTCTTGAGGGACGTTGGCTGTTCAACAGTCTGTGCATAGGTGTCAAACGCTGGATCAGCACAGTCCTGTAGCTTATTCAAGAGCCCAGGAATTAGAGAAACGAGAGAGAACTGAATCATGCACAGCCGCTCGCATCGGGAGCCGAAGAAGAGCATCTGCGTAACATTAGTGTGTGATGTAGGCCACTGTGTCGGGCATACGCTTACCTTCGGCTGTAGAAGCAGAGCCTTGAAAAGAACCAAGGTTTGATATTTGAATTCATGAATCATCTCCCGCAGGGAAAGACCTTGATACAAAACGTCAATCATAGGAACGCGCAAGCAAATTGCAGGTCAGTCATACCTAGATTTTGGTCTTTTGACCCCTCATCCTTCCTCAGACTGATCACGAGACCTTCTCTGAATTTCTACCAGGGTGTGAGTAACGGTCGAGGCAGACTTCTATTTAGGAACGCACCTTTAGAATATCGATATCCGAAAAATCACTGTTAATGCTGTGTCAGCTAAGCCACCCCAGGATATTATCCGGCGGACTATTGTCCAATAGCAAGGGAGAGCAAATGGCCCCAAGAATTGGCGTCGGTTGATAGACATACCGCTGCGCAAACCAAGCCGAAGTCACAACAGACAGTTTCTCCCTCAGTTGTCCCAGGCTTCGAGGGTTATCCGTCACCACAACCACCGCTTTTTGAACCGTCGATCTCGTAACATCCGGGGGCCTATATAGGAGAAGGTTCGAATCGATCTGTCTAGAACAGGAGATGCCAAAGAGCGAAGTCGCCGGTTCGGTAGGAGTCTCCTTCCGCCGCACGGTGAAGTACGAGAACTCTTCGGTGGACCTAGAAGGCACAGCGTGTGTCAACGCAGCTCAGAGCGATTCCTCGGTAGTAGTATGGATTCACGAGGGAGGGATAAGACAATTCGGGTCGTACATATGCGCTCCATCAGATAAGGCCATAAATGGTAACAATGACCAGTCATTCTCCGCTGCAGGATCGCTTCCATCGTCTCCAACGCATAACTCTATTTCGGGACCCCTGGCAGAGTAAATGAATGTATGGTTAGCAAATTTAGCTCGCGCCGCGGTGGATCATATGAGAAAAATAGAGTGAAACACAGGGAACAGAGATGAGGTACAGGTGCTGGTGCTTGACGCCGACCCAGTAACCGTTATAGCGGGGGGACGAGCACTAGTAGTAGTAATGGGCGTGCAATCGAGGAATGTTGATAGTGGTTTGGGTCCAAGCCACTCCGTAGCCTCCCTTCTGGAACATGTTCCCTGCCCCTCCTGGGCTTGCTTCAGCCGACGACGAGTCACTCACCTTGCATGGTGAAAATCTATGACCATGACAATGGGATCCTGACCACTGCGGATGCAAGACATGGCGTGGGGACGGTCATAGAAAACGGGGACTGGGAAGTGACACGTTCCAAGCCAATTTCCACCTTTTAGAAAAATAGGAGGAAGCCCCTCCTGTCTAGAAGAGAACCCAATAAAACGGACGAGGCCTCACGTGGGACGAGAGGGACGACAAACAATTAATGCAAGACTGGAGGAAGCGATCACTAGTCCGAGTCAGTCGGTAGTCTTGGAATTAAACTGGACCCCGACCAGGGGGGAAGCCAGCTGTTGGCAGATTGATCCAGATCCGCTGCAGATTGGTTCCCCCGGTCGGGCGGTGAGGGGAAGTTGGGGGGAAGAGACCGACTCCTTGGAAAAGGAGGGCCCCATACGCCCCGCTGGAAAGGCTCCCTCGGGATTAAGGTTGGCTATTTAAGGTGCTGATGGCTTCTATATAGGTTAGGAATTGAAGCCCTCTTCTTCCTCTTTAGGCCCACAAGGAAACCAGAAAGACCTCAACAATCAACCGTCATAACATTAATATGTTTTTCGTATTCGATTCTATGGCGCACATACGAAAATCCAACAAGTTTCCTCAAGAGACACACACACAATCTCTCACAGTAAAGAGAGAGGAACAGACACATCACACCCCAATACACTCAATTTAATCAAAAAGAGATTTATAACACGCATGCTCATCAATCGTGGACCAAGAAGAAGTGTATATATAGCATCAAGAATGGGTAACAAAAATAATTCAGTCGTGTTACAGACGGGTCCAATCTCCATTTCGTCCGACTCTCAGCGCGGGTGAAAATTTTCCAAAGCGCGGATCGTGTGTGAACGCCTGGAAGTAAGATTGGTGAAAGAGTAAAAAGAAAATTTGGGAAAGGAGTCAAAAGAAAGACCCGTTTCGGGCAAAAAACACCATATCACAGTCCCCGCTTCCAGTCTACATACCAAGAGAAATCGAAGGAATTGACGACGTCATAATCATATCGCATCGCTGCCTGCGCCTTGTCCATGGCATTATATTGTGGAACCTTTTCATGCGAAGGCCTGTTGTCCATCTGCGACTGCTCCTTCGACAAGCACTTGGCCAGCATCGTTGGCTTGATCAATGTTGTGGAAGTCAAGAATCTCCGAGTACCTACACTAGGTTAGCATTCAACACTCTAACAGCTCTAATTCGCAAAAACCCACATCATGATCTTCCAAGTATCCACCGGCAGGTCGGCGTCATTAAAGGACCAATCGAACTTCTCTTCCGCCACGGGTTCGTCGGTGGGGTCGTGGTAGGGGGCGAGATATTCATGTGCAAGCGCTTCGCCGGCACGGATCCGCTTCTTGGGGTCGAAAACTAGCATTCTCTCGAGAAGATCAACAGCTATGATGATGTTAGAGATTGGCCCAGCGTCGACTAATTTGACTATTGGCAATATACATACCGTCGGGGTCGGCATTCTTGAACTTGCTAGCCAAAGGTTGCCGTTCGCGTTTCGGCAGTGACTTAACAAATCGCAAAGTCTAACACGGTAAAATATTAGCGATATCTCATCGAAAGAGCAGGGTTCACAGTAGCGGAGAGTGGATGCTCACGTTCTCACTGCAGATGGTCTGAATAACGTCGTCCGGCGGGGTGCCCAAAAGTTCTGTAATAATCGAGAATTGGTTGACATGATCCTTTCCTGGGAACAGTGGCTTTCCCTCCAGCATCTCCGCAAAGATGCAGGCTGCACTCCAGATATCGACTTCCACATCGTATTTTTGCCATGTGAGCATGATCTCGGGAGCGCGATAATACCGGGTCGAGACATAGCCTGTCATTTGGGGGTCTTGAATACGGGCAAGGCCAAAGTCGCAGATTTTCAAATCACAGTTCTCGTTGATGAGGATGTTGCTCGGCTTAAGATCGCGATGAACGACACCGGCCGAGTGGACATATTTTAGTCCTCGCTGCGAATGGTCAGCGTACGCCAGGCGAAAGATCCACGATAGAAAAAACGCGGAAATAAATGACAGAATGGCGTACCAAAATCTGGTAGAGGAAATACTGAATGAACTGCTTTTCCAGAGGTCGGGAAGTGAGGAGTCTATGGAGGTCGGTTCCCAGGAGTTCCGTGACGAAATAGCTGCGGCGATCGTCAGAAAAACAAGGCAACTCAGTGACAGCTCGAAGCAGGCAAAGTTTCTTACATATCTTCGAGCGGAGAAATGAAGATATCACTGAGACTGATTATCTGCTCATAGTCAGCATTGCGGTACGGCGGATGGCGGACCGCCTTTTGGTGGGGGGATTTTGGCTGACATTTTCGTGTCGTAGATGCTTCAACAGTTTCAACTCGCGGTACGTTCTCTTGGACAGAACTGGTGTGCTAAACGGCTTCATAATCTTCTTGACGGCGACTGGCTGTCCTGTCAATTGATCCCTCGCAGAGCTGAATTATACCATGACAGGCGTCAGTCCATGTGCTGTTCGGGCGGGCCACAGAAGCCATCCGCGTGGCGGGCGAAATCCAGAAGAGGGGTTGTCGAACTTACCAGACAAGACCAAAAGCGCCCATTCCCACAGGCTGCAGGTCTGTGTACCTGCGAGAGAATGAGTAAATGGTCGATAGATCATACTGATCTTCTTTAAATCGTCAAAAAGAGTCGCACCTGCTTGTAATTTCGAAGGTTGTGCCGAAGATCTGGGCACGCACGAATTCCGCCATTTTGGAGCAAGGATGACGGTACACCGCACTCAAAGAGGGGGGAAGTGGGAGCCTCGGAAGCTCTTTCTCAGGAGATCTGGAGATTAAGAATGGAAGCCGAGAAAAAGAGACAAGAGACCGAGGGGAGTGAGGTGGGAGAGGTAGTAGAGTTGAAGGAAAAAAATGAGGGCAGTAGCAGGAGAGGCTAAAGTGAACAACGACAAGAGCAAGAATGAAATGCGGGATCTAGGAACGAGGTACGACTGGTTGTTGGTGGTGTTGGAGAAAAGAAAGAGGCAGCAAAAGACCGTAGGTGGCGCCCAGCAGGGTGTGTGGGGAAAACGAGTCTCTCTCTAGTAATTCCTACTAGTCCGTTGAGTTCTCAGTCAGTCTCCGGAACGCCCAAAACAAGACCGATGACGTCCGCGACGGAAGCAGGGTATCGCAGAAAGGTCCGGCTGAGTGTGGGCACAACTACTAAGAGCAGCTTTGCAATTCTTAATTCTTTTCTCTCTCTCGCCTACTACCGATCGACTAGTGCCACTGCGACTGTGACGCGGTCCTGTCTAGACTCTTGAGTCATACCCATTGGTTGGATTGGTTGGAAGAGGGTTCCAAATTTCAGGGAAGAGGCCCGTCACGCTTACCTAACAGTCGATGGGAGAATTTCTCCCCAGAGGGGCACTACTTACTATTATGGTCGGCATGTAATTGATATCTAGTTCTTACATTGAAGTCTTCTCTGATGGATCTCCTTACGATTCTCTGTATATAAAGAATTATCAATGCCCCGCGGGATCTACTAGAATCGATGCTCAAGCGCCAGCAACAGTCAATGGGTAAAACTTCTGACCATGAAGCTGACTCCTGCTCTATGGGTATAAAACATATGTTAGCTATCCAGAGGCTGGCGAGATTCTATTGTGTGAAACAGATACTTATGAGCTTGTGCAGTATACCTCAAAGGTCCCAAGTCAGCCCATTCAAACGGTCACTAGCTAACGGACTACCATCGCGATCGATCCGAATACTACTGAGTATGATTCCAAGAAGGCGTCTACTACGTAATGCCCAACCGGGGCGAACCATACCATCAGTCCTACTAGTCGAGTTAGCATCAAGCTGTGCTCCTCAATGTCATCATACCCCCTCGGTGGGGCTCAGCCGGTTCCAATCAATTCCACCAATTTCGTGACGAACAACCCATCATATTCTTCTGTCCACTGATAAAATTATATCTAACATGTCGGCCGAACAACGATCGTCTCATACACTCAACTTAGTATCCGCCAAAGCTTCTAATTCTGTCTAAGGGGGGACCCGGGGCAAAAAAAAGACGGAAGATGGGCAATTAGGTGATACTAACATTAGTACAGTAATCCGTGCTATGTATGGAAACTATATCCGGGTTTGTGTAAGGCTGTTCAGGCTGTCATGATGACCGTTTGACAGATTTCCCTTCCTATGCCAATATTAGCATCGAGGAGTTTCAGCACAGGAAATTTGCACGGGGTGCCAACGCAGCTAGTGCTCGGCCGAGGCCATGCTGCCTGACAGGAGGGGAGAGGTCTTAGGATGATTACTATATGCCGATACCACCTAATTTACCCGAGATGGTCCAACCCCATCATCACCTGCGCTCTGACCTTAAAAGCTGTTTCTTTCCAAACATAAAATGCTTAGTACACAAGACATCAAGTTCAGAGAAACGGTAAAAGTCCAGCTCTCATATCTGCAAGGAGTTGTTGCACAATGGCGGTACGTTTCGACAATGTGGGAAATACCACATGACACCCGCTTTGACACGGCCATCCCTGCTGAACTACAATAAACTGGTTTCATGTTGGCATGAAGAGAAGTAACGTCCTACAGCATGACCGTTCTATGTGAGGGGCTGCAAGGCTGATGCCAAAACATTGGATGAAGAGTTCCTGTCGTAGATTTCAATGTTGACAGTGTCTAAACCGATTTATTGGCTGCTTCTACATTCCTAGATATATGGTCTTCTGCATGTCTGATTTTCTAAGTAACAGTTAATACTAGTATGGATGCTGCAGTCAACATAAGTTAGCTCCGTTGGGAATGGAACGAGCGGGAGACTCGTTGGCATGCTACTACTACACGAGGTAACGTTTAAGCCAGGTAGGTTCATGAAGCCGCGTTCTATGTAACCTTGATTGTAGCCATCGAACGCGACCAACGGTGTTGGACAATGTGTATGCTTCTGAGACTGAAAATCAATCAGCATATACAAGCTGCAAATTGTTGTTGTTGTTGATATATAGACACAATTACAAGTCAGGCGTAATCAAATTTAAGTCGAAGCCTACTGTCACCTGTCCATGTCTTCAAAGTCGAGAAACGAAGATGTCCGTAATCGACGGGCAATGCTAGTAGATCCGAGCGCGAATTGCTGACGTGCTATGGTTATAAGCAGTCTGATCGCATTGACGTTGGAGTCCACCCTCAGCCTTCTTTCAGCCGCATACCGACGCTCTCGTGGTGGATTTTGCTGTTGTGTAAAGAAATGTTTGGGTTTTACCCCGCCCTCTTCTGTTACTACAGCATAAAACTCTGATGGGTACGAGAATAGGGAGCCATGACCATGTAACTATGGTGAGGGGAAGGAAGAGGGCTAGGGGTGTCTTTAGCTGTGGTAGCTTCAGCCAGTGTTTCATGTCCACATGGTTGTTGTCTCAAACCATTTCTCCGAACCAAGTACCTATTATTAACGCAGTATTCGAGGGCAGCGGGGGGGGGGGGGGGAAAGACGACTTCAAGACGGATACTAGTGTACTCCATAGTGAGAAAACGAGAAAACTTAGAATCAAGCCATTCATTTTCGGACACGTCCAAAACGATCATCCAGGACGGGATACTCTACAAGGGGCACCCCTACACTAGTACTCTCGATACGGTCGAAGAAAGCATGGCCATAAGATAAGTAGGTACTTTGTAGTGAATTGGGGGCTAAACCAATTCATATGGACAGGCCAGGAATACTGGGTTCTATTATGCTCAAGTGCAAAGTAGGTTGATAGGGATTAATGCTATTGGATGTAGCAACAAGTGACCAGGTAGCCTCATGAATTGCCCGGTTAGTCTGATGATCTTCTAAGCACAGTTTTCCACTCGGGTGCTGTTGTTAGCCACAGCCTCACTTCATGTGCTGCTGGATGAGATGATGCTCTGAAGGGTAAACGGAATGAGAAAAGATACTATCTATACGAAGAAGAAAAAACACAATAATTAACAAAAGAAGAAATGTATCATATCGAAGATCTAAGTATAAAGGGGATCGACACTCACTCCCTGCGTCAAGAAAATATGCGAAAAATGTTTGTTTGGATCATCAGGAGCACGGGGTACCACCGAATCGGCTCTAGACCAGATGTGACACAATACCATCAAGAGGGAGAGTCAAACCCTTCACTTGGGGTTTGTGGACGCACACAGTAGTAGAGTAGAGTTGGTTGGAGGAAGGGAAGAATAAAAGACACACGCTAAAATATTACGAGCGACAGAGAAAGCCTAGCTAGGCAAATTGAAGTGTGCCCTGTCTGGGCTGACTTGTTGTAACCGCTGCCACTGGCGTTTTGAGCTACTAGTAAGTTAGTCCCTTTTTTTGCCTCCCCCGGGCTGCCCACAAACTTGACCACAAGAATAGTACGTACTGTAGTAGTAGGCAAAGCGTGGGTTATTATTTTTTTAGGGGCAAATTAGAGAGGGTCTCAAAGAAGTAGGGAGTATTTCAGACATCCTTTGGAGAGAGAACTTTGGCCATCAAGTGAACCCGGCCATTGACATAAAAGATCGGAATAGTAGAGGGTATTATTATTATTGTTATTTATTATTATTATTATTATTTCGAGTGACTATTATACTTACAACCCCCAGATCGATCAGATCCATTCATCCATTCAAACCCCCATTTAGCGCCAGTGTCTTTCTCCTCTTTTTTTTTTCTCTGTCTCTTTCTCTCTCTCTCCCTCTTTCCAGGCTTTCTGTCTCGCTCTCACTCGCTCTCCCTTTATGCCTTTCACTTGCGGTAAGCTTGGGTCGCCCGGTCCACGTTTTTCCCAAATACCCACCCGCGCCCCTACGATCGAGCGAGTATGTAATCCTCCTCCGTCTTTCTGCCATCTCCACTTCCACCTGTCTAGATGACGATTGGGAAACATCCACAACTGGCCCATCGATCCCATCCCATCCCCATCCCATCCTCTCTCTACCAACCACTACGAATTAACCATCCATCAATCAGTCACATCCTACCATTCACCTCCTCCTCTTCCTCCCTCCACCCCCTCATTTTCCCTTTTTCTACCACTTAACGCACACGAACTTATTCTCCTTTATAATGACCAGTAATAATACCTAATTCCCTTTCATATTCACGCCCGCGCATTCTGCCCCCCCATCCCATCCCATCCCATCCCATCTCATCTCCTTCCTCCCTTAACTACCCGCCTGATTGATCGACCCGACCGACGACTGATCCCCATTGCTTACATTATCTCACTCGAGATCCGCGCTCTCATCCACTCTCCCACATCATCCCCCCCCCGATCGACTTTAACTACCCTTTTTAGCGTCAGGTCGTCATTCTCGCTCGCTTTCCTGCTCCGCAGTTAGACCTCTTGACACCCCTCACCACTCGATCAAACCTCCAGCTGAACCATCCTACTCCGCGCTTGGGCTCGGCGTCTTTTCGTTGCTTCGCTGTCTCCCCTGCTTTCTTTCCACCTCCTGCGTCACGAGCCAACACCTCCGTCCCCCGGGAGCTTGCAGTTGTCGTCGCCCCGGCCTTCCCCGTTTCGACCTCGAGCCGTCTGTTGTGGCTCTGCCTCCGGCCACTACGCGCGCAAGCCTCGATCCCTGATCGAACCCCATTGTCGATCGCATATACGACTGTCTCTCTTGCTCTCCCAACCCGACCGCAGCAGCGATATCCTCTCCCCCCATTGCGCCGCTCATAAACCTCCGTCCGCAATTACATCTGTCTGTTTTGGTCGTTGGAGCTGCCACTAGTCTGGGAATTCGCTTCTCCCGTCGGCGTCGGGTCTCAGCGTCCTGACAGGTTGATGCCGTATCCTTCCGCAGGCAGCTAATGGGTTAGCTTTCCGCTGTCTGGGAATCATACCGAGAACATGGGTTCGTGTGTGAGTACGGAGGCGACAGGAGATGCGGAGTCGAAGCGGAGGAGCCAAGCAATCGACCGAAAACTAGAAGAGGACTCTAGGCGACTACGGCGAGAGTGCAAGATCCTATTACTTGGTTGGTTGCAATCCGCTCATCCGGCTATACAGGAGTCGATGGGCTTTCAAGGTCAACTCTCGCTAACTGTGATCTCTTGTTTTGATCGTAGGTTCTGGAGAGAGCGGCAAGTCGACCATCGTCAAGCAAATGAAAATCATCCACCAAAATGGCTACACAGTCGAAGAGCTGGCTTTATATCGCCTGACAGTTTACAAGAACCTCCTCGATTGTACCAAATCTCTCATAGCAGCTTATCACCAGTTCTCACTAGAACCCTCGAGTCAAAAAGTCCGCGACTACATCCAATTCCTTTCCGATTACAACATTGACCCTGATCCCAATATACCCCTGGATTCCAAGGTCGGCGATGCGATAACGTATCTCTGGAACGATCCTTGTACTTCCAATGTGCTGGAGCATCAGAACGAATTCTATCTGATGGATTCTGCGCCATAGTAAGTGCTTGCGTCAATCGAGTCCTTCCACAAGCGCAGCCGCTGACCGAGTCCTTCTAGTTTCTTTCAGGAAGCTAAGCGGATAGCTTCCCCGGATTACATACCTAACGTGAATGATGTACTCCGCGCGCGAACAAAAACGACAGGTATATATGAGACGCGATTCACAATGGGCCAACTTAGCATACAGTATGATCTGTCCTCTCTTTGAAGGGTCGACCCCTGTTTCATCGACCACTTTCTGACTTGTCACATAGTATGTTTGATGTTGGCGGCCAGCGGAGCGAGCGGAAGAAGTGGATCCATTGCTTTGAAAACGTAACATCCATCATCTTCTGCGTGGCGCTGAGTGAGTATGACCAAGTATTACTGGAGGAGAGCAACCAGGTATGTCTCTGAGCACTCCAAATCGCCTTGCCTATGCGCCCTGCTGATCTCGGTTTCAGAATCGCATGATGGAAAGCTTAGTCCTGTTCGATTCTGTGGTTAATTCTCGATGGTTTATGCGAACGAGCATAATTCTTTTCCTGAATAAGGTCGATCTTTTCAAACAAAAGCTTCCTCGGTCTCCATTGAACCATTACTTTCCGGACTATTCAGGCGGTAATGACGTAAATCGGGCGGCCAAGTACCTTCTTTGGAGATTCAATCAAGTCAACAGAGCGCATCTGAATCTCTACCCTCAGTAAGTATTGATCAATCTTGTTCGTGTTGTATAGATCACTAATTCTCCACCAAGTCTGACTCAGGCCACCGACACGACGAATATCCGTCTAGTATTTGCCGCTGTAAAGGAAACAATACTGCAAAATGCCCTCAAGGATTCGGGTATTCTGTGAAATAGCCATCGTTCGATGAGCAACCAGACCCGGTTTAGGGGGGCTTCCATCTCGATGACAATGTCCGCTCATTACCGAGATTCTCCACTTTGGCGATTGCCTATGTTGTGTAGAGGCCGACCTATCTGCCCTCTCACTAGTCCAATTTTCCGGCCCCGGTCTTACTGACGAACCTCATTTCTCTCTGAAACCTCGACCCTTCCGATTTGCACCCTATTCGCAGCTTTGGCGTTCGTTATCTTTCGATTTTCTTTGTTCATTTGTTTCACCACATTGTGTTCAGTCGGTAGGCATCGGCGTTACGGTGCTAAGTTGACCTCACAGTTCAATGTGCCTGGCGCTGGGTTGGTTCATGGTCATTGGAATTTGTGGCATGGTGTCAATTTTCTTTTTTCTTTTTCATTTGTGATCATTTCAGGATGATATGTTTCTTGGGGCTTTTCTATCTGCATCGGCCATAACAGTCCACGTCCAACTTCTCGGGCTGACCATCAATCCATAAGCTCAACATCTTCAAGACCAGGAACAGCAAGCTACTGGCCTTGGCACTACTTTCTTTGCACGTGGACTGCGCAAAGCCTTCTGATATCCTGTCTCATGCCTCGGGGATTTCCTATAACCCTTTTCGTTTCTTTCCCCATGATCTTTGACTCTGCATCTAATGGCGATCTCTCTTTACACACTATCCTAATCTTCTATGCTATTGCTCGGCATTTTACTTTCCTCGTTGCTCTCGTCCCGTCTATACCACGCAGCTTGTTGTAGCGATCCTATGCATGCAATTGATCTCTTACCCATGAAATGCCACCGTGCCCTTTGTACAGCGATATTGCCCATCGCGAGCGGAGTGGTTCCATCAGATGATGCTGTAACGCGTGCTGCTTACTGTCTTGAAGTCGGTGCTGCTTCCTTTGACGTTCTCTTACCCGCCCGAAAAGGCGAGCATATCTAGGCAAAGGCCCAGTCATGGCCAATGCCTTCAGGCACAACCACCGTCTTAGCCGGTGGTTAGAAGTGGGCCAGGCAAGTCGCAGCGCTGTTTACCGGGCGTGTGTAGGTATGCAAAGCTACGAGCGCCGCTCATCTTGGTTCCTTTAGTTAGTTCATGGAGCCAATCAAGGGGACATTGGAGAGGGCTTGCACCGTGCGAGGGTCATGGGAAACGCATGGCTCGCGCGGAGTTCTTCGAGCTCAGACCGTCGATCCTAGCGCTCGAATGAGATGATGGATGGGCAGGACGTTGATGACCCGCCGATCGGACAGGAAGGTTGCAGTGCGGGGGTGGGGATGAGGCCGGAGATGGACTGGACCCGGAGGACTGAGCTGCGGCGGCGGACGGTTAGATTGAAAGAGCTGTACTCTGTAGAAAGGAAGATGCAATCAAGAGGGAAAAGAAAAGAAAAAAAAAGGAACAAACACATGTAGATTGATCCCAAAGGTAGTTTCACCTCTGTAATAGTTCTGGCGATCAAAGGAAAGTAGCAATTGGGAGGAGTAAGTTATTCTAAGACAAGAGGACTCGTGTACGGTATCAATACACAGTCAAGTCACCAAGTCTCAGAGTCAATCCTCCAACTAGTGAGAACTTCCCAGCGATCACCATGCGTCATAGCGGCAGCTCCGGTCAGGCCAGACGGCGACAGTCAGACGAACGAGATGGTGGTGGAGCAGCGATGGATTATTTCATGTTGTCTCTGTCGCCTAAAACCCCTCATCCAAGGAAACGTCGTGACTTCTATTGAGTTCAGGCCCAGTTCCGGACAATCCGTCAGTCAACACACCCTTCATCCAATGCTGGTCCAGCATCCAGGGAGCTACACGGCAGCTTGGGGCTTTGCCCAGTTACGCTGCTCAATTTGCGATTGAGCTAGTTGGAGTTCCATGGAAGCCTAGACACTTGCCTCGCACGACATTGCATGAGAAACCGGGGGACAAACGTATGATCCCCCATTCCGGATTCCTGTTCGATCCCCCATCTATCGCCAACTGCGATCCCAGACTTCGATATTACCCCTCCCGGGTAGTCTCGCATGCCCTGCTTTGATCCCAGCATTGCGAGTTAGACACCCCTTGTGACGCAGTTGGTTGAGGGGAAGGGAGAGAAGTCACGGTCTGCTACTTTTGATTCTTACTATAGTGAAGTATAGTCAGTCAGTCAGTCAGTCCGTGGGTACTACTTACAATACCTCGTTCCCACCCCCCTCCCACTTCCTTCCTCTTCTTTGTCCTCTCCCTCCTCCCTCCCAAGTCTCAGCTTCCCCCTTTTTCTTTCGCCTTTTTCCACTACTATAGGATTCGAGGCGCTTCCCTGGTTCAGGCTTCTTTGTTATCGAATGCCCTACACTCAAATAGTTGGCTAGTCTATTGACCTATCCGCCATAGACTTCTTGAACTAGTGCCTCTGCCACCTCAACGCTTGTTCAGCTACAATGTCTTCGGAACAGCCTCGTCGTGAAAGAAAGCCTTCGGTTGGAGCTCCAGTTTCCGAGCTTCAGGGGCCCATTGGTCCCGGCTTCAGTCGTCCCAAGCACAGGCGGACCTTCACTGGCTTCGGACCCGCAGAGATCAAAAGCGTCGAAGCCAGTATTCCCGAGCATCTTAGGGAGGCGTGAGTACCCATTTTCATCCAACCCTTTGTCATAGACTATACCTCCAGCTCTTCATAGCTACAGGCTTGTCTGATGTTCTACGACCATGGGAGTATCGCTGACCTGCATTGTCTCTTAGATGGCGGAAGCACGTAGGATAATCAATGACGCGCTTTAGACCTGATATCACCTTGCTAAGCCTGCGTTTGTTATAGTCCGCCAATGGATTCTCTAATAAAGAAGAGTTCGAAGTAAGTTGGATAACACAGAACCGTGCTGATAGAGTCGAGCATTTCACTTATTATGTGAATAGGATGAGCTGGTCCGCCACATTGAAACTACTTTGGCTCGTTCCCTGTACAACTGCGATGAATTGTATATTGACCCTTGTTGGACAGCGCTAGGGAACGCAAGTGACTGACGAATTAGGGCCGCATACTCTGGGACCGCCCTAGCCTTTCGAGATCGCTTGATTATCGAATGGAATAAGACGCAACAGCGACAGGCTTCTGCTGACCAGAAGCGGGTGTATTGTGAGTGACATTTCGAACTACTTAGACCATATTTTACTTGATTGTCGTAATACTAACAATCCTGGACAGATCTTTCGCTCGAATTCCTCATGGGCAGAGCTCTGGATAATGCTATGCTCAATGTCGGCTTGAAGGACGTTGCAAGAGGTAGGAATCTTGGGGAAAAGATTGCTCAAAACATTTTACTGATTCTATGAAAAAAGAGGGTTTGAAGGATCTTGGCTTCCGAGTCGAAGATGTCATTAGCCAGGAGCATGATGCTGCGCTGGGAAATGGGGGTCTTGGACGCTTGGCTGCGTGTCTACTCGATAGTCTGGCGACATTGAACTATCCAGCCTGGGGTTACGGTCTACGCTACCGTTATGGTATTTTCAAGCAGGAAATTGTAGATGGGTACCAGATGGAAGTCCCCGACTACTGGCTTGACTTCAACCCATGGGAGTTCCCTCGGCACGAAATAACCGTCGATATCCAGTTTTATGGCTGGGTGAGGAAATACCAGGACGAGAATGGTAAAACCATCCACTCGTGGCAAGACGGCGAAACCGTGCAAGCAGTGGCATACGATGTTCCTGTCCCAGGCTATGGCACGCGGACCACGAATAACCTTCGGCTGTGGTCTTGCAAGGCTTCCAGCGGAGAGTTCAACTTCCAGAAGTTCAACGCTGGCGATTACGAAAGTGCTGTCGCAGAGCAACAACGTGCGGAAACCATCTCTGCGGTGCTCTACCCGAATGACAACCTTGACAGGGGTAAGGAGCTGAGATTAAAACAACAGTACTTTTGGTGTGCTGCCTCTCTGTTCGACATTGTCCGGAGATTCAAGAAGACCAAGAGAGCATGGAGCGAGTTCCCCGACCAAGTTGCCATCCAATTGAATGACACTCACCCAACCCTGGCTATAGTTGAACTGCAGCGCATTTTGATTGACAAAGAAGGTCTCGAGTGGGACGAGGCGTGGGATATTGTGACCAAGACCTTTGGCTACACGAATCACACGGTTTTGCCAGAGGCCTTGGAGAAGTGGTCTGTCCCGCTGGTGCAAAACCTGCTACCACGGCACATGCAGATTATTTTCGACATCAACTTATATTTCCTACAGCATGTCGAGAAGAACTTTCCTCAAGATAGAGATTTACTGTCCCGGGTGTCGATCATTGAAGAGTCCCACCCCAAGATGGTGAGAATGGCTTACATCGCGATAATTGGCTCCCATAAAGTCAACGGTGTCGCAGAATTACACTCAGATCTATTGCGGACCACCCTTTTCAAAGATTTCGTCACAATTTATGGCCCGGACAAGTTCACTAATGTCACCAATGGAGTTACTCCACGTCGCTGGCTACACCAGGCAAACCCACGATTGTCTGATCTAATCGCTTCCAGGCTCGGAGGATATCAATTCTTAACTGACTTGACACTTCTAGACCGGCTCGAGGCTTTCGTCGATGACAAGGCATTCCAGCGTGAATGGGCCGAAATTAAAACCGCGAACAAGATCCGTCTGGCTAAACACATCAAGGAGACTACCGGATACAGTGTAAATCCACAGGCATTGTTTGATATTCAGGTGAAGCGTATCCATGAATATAAGCGGCAGCAGCTTAACATCTTCGGTGTCATCCACCGATACTTGAGGATCAAGTCCATGTCCGCGGAAGAGAAAAAGAAGGCGCTGCCGCGCGTGTCTATTTTTGGAGGCAAAGCAGCACCAGGCTATTGGATGGCAAAGACCGTCATTCACCTCATAAACAAAGTCGCATCTGTGGTAAACAATGACCCAGAAGTTGGTGACCTTTTGAAGGTGATTTTCATCGAAGACTACAACGTCAGCAAGGCCGAAATTATCTGCCCAGCGTCTGATATCAGCGAGCACATCTCTACAGCTGGTACCGAGGGAAGCGGTACTAGTAACATGAAATTTGTCATGAATGGCGGCTTGATCATTGGAACTTGCGACGGTGCTAACGTATGAGACCCTTTTTCCCGTGCGTAATGCCGATGCTAACCAGCACCCCTTTATAGATCGAGATTACCAGAGAAATTGGGGAGCAGAACATATTCCTCTTTGGAAATCTAGCAGAGGATGTGGAAGAGCTTCGTCACCGACATCTCTACGGCGATTTCCAGCTCGATCCTCACTTGGCTAAAGTTTTCGATGCAATCCGTGGCGGCATGTTCGGTGATGTCAACAACTTCTCTGCACTCATTGCCTCTATTGTTGAGCACGGAGATTACTACCTAGTCTCTGACGACTTCAATTCGTATATCACCACGCAGGACTTGGTAGATGAGTCGTTCCAGAACCGCGAGGAGTGGTTAGCCAAGTCCATCACCAGTGTGGCACGCATGGGTTTCTTCTCGACGGACCGCGTGATCAATGAGTACGCTGAGAGCATTTGGAACGTAGAGCCCCTCGATGTGGAGAAATAGACGGTGGCGATTGAAGTTGGACTTTTGCATCGTCTGGTCTCTCCTTTTCAGTTTGCCTTTTCGTCACCCGCTTCACTTTTTCGCTTTTCTTTCCTCTTGGCGAGTTATATTGAGCTTCTAGTATTACATGAATCCTACACTCGTAATGCTGTCCGATGAAGAGAGGAGAGATGCTTATGACGGAGCCATTCACTCACTCGGCAGTAACTAATTGTTTGGATCAGCAATTGTCATACAGCTATATTCTATGCAACTAACTGTTCTTACAAATTTCATACGCCTTCTACATTCATATTGAACCTGTAAGTTGCCTCAGACGCGCTACGCACACCATAACGCAACTATTGCACGGCGAGTGACACTGCGACGGCAACCATTAAGCCCCATATATACTCTATATTCCTTCAAAAGAATCGGACATGGATAAATCATAGTCCTAAGCGCTCAATTCAGCCATGCGCCTCTGCAACTCTGGTACCATGCGAAGTTGGAGGTCCAGCTCCTCCTTCTCACTGTAAGAATCGCAGCGTTAGCTCAATTCCCATGATGCAGCCGCCAAAACAACTCGGAGCGAAGCAACTTACTCTTCCAACTTTAATCTCCTTTCCCAGTCCAGGCCAGTGAAGATGTAGCTTCCCTGTCCATCAAACTGCAGAATCTTCTTGTGATACTTCCAAAGACTCCGTCGATGGGACACAGTCATCAGCGTAGTACCTAGCTTCTTGGCTGTTTCATACATGACTCTTTCAATCTCCAGAGTCACAGAGGATGTGCACTCGTCCAAAATGGCGAACTTTGGCCGATGATAGAATAGCCTAGCCATGGCTATCCGTTGTTGCAGACCGCCGGATAGGACATCGCGCCATTCCTCCTCGGCGTCCCACCCACCAGGGCGATCAACGACGGAAGCAATCTCCACAACTGATAGGATGTCGTAGAGATCATCGTCGGTAACACCCTTGGCGCGCATTTCGCGGACACCGTCTGGGTAGATAACTTGTTGGCGAAGTGTACCTCGCGAAAGATACGGGCGCTGAGGGATGTAGAATATGTCGTCAAATCGGGGTTTCTTGACTTGACCTCCGTAGACAGGCCATAGGCCGCCGAGGATGCGGAACAGAGAGGACTTTCCGCATCCGTTTGGTCCAACAATCAGAAGGTGGTCGCCTGGGTGTACGGTAAAGGACAGTTTGCGGACTAGAACATCGCCGTTTGGTGAAACGATAGGCACGTCGGTGAATTCAATGGAATCACTTTCCTCGACAACTCCACGGCCCGATAAGATGGCTGTGTTTTCTTCTGTGGAGGCGGAAGACACCAGCTTCTTCTCGAACCGGCCGGCTAAGAGGTCGTCCATAACCTCTAGCAAAGAGGAGACGCGGGCTGTGTGACCGGCTAGTTCGGAGATTTCTTTGTAGGAGAACATTAGGCGCCCAAAGGCGTCTGAGGAAGAAAGTAGCATTCTCCGATTTGTAACAAAGCCTGTTGATGCATGTCAGTCGTCATGCTGATGTATAGGGTTATAGCCTGGGTTCAAATACTCACTTTCGGTACGGTCGCCCATGGTTTGAGTGACTTGGCCGGGAATACGGAAGAAGACAGGAATACTGCAGAGGATCAATCCCAAGGCGCCCCAGAAGTACTTGATGACGAAGTCCTCCATAAATCCGTGGTACAAGCGTCTGCGAAGAATGCGGTTCACATGTTTAATCAAAGTGAAGTAGCCCTTATCCAAGGTATCCTTTTCTGCCTCATGACCGTGATATAGAGCCACCTCTTCGCTGTAGTCAATCAGACGCGAGTGCAAGAACCGAAACTCGCCTTCCAGGCGGGCTTCGTCGGCCACATATTTGCCGAATGGAGGCGTCAAGGCTCGCATGACATTGGCGGACAATTGCACCAAGAGGCTCATTATGAATAGGCCTTCTCCGCCCACACTCTTGGAGAGAGAGTAGTTGTAGATGGCCATATCGAGGATTGGCTTGGCCAGATTGGAGTACAGCTCTGCTAGGCTGTCGGAGAACCGCGAGACATCTACGGTGATAAGCTGGTCGGGGTTCTTAACCCGATCATCCAGAGCGGATATTGCATAGAACGTCATGTTCGATAAATACTTGTCATGGATGTAGTCTGTCAGGCGCTTGCGGTAAGAGAGGGCGAGTTTGCATTGGTGATAAGATAGCTATAGCAACACCAAAGGGACTTAGCTCCCGGTCCTTTCTCATCTGTGGATTATAAAGCCACTTACCATGGAGTTCGTGAATGTCGCAGGAACTGCAACTATCATCCACCATACCAGTCCCAGCAAGAAATCCTTGCCTCTCCCTCTCACCAGATTGCTAACCAGCCGGCCATCCAGTTCGGCCACATACAGACTCAGCAGTGTCCGCAGCACCAGGAAGACACTGTGCCCAAAGAGTAGCCGTAACTCCTTGCTCCGCCAACCGGGGATCACGATCTTCAATAGACGAAGCAGATTGCGAAAGAACTCCCGGTTGACTTCGACCTTTTTGCGCGGACGATCGCCGCCTTCGCCAAGACTACTGGTTCCAGGGCGCCGGCGCAGTTCTTCCTGGTGCTGGGAGGCGGCCTTTTGCTCGGAGATGGCATTATGGACGCGTTTCACAAGGGCAGCGAAGAGGGCTAGATACACAGTACGGGATATTTGTTTACGATGACGGAGGTAGGTGGCAGCCAGGCGGGAGAGGAGGTGTCGGATGGACCTCTCGGGCGGAAATAACTTGGACTGCGCAGCCATAGTTGCGACGTAAATCCGGAAGTGTAGTTAGCCGAAGTCGATGACGGCTAACATGACCGGTGAGGAGGATAAATGGAGAGAAAGGGAGACAAAGAGAAGGAGAAGAAGGAAGATGGAGAGGGAGAGGGAGAGAGATATGATGGGGGGGGGGACGAGCGAGGGGATGACGATGGATGGATTGGATGGGGGCTTGACATGTGAACAGGCCCGGGGGCTCCTTCCCTCCCCGGATTCTCGGGGCCTGCCGAGGATGTCTGCCTTATCTAAGCGGGGAATTGTTTACAACTCCATGTAACTAACTATTTATTGATTGATTTAAATTGATTGATTCATCACTCGTTTACCATCGCTAATAACTCATCCCCTAATAACAACAACCCGCCTCATTTCATCCCGTAATACCTAACCTCCTTTATGCTCCAGATTCGCCCATGCACCTTCGGCGCCAACGCCTTTGCTCACCCCTAGCCCAGATTTCCCCCCTCCAAACGTGAAAGCAAACAATTGGTGAAACGAAAGGAGATTGCCACCGCAGATACGCATCGCATATGCGAAGTAGATTAAAATACAGACAATAATGTCACGCTCGTCGGTGACTTATATACAAACAAGGGCCATCCTCTGCCGGCAGAGATCCCAGTCATCCGTCCATTCAGAAATAGTAGCCCCGTCGCCAGCTAGACGAGGGAAAAAGCATCTGTAGGTATTAACAAAAGCCATAAGTAGGCTATGATCAACCCAGCCAACTCAGGCTCCAACTTAGAAAGAAGCCTGCTGATCTGGTTCGGTATCGTCGTTCCCATTGCTCCTGCTAGACGATGTCCTCTTACCACTGTTGAATTGCGCAGCGATCTGGCTTTGCCGGAATTTCTCAAAGGTTTCCGCATCGTTCTTACGAGCGGCCCACAACTCCTCCACCGTGGTACCCAGACTTCCCAGTGCTTTGTCCGCATCCACACTCTCAAATGGTGAATGGGTCTGTTCCTCTTGCAGACGATCAAGTTTATCACGTAAGGCGGCCATATGAGACTCGTCAAACGAGAATGCCGACATATCATCGTCGGCCTGATCGAACGAAGGTCGGAGGAAATCGCGCCGAATGTTTTGTCCGAGACGGTGAATATGGCCTTCCTCGGAGGTCATGGCGCGTGAATGAAGGGACGTAATCGAGCTTGACCGCGATAGTCGGACGGCATATTGCTCCTCCTCGTCATCTGCCACGGCTTCAGCATCATTGAAGGTACCATTCAGCTGGGTGTTGTCGGACACAGGCCCGTTCCATCCGTCGTCGTTAGAACCCTGTGAGCTAGTATCCTGAATTGCATACGATGGGACGGACTGGGGTATGATGCGGGTCTCAGGATACTCGTCTTCAAATCGTTGGATCATGCGCTGTAAGGTGAAGTCAAGGAATTGAAGACGTCCTGCAGTGGAAAAGTTAATTAGCATCACCACCCAAGAAGGGGGGGGAAGTAAGTGAAACAACATACGGTAATTGGTGTCATTGCCGGCCTTATCTTCGCGCACAAGGGCCGACTGGATTCGCGACCGGATATTACGTGCCGACTCCAACAAATTCTTGGACATGTCACGGGGTCGTTTGGTGACATAGGACCTGGACTTTCTATGCCTGGGTGTAGTTGTGCCACTTGGGGGTCCGGACTGGTCTCCTGGCATATGGCGATCCACGTTACCGAGGCAAACACCGAGAGCTTTAACCACGCCGGTCCCTCCAATGACATAGTCCTCATCGGGTGCAGCCTCGTCGTCTTCCTCCACCTCATCTCCAGTACCGTGGCCGACAATATGCTGCAAGATCTCCGGAACATGGACAGCTGACCTCGTTGGTAAATCTGTTGGATCGGAAAATTCTGCTGCTATGGCACCTTGCTCCAGGTTTTTGAGAGAATAGGCAACTATCTGGGAAGCCAGAGCCTTCACAACCTCGTTGTTTTCGGCAGTTGGAACTTCTATTTCCACGGCTATAATCGTTCTGGATACACGAACTGCCGCCATCAAGGATGCATAAACAGCGCAGGCCTCTTCTTGATTGGCAGGGTCCGTTGCAGATGCCAACGCGGTGATGGCTGGGTTTTCGAGGATGTTCAAGTGGCATAAGCTGGGACATTCGGGGAGGACCTCAGCCAGAGCAATGGTTTGGTCAGGAGACAAGTTGACGTCGGCCAGATGGATGCGTTTGAGAGCCGGCATCTTGGGAAGAAATCGTCTGAAAGTTGCTAGCGCATCGGGCTGCATTGTGAAAAGACCTGGGTTGTGGGAGAAATCAACAAAGCGGAGGTCCGGCAATCTTGTCAGTCCTTGGAACAAGGGGTAGACAGTAGAAGGTGTGAGGGAACAGTCGGCCAAGCTAAGAGCATATAGGGGATGATCATCCGTGAAAGAAGATATGATCAAGTCCAGCTGGTCTTGAATGGGATTCCCACCCAGATCTAGCCCCTCGCACTTCCCTGCCTTGAGGTACCCAACGATGTGCTCCAAGCCTTCCCTGCTCAGCTCGTTGTTGGCGAAGCCAAGCCTCCTCAAGCCAAGGGTTGTGGCTGCATCACAGATTTTCTTCACATCTTCGGTCGTAGGTCGGCATTCGCTCAGCAGCAATTCTTCGAGGTGGTCCCCGCCAAAGCGTTGTGCAAGCGAATTCGCGAAGAGGGTCGCTACGTTGGTGACGTTTTGGGTTTGCGAGGCTCCTTTGTTGGAGCAATTGACAGGAATGGATGTCCTGGGAAGAGGAATGCCCGACAAGTCGATCGCCTTCAGAGATTTTGAAAGGTGAACGAATAGGCAGATATGACGCCATCCTTCTGGTCCGATTTTGGGGTTATCTTTTAGCGATACCTTCTCAACGACGCTGAACCGCTGTTCTTTCTCGGAAGTTACCACCTCGGCCTTTCTTCCCTTCCTACGCCGCTGCATTATCTGTTCCACAGTTCTAGTAGAAAGAAGTGCAGCAAGAATAGATCGCACCGAGTCGTCATTCAATGCGCATCTTTCAATGATGAGCTTCCGAACGGGTACAATAGCGAGCCAATCGCAAAAAGTAGCAATATCCTCGGCCGTCATAGGAAAGTCGCTGAGGTCAAGTACAGCCACAGTTCCTGGAGACTCAGCTAACGTGGAAGAGGGTGATGAGATCTCGTCAACAATCCGCTTGAGCACGGGCGTCTCGCGCAATTGACAACAGCGTCTATATATCCGGACAGGATCTGTCGTCGGATGACTCTGTGTCTTAGTACGGGTTGCGTTAGACGCAGGTGTTCGGCAGCCATACTCTTGGCCGTCAGCTGTCAGTTGCATGGGTATGGAGCCATTTGCTTCTGCCTGTCTGCGTCTTCTTTCCCTCCGCTCACGCCTCTCTTCTTCTGACCTCTTCTTCTTTTCCTGCTTTCGTGTTGGCTCTTTGGCCTCGCCATTGGCGTTCGCGTCGGCTGGCGGTGTTTCTGGTGACCCAGAACTCTTTCCGTCCGCCCCATTTGTTGGGCTACTCTTGTCCTTGGAAGAGACTGCAGCCTGGGGATTCTTCAACGCTGCAGCTTCATCCTTCTCTTTCGACTTGATATGCGATCGTTTGGACTTTTGATTGTTAACCTCCGGGACAGGACGTCGCCTACTACTCGCAGGGGGGCTGTCCTCATCAGATTCTCGATAGGATATCCCAGCGATCTCCACGTCCACACAGAAAGCGACACGGCGCAGTTTGGCAGGATTCAGATCGGGGATCTTGCACCTATCTCGATCCTGATCAATATTCATTACGCGACGTTGGCAGATCGTCCCAGTAGAGGCGGCTTTACCAGTGCCACCAGATGCGGATGACGAGAGTTTTCGGAAGGCGCTCTGCAAAAACGAAGGACCCTTCGGGGACGCCGAAGCAAAAGGGCTGTTCTCATTCGTCCTTTCCTCTTCCTTGTCCTTTGGAGAATAGGCCGCACCGAAAGGATTATGGGTGTCCATCTTCGAAACAGGAGAACTTGCCTTCGGGTTCTGCTGTGCCTTCATATTCGACTGCGATGGCGGGGTAGAGCCAGAGGAGAACTTGGAGCTCAGGCTCGATATCCATGAGTTTCTTCTTCCGGTGACCGGCCTAGGCGCGGTTTTCGGAGTAGCTGGCGATGTGCCAGTAGGCTTTCCCTCCACAGACTTGTCTTCATTTTTGACCTCCTTCGTGGCCTTTGCACCATCTTCTTGTAACGATCCCTTGGATACAGTAGGAGTGACGGGGGCTGGTGCTGAAGAGGTATTATCGGTAGTGCTTGTTTTTTCGAGACTTCGTTCTTGGGCAATTGTGGCATCTGAATCCGCAACAGACTTATCGCTAACCACTGATGATGCCGACTTACAGCGGGACAGATGGTCTTGCGGTCGAGTTAGGAGAGGGTACGCACAATTGAGCGATGTCCGGCTTACCTTTTTGCGAGTGATGCAGCCAGCTGACATCCACAGTCTCAATCCCTTCCATCTTGAGTCCGTATGCGATTTGATCACAGTATGCTAGATAAAACAGGTGTAAAGAGGGACGACGTCAGCTCGCTGATGAACAGCAAAGCGGCCGTCCTCAGGCGAAAGCTGAGCCCGGTTGGCGCGATAGTGGGATACAGATCGTATTTCGGAGGCTATATCGCTGCGCGTGTAGTCCAAATTAGAATGAACCGACAGATCGACTATGCCTCGCGACGAGAATTAAAAATCACAGTTTCAGCCAGCGGATGATTAGGAACGGTGACGGTGGGTACATTCCATCATGGTACTGCGGCGAAGTACTGCGGACATGGTGACACAGCGGAGAAACGGGGACAAGAACGTAAGACGGGCGACGTCAAGGGGGTGAAAAGGATATGACAAAGGAAAGGGGAATGCAATGAGGCACGGGGATGTCAAGGAGAAAGAGAGAGCTACTTTTTCAAAAGGGTCTAGAAGAAAAAAGGGAGAGAGGAAGAAAAGGGTTGCGGGCAAAGCAGACCAGTGAACTGAAGGCGATCGGGATGAGGAGGGAAGTGGCTCAACTGGGACTAGTGGGCATAGCATGATTCCCGCCAGTGGGGAGTTCGGCGATTACATACTCGAGTCCGTTGCGGAGAAATTACTAGACGGTATTAGAAATGGTATTACTTGTGACCATTTCTTACAGAGTCCAGTCAGTTCCCCCAATCCACGGAGAAGTACTTTGGCTCCCCTGTCGACGCTGTTGAACTAAGACAACCTTAGCACTCTGCGCTTGGTCCTGCACACTGCACACATTACAGAAGTACTTTCAGATCAAAAAGAAAAATACAATGGGTTGACTGATGATAACCTCACCCGATGCCTGCATCGAATGATGACCCTTTTGCCTTATCCCACCCCCCAAAAAATGGGACTGACGGGGTCTTCTTGCCACTTCCACACATCTTCCGCATATTCCGCCTGATTTGTTTGCCGAGGAGAATTAGAGGGAAGACTCACACGACACCCTGCCAAGCCCACCCTCAACCGGTGCTGAAATTACAAGTGCGTACGCGAACCCGCAAATCATCGATTTCCAGATAATCCTAAACCTGGGCGGGTTAGTACCGTTCGTTTGGAGCTGATGGTCGCATTCAGCGCCCGACACTACCAGAAAGTATGGGTACCGTGTACACAGTATGCAGTAGATCTTGGAGTTATTCTGGTGTGAGTTGTCCGTCCATCTCGCAATGCCTTTACCTTCTCCTGGGTTACGATGAATTGTGTGTATACGTGATAGGTTCCAGATACTCCTCTTCAGCACCTGACCCGATCGACTGCGATCCTACAGCTGCTTAGATCCTGTGTTTGGTCAATAATATAATATACTTTAGCTATGAGTCCATGTCAGTCCAACAGCAAGAACTGATCGAATGATAAGCCATGCGATCTCCTTTCCTGACACTCTCCTTTCTCCAGCTGCCCCTAGTTATTCACGATGTTCACCGTCATCCCAAGTCCCGCCCTTCAGTTTCCCTTTCGGGTGGCGTTCTCACCATGGACCATATGCCCATGATCATCACTCCTGCTTCTCACCGGACAACCATAAGATAGTGAGATTATTTCTCCGATCCATCTGAACGAAAGCAGACCGAAGTCCCAAAGAGTTGGTTCGATGGCAAATAACCCGGATAACAACTAAAAGTATAGTTACCCATGTTCCCATAGTACGTGGTGCCTTGATCCATTGAACTTAACGCGATCCACTTTATGGAACCCGAGAGGAGAACATGTTGATCATACACTGTAACCAGCAAAGCGCACCTCTTTTTGCCATTCTTACTCAAGTAGCCAAGTTAGTTAGTACTGAGTGCCCTTGGTGGGATACTAGCTCCGACGTATGAGGCTTGAGAGAGTGAAAAAGGATGAAAATGTCATACGGTGTTACACAGATCAGCCTGAAGCATGGATGATCTTTGCGCACAATATGCTTAAGTAGAGGAGCGGATGACATCATCTGCCAGGTGGGTTTGTCTTTTTTTTTTTTTTTTCGCTTAAGGAATGACATGTCATTCACTCATTCATTCTGTCAGATTAGCCTGGGGTTGAATATCTACCCACTTATACTTGGTACAAAGTAGTACTACACAGTAGCGTCCGATCTACTCGGGTTGGGTCGTTGTTGTTGTCTGTCTGCCATCAACCAACAAGTGCCTAACTAACTCACTACTAGTGACTAGTAACAGGCATTGTCTTCGTACGACCATGCCGAAGCATCCGCATTCATTCGGAATACCAACTCGTCATGGACTGTGTCAAAGCAGCATTAGTTCGATGAAGACAAAAATTTTCTTCCTGGCCCCATCAGACAACAAATGGGATAGGTTACATTCTCCGAGGAGGTATGCGAGACTGTCCAGCCAGCCTCATCATCTCGAAGCAATTGGCCGGACAGAGCAACATGTTCCGAGAGTGACGGCACAGGGATGGCAGTTAGGGCTTCAGGGCTAGACTGAAAAAGGACTAGTGCGCGATGCATGTTACCCAGAGCGGGAAGATGCTCCTGGAGGGGCTACACAAACGCTGGACTATGTACCGAAATTTGCTTGTTCCCCCACATATCCGAGCGGTCTTCGAACAATCCATCGATGAGGGCGAATCCACTTGGAATGAGAATGTAGGACAGTTGAAGGATGACGAGAACTTGTGTTGGTCCACTGTGACACTAACATAGCATATATTGTTGTGAAATCTACGATTTGTCTACACTTGCCATTTACCGGAGCACTTCTCAGATGGTCAATTAATATCCCATTGTGCGCGTTCCTTAATTGCTCCGAACGCAAAAACTCAACCCTGCCATATAAACTCCGGTCATGAAAATTTCATCAAGACTACTGGATATCACAAAAAAAAGTAGTAGTGGGCAAGAAGAACCTTAATTCCCCTATATTTCAAAGAGAATTATCAAACTTTTTGACTATCGCACTCAAAGTTTCTTTTTTGGGGTAAAACCATCAAGCACGATCGGCCTTAGAAGTCCGACATTTAAGCAGCAAGCTCACGGATCTTCTGCTCAACACGCTCCTTGCGCTGCTCGCGGGTGAGGCGCTGCTGGCGGAACTTCTTGCTCTCGGCCTTCCACTCCTCCTTGGTCTTCTTCTCACCAGCATCCTCGTCCTTCTTGAAGGGGTCCTCACGGATGGCCTTGTGGGCCTCAGTGTAGAGCTCCTCAATGTCACCAGCCTCAATACCAGCCTCCTGGTACTTGTGGAACTGGGAGGTGAAACGCTCCTCATCGTCGTCGGCAAGACCCTCCATGTACTCAGCGACGTGGCCACCGAAGATGTAGTTGCGGAGAGTCTCAGCGTCGAGCTCCTCGGACTCGATGTCGAAACCGGGGAAGCGGCTCTCGGAGTGGGGGACGAAGATACCACCGTCGGAGGCACCCTTCATGGCACCGAAGACACGGGCACCAGTGGAGGTACGAGCAAGACCAACATCAAGGAAAGCCTTGAAGGGGCGGCGGGAGCCCTCGTCGGTCTCAGCAGCCTCGGTGAGGGTGTACTCACCATCGGCCTCCTCAACACCGGGGAACTGCTCATCCAGGCCGAGCTTCTTGAGGGTACGGCGGGCAAGGAGGAGACCGGTGGCGTAGGCGGCAGCCCAGTTGGTCAGACCGTTGGTGATGCCATAGCGCTTGAGCTCGTGGGAGTAGGCGCTGGCGAAGACCTTGTCACCGGAGATCTCAGAGTAGACGATCTGGGTGATGATGTCGCGGTTGGTGAAGCGGACGACCAGGCGGTACTTGGGGGCGTTGTACTTGTTCTTGGCCTGGGTGATCAAGCGCTTACGGGCATAGTAGTCGGTCTTACCCTCACGGCGACGACGGTACTTGGTCTGGTAGCGGCTATAGAAGGAATTTTATTAGTTTATGCCAAATTTTGCCAAATGAGGTGTCTTGTGAATTTCTTACCTGTAGTAAGCGCTGTTCTTGACGAGCTTGTGGAAAGGCTACAAGACAGAGTCGAGTCAGCAATTTGCGCTTCAGAGAAAGACCGTCCGAAGCATCTTGCAAAGACCCGTTTCCAATCCCACAGTGCGGTCGCCCATGTGGGATGACCTGAAATTTACGTTCAGGCGATGGGGGAATTTGCGTTGAAGTCGGTTCCCAGTCTCTTGAGAATTACAGCAAAACTCACCATCTTGACGGTTGCCGCTGGTTGATGACGGGGTTTGTCGACGGTGGCTGCAAAGGAAGAGGTGGGAAATTTCGTGGGATGTCTTTTGTGGAAGGCTTCGCTTAGCGTGGCTGCATCCCGGCGCCAGACTGCGGTTGGCCACGAGCGGCTGAAGGACCGAAGTATGTACCACCACCACTACCAACCACCAAAACCACCTCTTCTCTTTCAGCATCTTTTATTGGGAGAATTCTCACATCTAGAAAACTGTAGGCTGACCGAATATGATCTATCTGGCTGTCTGAAGTATATGATTTACAGCCGGGGTTTCTCTGGACTTTCTAACAATTGAAGACCCGTCATCTTCTCCAACTCCTTGACAGCATCCTGGGTCCGCCCCAAATTAACCTTCAGGGTTCGCATGCCAGCTTTCTTTGCGCCCTTGAGGTTCTCTCCAATGTCATCGAGGAACACAATGTCAGACGGGCGAATTCCACCTAGGCCCTTCTTTCTTGCTACATTTTCCATCTCTTGCAGCGCAACCTGATATATTTTCCCATCTGGTTTCCTGAGACCCGTATGCGCAGATGAGATAAAGAAGTCAAATTGCGACTTCTTATCATCAATGTCTGTGTTGTAGGGATGTCCATCGGGAAAGATGACTGTGTTAGACAGAGCCCCCATGATGAACTGTCCTGACTGCTTCAGTTTCTTCAGAGCAGGAAACATGTAAGGATCCGGTGTCCTAGACACCCTCATCATCTCCCAGAAGAGGAACTCCGCGTCCAGGGCGGGTAATGGAGGAACCGATGTTGGCGCACTATCCGGGCGCTGTTTCTGAAGTCTCTCATGGAAAGCCTTCCACAGGTCGGGGTTTCGTAGATCCTTATTGAACTCCGTGAAGAAGCCGGCATCCATCTTGATCTCCCCGCGCTCGAGTCTGTGCCAACTGCCGTTCGGCGACGTACGAGAGATGCTGAAGTTTACCCATCCTGGGGGAATGTTGTGGGCCAGCTCATAGTCCAGAATAGCCTGAAAGGGAGAAACGACCTGCAGCTTAATCAACAGACTGTTATTTTTGGGTTGGGCAATGGCGCAGCCTTACACACACTCCTCCGATGTCGAACAGCAGGCCTATAGGCCGTTGGTTGTCAGCCATAGTAGCAATACACTGGTCGGTAAAAGTTCTGGGGAAAAGTAGATTAATAGCGATAGCAGCGACAAGGGTGATCTAGATGCGAGACGAAGATGTCGCTTGATGTTTGTTCTTTGGTGGAGTAGTTAGTAGTAAACCTGGGGTCCAAGTTACCGAGGTTAGATACGACAGATCGGTTGCTGCTTATGGTTTGCAGTCAAGGTCCGAGGCAATGAGAGCTGCAGGGGTATTCCAGACCCTGGAGGCCAAACCTGCGCCGCCGAAGCCCTGCAATATCAGCGGTTTGAAACGTACAAATCATCAAGAAGCAAGGAGACTATTGACTCAATTTCTTGCAATGATGGGCGATCGATGGCAGGTTGGCGGAAGGGGGCACTGCGTATCCGTCACGTGGATGCTTATCGATAGCGCCGGACGCGTTCAGTGAAGCCGAAATCGCGATGGTCCTCTTTTATCCTCTGGACGGATCACAATCCCTCACTATGGAGCCATGGAATCTACTCGTACCATCTCCGAGCTGAAGTCGTCCTTTATCAGGGCACAAGTCCGAATTCTATCTGAAGGCCTCGAGCCAGCCGAGGACTGGCGAAACTACGCCGCTGAGACCGAAGAGGATGATCTCAGTGATAAAGTGGTCGGTGATGTCCTACAAAAGTGTAAGTGCAAGCATCCAGAATTGAGTCTTCACTTTTACCAGCCTGTAATTTCAGCACAAGCTTGCTCACCCTGTACCGTGGTCAATAAGCATATCATTCTTCAAATTTGCGTATGTTTCTAATGAACCTATGGGACACCAGTAAACGCCGCTTTGAAACAACACAGTCGCATCGTCTATTCCTCTCAAGCTGTTCAGCATGTCGCTCAGCAAATTACCAGCCTATACTGGTCATCGGTGACCCAGGCAATCCCCAACCCGGGATCTTTGTTAAAAGGAGTCGAGAGATCAGTGGATCTATCCAGTCATCTGTGAGCCCTGGAATTCCGCTACTGGGAAATGGGATAGATCTAATATCGCAGGAATATCGCACAACTCCCGTTGGAGCTGGAAAACCAATCCGCGAGCGAAGCACAGCGGGCTAGGTCTGGGATACCCCTCGCACCGATCGCAGTTTCAGCTGGTTAATTGTGATACAGATACCAAGAACTACGGGAGCGTCTGACGGATCTGGATCGTTTACGGCAACAGCGACAACGGCGCCTAGATCAATTACGACAGTTGCAGCAATTACTGGAGCCGTTCCGGGAACCGCAGAAAAACATCCAGCCTAATCTGGTGACGAGAGATGGCGAGCTAGTCCAGGAGTTAGACAAGATGAGGATGCTGGTTGCGCGAGTTGGCGGTCGAGTCGAGCAGGGAAAGAAGAAACTGGGCGCTCAGGAGCAAGACAAGCCGTATCTGGGGTGCGACCAGAAACTAGATGCCTTATTGGACATGACGTGATGACAAATAAAGAGGAAGGGCCCGGCTAGAATGACTTTATGCATTGAATGGAATGAAAGGATGCCCGAATACCTAAATCGCATGCCTTGCCTACATTTATGAGAGCGTTGCGCCTCCGTACATAATAACCTTTGGAGATTGAGAGTGCGGCATTGCCGGCAAAGAGGTCGCACAGATGCATGGCAACCATTGCAGCTGGATAATCAATCAGTAGATCTCAATTTTCTTGGACTCTTCGCCGCGGGTCTCCTTGGGCAGCTATAATTAGACGATTTCCCATGCAATTACCGGAACTTTGAGAAGTTGCAAGGGGGGTACCAAGCGATTGACTGCGGCTGCAACGATCATAGCAAGTGCCAGTGACAGACCAGAAGGAGCGAGAAGAACGAGAGCCAAACGGTTGTTTGGGACTACAGAGTAGCAACAGCAGCAGCAGCAGCAGCAGCACTTGCTCTGTTCCTTCTCTTTCACTGGCTCCCCCATTTTAATTTCCTACCCATCTATCGATTTCCCTTCCTCTTATTGTTCCTTCATTCACCACACTCTTTTTGTCCTCTCTTTCCCCCTTTGGCATAACTCCCACAAGTTAGTTTACCTATTGTCACTCGACTTGCAAATGGAGAATTCTGGCGCGGCCACCGCCCCAAGTTGTGGCGCTGCCGAGGCTGGTGCTCGGCTGGAATCCTCCGAATTCCCGACGCTTGACTGTTTTGGCTTCTCCGCGGCCACGGTTCACTATCAGGACGAGGTGGATGACCCTCATCGACCAGCTTTACCTGCGGCTTCTCCATTGTCTGCTGCTGCTCTCACCGCAACGGTTCCTTTCCCTAGTCTTGACGATCTGACTCCGACCGCGCACACCAATAGCTACAGCAAAAGTGAGCCCTCTTCACCCGGCATCATCAGCGCGTCTACGCCTTCCCCTGATTCCAAGGCACCCTTTGTGCGTGGGCATCGCCGCCGTTCCACCCACGTTACTCGTCGTGACCTTGAGAAATTCAGAAAAGAAGTGTTGGGATTAGAGACCTCTGGGTTCGGCTTTGACGACGACCATAACCTCCCTAAACCGGATCCTGCCGTCGATCCCGAGTTCACCCTATTAAACAACGCTTTTGACACCGCAAACATGTCGATGAACAGCAGTGGGGGCATGACTGGTAGTAGCCCTGGGTCGGCCATGTTTGCCAGCTACGGCGATGGCTCCGGCGGTGCTTCGGGCATGCCCAATGTTCCCCGTCCCTCGATGTCGCCTGCGATGCCTCACCCACCGGCTCAGGTCAACGGCGGCGGAATGCCTGGTATGAACGGCGCAGTTCCTATGAACGCGGGCCATCAGATGGACCTGCATCACCTCTACGATATGGTATTGGAGTTGAGCGACGTGTTGAAGAACAACCGTGAAATGACGAAAAGTATAGTAACTAGTGCTGAAGAGATTATGGTATGTCTTCCATCGAAGTATATATATAGTCTGGTTTAACCTGGCTGACAGGGACAGAAACGTTCTGGATCGGAAGGCGCCAACCCGACCCTGCAGCAAGTGAATGGGGAAATCACTGGTAAGGGGTTGCTTGGATGTTCCTGTGTGGACGGCTGCTGACACGTTTAGGTGCCCGTATTACCGAGCTCGAGCGTGCCCTCGCCAAAGAGAGACGTTTAGTTGAGGTCTTACGAACCGAGCAGGCGGAGAACGCCAAATTGATCGGTGAATATGAGGCGACCCTCGGGACGATGGTCGAGCAAATCCGCAACTACTGCCAAAACAACAACATGCACTATCTGTCTCAGAAACGCCACTACAACAACCTGCTCCAAGCGGAGCGTGACTCCCATTTGGAGAGCCGCTTAGACCGTGACTACTGGCATGCGCAGACCATGAAGTGTGCCGAAATGATTCGGACGGCGTACCGTCTCCGCTCCGAGGAGGAAGAGCTGCCTATCCGAATCGTTGCAGGCCTACAGAACGAGGTGCGGGCGTACCGCAATGCGCTTGGTATGGAGCCCGAGAGGCCAGAGGACGAATTTGGATGGGAGATCTTGAAGGATGTCCCCGGCAGTGCCGAATGAGACCGACACCGTGGGCTGCCCATACCCTGGTGGTTGGCATTGACTTTGGTGGTGTTGCACGAGCTATAACGATTGGTTACCGATATATTTGCGTTAGAGGGAGCAGGCGTTTTTGGAGCAGCTGATTTGCGGCTACGGATTTTCCCGGCGAAGATACCCATTGTTGCATGGCTTGTATATGGGATCCGAATGAGATCCGTTAAGTAGTTTTATGTATTTCTATACCTGTGAGAAGTGGGAAAAAGAAGGAAATGCAATATTCGTACAATTTATTCAGTATAGAATACCTCGTCCAATACCTTCCACCACCCAGGACCTTCAGCACTTCCAACAGCCCCAGGCACTGGACTCTCCTACACACAATAGTATGTAAGCATCACTGACTTCCTCTTCATCTCGATAAAGTGATTGAATGATGAACATACCTGCATCCCATCCGTCAAAGCCCACCACTCCCTGACCTTCGGATTCGCCTTCATGCGCTGCATATCCCCCTCAAAGTCCTCTCCCACATACTTGAATGTTGCGAACAGCGTCCGCTCATTATCGAAGAATATAGAATCTGCACATAGCCCCATATTAGCTTTTACACTTGTTTTATATATATATATATATATATATAATTGAGAGAATTCTGGGGGAAAAAATGTACAATCGCAAATATTACACTCCTTGATCTGCTGCAGAACTTCGGGCCATACGTTCGCGTGACATTCTTTGTATGCGGCGATGGCGGACGGCTTGAGGTGGACGATTTGGGCGATGCGGCGAGTGGGCATTTTTGCAGTTGGTGGATCGGGGAGGTGGATTGAGAGAGAGGTTCAATGCTGGGTAAAGTATGAATGCTGGGAAGTGAGGATAGGGGATGATGGTATGGTGGTGTATATGTATGCTTTTATGTGGATTCGGGGTGATGATGGCCCGAATTGGGGGATGTGATGGGCCGAGGGAGGGGTAGTTCATTGTTATAGTTGGAGTGGGGGGATGATGTTTATTTGATGTGTAGTAGAATAGAGTTGTCTGTATAGCAGATATAGATACATATCTTAGTTTGGTTAATACTTAGTTGTTTGATGAACTACTTACTACTAGTAAGTGGTAGATTTTTGTTTACCTTTAGCGGTGGCCTCGTTTTAGTATCTGCGGTACTAGTACTAATATACTACTACTAGTATTCTGTCTGCTCTTGGATCTTCACTGTGATAGTGATGATAACATGCATGATCTACTACAGGAACTGTAGATTAGTGGTAGCATCTACTACTACTACTAGTACTACTACTAGTAGTAGCTTGGATAAAAATATCGTGCTAATTCTTCTGAGTAGTTAACCATGATATTTGTATAAATAAATTCTTCCACTCGACATCCTCCCACCCATCCCAATTGAATATACAGAACCAGCAACTTAGTATAATTCCTCCTGATTCCATAACATTACAAACTACCCACATCATACACCATCCAACATAACAAATAGTTACACCCAAACACCTTATCCGAATCAACGATCCCCAATCCATCATTATACACCACCAACCCAAAAAATAAAAGTAATTACATTAACCCGCCATACGTCTGGCCCTCCTTCTCCAACTCCTCATCCTCCTTAATATAATCCTCAAACCTATTCACCACCCCCTCTTCTTCCCCATGATGCGAGGGTTGACTTTCCTCTTCGTGCAGGTTGCTCTGCTGAGAGGGGTATTGGGCGCTGTCGTTCTTCCCTTGGCTGGCACTCTGCTGGGAGTGGGAGTCTTGGTGTTTGTGGTGGTGGAACATTTTGTCGAAGATGTTTTCGTGGTCTATAATATATATGATTTTAGTATATAAATTGTATTTATATAAGGGGATGGTGATGGTGGTGGAAATGAGGGATGGGGTCACGTACGTTGAGACATTTTCGTTGGTATCTCAGATATTTATATCGTAGAAATAGTATACTATGTAGTTAATTCAATTTCAAGTTAGATAGGATAGGATAAATGGAAGAATCAAGTTATATCAATTGTAGTCAGGTAGAATGGTTCTCCCGATCATATGGTTAGCTTCATATAAACGGGCCCGAAACTCAAAAGTATTCGCTATGCCATCATCATTGCGCTTTGACTTTCCGCTGTCTTCCGGGGATCTATTATCCGATCTACATTTGGGCAGTGCGTGCTGTATATGGCTTCTAGAATTTGTGTCCCATGGTTACTTCGTCTGCTTCATGAGTTGCTAACTCGGGCAGACGGGGCTACTATACGCGTGCGCAGACTCGGTGGAGGAACTAAAACCACGACGAAGATCAGAAGAACAGCAAAGTAAAAGCTCATTCCCATATATATTGATTACTATATAGACATGAAATCGCATGTGCTAGACTATCATCAAGATCTTTTCATAAACAAATAGTAAATGCATCACTGCCTCACGACCGGGTTCTTCGCCACCGGCCGGATCCACGAGATGCATACGTTCGCTGCCAGCGAAATCACCCCGATGATCCAGAGTGATCGAGCATAGTGCGACCCATTGTAGCGGAAGATAATGGCAAAGATGATTCCGCCAAAATTGCCCATGCCGCCGACGGCACCCGACACGACACCTATCATCATTAGTACAGAGTCATCCAGAAGAAGTATTAACGGGAACTCACCATTGGCAAATGGGTATACATGAGGCACCAAAGAAAAGATGGCACCGTTGCAGGCTTCGAGGAAAAAGGCAAGCCCGGCCATGAGGCCGAACATGGTTGCCTCGGATTTGGGGTTGGTCAGTCCGATCGCGAGTTGGAAAGCTCCCGTGACGAGTCCCAAGCAGACCAGCAGAATCTTCTTTGACCATAGGCTTTGTGTGGCCCGATACAGAAAGTCGGCCAGGAAGCCACCGGCCGGTCGGCAGATAATATTCAGTAGTCCGAACATGGCGGCCCATCGTCCGGACTCAGTTTGTCCCATGCTGGGAAAATTCGCTACATAGTAGTTTGCCAGAACGGACTCGATGGCAAGTTCTGCACCGAACGTGCAGGCGTATGGGATGGCGACGGCTGCAGTGAACATACTGAAGAGCACGTTCAGGGCCTCTTTGCGTGTGGGTGCTACGACCGTGTCCGTCCGCAGCGCGTCGAACTGGCCAATTTGCTGGGACTCGGCTCCCAGGGAGATGGGGGTCTGGGCGCCGCCTTTCTTTTCCACATCCGCCATCATATCGGACACCGAGGGGGCTTTAGACGGAATCCCCGAGTTGACATTGATGATCTTGCCCTCGGACTCAGTGGCCTCCTTCACCCAGAGATGACGCTCCGACCATTTCCCCGTCGGCGTGTCCTCACATACGAAGAGCATGGTCAGGGCAACCCCGACGATGATGATGAACGGCACGATATATGCCACGCGCCATGCTTTGTGTGGTGTCAAGCCTTGGACTTTGACCAGGGAATCGTACACAGCGGGCATAACGAAGCTGAGACAAGTAAGCCAAATGATCAAACAGGTACAGTGTTCAACGTACAATGTGATTCCACCACCAGCATTGCCCCAACCACCAGCCAGAGCATTTGCGGTCCCAACAATCTTCTTGTCAAAGAACCCCGTGCACCAGACCTGGCATGGGACAAAGGTACCTCCGAGGATACCCACGAAGAAGCGCAGGGCAATCAGGCCATTAGGAGTGGTGACAAGACCCGCCATGGCAGTTGGAATCGACCCACAAAGCAGCAGCCCGATGAACACCAGACGAGGACCGAATTTGTCACAGAGGGGTCCGGCTACGAATCTCACAAGCAGACTAGCACATGGTCAACGGATGTCTATATATCACCAGGAGTGTGGAGGCGGGCAAGGCTTACGTCGCAAGCAGAGCAACAATGTTCGAGTTTGCTACCTGCGTCTCTGTCATGTTAAGATCTTGGCGAATGGTGTCGGTCAACTAGATGAGGAACCTATGTCAGCCTTTGTCCATGCATGCGTCCGGGTTAGGAATCACTTACCAACGGTGGAAAGGCATACCACGACAGGAAAGCCACCATAAATCCCAGCCATGAGAAGAAGAAAACTCGACCATACTTGTCAAACGGGTTGAGGACGGGAATGGACTGTGCTTTGCGATTACTCGGGTTAATCTCCGGAGAGGCAAAGAGGAGCTTGACGCGATCCATCGCCAGACAAATTCCGTCGATGGAAGATCAATTGATGGTAAACTGTGTCACTGATGAGACAGCAAGGATGTAAAGTACAGGAGGGCTTCAAGTATGCACAGAGAGGAAGGGTATCACGACAACGACGAAAAACCACCACCAGGGTGTATTAGATGCAAGCAGACAAATGGACGACTGGGTCCCGACGGAAGAGCAATGAGACTGGAGAGTGTGGTATAGGGCAATACAGGAGAAATAAGACCGAATTAGATCGATGGAGAGGTCGTGTATATATAGACCGGTGCTTCGGATAGTGTCTCAAGAAGTGGAAACGTTCTTCTCAGACGTAGGAAACGCTCCGACACCCCCGTGTGGGAGGCCTCATTCAAGGCATCAATCTATCTAGTTATCTATCTCCTAGGAGGGTCAGCGGTCTGATTACCATTTGATTGATGCGTGTGGCTTGCTTGTGATAAAATTAAACGACACAACATTCAAGGAAACATAAATCAGTATCTCCTAGGAAATGGGTCAAGCCCAACACAGTGTGGCAGCAAGAAAAAAAAAAATTAAATAAAATATTATCAGCAGCAACAACAGCGAAATAAACAGAACCAAGGCAAGCGTGTGAACTCAATCTAGGAGCAATGGCCGGGGATCCACAGCTGGCAGTCGGGTTGAGCGTGGCTGTGGATACTGGGTCGCGCGGTAAGAGAAATCGTCCAGCGTGAAAGCCGGAGTCACTAGTCATGGACCTAAGCAGGAAGATGACCTCAGGGTTCATGGCATGGCGATCGAGGCCCAGTTCATGACCCTCATCAGGAGGCGTGGGCCAACGAGACCAGTGCTGGAGATAAGCAAGGGTCTCTGCACGGCAGTTTGGGGCATGATTGGCATGGTTCTGGGGAACTGATAAGGATAAGGTAGAAGATCTGGATAAGTAACTCCGCGGGATTGTAGATGGGAAGAAGGATGACTGTTTGTGTATTTCCGGGAGGGATGTGGGCGTTGAGGGATAGGGAGGGGAGGAATGGTAGAGAGAGATTGGCGAGAGATAGACTAGTCATACGGAATAGATAGGGAGGGAGACCCAAGGGAAAGAGGCAGCCACACTCAGGCACTCACTCACTCATTCATTTACTTACTCCTACTAGACTAACTGTAACTGTATCACGGGATGGAGACGCGGCCTCAGGAAGCGACGCGGTCACTTTCCATTTCTCTCATCCTGAAATAGACATTCATAAACAAAGAAGAAATACAAATAAGAAAAAAAAATAATCAAACCCACCGGCAAGTGGGCCATCGTCACCGCAAGTCATCCTCAAACCTCCGGCTGAAATACTTTGCAAGTCCTAGTAGTATCCATTTCCCCTTCGTCTACGAGCTAGCAAAAAATTTTCCCTCCTCCTGAAGCTTGCCATTGCTTGACCTTGCGAGAGTCTACAGCATACATCCCCAGTCGGGTATAGTAGGAGGTGCCAGCTACTATGCCGTACTATAGACTACTCCCGTAGTGGCCAGCCAGATGGGGCGGCTGTAAATTAATAACGGGGGCCACTACCTCCTTACGTATTCCTCGCCTCTTTGGCAGGTGGATATCCAGTCATCTAGTACTGTACGTCGTTGTCTCGACCCGGTTTCGAACTGCTTCAGGGATCCATCTCTCTTCCGTCCGGATGGAAGATGTACAAAGGGAAAGCAGAAAAAAAGAAAAGGGGGTTGCAGATCGACTGTCTACGTAGTACAATGATACTTCTTCACTCCCGATATAGGAACCCTCGGCATCCGATTTCGTATCAGACACTGGAGAGATAGGCTGAAACTGGCCGATAAGGAGACCCAAACAATGAGAAAGCAATCCCAGTTGGGAAAAATTGTAATAAGAGGGAAAAAGAAATGTAATGCACGGGCCACCTCGTGGGCTGATCCTTGATAACTCCCTCGTCCCAGCCAATCAGCACTCGCCCATTAGGGGGCCCCGGACAAGTTGACAGCCGCTGCCCTAAATCGGAACGCCGGGCTGCTTTTGGTGCAAAACTGGAATTGGCCATGCAAGGCACGCAAGGTAAAACCACAAAATACAACGAACGCTCCTCGGCTACGAACGGCTGCCCCGGGCCCCCAGTGTAAGCTTCTGGAGGCCGGACTAGCACCTGCTCACTTATGTATGGCGTTCCGAGCATGGACTAACAGCAATTAATATAGGCAGCAGTTGCATCGGGCAGAATATGGCACCATCTTAATATCCACGATGGGTTCCAGTCGTCCAGTCGTGTGTGTCGTCTGGGGGCTCCCTGGGCCACCACTAAGGATTAGGTGTAATACGAATAGTAGACAGTGTGGAACTGGTATTGGAGATACATAGAATAGATTACATGGTGTGCTGTGGATGAACGTCCGAATCCAGTCAAAGAAGCCCTAGCTCCAATCGTAACATCATCATCATCATCATTATCACCGTCGCCACAGACGAACCGGCTACCAGTCAATCACGGAGGACGGCGCAGCCGTACCGCACCCGGATGCCTTCTCGCCCGCCTTCTTCCCTCGCATCCCCTTGTACTTCTTGTCATGCTTCTTGAAAGGATCGGGCGCCTCGCCCTTTCGCACCTTCCACTTCTCCGTTCCCAGAACCGAGTCGAGCTCCTCGACAGGCGGCAGCTTCAGGTAGATCCACCCGTCATCCCGTTCCTCAATCGGAAACGTTGCGATGTTCATGCTCTCGTCATTCGAGCATCGGCCTGCCTGCTCCCCGTTGAGCTCGAAATTGCGCTTGTGGTAGGGGCATGACACCCAATACTTGCCGGCGTCGTCGTCGCCAATCAACCCGTCTGACAGGACAAACGCCCGTTTGTGAGGGCACATCTGCTGCGTCGCGTAGTACTTGCCCTTGACCTTGAAGATAGCCAGCTGCGTGTCCCCGCGCTTCACATTGGCGGATGACATCTGTGGCGAGCCATCCGAGAAGTAGTCAGCCTTGATGATCGGCTGCCACGAGAGAGTGGACCATTGGTGACCCTTGAAGTCTTCCTTGGCCGGTTCGCTAGGCCAGTAGGTCGGGCGCTCCTGATCGCGCTCCCTGATCACCTCCACGGTGTCGACCGTGTCGTCCGTGTTGGCAAATTGTTGGAAGTATTTGCGCCGCTTGGGGTTTCGCACTGTTTCGGTCCACTCGCAGAAATAACTGTCAACCAGATCCTGCATCTGCTGTTCCATCTCCGCCCCAATGCCCAATTTATCTTCCACGACTACCTCACGTAGATATTCAATACCACCCGGGAGGTTTTCAATCCAGCGAGCTGTCCGTTGCAGCTTGTCTGCTGTGCGGATGTAGAATATAAGATACCGATCGATCATCGGGATGACCTTCTCGGGCGGAACATCTTTGGCGAGGATCTCGGAATGCCGAGGTTTGGCACCTCCGTTGCCTCCAACGAAGATGTTGAAGCCTTTGTCGGTGGAAATGAGACCGAAACTGAAGCAGATTAGCCAGATGCCCTAAGGATAACTAACAGGTATGTAAAACTCACTCTTTGTTCTGTGCCTCTGCGCATTCGCGCACGCAGCCGGAAACAGCGCCCTTTAACTTGTGCGGGGAGCGGATACTCTTGTAGCGCTCTTCTAGCCGGATGGCCATGCCAACACTGTCGCCAATACCGAACCGGCACCATGTGGTCCCCACGCAGCTCTGAGAAGCATTAGTATGTTCTCAGACCCAACATAATCGACGAATCATCATGGAGATACATACCTTGATAGTGCGAAGTGACTTGGCGTACGCATGCCCGCTCTCCATACCCGCATCGACCAATTCCGTCCAGATGTCAAGCAGATCCTGCTTCTTAGCCCCAAACAAATCGATACGCTGACCTCCAGTAATCTTGCAATAAAGGTTGTATTTTTTAGCGACTTGCCCGATCGTGATCAATTTGTCCGCGGTGATTTCCCCTCCAGGCACTCGAGGAACAACCGAGAAGGTCCCATTGCGCTGAATGTTGGCAAGGAACCGATCGTTTGTTTCTTGTAATTCATGTAAATCCTTATCCATGATGTGTCTGTTGAAAAGACTGGAGAGGATCGAGGCGATTGCAGGCTTACACAGCTCGCAGCCAAGCGAGTCGGGGTTCTTGCCGACCGTCCTCATGACATCCTCGAACGTCTTCAGTTGCTTAATGGCAATGATATTGTAGAGATCGGCCCGCGCGTGTGGAATATGAGCACATACTGCATACACGTTAGAAGAATACCGACAGCCCCAAATAGGTGGATACATACAGTTGTTCGAGACTTCTTGTCCCATGTCCAGCATGGTCTTGTTGAAGATCGATTGCACTAGCGGCATACAGCCGCCACAGCCGGTCCCCGCTTTAGTGCACGACTTGACCTCCGCAACGGTTTTGCAGGTGCCATTTTTAATGTTTGAAACCAAGTCGCCTTTGGTAACATTATGGCAGGCGCAAATTTGAGTGCTGTCATCCCTATAAACGCAATGAGTAATTAGCAAATTACTTCGGAGTCTGACCGGATTGAATGACTTACAGATCGTCGGCGTTTTCCTCTCCGCCGCTCTGAGCCCCCAGAATGAACTGGCTGGGAGGTACGTCCAGCTCTTTTTGGGACTTGACCATCTGATTCAACTTGAGGTAGTCCTTTGTATCTCCGATCATCATGCCACCCAGGAGATATTTGCCGTCCATTGTAAAGAGATATTTCTTGTAGACACCGCCAAAAGGATCCTTGTAAGTAAGGGCCTTTACAGGCGGCTCATCTTCAGCTACATCTCCGGAGGGCATTGACGGCCGCTGACCGGGGAGGAACTTGGGTCCATCCCGATCGGCGAAGAAATCTCCAAAGCTGGCCACATCTACACCTAGCAGCTTTAGCTTGGTGCTGAGATCTGGTCGCTTGAAGCTCTTGCGTTCCTTGTCGGGGTTGGTGAGGTTGTATGCGAGCACATCGGCCATCTCGATGCCGGGGGCGATGATACCAAAGGTTTGGTTCTCCCAACTAGCACATTCGCCGATCGCATAAATGTGTTCGATGGATGTTTGGAGACTGTTGTAGTGTGTTAGTATGTATCAAAATAAATGCAAGCAGTGACTATACCTTTCATCGATAACGAAACCTCCTCTTCCAGCACACTGGATCCCCGCAGACTGGCCCAGCTCATCTCGTGGCCTGACTCCGATCTATTCTGAGAGTTAGCGCGTCAAAAGCAGCTGGCGTTGGCAAACAGGAGCGTACAGCAAAACAGATGCACGAGCAGCTGAGCTCTTCCCCATCCTCGAAGACAATTCCAGTAACATTGTTGTCATCATCCGTATTTATGCGTGCAACCCGCTTCTCATGTAGCACATCCAATCCCAGCTCTCGGATTTTGCGGGTCACAAGGGTGCCAGCATCTCCATCGAGCTGTCTCGCTAACACCCACTTGTTGCGATCGACGAGTTTGACACTACCAAAGTCTTGCAGGTCTGTCATCGCTTTGGCTGCTTCTAGACCCAACAGACCACCTCCTACAGTAACGCCCGTCTCACCTTTATGCTTTGACGCAAACTCTATGAGCTTTTCCAGATCCGAGATCGTCCGGTAAACAAAGATGCCTTTGGCATCGTGTCCTGGGGTGCGCGTGGGCAGCACGGCATCCGAGCCCGTAGCCAGGATCAGGATATCGTAGGGGATAACATCATCAGTCGAGGTTTTGACCGTCTTGCGGTCGGGGAAGATGTCGGTTACCCGAGTGTTGAGATGATAGTCAAAGGATCGGTCTTTGATGGAACCGTACTAGTTAGGGCACCGGCGTCGGCGTTAGTGTCTGAACCAAGACCGCCCATCCCGAACGCGGATCGGAAACTCTGCGGACTCGGAGTACTCACCCATTCTCTCGGGTTCAGGTAAAGATCCTCGATCTTGCGATGTTCGAAAAACGATGAGAGGCCGACTCGGTTGTAGGCGATGTGTGGCTCTTCGCCAATTACAACGATATCATACTTTCGTCGCTCAGAGTCCTGCTTGACGAGCTTCTCACTGAGAACAAACAGGAGTAGTCAGTATTCCGAGTTTCGGCGCCAATAAACAGTGTTCGACTACCCAAACATACATGAAGGAGATAGCCACCATGCCCAAGCCGACCACCACGATCTTCTGGCGTCTATTCGAAGCCGATCGGCGAATAGCCGGGTCTGGTAGGGAATCAACTGCGGGCGAGGGAACACTGGGGACGCTGTCCATGACGACAGCGTCACCGTTCCCAGACCCATCCAACAGAGGCATTGTGATGACAGAGGATGATCAAGGAATCCTACGTCGATGACTGTGGCCAAGAGGAATCCAGCGCGGTTTTGTTTGTGCCACAGGGGAAAGGGAACCCGAGCGGCACCGGAGTTGCGCTACACAGCCATAGGCAACAAACCACCATCATTGTATCTATCTCGCCGAGAGGCGAACGATAACTGCGCGGAGTTACGTTCGATAGGGCGTTTGGATTGTGTTTCTCCGTGGGACTTGACTGGAGGGGTGACTATGACCTCTGAGGTAATCGGTTGAGAGAGGGGGGGTCCATGCTCGATCGTACTGTAATCAGGGACCTCTTGACCCGCCATGCAGATCATAGAGGAGCCACCGTTCGTGGAGAGGGGGAAAGACGGATAAGAACCGGGAATGCGATGGGTTCGATCGGTAATTGGGGAGTGGCTGCATGAATCGAGCGAGCGAGCACGACTCCGCGGAGATGCGATGGAGAAACGAAGGCATTGAGGCTGTTGCTTATCGCGACTTCCTTATCGGTTCCTGATAAGCGTCTGATTGGCCGCAATCGGAAGTATACGTACCAGAGATGCGGGTGGGAAATGAAGAGACTGGAGCTCCTTGCAGTTGCTGGAGTCACATCATTGTGAGGGAATTCGATGGATGGTTTGAGGATGCGTTGGGTTTCCAGCAGCAGGTGCATGCTACATACTAACGGCTTACTACTCACTTACTACCAGTTGTTCTAGACGTCCACTCACTGACTACTGACTCCTGACTGACTAGTAGTCGGCCGATGGGACCATTTCTTTTCTTCCATCTTTTCCTGCTCGCCCCCACTGCGGCAAAAAGCTCAACAGTCCCAGGCAATATTACTTGCTCAATAATCCCCGATACCGTGAATACACGATTAATCACGGTCAACTGGAGACTTCGTAATCCTGCTGCATTTAATGGGCAATTAATCGGCGGTGGAGCCCTTTGGAAACTAAAGTGGATCTGGCCGCTGTCCTCCTGGGGCTTGTTTTGCCATTACAGCACAAATTGTCACTAGTATCGAGTTTAGTTTAGTGAGTCTGCTTGCTGCTCGGGAGAGGCTTGTTTCCAGTTTTTTTTTTCATGCCTGGTTTTTTATACTTTTTTTTTTCGGGACCAGGTCTCAAGTTCCCACATTCCCGGTAGGAATGTTCGAATGAGAAGCCCGTGTTCTCCCTGTCTACCCGACAGGAGGACACACCAGGCCATGACTAGACCTGCTGGAGAGTACGGAGTATTACTATTACATATCTCTGCTTGTTAGTTAACTCATTGTTCGAATCCACCGGCTCCCGCGGAAATCTCTCCGGCCGAATGTTGGCCCTCACTCACGCCCTCCCCCCCAAAATAGATCTCAAACCAGGTGGAATACCTCCTGTTTCTTCTCCGTGGACTTAGTACCAGATCCCGGCCGTTGCTGGTCACACCCCGTTGAGCTAATCCAAAAGCCGGCAGTTTTGAGGGTTCATCTGTCATCTGGTTTTTGAGCGATTAATTTTCCCGTAGCTAACCCTGATCTTCCCCGGATGAGTGTCTTGCTCCTCTCATCTGCCTTCTGCATGCTCTGTATCGGTCCTAAGCTATACTCGTCTTCATCCCTGATATTGTCTCATGCCTTATTTGGCACCTCGAGGCCATTGAACCACATAAACACATACCATGGCGACTGTCACTGAGGTGCTGACAGAGCCTTTCACCGCTCAAGGGGTCACCCTCAAGTCGGGTCCGATCAAGGTCCACCAGGAGGAGTTGCCTGCCGTGGAACTTTCAGACATTCCTCTGCCGCCCCCGTCAAAAGAGCCAACCGAGGTCCTCAGTATAGACAAGCCAACCCCCGATTATCATGTTCCGCGCGACCCTCGCCTTATCAGACTGACCGGTGTTCATCCCTTCAATGTCGAGCCTCCACTCACGGCGCTGTACGACGAAGGTACTCAACGTCTTTCCTGCCGCCCCGCTCTTTTTGAACTCGGCGCAAACTTCCTTGTATTCGTAGCGATGCTCACCTGCCAATAGGCTTCTTGACTTCCCCGGAACTGTTCTATGTGAGAAATCATGGCCCGGTACCATTGGTGAAGGACGAAGATATCCCCAATTGGGAGATTAGCATCGAAGGGTAAGGAATCTCGATTTCCTCAAACATCGCGTCATCATCTGACAATGGATATGCAGCCTGGTGGAGAAGCCGCTTGTCCTCAACTTCCGGGACATTTTGCAGCAATACGATCAGATCACAGCACCAATCACTCTCGTCTGTGCGGGAAACAGACGGAAGGAGCAGAATGTGGTCAGGAAGACCAAAGGTTTCTCATGGGGTTCTGCCGGCCTGTCGACGGCTCTCTGGACTGGCCCAATGATGGCAGATATCCTACGGAGTGCGAAGCCTTTGAGGAAAGCCAAGTATGTCTGCATGGAGGGAGCTGATAAGCTGGTAAGTTACCTTATCCATCCATGCATGCAGTGCCCTGACAGTTTGCTTTCAGCCAAACGGGTATTACGGGACATCGATCAAACTCAATTGGGCCATGGATCCCAATAGGGGAATCATGCTGGCCCACAAAATGAATGGCGAGGATCTCCGTCCTGATCACGGCCGTCCCTTGAGGGCTGTCGTACCCGGCCAGATCGGTGGCCGAAGTGTCAAATGGCTGAAGAAGCTCATTCTCACTGATGCGCCCAGTGATAACTGGTACCACATCTATGACAACCGAGTATTACCGTGAGACTTGCCTATCCGACCACAAGAGTACGTTGTCTAACTGTTATCCAGGACAATGGTTTCGCCTGAAATGTCGTCCAGTGACCCAACTTGGTGGCGCGACGACCGATATGCGATTTATGATCTTAACGTGAACTCTTCTGTTGTATACCCCGAGCATAAGGAGGTGCTGGATCTTGCGTCGGCAGGCCCGTCGTACAACGTGAAAGGATATGCCTATGCAGGAGGCGGTCGGAGGATTACGAGAGTCGAAATATCTTTAGACAAAGGCAAATGTACGACGATCATTGCGCAAATGTGTTGAGGCAGAGCTAACATGTTTTTAGCCTGGCGATTGGCCAACATCTCATATGCCGAAGACAAGTATCGTGACTTTGAAGGGGACTTGTTTGGTGGTAGAGTGGACATGTCCTGGCGCGAGACTTGTTTCTGCTGGTGCTTCTGGTCGCTGGATATCGCCATTCCTGAGCTAGAAAATACAGATGCCATTCTCGTGCGAGCCATGGATGAGGCCTTGGCTCTCCAACCACGCGATATGTATTGGTCTGTTCTGGGCATGATGAACAATCCTTGGTTCCGGGTCACCATCACGAAGGAGAACGGGACTCTCAGGTTCGAGCACCCAACAGATCCTACTGGGCCCGGCGGATGGATGGAGCGCGTCAAAAAGGCCGGGGGTGATCTGGTCAATGGTTACTGGGGAGAACGACAAGCAGGAGAGGAACCGACAGAGCCTGAGCCTGAGAAGGAGATCAACATGAAGAAAGAGGGCGTGAACCGGATTATCGACCTTCAAGAATTCAAGAAGAACTCAAGCGATGAGAAGCCCTGGTTCATCGTGAACGGTGAAGTGTACGACGGCACGGCATTCCTGGAGGGCCATCCGGGAGGAGCTCAGAGTATCATCTCGTCTGCTGGCATCGACGTTTCTGAGGAATTTTTGGCAATCCGTACGTCCTAGGGACCTTCGAACAATGGAAATTAGAATGCTGACACACCCACAGATAGCGAAACAGCCAAAGCCATGATGCCCGATTACCATATCGGAACCATGGATAAGGCGTCCTTGGAAGCGCTCAAGAACGACAACGCACCACAATCGGATGAACCTCGTGCAACATTCCTTCAGTCGAAATCATGGACAAAGGCAACACTTGTAAAGAGGACGGACGTGTCCTGGGACACGCGGATTTTCACTTTCCAGCTCCAACACGACAAACAAACCCTGGGTCTGCCCATTGGCCAGCATCTCATGATCAAGGTCGCCGACCCTACCAGCAAAGAAGTCATCATCCGCTCATACACCCCTATCTCCGATACCAACCAGGAAGGCACCATGGACCTGCTGGTCAAGATCTACTTCGACACGCCCACAGTCAAAGGTGGCAAGATGACCATGGCCTTAGAGAAGCTCGCGTTGGGATCAGAAATCGACTGCAAGGGTCCCACTGGTAGGTTTGAGTACCTTGGGAACGGCAAGATCTTGGTGAGCGGGAAAGAGCGCCATGTTAGTTCTTTTAAGATGATTTGCGGTGGAACTGGTATCACGCCAATCTTCCAAGTGCTACGTGCGGTGATGCAGGACAAGCAGGACCCTACGTCATGCGTGGTCCTGGATGGCAATAGACAGGAAGAGGACATCCTCTGCCGCGCCGATCTGGACGCCTATGAAGCGTTGGATAGCAAGAAGTGTAAGGTGGTACACACTTTAACCAAGGCTCCGGACAGTTGGACTGGACGCCGTGGACGTATATCAGAAGACCTGCTGAAGGAGCACGCCATTCCCGATGGCAAGAGCATGGTGCTTATCTGTGGTCCAGAGGCCATGGAAAAGTCCGCCAGGAAGATCCTTCTGGAGCAAGGATGGGCGGAGTCGGACCTTCATTTCTTCTAAGGGAAGCGCCTCCTCAGTACTGGAAATAGCCTTCGTCACTAGTATAGGAAGACGACATTGTTAGATGTATATAAGAACGCTAATTCCACAAGAAATATGTACGAACTGTGATGTTTTTCAAATTTGAAGGCTAAAATTGGGCTCGAAGTGCGCCTGCAATATGCGCGAGTCAGACGTAGGATCGTCTACCAGTGTCAGAATCGTCTCATTCGTTTACTCACGTCAGTCATTTAAGACAAGTAGTCGGTCCTGCTTTATAAGGAAAGCGACTGTCAACTAAATGGCGTCGCACTATAGTCACTTCATCTCCAAACGGGCCACACGGAGACAGTCGCTGGCGCTTTTCTGGATGTAAATGCTATACCCGACGTTTCAAAGAACCTTGGACACGTTCTATACCGCGTAAGCAGCGAATAGAGGTAGAAGTTTTGTTTCACTCATCCGACGACTGACAGGTTCAACGTCGTGGCGCACACCAAGATTCCATTCAGCGGAGAGCGAGCGTAGGGAATCCTTCGAAGATATAACGGAGGTTTCGTACGTTCATCGTACTTTATTCTAAAACAATTCCCTGCCGTATTTCTGAATCGCACTCGAAAAGGCACTTGAAGCAATTCGCAATCCGACCCTATTAATGACGTCTTTCAGCATATGGTTAGTAGTATGGAGCAGACAACTTCTCCCACGGCAACAGCTTCAATGGATGCAGGAACCGCCAGATAAACCTGTCAATCATCCACAGATCATGACCATACAGCGGGCCAACAGTGGAGTCTCCCGTATTCATCGTTCTTACTCGAACACAGCCCACCAAAACCTCGTGGGAATCTCAAGTGACAACCACCAGACGACGCGTTGGCAGCGCGAGATCACGCCTCACTAAACCCGAACCAGACTAGTGCCTCTCCCCGTCCAACGCCCGGACCACCGCTTGTTCGGGAAACCGAAGCGGCAGGAATTCGCCGCGGTTCAACCAACCCGCGGACGAGAGCTCTCCCCTCCGTCCCCTCAGAAATAACATTATTTACCTTATCCACCTCTACACACAAAGTCTCTCTTTACGCACCAATCAATCGCCATGCCCCCGCGCAAGAAAGCCAAACTTACCCCCCAAAGCGAGAATGCCGAGCCGTCCGCAAGCACCACTGACCAGCCAACAACCGCGGATTACGACCCAGTGACAGATCCCTGGACGGACGAGCAAGAGACCGCGTTATTGAAGGGGATTATAAAATGGAAGCCTGTCGGTACGTTGACCGCAACCCTTCTCCCCGCGCGCGCAGGGGAAACACTATCATCGGAGCAGTGTGACGCTAACGCGGCCCTCTTTCTCTTTCAAAAGGCATGCACAAGCACTTCCGTATGATCGCGATTTCGGAGTTCATGAAAAGCCAAGGCTATGCGCCCGCGCACGCAGAACACACACGGATACCGGGGATATGGAAGAAGCTGGGGACATTATACAATCTTCCGGCTTTGGATGAACGGGTGGGTTGATGCCCTCTCTCATCCATGGAGATTACGTCCTTTGGATTCTGGCTCGTGCTAACATTCATCTAATATTACGGAATGAGCAGGAAGATTCATTGATAACAGACACCGCCGAGGACTCAAAGGAATTCTACTGCCCGTTCGAATTACCCCAGGATGAATACGGAGAATTGATGTTCGAACGGCGGCTGGCGATGGAAGGAACCGCATCTCCTGATCCTAGCACGCATGCGGGATCGAGGAGGGGGAGCACGGTGGCTGATACGGACGGTGCGTATATAATATCTCTGCCTTGGTTGTCAACTGGTTGTTGGGGAAAGCGTACTAATCGCAATCGATTCATCTCATACAGAACCTCGCTCTTCCCCCGCGCCATCACGAGGACGGAAGTCAGGTCGTGGCGGGCGTCCAGCGGGACGAGGGACGCGTTCGTCGCGTCTTCATGTGGAGGTCGAACCGCCGGCGAAGGGATCCGGAGCTGCGGAGGAAGAAGCGGATTCTGGCGAGGAGACAGGCGCAAATGAAGAAGGCGATGAAGATGGTTCGGACGCTGCGAAGGATGATAGTGAGGTCGATGAGGAAGCGGAGGGGGGCTCGCCTACGACGCGAAGTACGCGTGCCCAGACATCGAGGACGAAGCAGAAGGGCAGAGGTACAGCAGGCACGGGAACTCGGAGGGGTCGACGGCGTCAGCCTTGATATTGATATGTGCTTTCTGCTGACGTTCGTTGGCTCTGTCTGTAACAAATACGTCGCTAATGATACCTTGGGAGAAATAGGCGTTTTGGTGGGGCTTTGTTTGTATGATTACTTTTCTCCTTCTTTGTTCTACCATCCATTGTTCTTTTGCCGGACGGTACGCTATGCATACTCCGTTGATCAAGCCATTGGCTTGTATCTTTCTATCTCCAACGACGACAGTTGGAGAATAGGAAATCCGAGATAGGAAGTAAAACAACATAGATGGCATCTAAATACATGGGAGCACATACAATAGATCACTACATATTTGGGTCTAGAGTCATTCACAGGCTAAAAAGGAAACAATTTAGGGGAATAGTACAGGCATGTTCCAATCCCTTACAGACGCTTCATGATGGCCTCAGCATACTCGTGGGTCTTGGCGGAACCACCCAAGTCACCGGTGAGGGCCTAAAATCGCAATTGTTAGCATCGTGTCTCGCAATGGTACCGTCACTTTGATAAAATGCTAGCTTACCTTTCCTTCGGCGAGGGTGTCGAAAGTAGCCTTCTGGATACGAGTGGCGTGCTCATTCAGACCCATGTGCTGAAGCATCATGATACTGCTCAGAAGCAGAGCAGTGGGGTTGGCAAGACCCTTGCCAGCAATGTCGGGGGCGGAACCGTGGACAGCCTCGAAGATGGAGCACTCGTCACCAATGTTACCGGAGGGGGTCAGACCAAGACCACCGATCAGACCGGCGCACATATCGGACAGAATGTCACCATACAGGTTGGGCATGACAAGGACCTTGTCGTTGTAGGGGGTGGGGTCGGTAACGATCTTCAGGCACGAGTTGTCCAGCAGCTCAGCATCGAACTCGACGTCGGGGAACTCCTTGGCAATGTCACGAGCAAGGTTGAGGAAGAGACCGTCGGACATCTTCATGATGGTGGCCTTGTGCACGACACGGACCTTCTTCTTGTTGATGGAACGAGCGTACTGGAAGGCGAAGCGGAGCACTCTCTCGGAGGCCTCCTTGGTGATGAGCTTGATGCTCTGGACAACACCGTCGACGACGACGTGCTCAATGCCGGAGTATTCACCCTCGGTGTTCTCACGGATCAGGACGGTGTCGACATTGTCGTAGGGGGTCTTGTAACCGGCAACGGAGCGGCAGGGACGGACGTTGGCGAAGAGGTTGAAAGTACGACGGAGGGTCAGGTTCAGAGAGACGTGTCCCTTGCCGACGGGGGTCTATGTGACAAAGCGTTTAGAGAAAGACTTATCGCAAAACAGTCTAGGAAGCATGGACATACAGCAAGAGGACCCTTGAGCGCAACGTAGTTCTTCTGGACGCTCTTGATGGCGTCGTCGGGGATGGCGGTCTTGCCGTCCTTCAGGATGGGAGTAACATCGACGGGCTCCCACTTGATAGGGGCCTGCACACAGGTAATTTAGCATCGCTGATTTGTATACTAGAGGCGATCGGAAGTAGCGGGAGGCGTACGTTTGCGGCAGCGAAGATATCCTTCACCGACTGGGAGATCTCGGGACCGATACCATCACCCTCGATCAGAGTAACAGTGTATTTTCCCTATCAGGACACATAATGTCAACAACGCCATTCAGAAATGATCCATCCTTCGGAAGAGCTGTCGAATACAGGCCGTTGTCGCAGGTTGCGGCGGAAGCTACCGGACCAAAGGATGGAAGCAAAAAAATGTTTCAGGCGTTGCCCGGGACGCGACATACATCAGTATCCTTCTGACCCTTGAACTTAGCGACGCGCTCATCGGCAGCGGCGGAGTAAGTGCGGAGCTAAAAGTGCAGTTAGATCGAGATTCCTTCCAGGCCATGTTGTCGAGGAAAGCGGTCGGTAGATTACCTGCGAGAAGGGCGAGGCAATGCGAGGGGACACACGTGTTGTCCGCAAGCATTGACGGGCGGGAGCGACAAAGTTCCTGGCGGCAATCATTGTGAAAAAGTCCCCGAGATCGACGTCAAACGGTCAAGGGTGTAAATAAAAAGAAGGAATTGGGGTGTGGTGAGGAGGAAGAGAGGAGAGTGAGGAAGAAAAGGGAAGAGAGGAGAGGAGAGAGAGAGAGGTGGAAAAGGCGGCGGCGGGTTTGCTTGTGCGGGAACGAAGAGAGCAAGTCGCGGCGAAGAAAGGCACTTTAATCCATCCAGTGATTCTCGGCACCGCCGCTCCCGGACCGACCGAACAAAAGACAGACTTGCGAGTTACCGTCAGTCCACCGGCTCTAGTCTTGCTTCCCGTGCTTGATCTGATAACTCCCAAGCTAACCCAACGTCCCAAACGTTCCCTCCGAACTGCCTGTCCTGGCTGTGCCTATCCTTTTCTATAGTTAACACCCTAATTTTGAACCCACCCCCCATCTTCCCCACCCTTGCTGCTGCGCATTTTCCTGCATGTGGCCTCCCTAATCCCTCCCCTCCGTGCTTAATCGCTCTCCCCATAATAACAACCTCCGTTATCGCCGATTTCCCAGACACCCACCCAACCCCCCCAAACATGGCTGACGTCGACGTGGCCAGTTACTATAACTTGCCCTCGGCTTTCCCCGAAGAATGGCCCGCTGAGCTGGATGAAAGCGACCATTCCGAAGACGAAGCTTTAGAACGTCGCGGCTCGCGCTCGGAGAAATCCCGATACTTTGCTCTGGAGCGCAACAATAGCACGCGGAAGGGGGTCACTTTAGGCTCCTTCAAAGCGAACAATGGTCGGGAGAACCTCGTGAAGATGGATGAGCCTGATCCCCTGGGAACGGGGGACAGTGTGCTTAAGATTCTCAAAATGCGAGGCTTGTCTCTAGACGAGGAAAGCCGCCTGCGGAATCGTTTCCTGCTCTCATCGACCTCCTTCTCCCCGGCGCTCTTCCTTTCCCAAGTCCATTCCGATGCGTCGATACGGTCCCTTCTCGAAGGTCTCAACATCCTCTCTCAATCAATTGATCAGAAATCCGCGTCGCTGAAAGTCCTCGTCGAAGCGAACTTCGAACGATTCGTTCGAGCCAAAGCGACTATCGACAGTGTATATACGGAAATGAGGAATCAGGGCAAGAAAGAGGAGTATTTGAGCCCTCATGCCAACCGCCGGTCGGTTGGTCATTTGCGCAGCCTCTCGGGAAGCAAACAGAGTATAGCCACGTCGGCCCTTTCCGATGTAGGTCCCGGCAAGAACGCTCTAACGAAAGAGAGTGAATACGGCATGAAGGGTATTCGTGTTCCGTTGCTTGAGGCATCTGTCAAAGCAGAGGAGGTGTGGGGTCCGGCATTGGGAGGTCGCGAAAGAGAGCAGGTGCTCAAGTCGGTCGTCGACACTATGGAAAAACATAGAGATATCTACGAAATAGGCGGTCATCTTTCCAAGTCCATTAAGCAGAGAGACTATGACTCTGTCTTTGAGCAGTACCGAAAAGCGAGGGCCCTCTCCAAGACTGCTAGGGATATTGCCGATACCGCAACGAGCAAGGGTCAGCCATTGACGGACGAAGAGGCTCATGTTATTCTGGCTATGGGGAGAATGTGGATCGATGTTGATTCACAAATTCAAGCGTTCAAACGCGACCTGTGGAGGCGCCTCAGCGATGCGCCTACTACCTCGACCACTGTTACTGCTACAGGTCCCGTAGAAGAGCACATGGAGCTCATCGGTGCTCTCCTAGAGCTAGGGGTCGAGGACAATCCTATCTGGGTCTGGCTTCTCAGTCGCTACGACTTTTTGAAGAAGAAAATCACGGCCTTCTGTGACCGTTGCAAGGTCGAGATAGAAATCCTGAGGCGTCGACTAGCTAGTGGGGAGAAACCGACGCCTCAGACGGTGGCATCATATCTGCGGTTGGCACCACGCGACGGCGCTCTGGACACTCAAACCATGCGCGATAGCGACCAAGTGATCGAGCTCTGGGAATGTATACATACCTATCTGAGCAGACTGTTGTCCTCTGAAGGAGGTCTTCTTGGCGAGGTTTTCGATTTCTGGGAAGTAGCACAATCCTTCATCGACGGCAGCAGGCAAAAGCTCCTTCCCGCTGGGTTCGAGGGAGAAAGTCGCAAACACCATCGGCTCTCTTCCAACGATGCTAGGGAGCTGCAAAAGGGTGTCGTCGAGCTGCTCAATCTCATCCGCGAGAGCGTTCTCTCACTGTTCGCCGACCCCCCTGTGGACGATGTATCCCTCCTCACCTCGCCCATCTCCACCGCCAGTCCTAGCAGCCCTGGGAGTCGGGGTGTGACCCCAACGGAATCGCGATTCAAGCTTGATCCGAAGAACATGCCCTTCCCTACACCGAAGCGCGGGGAACATTGGGAAGATTATGCCTTCTGGCCACCATTTTCAAATTCTCTTAGCGGCATTCACTATCTCAGTCAGTGTCTAGTGCTCATTGGCACAGCGGCTAGCGAGATGGCCGCCTTGGAGCCTGTGATGCACAGTACTAACACCCGTGATCTTCTCAAATCCCTTGTGAGTGTAGCACGCGAACGCTCAGTACGTGTGGCATGCGCAGCTTGGGGAAAGGACGCCGAAATTTGTAAGATGCTGGAAGACTGGACTCGGGACCCGGAGAAGAGAGATCTGACCAAGATGCCTGGTCTATTTGTTGCCTTTGAGAACGCAATCATCGCGGGTATGCAGAAGATCCTCTACATTCCGGAGGCCATGGCAAGATCTGGTTCTGTAGATGTTGTGACCCAGCCTCCTGCCAAACTACTACAGATGGTTCGCACTCAGTTTGTGTCTAGCGTCTACAAAGCTCTGAGTGGCCTGGTTGAGAATGCGGAGCATCCTACATCGTCGGAAGATGAGGATGAATGGATCGCAGCCGGCTCCACGGCGACACGAAACCAATTTGATACATCTCCATCGCTACTCATCGCGGATGCGGTCGATTCTCGGAATAGAGTAAGTAGTTTGTCTTGTTTTTTTCTTTCTCGACACTCCGATATGCTGGTAGTTCATTGGCTAATGCGTCTATAGAATGTGCGCATCCTCTTGACTTTGTCGAACATCAAAGCATTCCAGGCCGATCTCGTCCCGCAGCTGGTTGCCAACTTTGAGAACTCATTCTCGGTCCGGTTGACCGAGGAGGCCAAGACCGTCCGCGATGTGCTCAACCAGATCGACGACCGATTGTTCCAGTCATACACTAAGCCGACGATCAATGCGTTGAACACGACAATTGTCAACAGCATCACTGCCCCCGACTGGGAACCGGCATCGGCCCGCCCGGATCAAGTCCGTCCATACGTCTACACTACCATGCTGGACCTGGTGCTGGTACACACGGAGATCACCACTACCATCCCTTCAACGTTGACGGCTGTGCCGAGCCGCTCCTCATCCGCCGCGCAGTCTTCATTACTCTCCGTCGTTCTTACGTATTTGCTGACCCAAGTGTCGACATCGCTTCTGAACGCCTTTAGTTCTCGGTCCTCGTACAGTCTGCCAGCCCTCATGCAGGCCACACTGGATACCGAGTTCATCGCGCAGACCATGTCCCAGTTTTCGACCGATGAAGCATCCGCGATACAAAGTCAGATCTATGTTGAGCTGGATCGGCGGACCACCCACGAGGCACGTGCGCGGCTTCAGTCCGAGCTGGGGGAAATGAGAGGCATCCTAAAGCGCTTGAGAGAGAGGACCAAAGGAGAGTTTGCATGCTTCAGAAAGCCGCGGAATGGCAACGGGCACAAACCATCCGCCTAGATCGATCTTCATCTTCACGAAAGAAATCTACAAATCATCTTGACAGTAGTAGCAGCCCAATCCCTATAAAGAAGATCAAAAATCGTAGCCATTACTACCTAGTGGGTATCATATTCAAAGTTTTGAACACCATCGCAATCAACGTTGAAACTGCCCTGCCATCCAGCATCATCATCATCTTATGCCTTCCCAACCATGCGTTCCACCCGACCCAACAACACCTTACTCTCTCTCCCCAATCTCCTCTTCCCCGTCTGATCCGGCCGTTTCGCACGCGCCATCGCCTCGCGATCCTTCTGCCTGAACTCGCGCTCCTCCCTACGCTTCTCAGCCTCCTTCCTCCGCTGCTCCGCAATTTCCATCTCCCGAGCAAACGCCGAGGGCTTGGGCTTTCTCTCACGACGACCCTTCGCATTGCGCTTCTCCCCACGCTGCGGTCTAGCAGGAGTAGGCTCCGGCTCTGGCGCAGGCTGGTCTAGCATAGCCTGTCGGTCCGGGTGAAGTTCCAACGATGCCGGGGCCGGGTCCGCGCGCTTGTTATCCTCGTCTTGATTCTGGGCATCGTCGGTGTAGATAGGTCTGGATGGAGCGGCGGCAAGCTCGGCGGCGCGAACTTTGGCGTAAGCCTTTTTGACTTTGGCTTTTTGGATTAGGTCATTTTTGATTTTTTGGGCTATATTTGGGTTCTCTAGTTAGCTCTCTAGGTCTTGGATTTGAGGGAGGGGTAGGGGAAATAAAGGTCTCACTCTTGCGACGGTATGTTCCTTCTGGGAGGTTTGCAGGGCCAACGCTGAAACCCTTTCTCTTCTTCACGGGGGCATCGCTAGTGGTTTCCCGCTTCTCGTCGGCGGTGGTGGTATCGTCGCGGGAGCGTTTCGGGGCCATGGTTGGTCGGGCGATTTGAAGTAGTTGTCTATGAGATCTGCTTTCTTTTTCTTATTTCTTGTAATCGACTCCGGTCGCGGAGGGTAAGAAGCGGTGTATTGGGCAGGAATTTAATCAAGCGACAACGTGGCGGGGGTGGGATGCGTTGTTCGTTGACCTTTTAAGAGCTGCAGAAGAGAAAAAAAAAGTTTTGGACGGAAGAGGCCGAGCGGGTGCAGGAACTCGAGTTAGCGGGTGATGGGCTCTTGCAGGATGTTTCCAAGCAAGCTGCGTTGTCTCCACCGGGAATGGCGGGATTTTAGTGAAATTATCTGAAAAGTTGCAGGAAATAATTCTGCAGGTGTAAGGTTACAATGGAGGGGGAGAATAGCAGATATAGAGTTGGGCAGTGAAACTGATTTGAGGGTCGGCGATGATGGAATCGAAAGCGTTGCCTCCGCATCTTCTCTCTTTCTGTCTCGTCTTTTTCTCCTCTTCCGCATTTCTCTCCCCCTCACGTCTACTACTAACTGCTTGCTCTTCTTTCTCTACTTGCGCCCGATTAATCCTCTAGTCGTTTCAGATACCCTGTTAAATTTCATCGCTCATTATCCCCGGTCAGTCTTGCTGTCTTATCGTCTATAGTACTAAATATATATATATATCACCTCTTTTTCCCTCTGGTTCCCCACGCCCAAAAACAACTTACCCACTCGGAGCCAGTCTTCCAAAAGGCAGATCAAGTCATCGTCAACTCCACCGTGACTCTTCCTCTTCCGCCACTTCGGTTTCGGCGGATCATCGCAACCTCTGCAATCCCCTCCCTCTTGCGTTATCAGAGGTCCTCGCTGCCCGTCTCCCTGCTCTCGGCTCCTGAGGTTGCGATGTTTGCCCTCGTTTCCCGTCATTCTGCCCATCCCCTCTCCCGGTGACCATGCCTATCTTCCAGGATCCGGAACACCAGCGGCTCCAGGATTCGTGGTCTGATGATCACCAGCCACGGCTTAATGGTCGACGTCAGACCATTTCCCCTTGGAAACACCCTCCTGGGGAGCCCCTGGGAAGCCACCCCCTCACGGGGCCTCACAATGTCCCATATGAGGGTCCCTCCCTGGATCTAAGCCGGCCGGGAATGCATGCAACAAATCGCGAGGAACTGATCCAGTATATCAAAAGCGCTGATGCGCCGCGATGGGCATCACATCACTCCGTATGTCCTGCCACTGTAAAATCACTTATTGTCTTGGATTCTTCTTTTCTTTTTGACCTTTGTTATCTCTTATCTAAAACAGCAAAAGTTTCATTGTCATGTATCCGAGACGTTACTGACCCTGTCACTTGATATAGGCGGGAAACAGTCCGAACCCCACCCCCCAGACGTCCGATGTACCTTTCGCCAATATGAAAGGTAAAGCACCTGCAAGTGCTGGTCCCAGCGACCAGTCTGGCTCGAGTGATCAGCAGTTAGCATCGCCGGCCGATATTGAACGCCCTCGCTCAGCTTTACATTCAGGAGACTTCAGGGAAGGAAGCTCTCAAGCCCAGAGCCAGCAGCACAGCCCGTCATCGTCGGTGCCTGGTCGCACCGTTAACGCGCACTTTCCACTACTGAGCTCCTCACCAACCACACCTTGGTTCAGTACTCCCGTTTTCCCTGCCTCTCTACGAGGCCAATCCTTATCCGTTCAGACGGCAGCCCCGGCAGCCCGTTCTCGGGCTCCCTCTTTCGGCTCGTTTTCTTCGAGCTATATATTGAAAGCCCCAACGAGCCCTCTTGTTCACCAAGCAAACAACACAGACCTGGATTTCTCTCCTCGACCGGAGTGTGTCGGTCACTCGAACGCCATCGACAAAGTTAGTCGTCGCCGTACCCTTCCCCCGGAAACATTTCAGCACTTGCAAGCATCTTCCCAGGGTCATGCGGAGGGGATTTACTTCCAGTCTGACGCTCACCACTCACGATGGGATACGACCACATCCAATCAGTTTCACTCCCCTCGGCGGTCCTTGACCTCAGCATACAGCCTTCAGCTTGCATCCTCGGTTCAAACTCCGATCGCGAGGGTCCGAAGGCCCTCGGTGGGCTCGGAAGTCTCTTCCAGAGCGCATGCGCCAATGGTTGGCTCATACGAAGAGTCTATCCTCCGTGGAAGAATGTCAATGAGCCCTTCCAAACCGTTGGACTTCACCGCGCAAATCGGCGTCCTCGGTAAAGGCAAATGCAAAGCCAACCTCAAATGCCCACCGCATGTGACAATCCCATTTCCGGCGGTGTTTTACAGCTACCCCACGTCAGGCAGCGGCCGCTCAATCGCGGACGATAGCCCCAGTCCTTATGTTGGCTTGATCGATCTGGACAATTTTCTTCCTCGGGACACGTCCAGTGGTAGCAGTCGACGTCGCAGGCGCCATCAGAGCCCTGCAGGAACACACAACGACTGTGTCATGGAAAATACCACAGATCCTAGGTCGACTGACCAGGAAACTTTGCGCAGGCGCGAGAAGAGGCACAGAAGGGCGGAATCGCCCAAAAGTCCACCAGGTGGTTGTTACCGAATCCCACAACACGGTCAGTTACAGATCATGATCAAGAACCCCAACAAGACAGCTGTGAAGCTGTTCCTCGTACCTTACGACCTCAGCGACATGGAGCCGGGGACAAAGACGTTCATCCGACAACGAAGCTATTCGGTGGGTCCCATCATTGATATGCCTCTGAGTGCTCGAAAGAATTACGGGACCGATCGCCCCGAAGCGTCGCTGAACACTTCTGAGGATCCCAAAGACAAGCCTACACTACGGTACTTGATCCATCTGAACATATGTTGTCCTTCTCGGGGCCGATTTTATCTTCACTCTAGCATTCGTGTTGTATTTGCCAACCGAGTTCCCGACGGTAAGGAAAAACTACGCAATGAAATCCAATGCCCTGATCCCCGTTATACGCCTTACAAACCCTCGCGGGACTCCAGTCATACGCACGCAGCTACACAGTCCTCGACAGACCAAATACCACACAAAGCGCCCACTGGTCGAGAGCCATTATCAGTGCTGAGCCCATCGGAGGCTATGACCTCACGAGAGGCCCCCTACTCTGGGAGCTCCTCTACGCGTGCTCAAGAAGACCCGTTCTCGGGTCGCACACTTGCAGGACGAGAAGGTGCCCCGCGAGGCACCTCCAGCCTCTTCAGTCCACCCGATACTTCCTCACATCCTTTCCGGCCCATCCCGTCACTGTCTCCAGGGCCCAAACTCGACTCGAGTTTTGCGGAACAGTGTAATATGGAGCGTGGGCTCTATGGTAAACTCAGTAAGGGTGAGACCGGCTATGGCGGGTATCCGTTCGCTTTCAACGGTTCGGAGGCTGGTGACAGCCTCCTGGCCAGAAAGCTTAGGGGTTTGGACGTGCACAAGCACGACTCTCCCGACCTCACAAAGGCCCGCGAATAACGCCAGCACGCTTCCGAACCAGCATGACTTCGACCGTACCTGATCGTGATGGTAAACTTGTTATTTCTGTTTCCTCTTCTTCATTTCTTTCATACATCTCATTTAAGTGTGCATTTTCCTCCTCAAGCAGGACGACCCAGCGCATCAGGACAAACCCATCGTCTTCCTCAACTAACAGCACAGCACCATATTTGAAGCGCAGATGCAGGATCATCGCATTCATTATAATGTTCAATCCTGCCGTTCCCCCAAACTAAATACGCACGGCAAGGCGCACAGGTCAACCATACAGTACGGGAACTAGCAAATATACCCACCTAAAGTCACCTTCTCTGCTCTTTACATATTCCACTATTCTAGATATCTTGAACAAGTCTTCTTTTCTCTCTCTCTCTCTCTCTCTCTCTCTCTCTCTCTCTCTCTCTCTCTCTCTCTCTCTCTCTCTCTCTCTCTCTCTCTCTCTCTTACTCCTTCTTTATCTGCTCTAGCCGATCCCTTCAAATTTTCATAACCCTCGATTGAACACTGGTCAAGCAACTGATGAGCACAGCGCGTTCAGCACTTTCTCTTTGTTCCACTCTTGTTGAAATAGGCGGTTTCATGCGGTCTGGTAATTGTTTCAGGGGTTTGAATAATACGGAGACGATTCTGTTTTAGTTTGAGACATTCGTGTTTCGCCCTGACTGAGTCTGCACTATGCCTGCGGGTGTTATGTAACATGTGTCACATAGTTGTTGTAGATTTGATGTGTGGTAATTGGGATTATCTCCTCTTTCGCATCTCCCTTTATACCCAGTTATATACTATTCTGTAGTTTCACCAAAAAGACAGACCACGAGTTGCAGGATTATCCCGGGGGTGGGTGGAGTGGTGGAAGGGGAAGGACCACTTGAGGCTCTTTCTCCCCCGTGCTATACAAATTCTTACACGTACTAAGAACGGAAGACGAAAACTGAGTATAGAATGGAACGGAAAAATAGATTTATCTACAGGAAGTGAGTGGAATAAAACACAGCACTGAAGTCCAGAAACTAGATTTCCAACTGCCGTATATTATCGCCTCGATTTTGAGTGGTGGTAGTGATAGTGGTAGGTTGTTGTCGGAGGGGGAGGTCTATCCAAAGAGATTTCTACATGCACATCGGGGCAGATCTAACCAGCGTGCTCGACAATCTCGTTAACGAGAACGCCGTTCTTCACGTACGTCTTGATCTGCTCAGGGATAGGGCATTCCTTGGTATCCTCGTCGGTTCCCTCCTTGGGCGGAAGCATGATGTTGACTGCAGTGCACTTGCTGGAGAAGACCTCGGTGGCCAGGCTCTGCTGGCCCAGGTAGACAGTGGCACCATCGACCTGGTCCAGGAGGAGGGTGGGGACGACGCCGTCTATTTGGAGGGCGAACTTGGGGGACTTGATGACGTCAAGGCTGCTGACCAGGGAGTCGACGATGATGGAGAGGCCGGTGCAGTTGTCGATGGAGATGGCGTTGGCCTTGTTGTTGATCTTGATGATGGTCTTGTTGCACCGCGAGATGAGGATGGAGTGGTTCTGCTGCGCGTTGATCTCAACGATCTCGCCGGGGTTCTCGAAGTTCTCGATGAACCATTTGTTGCCTTCCAGGTCCTTGCGCGGGGGCTTGCGGGCGCGCATGCTCTCCGGCTTGGGTTTCTTGCTCGGAGCAGGCGACTTGCCCCGAACGGCGCTGCCTGCGGAGGTTGGACTATCGGGAACCATGGAGCTGGCGCGAAGGTTCGGGTTCTTGTGCGTCATCTGCGATTTGTCGACCTTCCGGAGACCGGCGGTGACGGATTCGCCTTGGTTCAGCTGGTCAAAGACAGCTGACATGTCTGGTGCAGCTGGGGCTGCTGCAGGCGGAGGAGGGACGCCGGGCGGCGGGGGAGGAGGGGGAGGAACACCACCAGGAACGTTCAGAGTCGGAACTGGAGGGGGTGGCGGGGGAGGAGGAGCAGCACCGCCAGCGGCAGGGCCAGAGCCACCGGCCTTGACCTGTCTGAGAGCTTCTTGGGCGTCGATTCCATCCTTGTCGTTCCAGGTCAGGCCCTTCGGGTAGTGCTTCTTCAGGTATGCAGCGAGGGACTTGTAGATCTGGTAGTAGGCCTGGATGTACTGGACGTGGGTACGGTCCCTGCAACATGGGTCAGCTCCCATTGGGGACTACAGAGGATAGCTAGGTTGCGCACTTCTCCTTGTATTCCTTCAGGACCTTGTTTCCGTAGTATTCGACACCTCCAGCCATCTCAGTGACGAAATCGGCGGGCTTGTCCGCGAAGAACCATCCCAGGGCAACAATACCCTCCGCAACCGCACTGAAGTGGTTGAAGAGAGGAGAAGCTCTGTTCGACTCCCGAATGTTGTTGATGCTGTCTGAAGCATTGTGAAGGCCCGTCATGAGCTCCGGGGGCTGCTGCTCGGGCTTTCTAGCTTTCGTGGCCACGAGGAGGTAGGTACGCTCGGCTTCGAAGGCTTGAAGGACTACCTTGGACTGCGGGGAATTGTAAGCGACGCACTCGGCTTGACATGCGCTTCTCTTCCTACCTGTTCTCCGACCAAGCCATTGATCTTCTGGCCCAACTCCACAAAGTTCCGGACATCCTCGTTGATCAGGGTGTCGAAGTCCTGGATTTGCGGCGGGATGGGGGGCGGTGCGGGAGCCGCAGCTGCGGCTGGTTTGGGGGACTCAGGAGTAGCTGCTTCAGGCACAGCAGGGGGAGCTATGGTCTTGGGCGAGTTGGGGTCATCCAGTGACATAGCCATATCCTCCAAGCGGGAGGTTGCGGCTTCCAACCTGTTGGCATTTCCAGCTGGTTAGAAACACATGTAATCGGGAACACATTGTGGTGATAAAGGAATGTATAAAAGAATAGAAGAGAGCATAGCGCTATAGTCTCGAGCGCATCTGTTTCAAGACTTACCGCTTGATAAGGGTGGTAAGATTATGCATGTGGCTTCCTGTCGCCATCTTGACGGCCCCTGTCGAAGTAAGGAGGGAGGGAGCTATTAGACACAGTCGGAGGAAAGGAGGGCAAAGGGAGCTATTAATGGACACGGGCTACCGTGTGCCACGATTGAGAGATAGAAGAATGGTCAGTAGCGACCTGTAGGCAAAGAAAGTAAGATGCTGAGGAGGGAGAGGATCAAGGCAGCCGTTTGGAATTGCATGAGACGGCGATGCTCCTGACCCGTGCCTGAGGCCTGGAGCTCCTGATAGTGGGTCATACCGTACGGTACGCCAGCGTGGCCGTTATCCGCCCGTCTCCCATGACGTTGGTGGTATCAGCCGGTAATCCGATAAGGCCGCCATGACGGAGACTCAAGCGGCGGATGGATTGAAACCCTCGAACCCCGCCAGAGTACAGGATCTCACCAGTCATTCTCCTTTGAAGGTAATTGAGCGCTTCCGTAACCATGTTGGAAGGCCATGGCTCTTTGGAGCACTCTAGAAACAATGTGGACTTCTGCACAATGGGCATGTTCATTCTTGGTACGCCATGATCTACCCATATGGAAGTCGAAATCGCACTATGTACTTACAGAACCCCCCTTCCCTGTGATATAGACGCTATAGACTTCGATGGAACAAGACCCAATGTAAAGAACGTTCTAGGAGGCGCTGCATCATTTGCCGTCGTTGGTGCCCGCTTGGTAACCGGAAGAGAACACTCGCAGGCTGTGAGCTGGATTGTGGATGTTGGCTCCGACTTCCCTCCAGATGTTCTCGATCTGCTCAAGTCGTGGGATACCAACTGCGTATTCCGAGAGGATCAAAGTCGTTTGACCACCAGAGCCTGGAATGGTTATGGTCCAAATGAGAAGCGAGGTCGGTGTCTATTCTAATCATCTGCGACTACAACGACCCCAATACTAACCCCTGTCGCAGACTTCAAATACCTGACTCCGAAGTTGCGCTTGGAACCAGAAATGCTGTCTGATTCTCAGGTGTTCTCCAAGACTTTCCACATGGTCTGCTCCTCCTCTCGTTGTATTTCAATCGTGCAAACGATCTTGCGCAGACGGGAGGAGCTACAGCGAGCAGGCAAAGCTCCCCCAGTGAAGCACGCTGCGCAAAGACCTATTTTTGTTTGGGAACCTGTGCCGGATCTATGCACGCCAGAGGAGCAAGAGCGGTTCCTTGCTGCGAACCAAGTAGTAGACGTTGTGAGCCCCAACGAACTGGAACTCGGAATGATGTTTGGCCAGCCTGGTTGGAGCGAGGAGACCGACTATGGGAAAAACATCGTCAAGAAGATTCTTGAGTCAGGTATCGGTCCTGATGGGAACGGGAATTTGGTTATCAGAGCCGGCAAAGACGGCAGCTACTCTTACTCTAGATCCCAGAGGGTCTGGCTGCCCGCCTACCATCAGCCCAGTGCTTCAGGGGCGTCAGCGGTGATTGACCCCACTGGCGCGGGCAATTCTTTTCTGGGTGCCCTGACACAAGGCATGGTCAGTGCAGGCAGAGAACCGGCCAACCTTGTCGACTCGGTCCTCGCAGGGTCTACGGCATGGCAGGAAGCAATCCAAGCTGCTGCACAGCATAGCCAAGTCTTGACGGCCTTGATTTTCGCTACTGTGGCGGCCAGCTTCGTGGTTGAGCAGATCGGAGTGCCTCGCATGTCTACATCCAGTGATGGGAAGGAGCTTTGGAACGAGACTGAGTTCACGGAACGGGTCCGTCTGTACACACAGCGCTTGTATCGAACATTGGAAGAGTCTCCTCAGAAGCACTTTCAGATCAACTGACCGTATGGAAGAACGCCCTTCTATTGTCGTACAGCCCACAAAATTATGAAACAAAACCTGTCATGCCATAGAAAACCACCACGGGTACTCATTTTCCCACAACTACCTCTTCATTCTGTTGCCGCTCTATGACTGGTTCTGGGCGGCCAGCTGCTTTTCGTGTTCTCTGATTTCCCGGCTCCAGCTAGATAGAAGCAATATAAAGTCAATGACTGCTGCTTAGAAACACATGACACGAGATTGGCTGAGGGGACTGACTAGCGACTAGGGAAGAATCTGCCCGGCTCGGGCATCTTGTCACGGTGCTCGCGGTCGGCACTGATGCTCCAGGTCACAGCGACAACTCCAAGAACAGCCGCGCCGATGATGGCAGTGTTGACCCTCCAGTTTGCGGGCTGAGCGTACCAGCCACCCGCGGGAGACCAGACTTCCTTGGGATACCTGCGGAAAGAATTCAGTCAACTTCAGAGGCAATGGCAGTACCGGGTGGGAGAAGAGTCGCATACGGGATCTTGCCGCCTCCACCCATGGTGATTTGAGGGTATGTAGAGTAAACGTAGGGAAAAGACGTGGACAATGGCTCGCTGAGAAGCTCGTCGTTATTCTGGGCGGGTTGGAAGCCGAAATGGCCGTCGTTCGTCCCTCGTCCCAGACCCCGTGACGCTATACCCATATTGGGTTTAGCGCCACCTGGCCGATTCTCACACGACCGCCAGACCCCGTGACTTTCTCCGAAGCTCGACTTTTCTCTACCGACCAAAAGTTCGTGCCGGCTCAAGTTGGATCTGCCTCCGTCTTGAACACTCCACGCCACGTCCCCGGGCGGTCATTTCTATTGAATTCGGTCTTTTTCTAATTTACGGCCTCATATCCACACAGTTGCCCAGATGAAGAGGCTGCAGCTCCAACGATGGAGCAGTTCGGTCCTTTCGGCGCAGGCCCGGACTGGTGGCCGCCTGCAGCACCGTCTCTACACTGGCATCCGGCATCAATCGACCGCTTCGCCTGCTGCGCCGGCTGCCAATGATCAATTGATCGAGGAAGACCCTCTAGTATCATCTATTCGCCCCCCTACCTCCCGACAGTCGAAGTACCAACTCCCGTCTCCCCCGGTCGAGGCCGCACGCGAGTCCGCCAAACTGGCTGCGCTTCACGCACGACTTTACCTTCCTTCACGATTACCGCTCGAGACCCTTGCTCGCTCTCTCGTGGACGCCTCGGCTGATCCGAACCCCAAATTCAACAATGAATCTTTGGCCACCCTCGGTCACGATTTGTTGACACACTACACCTCCGAATACCTCATCTGCACGTATCCCCGACTCCCCTTGACCGTTATATTCGCAGCCATGTATGCCTATGTCGGGCCAAAGACATTGGCCGCAATGGCGAGAGAATGGGGTGTGGAGTCCGCTGCTGCTCCTGGTGGAGAAGTTGACCCCGGCTACCTGCAGTTCAACAGAGTACTCCCGGGAGTTGACGTGCACTCGAAGCCTGTCACTGGCACAGCGAGACCTCATGAAGATCAGACGCATTGGCGGAAGTCCATCACGTCAAGTGTCGTCTACGACAATGAGTTCGGAGACCCGGTCAAGGGGCCCAAGGATCCCTCGGAACAGTCCAAGCAGGACGTCCAGAACACCCAGGGCGTGACTGCCGAACAGGCTAACGCAACCTTTGTGCGTGCTGTGATGGGTGCTATCTACCTGCACGCAGGCCGCCCTGCTGCCAAGCGGTTCTTCGAGCAGCACTTCCTCTCTCGTCACCTCAACATCTCCGACCTGTTCAACTTCTCCCAACCCGCTCGGGACCTTGCTCGCCTGTGTGCTCGAGAGAACTTCGAGCAGCCCGTTGCCCGGATCATCAGTGAAACCGGTCGCAAGAGCAGACACCCCGTGTTTGTCGTTGGCATCTACTCTGGTCAGGATAAGTTGGGCGAGGGCGCTGGCGCCAGTCTGCTCGAGGCTCGTTCCAGGGCTGCTGTCGCCGCCCTGAAGGGATGGTACCTGTACAGTCCGCTGAACGTGCGCGTGCCTAGTTCGATGGAGGAAGAGGGAGCCGCTCCCTGGAAGCCGGTGCACGTGGACTTGGGCGAGGTGATTGTGTAGAGAGTGGGCATGAGAGAGATTTCAAGAAACGGCGTCACACATTATATCTGTTATAGATGTTGTCAATGCGGGATTGACAGCGATGCAACATTACATACTGCTACCCCCTCATCTATTCACCATTGCAAGGATTTGTACAATATGGGAAATTTATTTTTCTTCTGATGTTATTTCTATGTTCATGTTATCCGATTTAAACGTTTCATTTGTATTGCATCTTTGAAGCCTGGCTAGAGATGGAATTGGGATCGCGCTGTTGACAAACAGTATTCTAGGCCGAGAAGTAGGTATATAGAGGTATGTACTCTATTGAGATCAATGGACCTTTGCGCACAACGGATAAGCATAGACCGGTCAAGGGCACTTAGCAGTAGCACCAAAGTACCCTTCTTGGACAAGACCCTGACGCCATTCAACCATCACCATTCCCACAACACCACCAGCCAACCCAGACTGCTCACTCCGTACAGCAAAGTAATAATACCCATTCACACCCGATCAACAATCTCATCCTCCCAGCACCCACCTGTAGTACCATCCCCTACTCTTCCCTGGTCCAACCACGCTCCATACTCCTCCCAAAGCTCCAAAACCCCCATCCCAAAAAGGCCCTCCCAGAACCCATCTCCATACCCCACCCTCAACAACCGGTCATTCAGCATCCCGACCGCCCCCCGTCCAACCTTAACATCCTCCAACCAAGCCAAGAAGTACGCTGTATGCTGATACCCCTGGTCCCACTTGTCCGCTCTCTCCTTCGCCGACGCAGGGCGCTTCCAATGCGGCGGTTCTAGACCTGCCTTGAGGCGCACGAAATCCGCGATGCCCTCGATAAGGCCGCCTGGGGGTTGTGGGGTAGTAGTGGAGTCTGGGGGCGCGGTGTGCTGGTAGCAGTGGACGAGCTCGTGGGTGAGGACGCCGGTTAGTTCGGCGGTGGGATTGGGATTGCTATTGGTGGTAATGGTTCGAATGTAGGAGAGGGACAGGTGGATTTCTTTGTGGTCGTTGTCGAGCTCCGTGCCGGTTGTGTAGGCTACGCCGTCGATGGCGCGGAGGAAGAGCGTTACGGAGCGGGTTGGGGGTGGGGAGGGGGTGAATGTTGGTGTTTGTTGGTCGTGGTGAGGGTGTGAGGGGGGTGTGTAGAGGTGCTGGATTATGGTGGAGAGGGCGGTTGTGAGTGTGGAGTTTAGGTCGGGGAGGAGGGTTAGGAAAGCTTTCGAGGCTGGATGGCGAAGGTCGTTGATTTGAAGGCGGAGGGTGGGTTGGGGGATATCCTGGTCTTGAGGGAGGGGTGGTTTGGAGCTGGGTGGTGGTGGTGGTTGTTGTTGCGGTGGGAGTGGTGAGGGTGTAGCTTGGGGTGCGGACGTTGACATTGTTCAATGGGTATAGTATAACTAGTACTAGTGGTGTATGGATGATCTATAGGGTGAAGAGGGGATAGGAATGTAGTAGAAGTCGAAACAATCTAAGACGGAGGATTACTACGTCGCTTATAGCAAGGTTGAAGGCTTGAGGCATGGCGTCGTCTAGTCAGTAGCGCATGCAGCATAGCCGCCGCAGGGGTGGCGGAAGCCCGCCAATCAAGCGCAGACCAGACTATGGACAATTCATCGTGAAGAATCCGAATTAAAGTTGATCAATCGATGCTTGACGCGAGCCCCTCCACCGACCGTCAGGTTCGCTTGTTGCATCGCGCTTGCGCGCGCTGTGACACACCGAAGCTGGTCCAAGTGCCCGCCGTCTTTTTGAGTGATCCACCGCGCGGCGCGGCGATCGAGTGGAGTTGCTGCAGTCTAATTAAATCCACTTGCAGTGTGACTGGCTGTGGTATGTGATTAGTTTCAAAAGCAGGATTTAACCTATTTAATACTATTCATTGTTCTGATTCTCTAGATATTTTGGTCTCAAGGTTAGCTATAGACTCTGCGCTGTTGTACATGGCGTTTAGTAACTAGTAATTAGTAGTAGTACAGTAATCAATGATGACTCACCTTCAGTGTTTGGTTGCTCGGGCTGCGGGTGTTTACTACTAGTACTCGTCGTGATTATATATTTTCAGGGGCGAAGGAAAGAGCAAAAAGGAACACGTAGGCGCAGTTTCACGCTCGATCGCGTGGAGCAATTAGTATGCAGCGCGCTTTTTTACTCCGAATCTGATGTGTTATTTCAAATTACCAGTCATAAATAAGGGTCTACTGCTATTCTCGAATCAAATAGAACGTACTAGTAGCATGTATGCTAAGTTGTAGAGGTATCTTGGCCGTGGAGTTGACTATCGATAAGACTGCATCCGAAAACGAGTCTACTACTGTCCCCACGGTCCACCCTTAGTTAAGAGGTCACCCGCACCTTCCGTCCAAAAACCAAGGGGAGAAAGGAAAATAGGGGCAGATGAGAGGGATACTAGTACTACGCGTAGTGCGGCGGAGAACCAAGAATCAGGGCAGATGGAGAAGGAAAAAAAAAGGGGGGGAGAAAGAGATTATTTAGGATTAGTGAGGCTCAGAACAACAATCATTTAGAGCACAAGTCATAGAGTCCAGAACTCCAGTTCGTCAACAACAGTTGGGCAGCTGCCATAACAACAATCGATTCGTGGCTGCAGACGAAAAAGTTCCAGTCCCCCACTTGTTTACCCAAAACGGGGTGAATCATTGCGGGTAAACAAAGCGAGGAAAAAAAAATAAGAAGATTCAGGGACAGCGCGCCGCCCGATCATCGACCACCCCTCATTTGCGATCATCCAACGAAACAAACCACCCACATCTTTCCATGCATTATTGTAACACTCTGCACTCTGATATACCCCTACATACCGATCGCCTCGCTGTCATCGTTGGAAGTGAACCAGGCTGGTGGAGTCGCGTCGGCCCGATAAGCGAAACAGGCGCGGCGATAAGCGCTGAGAAGTTTCCCCGTCACTGCGTCACTTTGCAACCCTCGTCGCTACTTCATCCTCCTACTTCCAGATCAGAGCTCATATTGTAACAACTCCCTCCCTCCCTGCCTGCCTCCCCCGTTCACCGTCTCCGTCATCTTCTCATCGCGACTACCCAATATAGCAGGTATGTGCACTTTCCTCAGCGCCATCATGTTGTTGTTGGTTTATGAACTCCCCCCGACTCCCCCTCTTCTCTTCTCTTCTTCTTCCCTACCACCCTCTTCTTCTCCTCCAAACTGTCAAAATCGAAACACTCTTCCAACGCTATTACATTGTCTGCCCTGAACTTTGTGCTTTGTATCGAAAAAAAAAGAATCCTTTAACTTACCAAAAAAATTGTTCTGTTGTTTTGTTTTTCTCGTTTCATTCTGTCTCTGAACAGTGATTTCTTTCTAACAATGTTGTTCAGATTTGAGATTACTCTCGGCCCTGCTGAGCTGAGCTTTGTGCTTGTCTTTCTCGCGTTTTTCGGTATTTTGCGGCTGTTTTTGTTTGCTTTGTGCTTCCTGTGTACCTTTTATCTCATCGAAAAGTATGCTTCCAGTGTGAAAGACTGGATTAAGAGTATGGAACCCAAGGCTACCGAGTTGGTAGCAACTTTGAAAAACCTGAACCTGGCCATAGATGCCAAGGTCAGCTTCTTAAATTCTGTTAAGTCAGACATCAAGCAGAAGAATGTTTCAGAGGGCGCAATTCCACCGATCTTTGAATCGTTGCGTCTGTCAATTGCCTCTTCTCACTCCACACTTCTGTCTGCTGGTTTCTCCACCTTGGGTCACTTTTTGAAGCGACTGTTCATTCAAGAACAGCATAGTATAGTTGCTTCGCAGGCTCGCCACCTTTACCCGTTGCTCTTGGAACGCCTGGGCGATCACAAGGAGCGAGTCAGAGCACAGGCGGCCCAAGCGTTCACTGACTTTTGGCCTGCAGCTAGCCATGAGGTTGAACAACATGTCCTGGGAACGGCCCTTGTCGGCAAAAACAACAGAGCTAGGGAAATGAGCATGATCTGGCTAGCTAATGTAAGTCTCCCCCCTATCGATCCTGAGCAAAGCTGACCGAACTCCACTGGCAGATGGCTAAGCAGTATGGCTTGCTCTTCCGTCCATATGTCCCTAGTCTTGTGGCATGTCTCGAGGACGCCGATAGTGCCGTCAGAGATACAGCCAAGGCGACCATTGTCGAGCTGTTCCAGTAAGTTTCGTTGGTCTTCTCCTCGAGCCTCTGCCGCTAACTTGACTTAGGAATGCACCCGCACATGCGAAGGCAGATCTCAAAAAGCAACTGAGTGAACTCAATGTCAGAAAGTCTATTGTCAGCATCATTCTGACGAATCTTGGCCTTGAATCTGATGAGTCTGATCATCTTTCACGACCGGCCTCGCGTATTGACCAGAGACCGGCCTCACGTGTTGATCAAAGACCAGTCCCACGTGTTGATCAAAGACCGGCCTCACGAATTGACCAGAGACCGGCTTCACGTGTTGATCAAAGACCGGCCTCACGTGTTGATCAGAGACCGACCTTGCGAATGGACCAGGGACCAGCCTCGCGTGTTGACCAGGGACCGGCTTCGCGTGTTGAGCAGAAAATGGCCTCGCGTGTTGAGCAGAAAACGGCCTCGCGTATCGAGCAGAGACCGGCCTCGCGGGTTGATCAGAGACCGACCTTGCGAATTGATCAGGCACCGACCTCGCGTGTTGAGCAGAAAACGGCCTCGCGTGTCGAGCAGAGACCGGCCTCGCGTGCTGACCAGAAACCAACCTTGCGAATTGACCACAGACCGGCCTCTCGCGTCGACACCGTCACTCAAGATAGTCTAATCAGACCGGCTTCTCAGCTCAGCAAACAGCCAGAAGTGCCTGCTCCTTCCGATGTGGAACCAATCATCGTTTCATCCGCTCGGGAGATAGATGAATTCGTGCGTCTAATGACACCATATTTCGAAGGACGTGAGTCCGAAGATAACTGGGTGCATCGTGAAAAGAGTGTCATTACTCTACGCCGACTTACGCATGGCAATGCGCCCCATGCATACTCTCAGACTTTTGTCGCTGCTATCAAGTCGATTCTGGATGGCATTTTCAAAGTCGTGAACTCGCTCCGAACTACTATGGGAACAAACGGATGTCTGCTCATTCAGGATCTCGCCCGAAAGTGTGGCCCTAGAATCGATCCGATGATGGAGATTATCCTGCAAAATCTCATCAAACTTTGCGCCGGTATGAAGAAAATAACGGCCGAAAATGGGAATCTGACCGTTGACATTGTTATTGGAAACGTGACATACACTCATCGAATTCTCCAGCATGTCTACGCCGCTTCCCAAGACAAGAACGTCCAGTTGCGTCTGTTCTCAGCTGGATGGTACAACACTCTTATCAACAAACAGGCTGGTCATAAGTCCTCCATTGAACACGGCGGTGGAATCGAGCTCATCGAGAGAAGTCTTAAGAAAGGACTTGGTGATGCTAATCCGGGTGTTCGTGAGGCAATGAGGAAGACTTTCTGGACATACTACAGCGTCTGGCCTCAGAAAGCCAAATTGTGGGTTTCCACTATCATACTGTTTTGTGACCTTGGTGAATAAACTGGCTAACAGACTACAGTATCATGTCTGACCTTGACCCAAAGTCACGGTCGCTATTGGAGAAAGATCCAGCTAACCCGGCTGCTGGCAACATGCAAACTGCAGACCGACATGCTTCGAAATCTTCTACAACGTCTCAGAAAGCCACTACAAGCAGCACCAACGTTATTCCGGGAAGAAGTGCATTGAAACAGGCGATCGCAGCGCAGAAGAAAGCACACCTCGCACCAAAAACTGCTATGACCCCGCGGCCTGAGTCGGCTCCTCAGGTCTCATCTTTGTCCTCCGCACCTATGCGGCCGATGGGGAAGAGCCGACGGCTTGAGCCGACTCGCCCGGCCACGCCAGATCAGAAGGAACCTGTAGACAAGGCGACAAATCAGGTCGTCATATACGAAGACACGAAGGAAAAGAGCGATGAAATTGCGGATGAAGCCGCAGAGCGGTCTGTCAGCCTATCTTCCACTGTTGTACACCATCCTATCGTAGTGACAGACCCTCTGAGACTGCGCGAGATCCCTTTGCCCAAACCATCATCTCCTATTGCGAAGGGCAATGAAAATTCTGTCCCGAAAGAGACAAAACCACCTACCACTCCGTCAGTCCCTCGCGATGCACCGAAAAACAATGCTCTAGAGGAACTGTCGAAAAATGAGCCAGATCATCGTGACAATAGGTCACCACAGACTTCTTTGCCACGTCTACCTTCGTTACATGTGCCGCGCACACGTCCCTCTACCGGACCGAGTAACGACACGGCGACGCATCGCTGTCCTAAATTTGAGGCAGCACAAAAACGCTTCGAGGAGAGACGTCGAAGCATCAGTCCCCGCTCCAAGGACCCAATGAAAGCGAGACAGACTCTTGAGAAGGGAATCCCCAGGATTCACTCTAAGAGTATGGACATTCATGGGTACCACAAATTGCAGGGGCTAATTGAATTTCACGATAGGCTGTTCGAAAACGAAGAGCAGTACTCCGAGCTTCTAGATGCCCTTTTGGGCGAACTTGAGAGACCACCTGACGAAAAGCAACAATACTTCGGGCGCCCGCTTGACCCCAAAGCCCAGGTGCTTATTACAGTGCGTTACACATTCAGACACATGAAACGACTCGTGGACAATGGTGGTTCCACGATGTCATTGGGGGAATATGCATCTCGTATAATCAAATCCATCATCAGAGCCCGAAAAAATTACGACACAACTTGCTACATGGCGATTGTTATGAATGAGGCCGCAGAGGAGATGGTGAGCGCGGCAGAGTTTGGGGACATTGTTAAGGCTGTCGTGGACGTCGTCTCTGCGGAGGAAGCGTCGCTTAATGACCGTGCCATTCTTATGGTATTCAACATTCTTACGGATATCCTGCGTCAGATGACCTCTCGTGCAGCTCACTTCCCTATGGATGTCCTGGAGAGGCTGGGTGATCTTGCCAGCAAGTATCTAACATCCGAGCAAGCGAATATCCGGCAAAAAGTGACGCAGCTGTGTGTACACTTGCATACTATGACTGCCGATGATGAGAAGTTTTGGAAAATCATTGGTCAGGTTTCTGAGAACACTCGGAACTTACTTTTATATTTCATTGCTATGGAGCAGTTGTGAATGAGACCTGCACTGTGTTGTATTATTAGCATCGCTATTGTTAGCATCCTTCTTGTGAGCATTGTTATTGTTAAGACCCAATCCGTTATTGATAGGACTCAATGAATCATATTAGTATCTCTGATGGAAATTACTGTGCATTGTGCAGAATTTGAGCTGCGCCTGCATCTCTCCAAGAGATGACTCAAGCTTGGGCCAAGGGACTCCAAGGAACCCTTCGTCCCAGACTTGTCTCCGGGACATTTTAAGCACACGCACACTCCATGTCTCACTTGTGGCCATCTCGTTGGGTGGAATCTGCGCACTACGAAGGAAGATCTGGTGGCTGATTATCCGAACGGGTGAAGAAAGACCGGAAACGTGATGGGTGATCCAAGACAGAGAAATCCTCATTATAGTAGAATCCCACCAGTGTTGGACGTAACCCAGCGTCTTCAGCATCTCTCCCCATGCACCGGCTTCTAGTGCCCCATATCTGGTGGAATTATCGGAGGAGACTTTTTACGTGTCTCTAAAAAAGCCTTTCATGTTCCCTTATCCCAAGTGTACTTTCTCGCATCTGCTTCGCTGTGTTGCTCATATCTCCTCTCTTCATGTCCGCAGACTATATCGCACTTCCCTTTTACTAACACTCCTCAGGCTTCCTGCGAACTTCCTCCACACTCCTCCCCCGTCTTGCTTCTATATTACCTCGCCGCTAGCTGTAGTTCTTCCTTGGCTACTAGATCGTCTTATCTACCTCGTGAACACCTCCTGGCGCAGTGAAGAACGTGCCCTTCCCTTCTCTTCTTCTCTTCTTCTCTTCTTCTCTTCTTCTCTTCTTCTCTTCTTCTCTTCTTCTCTTCTTCTCTTCTTCTCTTCTTCTCTTCTTCTCTTCTTCTCTTCTTCTCTTCTTCTCTTCTTCTCTTCTTCTCTTCTTCTCTTCTTCTCTTCTTCTCTTCTTCTCTTCTTCTCTACAGCACCTCTCTTCTTCTCAACAATCCACAAAATCTTCCGGTTTTCTGAGATTTCTTCCCAAACCAATAACACTTCCAAAAACATTGCTTGCCTGTTTTTCTCGACCCCTTTTTCAGGGCTCCCTACGAGCAAACTTATAGGGGATATGTATTGTGAGCCTCTGGGCTCAGATCTCGGTCCTTTGCCGGATAGTGAGCCGTCTTAACACCCTTTTGTCGTGTTCTGCCCAAGGCTTTACTTACAAAATCCCGTCTAGAACCAGGTTTGATGTTACTGTCGGAAGTGCAGAGCTGGCACATCTGGTCAGTTTAATGCCTTGTTTTGATATCTTCTGCCTCTGTTTGTTTGCAAGATTATCTCGAACCTGCAAAGGTCTGTGTGATTTCCCTGGAGAACCCTCTCTCCTTTCTCCTCTTAATCCTCTTCTTCTTCTTTCGTTTTGTTCTTCGTCTCTACCATATTCCGTTTTGTACCGATCCATATTCCAGTCACAGATCTCTACTCCGTACTTTGCCACTCTCAAAAAACTTGCTTATGTTCCTGGGCTGTTTGTAAGCTCATCTTATAAACGCCTGGGACTTTCCCCGACGTCTTCCTCTTCTCTCCTCCTCTTCTTCTCCACAACACCCTCTACTCTGCATATCAACTAATTACTTTCACAACTCCAACGCTTTACTACCCGCTCTGTTCTCCTGAAAGTTCCTGAAAAATCAAAACTTGTTAAAAGTTATCTTGTCGTCTTATGTTGCTCTGCTTTGATCACACGTTCACAATGAAGTTCAGGTTCGAACTTACTCTCGGTCTTGCTTTTCTTCAGAAAAAACTCAGGTAGTCTTATGCAGTTCAACCTTTTTGCTTGCCTTCTTTGCTACTGAAAGATATGCGTCCAGTGTAAGAGACTGGATAGAAAGCATGAAGCCTAAAGTTACAGAATAGTGGCTATTCAAGATTATAATACCTACTCGGGTTTGATTCACTTCGCTTCATATTCCTCGCCTAAGAAAGCCTGCTTCCATCCAGATACAAAAGAATTTTTTGATCAAAAAAATTCTTCTCTACACCTACGCCGCAATGAACAAGATAATTATTGATTGCATCACCAACCCCCCTCCTGGTCCCCGGGGAGGGGTGGAATAATCTCTTCATGTTTTTTTCTTCCATATTTCTTCATTTTTTTCTTCGTTTATTTGCTTCTCCGTTTCTTCTTTGGTCATTCTCTTCTTCTTTTCTTCTCTCCTTCTTCTCTACAACGCCTCCCTACTACAAACCCCCTCAAGCCAACGTCTTGTAAGAGCGAATTTTGACACTCTCATACCGCATCTGTTTCCTCTTGAGGTAGAGAAGAAAGAAAGGAACAGAAAAAAAAATGTCTCATCATTTTGTTTCATTATTCTGTTTGTATTGTTCTGCTTTATTTCTTCACATTATCGACTGCTCATAACCGGCTAAGTGCAGTGGAAGGTCATCAGGCGAGAAGGACAAGGCAAATGTGCCGAGTGAAGCCCCAAGAACAGGCCGGGGAAATGATAGGAACACACCAGCGACCTAAGAAGGAATCTGTACACATTAGCCATGCAGTTCGATCTAGTAGAAAAGAAAGATCGATTCACTCAACTGAGTCTCCAATCGGTGGCCATCAAACAAGCCATAGAAGATGCCACATGTAGAAGGGTAAGATGGATAGTAGCATAGATTGACAGGAGATAGGTAATGAAACAGGGTAGTAGACTATCAGGAAGTGGCAAAAACAAATATTACCAAAGGAAGCAACTACACACGCGTTGAGGCAAGTGCGTATCGTTGGCGGGTGTGTACAGCAGCAGTAGAGACGTGTTAGATATGATACACGAATACGATGCGCGAATCCGCAGCTACGCGTCAGACCGGGCGACACATCACAGTGAATGCTTGAACAAGAACACAGATTGTCGCTTGTCCCTTACATTACTCTGGTCGATCGTCTGGGCAAGAATGTAGGGTCAACACGCAGGAACTATCTAATCAGATCTGCATCTAATCAGAGGAACTCAGGGGGAGTGTTGATTGATCAGATTAGATAAAGGAAATTGGAACCAAGGCTGACTACGGAGTAAACTAACAAGGTAGAACTATGTCATATTTCCGCCCCCTGGAATCAGAAATAGAAACAAGAGTCGCTGCTTCTCGCAAACTAACTAGCGTGCAAAGTAAATAGTCAGGAGGTGCGAGCGGAAATTACTGGTGGTGCCCGATGGATGGGGGGTTACTTAAGTGAGAACTGGGAGGAACACGCCGCGCCATCTGATAACTTGGACTGCTCCATCGGCGAACCCCATCAGAAGTGGGATTGTGGATAAGTTGTGGTTAGTATTTTACTTATTCTGGGATAGAACGGACGCTACATAATTCTAGAATCATGGAAGGCTTCGTAACTAGTTTATGCAATTTAGATCAATTGTAGTCTCTTGTTTCTTATATTGCTATGGTATACATGATAGTAAGTGAGTTCACGGGATTTGACTGCTACAGCGGAATGCTGTCTCGTTTCAGTTCTGTGTTGAACGGGTAACACAACAGTGTTGCAGTGGTCATGCCTGCCCGAGCGGGGCTGAAAGAGTCCAATATACTGGTGGGGGTGGATACTCACTCAGTACACAATCTGCATTTGTGGATTTGACCTATGAAGTAACCCAAAAATGGCGTTATACGAAAACCGACCTATGAAGGTTTCATCTGAAGGTTCGTGAAAGAAGATGAAGATTTACACCGCAGAGAAGGAGAAGAAGGAAGAAGACGGCAGAAGATGAAAAATTTCCCGCGGCGGCACCAGAATAGGCAGGTGATTGGGCTGCGGGTCTGCAGGTGATGGAGCGAACCTCGACAACAGAGTTATCAGATGAGCCCGACGACATGTCGATCCATCCAGCCACGTCCCACGCCCAGGTCCTTAGCGCTTGTTGCCTCGTTTTCAGTTCCAGTTGAGTTTTGATTCATGCATATCACACAACGAGACCCTTTTTTTCTTTTCTTTTTTTACTTTTCTTTTTTCTCTCTCCTGGTGCTTTTGTCGTGTATTTGAAGCCCTTGAAGATGAGCACCTGCCCTTTCTCTATGAGTAGTTGTAGTTGGAAGCCTCAGTCTGGCTGTTGAACGGTAGAAATACCAACCTCCGAGAGCCACTTGACATTATTATTGTTTTTTTGGTAGGTTCCTTGAGATTAAAAGACGATCATAAGCGTTAGGTGACTAGCCAGCGTAGACTTAGTCGACTAGTATAGCCTCGGTTAGTACTTTTCTTAGTGTTACACAGATCCCAGGAACCGCCGAACTGGCCTCCCACTTTGGCTCCACTACGTCTGGAACAAAAACATCCAATGATTGATTCTCCTCGCCGTTCCTCAATCCAAGTCGTGAACTTTCAACGGCAGTCCGGTGTTTGCTGCAATTACTCACACCCGCAGTACATCGTATTGGGATCGATTGTCTGCAGTACTTGTGAGGTACATGTGTCCACTGGGCGAAAATCATGTCGTTGCTGGGTCATTCTTCGGTTCCTCGTCCTCCTCTTTCCCTGTCGAGTGACGATCCATACCTCTTTCTCCGGTACAATTCTCCCTTCGTAGGTTTTGATCTTCTCCGCTCAGTCAACCAGCTGGAACGGGACCCTCTTTTCCGATGGTGGATTCTTTGGGGGTTACCGGGTTTCTCTTACTCATGGCCTTCCCCTCCATTGACTGGCCTTTGGGCTCAAGCACACCATGGCGTCAACTGCTGCTCGGCCCCAAGTCTTAGCTCTTTCAGGGCCGCAACCGGAGCAATTATAATGAGCAATTCGGGTCTTGAAGTTTAGTGTGTCCCTGCTCTGTACGAACTATGCTAGCTCTTTCTATTTTTTTCTTGTGGACATTCCCTCTTTAAACTCCCGTCCTCCTTCTTTCTCCCCTCCGCTTTCTCCAGATCTGGTGAATTACTCACTTGAATAGAGTATTGTCGACATTGGCGGGGATGCTTTTTGGGGGACGTCTGTCTGAGTGTATCGGTTCACTCTTGCCCCATTGCCGGTCGATCCGTTCCGCGGGGATTTCGACTCATACCCTTCCAATTGAGGGACTCTGGAGCACCAGCGCCCTGGCTCCCCGTGCGCCTCTTTCGTTGACACATTGCGACTGAAGTTTAGAGTCGCGACAGCAGGTCCTGTCATATAACAGGATCCATACTTAACTACTCGAGCCTTGCCCTGCCGCTCCCAACCGAGACTGCGCACACCTATAAGTCACAATGGCAGACCCAGAACCATTGTCTGATGGGCGGGCAGACTCTAATGGTGTCTATGGTTTGGTATGTCAAGTCCAATTCGCTCGCTCGAAGGATGTGCATCAGGTACTGACTTGGGTGAACCCTCTCTTTGCATCTAGATGCGATCTGTCAAAGGACTAATCCCAACCAAAGCACACCTGAAGCAGTTCTTTGCCTACGTGCACCTTCTTTTTTCTTTGGATTACACCATATTCGACGTATTTCTCATTGTATGCGGCGTGATATTCGGGATAGCTGGAGGAATCCCCTTCCCTCTGCTTGGGATTGTATTTGGTAATCTGATCAACAACCTCAATTCGACAACTTGTTCCGCTTCAGACAATGCTTCGTCAAATTTGTCGTCCAGTGTACGCACCGAGGTTCTCTATGTGATTTACATCACCATAGCGAACTTCTTCATCATCTATATCTACACGTCATGTTGGTGCCTGGTGAGCGAACGTCTGGCGCGCCGCTATCGCAGGCGATACTTTGAAAGTATCATTAGGCAGGACATGAATTTCATCGAGTCTCTTCCTTCGGGCGATGTGATCTCCCGGTTGGTCAGTGACATTGAGACAGTGCAAATGGGGACCTCGGAGAAGGTGGGCCTGGTGATCTCCACTGTTTCATACTTTGTGACCGCCTATATCGTGGCTTTCATTAAGGCGCCAAAGATTGCGGGCATGCTGGTTTCAGTGGTGCCTTGCTTTCTCCTCATGTCCCTGGTAGGAGGTCACTTCATCAAAAAATATGCGAGCCGGATTACAGCCAATATCAATGCGGCTACATCGATTGCCTCGTCCAGTCTATCGCATTTGACCCTGGTTCATGCTTTCAATGCCAACGACCGCTTGGAGCAGCGATTTGCCACTTATCTCTCCAGGTCATCGATGGATGCACTCAAAAAGGCAGGTACGCATGCTACGCAACTTGGATTCTTGTACTTTGTGGCATACTCAGCCAACGCCTTGGCTTTCTGGGAGGGTTCCCAGATGATTTCCAGCTCGGTTGCCCACGATAACTCAGGTATTTCTGTGGGTGCTGTATACACTGTCATTTTCGTTCTCATCGATGCTTCCTTCATCTTAAGTCAAGTTGCCCCCTTTATCCATGTCTTTGCGTCCGCAGCCGGTGCCTCGGAGCGACTTCTAGCCGTGATCAATCGTCGTTCTGCCATTGATGGAACCGCAGACGAAGGTGATAAGAAGACTGCCTTCGGAGAGGAGAACATTGAGTTTCATGATGTTCAATTTTCGTACCCGGCTCGACCAGACGTTCCAGTACTCCGGGGAATGAGTTTTGTCATTCCTCCTAGGAAGCATACCGCCATTGTTGGACCCTCCGGCGGTGGAAAGTCAACCGTGGTTTCTCTCCTAGAACGGTTCTATGACCCTGCATCAGGCGATGTGACCATCGGAGGGAAGAGTTTCCGAAATATCAATGTTCGACATTTGCGAGGCAATATTGGTTTCGTTCAACAAGAACCGGCTTTATTGGATCGAACAATTCTGGAGAATATTGCGTACGGCCTGGTGTCCTCATCCTCAGAGAAGCATCAACGGCTCGCCCCGTTCATTCTCGATGAAAGTCTTTCGGATCTTGCTTTCAAGATCAGGGAAGGCATGTCCGAGAATGCTGCTCTTACTGGCTTCGACAGTTGTGTGGCCGAGATTTTAGAACTCGTCAGGGAGGCAGCCGCCAGCGCTAATGCGTTGAACTTCATTGATGCTTTGCCTCACGGATTCGCAACCCTCGTTGGAACAGCAGGAAATCAGCTGAGTGGAGGTCAGAAGCAGCGAATTGCCCTTGCTCGTGCTCTTGTGCGAGAACCGTGTTTACTCATTCTCGATGAGGCTACGGCTGCCTTGGATTCCACCAGCGAACAACTTATCCAGGCTGCACTGGCCAAAGTCTCCGAAACGGTAACCACGGTTTCGATCGCACATCGACTAGCCACTGCCAAAAATGCACACAAGATTGTTGTCGTACAGACTGGACGTGTCACAGAGGAAGGATCTCATGCGGAGCTCGTGGCGCAGGGCGGCGTGTACGCAGAAATGGTACGGCTGCAAAACCTGGGTAAATTGAGTATTGAAGATCTGAAGAGCCCTCACGATATGATCACCACGAGCAGTCTTCATGAGAGTGTGCAGCCGGCAGACGAAAAGGAACCCTTGGTAGGCATTGGGGGCTCAGACATCACTGAAGACACGGTGGTTGGTGAGGTGTCCCCTGGTTTCAAAAATGGTGATGGGAGCAAAGACAAGAAGAGAAGCCGTTCGGGCTGGTTCACCATTAAGTATACGTTCTCGCTAGTGCGGGCCAACCTGCCGTTGATTTGCCTCGGCCTCTGTATGTCCGTCATCATTGGAGGTAGCTACTCGGCCGAGGCGATCGTCTTTGGCCACACAGTTGGTAGTCTGAGCCCCTGCAGATCTTCTGATGCCATCAGTGACAGTGGCAACCTTTATGGGTTGCTGTTTTTCATCCTTGCCCTGGTTGAGCTTACGGCAAATGTGGTGGGCGGCTGCGCCTTTGGCTGGGCAGCGGATAAGATCCTGTATCGGCTCCGAGTGCTATCGCTACGATCGCTGCTTAGCCAGACCATACAATGGCATGGTATGGAGGACCGGACACCAGGAACTTTGATCACATATATTACTGGGGATGCTGCTTCGCTGAGTGGCATTACCGGATCAACTATCGGTCTCCTCCTTGCTACAGCCGTCAACCTGGTAGCCGGGTTGGTGATATCGTTTGCCATCGCGTGGAAAATCACTATTGTCTTATTTCCGACCATACCCGTCCTACTTATAGCAGGCATGATGAAGCTCCGTGTCCAAGCCAAGTTTACCGAGCGGCATCAGAAGGCATTTGCCAAGGCAACGGCCATCACAGTCGAGGCCGTCGATAACATTCGTGCTGTTGCAGCATTCTCCCTCGAGAAGCAATCTCAGGAAGTGTTCGTTCGAGCCCTGCGCCGTCCCTACCGGGACACAATGAAGGCTATTGCACACGGCAACGCCTGGTTGGCATTGGCGTTTAGCATTAGCAACTTGGTGTATGCCCTCGCATATTGGTGGGGATCGAGGCAGGTGGCATCGGGGCTCTACTCCCAGACTCAGTTCTTTATTGTCCTCCCTTGCCTGCTATTCAGTACGCAGTCTTGTGGTCAAATGTTTGCTCTGGCGCCAGATATCTCCAAGGCCCGTCTGGCGTCGTCCAACATTGTTGATCTGCTCACTACCCGCTCTGCGGAGGAGGAGCTGACTCCGGGTTCCATGCAGAGCATGCAACCCTCAAGCAGGCTGCTTGAGGAAAAGGCCGCCACACAGGACGTGGAGGCCGCAGAGAAGCCCCGTACGGGTGTGCGCCAGACGAATGGCAACGGTATCGGCGCCCAGCTTCGTGGGGTGCACTTCACCTACCCCAATCGGCCTGAACGTCCAATCTTACGAGGACTTAACCTGGACATCAAGCCCGGTCAGTTCTGTGCGCTGGTCGGACCTAGCGGATCGGGCAAATCGACGACCTTTGCCATGCTGGAGCGATTTTACCGTCCTGCAGCCGGGTCGGTGATCATCGACGGAGTTGACGTGACTCGGCAACTAGGCACTGAGTTTCGGGATGATATCGCATTGGTGCCGCAAGAGAATGTTCTGTTCGAAGGCACGGTCGCGTTCAACATTGGCCTGGGTGCTTGCCCTGGGCATGAACCAACACAAGAAGAGATCGAAGCAGCGTGTCGCATGGCGCACATCCACGACGTGATCATGGCCCTGCCGGACGGGTACCAGACGATGTGCAGCCACGACGGCAAGCAATTCTCAGGCGGTCAGCGCCAGCGCCTGTCAATTGCACGCGCGCTGGTGCGCAAGCCACGGCTGCTGCTGCTGGACGAGTCGACGAGCGCACTGGATGTGGAGTCGGAGAAGAAGATCCAAGAAGCCCTGACAACACTAGCGGGCCGCACGACCATTGTCGCGATCGCGCATCGACTGAACACGATCCACCGTGCGGATCAGATCTATCTGATTGAGGAGGGCCGCTGTGCGGAGCAAGGAACCCATCAGGAGCTGATCCAGCGCAGTGAGACGTATCGAACGAGTGTGATCCACCAGTCGCTGGAGACCTAACGAAGATGGGCGACTGAAACACGGCACTGCTGCATCGGAACGCACCAAAAAAGAACAAGGGCACTCCTTCATTATGAGATGGTGTTACCCGTTCATCTACAACGTGTCTTCCGTTACTGTTGGGAGTGGAGCTTGGCTGCATCTTGCGATATGGGATTTTCCTCTATAGACGCGACATAAATAGGTAGCATCTGGTAAAATCATTGATTGGTTTGAAGAATTGGCGCAATCTCACCCGGGTATTTGATAAACCAGGGATTTTGTTGTGTTTGAAAGGCGTTTATGGAAGTGATTGGATAGTGTACATAGAAGCGTTAATCTACACCTACAACAAGTATTTGCTGGCTTGGGATAGACTTCCGAGTCAGTGGCTAGGCTGCCTGAGGCGCTGACAACTGACCGGTACCGTATCAGCCATACCATCAATACCATAGATACCGGCGGAAACACAGCCCATGCCCTGCCAGATTGGGAAGGTGACCAGTATCGTATTCGGGGAGCCTCGTATCGCGGGTGTCTCATCCAAGGAGGTCTCCTTTTTAAGGCAGTCGATTCAGAATAAAACGAGTGGATTCACTTGGAATGAATGGGACGATTCAATTTCCTCGAAAAGTCTTATTGTTCCAGACAATAGAGCTCTGACCACAATCATCCTCGCTAATATCATGGCGGGAGGAGGATAGTAAGAATAGGATAGGATGATGGGGTTCCGCGCGGCGAGTCTATCTGAAACGACGCTCCCCGTTTGGTGTGTTTCATTTCGGCCTCAAACTCTCTTTCGTCTCGATCTCATCTCTCACTCACCTCTTCTACTCTAACTTCCGCCCTCCTCCTCCCCTGCTCGATTATCTGCCCCGTTGACTGGCTCTTATTCTTCCTTCTCTTATTTTCGTTGTTTCTTTTCCTTTTAGTCTGACGTGGTGCTTGGTGATTATAGTTTTATTGCTTTCCGTCCGCGGTCAGTTAGTTGGTTAGTGATAGGCCTCCCTCCCCCCGTCTTTTTGCCCCTGGTCGGCATTGCTGCTGGTCTGGTCCGGCGGCCTTTTTCGCGCTGCTCATCAACCAAATTCCCAGCAGCTGCTACTATTATTTGCTCTCCCTGTCTTTTCCCACGTCCCCCCCTCTCTCCCCTCCCCCCTTCCCCTCCTCCACCATGTTGACCCTGGTCGATCTGCGACTAACCCTGTTATTAATCTAATCACACCTACTAGACTCGTTCGTCATTCTATCATTCTATTGCTCTCTGTTGGTGGTGGGAGTTAATTGCATTTCCATTCTGCGCGCGGACTCGTGTCCTCCCTCCCGCACCATCCCCCCCGGCACTACAGCCCTTGTACCCCCCCGTCCTGACAAGCCCCCGTTTCGCATTTCACTCGCTGTATGATATTCTAGCGATATTCCTTTTCATCGAACGAGACCGGCATTTACGTCTTCACTTCGACTTCGTCGCATGCGTAACGGGACATTGAGACCCCTTGACGACTTGAACGAAGCACCCTGACTTTAGCATCGCGGGCGCATCCCCGGATTCACATTATCGTTGACCTCCTTGATCAACTCGCCGTACATAGCTTGTTTGCCTCGGTCGCTACTAGAGCGAGGAGTACAGGATGGAGTCTCCCGCGTATCCAGAATCGCCGATGGACCAGGATGATATCCCGTATCCTTGCAAGGGCTGTGGAGAGGTATGCATGAGGCTCTGACTGGGGTAACAATGTTTATCGCGTGCTAACCTAGCACTCTTCGCAAACAGATTCTAGAAGAGGGCAAAGCTTTCGAACTTGGTAGGTTTGCATTGAGTCCTCTTGACCCCTGTTTTGACAAGTGGCTGACCGCTCCTTTCTTGACTTCCCGTGTAGCGGGCAATCGATGGCACATTGAATGTTTTTGCTGCAGCACCTGCGGTACTCTTCTCGATTCCGACGCACACCTGCTACTCCTGGGAGATGGATCGTTGATTTGCAGCAACTGCACGTACAGCTGCAGTTCGTGTGGGAACAAGATCGAAGACCTCGCCATCTTGACGGGCGAGCAGGCTTTCTGCGCACAATGCTTCCGATGCCGGAACTGCAAAAGGAAGATCGAGAATCTGCGCTATGCTCGAACCTCGCAGGGTATATTCTGTATGGACTGCCATGAGTCCCTCATGCAACGTCGAAGAAAGAGGAACCGGAATGTCGCACCGTCGAGGAAGCAGACGCCGGCGAACATGAAACTGGACAAATCACTCCCGTCCTTGCCCTCGGAGGACCCCGAACCGATGCCTCGTGGCTCCGACGAGCCAGCTGCCGATGCGTATTCAGATGCAACCCCCGATACGACATTGCGAGGAGCTGCGCCTGCGCTGGACGCAGGAAGGGGCAGAAGCGCTTCTGCTACCGGTGCGGCTGCAGATAATCAAGGTAGGATACTCTGTGGTGTCCTGGATGTCGTAGTGTGCGTGCAGGGACTAACTCATGAAATGTTTCTAGACAACCTAATTCTCCCTTCGAGCACCTACCGAAGCAACCGACACTCAGTCATACCTCAACCAGAGGCAGATGGCGGTGGTGAATTCTTAATCCCTGTTGCGTTCGACCCCTCCGAAGAACAACGGTCCGCGCGCGGACAGTTACCTGCCACAACGTACGGGAAATCGCCTCATGGGTCGGAAAGCTCGTCTCCGCATATTGCGTACCAGGAAAAGGGCCGGGACCGCGGTGACCTTGACACGGCACGTTGGCGTCAGGATGACCTCGTCAACGGCACAAACACCGCCAGATCGGCTTCCGCTCGCAGTTCCAGGTCTGACCTGGGTCGTAAGGAGACCAGCACTTTCTCCACACCCAGCCCCGAAAGTACCAAATCGGCAACCGTTCAAAGAGAGGGCTTGGCTCCGGAGCTTCAGAGAACAGCCAGTGACAATACCACCACACTTCCGACTCGGCCTTCGCATGAGCTGCGTCGGTTGCACGAAACTACAGGGTCGGTGGACTCTGCACAGTCGTTCTTGTCCTCCACGAGCGTGCAGCATCCGAAACGGGCCGATTCCCTGGAGAGCAGGCTGCATCAGCCATCGAGAAAGGAGCCCGGAACGTCTCCTCGGCCGTCCTCTGTTACCCCCAGCGACCAGTGGAGCGAGCGATCCACTGACAGGACTGGTGTGAGCAGGAGTACACCTCGGACTGGCGATTCCGCGTGGACCCCGCGCAGTGAATTGAACGAACAGACTAAGCCCCCCGCGCGTCCCAACTCTATTAGCACTCTTCAGCAGGTAGAGGCCTATCGTCAAACTGACGGTGCGGGTTCTCCCTCGTTGCTGCGGTACAGCGGTGGCGGCGACTTCACCATGGACGAAGATATGGCCCGTATCATGGGCTCGGACGATAGCAACAATGCACAGACGAGTGAGTCTTTCCTACGACGCGTTTCGAACTCTGTTCGCCATGGCCGCAGCTACAGCGATAAAGGTTCGCGCCTATCAAGGGACGCCAAATGGCCGAAGTCGCCTGTTAACGGATCTGCAGCGATACCCGACCTGGGGAGCCCGTCTCTGATTTCTCCTGACAATGCAGGACCTGAGGAAGTGACATGGCTGCGTAATGAGCTGCGCAAGGAACGGCAGCGTGTGTCCGATCGGGAACAGAAGATCGCCGAGATGGAGGCGATGCTGAATGCAAGTGCCGATGTCAAGCAGGTTAACACTGAACTTCACGAGAAGCGCTCCACCATGGTGGTATTGGATGCACAGAAAGAGATTGCCATGCGTGAACTCACCGTGCTAACCGAGCACCTCGAGGCTGAGAAACGTGGCAACGGTGGATCACTCGACCTTGGAAAGCTGACCAACCATGTCTTGCGGGAATTTGTGGAATCGATACAGAAGCTGAAGGATACCTTTACGCCACAGATCGAAGAGCTGGTACAGAAACGCAACGATGCCGCGGAGGAATTGGCCAACTTGAACCGCATGAAGGACAAGAGTTTCCAGGAATTCGAGCAGCTGTCCTCCAAGAACGCTCAACTGGCGGAGCTGAACAACCAGCTGGTGCATCAGATCCAGGAGCTCTACAAGGCCAACCCGACGGACGGTCGTGGGGCTAACGGTCTTGGTATTTACTCTCATGGCAAGGAGAAGTCTCTCTCTGCTATCGATGCTCTCAAGGCGGCCAACAGCGATCTGGTTCCTACAGTAGCGACGACAAACATTTCAGAGGAGGCTGAGCCAGCCACGATCGTTCCCGGACCCCAAGTGGTTAGCATCAGAAAGGGACAGCCTCGCAAGTTCAACTGGAAGAAGGGTGGTCAGAACGTCGCCAAGGGTGTCACCAAGGGTCTCAAGGGTGCCTTCATGTCGAGCGAAGCGACCCCAGCTGAGGGTAACCCGGGTCTGCCACGCTCCCAAACGCAGGACCCAAGTCGCCCCGGTTTTGGCTTCTTCGGTAACCAGCGGAGCAAACAAACAGGACTACGGATGCCGCAAACCGACAGTGTCCCGGCTCTGGCTGAGACTCCTGCTCCTGGTGGTAAGTATTCAGCTTCATTTGTTCCAGTTGCACGCAAGCAGATAACTAATATGGTTGAGCAGGACTCTTTGGCACAGATTTGGAACAACGCATGGAGCAGGAGAAGAGCATCATCCCTGCCATCATTACTCGCTGTATTCAGGAGGTCGAACTACGAGGTATGTGGTGCCAATCACGGTCGTGCGCTTGGAATGCTAACCGTCCGCCTAGGTATGGATATGGAAGGTATCTACCGGAAGTCCGGCGCCAGCTCTGCAATTCAGACTATTCGGGAAGGATTCGAGCGCTCTCCACAGGATTATGATATTTCCGACCCTGACCTCGATATCCATGCCGTGACCTCCGCGTTGAAGCAGTACTTCCGCAAACTGCCCATGCCGCTTATCACGTTTGACGTCTATGAGAAGATCATCGATTCGGGCGAGATCACTTCTCAACCCGCCCGGGTCGAACACCTACAGAAAAATCTGCGCGAGTTGCCGCGCGTTCACCAGGATGTGCTCGAGTTCCTCGTGTTCCACTTGAAGCGCGTGGTCGAGCGCGAGAAGGAGAACCTGATGACCAGCCAGAACATTGCCGTGGTGTTTGCGCCAACCATCATGCGGCCCGAGAGTCTTGCACGAGAAATGACTGATGTGCAGAAGAAGAATGAGGTTTTGAAATTCTTGGTTGAGAACTGTCAGGAAATCTTCATGGGTTTGCAGGGTTAGAACGCCATCAGTTTCGTTTTTGATTGGACCATCAGCCTGGTCCGGAGGAGCGCGAGGATGCGGACGGTACATTTCCATTTTCTTTTGCTTCTCGAATCTCTCTTCCCGCTTTTGGCTATTGGAGTGATATCGACCACCCCATTCCCATTTTCCTTTCTCGTTAGAATACCCCGAACCCTGTCTGTTCGACAGTTGTACATATATCGCGGCGGCATGGGTGTCTTGGTCTTTTCATTCTCCCTCCCCCCATCCCCTTCCATTTCATCATGCCTCATCATACCTTCAAAAGCCCTGCTACCGTCATTCTCGAATGATATATCTGATCAGCGCCTTGCCTCCCGTCGATACCCTTATGTGTCTCAGTTTTCCTTTTCTTCCCAATCCTGTTGCCCCCTCAAGTTTATTCCATGTAATCTGTCTCATTTCCTCTCCCCGCTTGCTTGCTTGATTTATCCCGCAGGTTCGAAGCTAGTTCTTAGTCCATGGTGATGTGATATTGCTCTCCCTGAAGCCCGAAGCAGTCGATCTGTCTCTCGTATCCTCCTGTCCGCTGAGTGTGGGGACCACCGTCGGGTAAGTACCTGGCCGGTGTCGTCCTTCAGTCTTCATCACTCCCTGTCTCCTCATACTTATCTCTATAAACTCATTTGCCATTGTGGATCGTGGTGTGCTTTCTAGGGGATTTGGAAGTTATCGATGAGAATGAGAGTGAGCGTTGGCGTCTTGTCGTTAGGGGTGTGTGTGATTAGCTAGTTTGTTCCTGCTTGCTTGCTTGATAGATAGATCGAGTTATGGTGTTGTAGTATGTGATTGATTGTGCTTTAGTTGCTTGTCTTGTCTACTTGTATCAGTTGTAGGGGTGTTTTGTTTATCGTGTGTGTATCCGATCGTGTAGTTGTGTCACGTTCTAGCGTGTTTATCTTACGGTCATTAAATACAATGGGTGGTAAGGATGAATCTTGTCTTCTATTTTGGGTAATGGCCATCTAGAATGTCTCATCTTCCAGTCGCTCCACCCGTTGGATGATACTCGGACTTTGTTCGATGGGTAGATCGTCTGTTGTATCGTTGGCTCCGGCGGTGAAGAGCAGGTCTTCCACGATGCGTTTTGATGCTTCCTTGGCTGTTATAGCATACATTGGTTAGCATGTACTGCAAATTTGGACGTACAAACCAAGCAAAGAAAATAGGAACAGGGGGAACGTGTTAACTCACCAGGCGTCTTCATCAACCGACTCTGCGGTATATGAAACTGCATCGTCTTAGGAGGACTCGGTCCCATATCCTCATCATCCCCGTCATCAAAGTCATCATCACTGTCCCAAGCCGATCGCCTCGCACCACCACCGCCGCCGCGTGCAGGAGTCAGCACACTTATCCCGGGCTTCGGGGTAATCCGCAGCTGATTCGCACTGGGTCTCCTCTTGCGGCCCGTATTCGGCGTTTCCACGCCCTTCATAGGAGACGAAAAGATCTCCGCATGCAATTTGGGGGCTTCCGGCTCCGGACTGGAGATAGGAGAGTCATCGTACGCGTACTTCTTGCTGTTGTTTGTTGTCTTGGGTGTAACGGTAAACTTGGATCTGGACTCGTATCCGTATCCCTTTCCGAGCGGGGTGGCTTGCACGCGGTATGTTTTGTCGGCCATCTGGTGCATGATTGGGTCCTCAGCGGGAGGAATAAAGGGTGATGATGACATTGGAGTATGGGATTGGTTGTGGGAGAGGTCGTCGGTGTAGTGATGGGTTCTGGCGGAGGAGTATTTGGCTGGGGTGGTCGGGAGGTAGGGGTCGTTTTCGTCGTCGTCATCGTCGCGGAAGCGGGTATCTGGGGTTGGGTGCGCGATGGACGAGGTGTCATCGTCATTGGCGGCGTAGCGGTTGTCATGACCAGTGACACGAGGAGTGCTGTGGGAGGAGAGGCTGAGGGAAGTGAGCTCGATGTCGTCGGCTCGGTGGAGTTGGTGGTGGCTGTCGTCTTCGCCGGGTGTTTCGGTAACGGTTTGATCTTCTTCGGCCGTTAGGTTGGTCGGTTCTAGGACGGTGGTATCTCCGTCGGGCTTCTCTTCGTAGCCGGAGAGGGAGACATTGGCACTGGCTTCGAAGAATTGTTTCCAGAACTGGTGGGGAGTTAGAGTGCCTGCAGGGGTCGTTGTTGGGGGTATGGAAGGTGATGTACCTTTGCGCCATCCCAGACATCGCGGGAGCTCTCTGCGTATTGCTCGACCAAGGGGAGAATATTTGTCGTGACGATGCGGTGGGCTTGGCTAAAGTTGTGGTCGATTTCTGGTGAGGACTAATGTCAGAGGGGTATGCAGGAGCTACATCAAGTGATGTTGTTACCTTGGAGGGTCAGGGTGATGGACTGCTCGAGCTTCTCGAGCTCCTCTGTAAGCGTGAGGGGGCGCTGCGCCATGGAGGATGGGCGAGACATGATGACTGTCTAGTGTGTAGCAAATTGGACGCCGTTAATGACTGCACAGATGCGCAAAGGCAATGTGACTGCTAAAGTTGTTGATGTTGATGTTATGTTTTGATCGGGCGGAGGGGAAACGCGGGATGCCGGATCGGGTTGCAAGGTAGGGCAGCCGGATAAGGGCAGAGGCGGGTCACATGTGGCGGGCGGCGGGGAAAATGGACCCGGATCTCCGCCTGATCAAGGCTGGAGGTGACGCCGACACTCACTTACTACCGCTGCCTGCTGCTTTTCACCCAGATCTGTCTTGGACGCGACTGAGGGTGTTTCGCCATGCCTACGCCGGTTGCCAAAGGTATGCTTGCTATATAGGGCCATTTCATTGTTTCCTAAATGCTTAAACAGCCCTGCTTTTGTTGTATTACCCGGGCGGTGTGCTTATCAGGAAAATGACCATGATCTATGAGCTGCTCGAGCCCGGCTCGATCGGCATCGTCTGTGCGATGATTTCATTGTAGTTGCTTTCTTTTCACATGTGAAAGAGCTATTCTACGCAAGTGCTTTCAGCTCGGAAGCGGTGGTACTGACCTCTCAGGCATTATTATCACCGTGTCGGCGCTTGTCGCTGCAGGTATCGCGGTTTACGAATCGCCCCAGTTCCGACAATGGGTCAATAGCTCACGACGAAAGATCGCCCTGGCGCTCCACCATCTCGGTGATGAGATCCATCCACAAGACGCAGCCGCTCTAAGGCAGGATATCTCAATGACGGAAGAGGTGGGCGCTGCGGCTGAGGAGCGACGGCGGTTAGCGGTGGAAGAGCTTCAGCGGCGACGCAGCGTACTCGAATCCCGTCGCAAGGCTCGAGATGGAGCCCCAGCAAGCAGCTTTGACGCTTTGGTGGATGAAAGTGGCCGACTTCTGGATAGTCCAGAGCCCCCAGTGAATGATTCAATGGCGAACTCGACGGCAGTAGAAGTGACAACGTCGCAGCCTGTTCAACGTGGCAAGCAGACTGGAACGTCAACTCCTATGGCTGAAGCTGATGGCTCAAACAACGTGGGGAGTCGCCTACAGGTTGCGATCCCGTCACCTGGCTCTCACACCCCGTCGCTTGTTGAGTTCACTCCTACGTCGGAAGCACCGGAAAGGCTTGCGACCTCGTTCCATTCCCAGTTTAGTGAGGGCGAACACTTCGTAGGATCGGATAGCTACCATCGTCCCGACACACCTGCGTCTAGCCACACCGAAGATTATTCTCAGGTTATCTATGCCCATCCGGAGGATCATGCCGTCAATGGTACTGGTCGGGACCTGAGATCTCCATTTTCAGACCTGTCCGACCTGCACTCCGAGGGTCATCACGTTGAGCGCCCATCTACACCGTCTACTGCCGGTAGCTTCAGCCAAATCTATGAGTCCGCGCTGGATGGGTCGGAAGGTACTCTGAGTGACTTTGAGCGGTCCGGTGCAGCTACTCCGGCTAGCTGGTCGGAGATTGGAAGCGTTATCAGCAACGACGAGCAGCATCATCATTTGTAGGCATGGAATTGGTTGACTAATTTTGAGGGAACTTTTGCTGGACGTATGGTCATGGGCAGGCGATAGGGTGTTAAGCTTGCTTGGATTGGTTTGCTTATTCGGGCGCAATGTGGCAATGGTCACGCTGTACATATATTGCTTTTCGTTAGAAACACAGTGGATTTGATAAAGTAAGTTTTAGACTGTAACGGTGATCATCGTCGCCGAGGTTGGAGCATATCGGAGGTACTTCCAACTCCTCATAAATTGGCCGAGAGGCAAAGTACTGTTAGTGCTGATCGGCCCTCCCAGAGGGGAAAGAACCTCGGCTGTTCGGCTGGATTGGAGGACCACCGCATTTACTCCTTCATTATATCATCCTCCTCTCCCCTCTTCTGCTCCGCTCCTTGCTTATCCCTCTTGATCTTTTAGCGATATCTCTATTATCACAGGTACGTACATACCCATCGATGTGTCGAACAGCTGCACCGGTCCTTTCAACACCAATTTGCGCCCGACAGACTCATCTCTTTCATGCTATCAGCTCCCCCAACCAATCCACCTCTAAGAAACTGACCGCTGAATCTCACAACAGCTACTCAAAACATCATGGCAGCAGATCGTCTAAACTCTATTCTCAGTCACCTGAAGCCGACAGGCAATAGTGGACTCGCCGCAATGTAAGCTTCAGACCGTTTCCGACAAACAAACACCGCTAATCAGCACCCACCAGCACTCAAAAGAACCCAGACGATGTAGTCATCACCCTTGCGCTGCGCACGCCCCTCGCAAAGGCCGTTAAGGGTGGATTCAAGGATACAGAGCTGGATTACATCCTCTACGCACTGTTGAAGGAAGTGCTCTCTAAATCTAAGCTGGATCCCGCTTTAGTTGAGGATGTGTGCCTGGGAAATGTGAGCACCAACTTGTCCTCCTTACGGATACCGGGCTACTAATCCTCATACTATTATTCTAGGTCGGCGACGGCAAAGCAGCCTACCTCGTCCGCGCTGCCTCCCTCGCAGCCGGCATCCCTCACACTGCCGGTGGATCCTCCGTGAACCGCTTCTGCTCGTCTGGTCTGAAGGCCGTACAGGACATCGCGAATCAGATTCAGCTTGGAGCCATTGATGTTGGTATCGCTGTCGGTGCGGAGTTGATGTCTGCTGGTGGCGACCGGCTGCCGCGTCCGTTCAACGAGGAGGTCCTTCGCAACCAGGAAGCGGCGGACTGCATGCAGCCCATGGGTCAGACGTCGGAGAATGTTGGTGCGGACTTCAACATCACGCGCGAGCAGCAGGACAAGTACGCTGCGGAATCTTTCCGTCGGGCAGAGGAGGCTCAGAAGGCGGGCTGGTTCGATGACGAGATCGTCCCCATTACCACAAAGGTCAAGGACCCGAAGACTGGGGAGCTGAAGCAGGTTACGTTGACGAAGGATGAGGGTATTCGCTATGGTACGACGCCAGAGTCGCTGGCCAAGATCCGTCCTGCTTTCCCGCAGTTCGGTAATCGGAGCACGGGAGGAAACTCGAGTCAGGTTACGGATGGTGGTAAGTAATATTCATGATGGTTGAGTTATGAGGATTGTGCTAACTATGTCTGTGTGTGAACAGCCGCCGCTGTTCTTCTCATGCGCCGCTCCAAGGCTATTGAGCTGAACCAGCCCATTCTGGCCAAGTTCTGCGGTGCCACCGTCGCGGGAGTGCCGCCCCGGATCATGGGTATTGGTCCCACGGCAGCGATCCCCAAGCTGCTGTCCCAGTTCAACTTGAACAAGGACGACATTGACATCTACGAGATTAACGAGGCCTTCGCCTCCATGGCTGTCTACTGCCTTAACAACCTTGGTCTGGAGCACGCCAAGGTGAACCCGCGCGGTGGTGCCATTGCCCTTGGCCACCCTCTGGGCGCAACGGGCGCACGCCAGATCTGCACGATTCTCAGTGAGGCGCGCCGGACGAAGAAGAAGATCCTGGTGACAAGTATGTGCATTGGCACGGGCCAGGGTATGGCGGGTTTGTTTGTGAATGAGCAGGTGTAAAAGTAGATAGTATGGTATCATATCATATCATTTCATGTCATTAAATGCTGGTGTCAGCAATGGAGTGGATACTATGATGCTACGCGAATCCAGAAACTATACACAAGCCACTCAACCAAAACTAACAAGATCCATCATGGTATATCACGACTTGCCCTCCCCTTCTCTCTCTCTCGCCCTCTTCATCCTCTCCTCCGCCGCCTTCGCCAAAACCTCCCTCCGACTCTCTCCTCTCCCATCACCACCACCCCCACCCCCAAGCACAAACTGCCCCCCAGTCCATCCCTTCTCATCAACCACCAAACCCTGCTCCCTAACCCCCTCCCAATCCCCCGGATTATAAAACTCCTGATCCCCCACCGTCCTCCCACTCTTCGTCCAATCCCCCCTCTCAACCTCCTTCTCAATCTGGGACGTCAAATCCCAGAAATCACGATCATGTTCACTAAACACACAATGCGCCAGCTCATGACACAGCGTCTTCCGTATCGTGCGATAATCCCTATACCCATCATACGCATCCGTCCTCAGCCTTAACTCAATCACCTCGCCCTTATTCCGATTCAGACCCAATGTTCTCGACTCGCTCGTCGTATGCTCAGCCGGATCCATCTCCGTTAACAGCGGCACAGAGAACTTATGTTTCTGCATCGCGGATTTAATCCCGGGGTCGTCGCGGAGGCGTTCAAGAAACGTCAATGATTTAGAAGGGTTAGGGAGATGCGGGAGCGGAACGCATCGGTGGAAAGTGTAGGAGCCGCTGCCGTTGGCGCTGTTGGCGAGGGTGTGGATTTTGCTGATGTTGGAGGAGGTGCTGGACGGGGTGGGTTTCGCGGCGTAGAGACGGTGTGCGCGATCGCGGGCTTCAGCGCGGGCTTTGAGTTCTGTGCCGTGCGTGTTGAGGGACTCGATGTCGCGCGGGGGTGTGCCCAGCAGGGTGAGTTTGAATTTGGGGGAGGTGAGGGGGAGGAGGTCCTGGAGGGGCGTTGGTGGGAATGGATGTTTGAGCATGCCGGGGGAGGGAGATATGAGGAGCTTTTGGTGGGTTGGGGGGATTTGGAGTGTCGAGGAGATTAGCTCTGTTAGGTCTGTGAGGGTGCTGGTGGTTGGGAGGGTGAGGGAGTGGGAGGCGTTGCGGTGGTGGATTTGGAGGGTTAGGGTGCCCCCCGTTGGGGATTCGGTGTCGGTCATGGTTGGGGGATGGATGTGTGTGGCGCGTGAAATGGGGGAGTATTGTGGGGGAGAAAGTTGGATTATATACAAAGACGCAGAAGTGGTGATGATCTTCGATGGAGTTCGATCTTGTTTTGTCAGCGATAAGGCGATAAGCATGGTTTTATCACGTGGTGATAGGTGATAAGAGCTAGTCGATTAAGGTTAGTGTGGTTTCACCTTTTTTTACTGGTATGTAATGGAAGGGCCCCTGGTTACTGGTGCCTCAGGTAGCGAGCGGATCGTCGCTGCTTAATTTCGGCTGGTCCGAGGCTGTTTGGCGTTGAGAGATGCTGTCTGGGATTGATCACCCCGCGGGTCCTACTCTGTTACAAGTGTACTACGCCTGATTTAGCTTGTGCAGAATGATGCAGAAAGATTGTATGACCACTAGATTGACTCTGCAGAACGCTGACTGTCCACAACGCCGCCTGTACCCTGAACTCCGATCCTTATATGATTATTTACCAAAAATGACCATGACACCATCCAATGATGCACTTATGACAGTCGATAGCGAGAATATGCAGCCGGTATGACTGGCTCACTCATACTGCCGGTCGTCCATTGCGGCCGGCACATCCAGCACCCACTCTTCGAGTTCCGCATCCCACGTATGACTATCACATGTCAGCATAAGGCGGCTCTCGGCTAGAGGGGGATTTACTCACTTGTGAAATTGCGTGTTCGTCAACGCCTTCTTTGTATACTCTTCTGTTAGCACCCCATCGTACCTAAATGGCACCTTGGCTGGCACGCCCTCAAACGTCGATCTCCGCAGTGGATAGATATCGTGTGTCTGATATTTGTGCCCATTCTTGCACTCCCATTCTGTGGGCTTTTCGGCCGTCAGTCGGCTTAGCCCTGTGATATCGATGTATAGCCCCGTGCTGATGTCGATCCAGCGCGCATCAATTATATTCAGTCCCATGCCGCGATCACGCTGACGCGCCCACGGGTTTATATCGAGGAGGTACCGGCGCTCGACGTCGGGGTCGGTAGTGGTATACTGGACAACGGTCTGATTGAAGTGGTCGGCGAGATGGAATAGTGTGGTATCCATGACTTGAGTGTCGATGTCCCAGTCCCAAGGCATGATCTGGAAAGAAGAAGGGTTAAAACAGCCAAAACTAACCATGTCTGGTGCATCAGGAATAGCTCACCTTGCCATTCCACCACCACCCCAGCAATGTCCCATGCGCAATCCATGTTTCCAATCCATTGTCCTCAAAGAAGTTCAGATATGCTCGGATCATATGCGTCAATGTGATAGATCGCTCCGCGTCCGGAACCGGCTCCCCCTGGAAAAATCGCGAGTCATAGTGGCCCAGGGTGTCGTCACGACCTGGCTCATGGAAATACTTGAACTCGTCTGACTTGTTCAGCCCGTACTTCTGCCACAGCGGGTCTGGGTCATTGCGGTTGACGAAACTGCCGTGGTTGCTGTGCTCTGCGGGGCTGGGGCGTGCTGTGGCCACTGCTGACCAGATCGCGCAGGTGAGGACGGCCAGCAGGCCCCGAGGGTTCATGTCCGGCGGCAGATGTCAACGTTGTGTGTTTGAAAAGGGTTTTTATTTTTGACAGTTCGGGAGGTCAATCATGCCCCTGCTTGCATTCTGGACCGGGTAGGTGATGTTTGGGTGAGTATGAAAAGTTGATCCGGTTGATGCGGGGGATCAGAACAGGGCTGCCAAGTCGTTGCTCGAATGCGTTATAGCCGCATACGTCGAAACATATAATTCGCGTGGTGCATCGGACGAGAGAAAAGAAGGCCACCGGTGCTAACAATGAGAGCAGCCAAGTAAGTGCCAGCCCGACTCGACACGCCAATCAGGCATGGACAAGACAGGGGGGAAAGATAGACTGAGGGGGGGAAAGATACAAGGAAAAGGAAAGGAAGATCAGGAGAGAAAAGCACGGGGAACGGTTCTTGATAGTCCGACTAGACAGGCTTCGAGAACCACACGAGCCCGCAAATCAAACCGGAAGATCCGACGAATCCGTTCAGTTAACACAGGACGGGAAAAAGCTTTGCACCTCTGGGGGCGAGGGAAAATTGGTTAAGGCCGAGGAAGAATAGAATCAAATACGACTCCGTATTAACGGGGTGACTTCAACAACCAGCCAAGCGGGGCGACATTTGGGAGGCCCACTGAGGACCCTCATTAGATAGATTATTACATTGGCACAAGTTGGGAATAGGCCTTGGACCCTTTCCGTGGATGACGCTCTGCAGGTCCAGATCGGCAAGGATAACAGCCATGACGACAGGGAGCTGGTTGGCTGCGCGAAGCACGCCGGCATGCCAATGCTCCATTCCCATGAGGACAAAGAGAGCTACTTGTTATACTTTTGTAGGAGAGTGTCAGGATGGATGGTCTTCTCTTCGGAATCACGAGAGTAATAGTTCCTAGGCAACCATCAAAGAATCCACCCAAAGGAGACGGCGCTCCATAATTGATTGATTGATTTTGGCCGAATTCAGGGAAGAAAGAGGAAAAGAGTCGGGCCTCGCGTGCCATCTTTCCCGACGTGTCTTTGGCTCTCTTTTTTTTGTTTCCCACTCCCTCCCCACTTATCTTCCCTCCTAGGGATGTTTGTTACTACTGCTTACATACGGGAACGCCTTCCGTACCATCCGCTTACCGTAACACCAACCAGCTTCAGCAAAGCAGCCAACTGATTCATAGGGCTACACACCCACCCCCCTTGGTCTTCCCTGGTCGCAATGTCCATGACTCCATTGTGTCTAGTAGTCAGCACAGCACAGATGCAGGATGGCTTTGGCTAATTATCCGTGCCACGGTGACACCATCCTGAAAATCTCCCCATTGTATTTTAGTGTCCGTGTCCCTCCCTTCCCTGCAAGCAGGACAATTTGGAGGCGCCGAACGGCTGGTTCTCAGACGATGACCTGCAGTGTTGAAACTCCCCTAAAGCACAAGGGGGCAGTGTGTTGGCACGAATCATATATGAGATTCCGCTCCTGCTATGAGGCCAAGAATTAAAAGGATGCTGAGGCCAAGAGACGTATTAATAATGTCCAGCGAGATCGATACATCATGCACCTCGTAGGGCAGACAAATGCCCTACAGTACGCCCTGCATTATCGACCAACAACTACTGGATACACACCATCGAGCGCTAACGATCCTTGCACCTGACTCGAGTCAAGCAAGTCCTTCTATATACATACGCACGAGCATAGTACCTACCTCCAACTTCCACCTGCTATCCGCCCCCAAATTAAATCCCCCATAAAAGATGAAAAGAGTACTAGACTCCGCTACCGAGTATATTGTCAGAATCTTATCGCGCATCTGAAACAGTCCGGTTGCTTCCAGGGAGATACAAAAGTAGTCGTCTAGGTGGTCGTAGTAGTTACATACCACCATCGTACGACATCCATACACCCACCCCTAACTCCCAATACCGTAACGAACTGCCCCTTATTCGGAAGAACCAAGGTTGCTTTCCAACCATCAGGTTAGGTTAACCCCCCTGGACTTTCCTGACTAGTCGTCGTCCCCACAGAAATGCTACTTTAGTCTTGATGGCTGAACCCAAGCAGAACCAATTCGCTCACTTCTCTCCGACGCATCTGCGCGGAAGGGAACAGGACCCTGCCAATCTCGGAGCTATCAAATGCCTCCGTGCAGGTATTGGTTGTTGCCTATCAAAGTACAGGGGCAGGAGGAGAGCCGAGTTTTCAACTACGGAGTACTTTTTAATATACCGACCTATCAGGTGGCTAGCTAAATTTTGGTGCTGAGACCTGTTTATAAGAAATATGCCAAGGAGTATCGAATAGTCGGACAGGTCTGTCTGCCAAGGGGTGGGAGTAATTGGTGGCATCCGGTGATTCCGCTCGTACTCGTTTTTGTATGGATTGTTTTGGGGGGATCAGACCTTCATGCCGGGTCACTTGACTAGTCTGTTTTCGGGTCTGCCAAGCCTACTGCCGGGTCACATGATGATGCTCAGGGTCTTGGATTTCTTGGTTCGGTATTTTCATAACATTTTCCGCTTACTAATACGTTATGTCCATTCATAACTGCATAGTCCAACTATGTGCTAACCGGGCATATACAACTTCCACAGTTCATGCTTCTCCCATCACCTGCTGTAACCTGGCCATCTGCCAGTATTCGCCCTCGAGTTGCATCAACTCCTTGTGGGTCCCTCTTTCTACAATATGTCCATGCTTGAATACCAAGATTTCATCAGCATCGACAATTGTCTTCAGTCGATGGGCAACAGCGATGACCGTTCGCCCCTTCATCACACGTTGAAGTGTCCTCTGAACTAGTTCCTCTGAGGCGGAGTCTAGTGCTGAAGTTGCTTCATCAAGCAGACTGACAGGAGTTAGGATCCACTAATCACGGATTTTCTATGAAGGGGCCCCTTACAGAATCTTTGGCCGACATAGAAGCGCCTTCGCGATGGCCATGCGCTGGCGCTGGCCCCCGGACAGGGTCGATCCGTTGGCCATGACTGGAGTGCTTAAGCCTTGAGGGAGTGATAGCTGACAAATTATCAAGATAGTCAGGATATGTAACAAGGATATTTGAGGGGTTGAAGGCCCGTACCACATAATCGGCTAACCCAACGTCCTCCAAAGCGGCCAAGATCTCATCGTCTAATACAACCAGCTCACCACTCTGCAGGCAATCGCTCAGAGTTTCTCCGATTAGACAAGGATTTTGGTCGACCAGCGCTAGATACCCTCGGTAACTGTCGAGGTTATATTGTTCAATGGGCATATCATCTAGTGCTATTGCGCCAGTTTCACCGGTGTAGAAGCGCTCCAGCAGATTTATGACCGAACTCTTTCCGCTGCCTGTAGCACCCACGAGAGCAATGAAGGCACCCGCTGGAGCGTTCAGACTCACATCTTTCAATGCTAATTGAGACGAATGGCTTGGATATCTGAAGTTGACGCGTCGTAGCGAACGTTAGCGGTAATACTTGGCACGTCAGCGTCGCCATTATTGAGCTTTCTGTGGGTGGCTGCTGATATTCCGGCGCGCATCAGCTCCTCCAGTCTAGCACCAGCAGCTTGAGAACCTGCAATGTCAGGAGCATGTGCGAAAAGCACGGACGCAGACTGAGATCCCCACATCGTGGCTGCGAAGCAGATGAAGAACTGCTGGACATTGTATTCGCCAGTTGCGATTAGGTGTGTGCCGCCGTACCAGAAAACGAAAGCGATGCTCAACGCCCGGAGGGAGGTAGTGCACTCATATGTCGCAGCAAACATCAGCCAGTATTTGCGTTGGCTGTCTCGATGGCTTGCACTTTCGAACGATGCACTGATGGCCTTCTGCAGACCAAGAACCGTCACAGTCTTGATGGCAGAAAGGGCTTCATGTGCAATAGCCACAGCACTAGTGTCACGCTTGATGTATTCCTGTACTCGCGCCACAGTGTGGTATTGCATAAAGCCGGAAACAACTACTAATGGGACCGTTGCTGTCGCAGCAAGACCAAGCTTCCACCCAAAGATACACCCGATGGTAATTCCTGTCGCGAGCATCACAATGCTTTCAGCCACAAGCCCCAGTGATGTTCCCGAAACACCAGTGATTTGCCGAGGCCCAGATGCAAGGAAGCTGACCAATGCACCAATCGAATTGTCCTTGTCTTGGAAGAAGGGGAGATCGTTCACAAGCAGATGTTTGAACAACTGCGAGCGGGCTCGGAGAACCAACTGTGATGCGGACACGGCAAAGCAATATCCCCGTACCGAATAAACGACAAATGCGATAATACCGAGGGTAAGGTACATGGTGGCCCAGAATTCAACATTATGTCCACCGGTACTGAGGCTAGGATTAATCATTGACATGATCCCGTTACCAAAGAAGATTGCTTGAACAGGATATGTTATTCCAGCCAGAACGCTGAAGCTCACGCCAGCGGCTATGTAAGGAAACTCTGGTCTATTGAGACTCCAAACACGCCCGACACTGCTACTGGACGACCGTACTGCTAATAGGCCGTCCTCTGGTATGTCCACCGTATCAAATTTGACCAGGATATCTTTGGAATGTTCTTCATGAGTGCTCAACGAGTGCGGCCGTTGTCTGATAAGCCTGTCTCCCTCTGATCGATGGAATGCTTCAAGTGCCTGATGCCTCACTAATTCTCGATACATCGCAGATGTACTCAACAACTCCGCATGGGAGCCTTGGCCTAGGATCTGATTGTCCTTCATGACGATGATCTTGTCAGCATTCTGGACTGTCGACAGCCGGTGGGCTATTATCAAGGTAGTTCGTCCTTTGACGACTTTGTCCAGCGCCTCCTGAACTGCTTTTTCACACCGACTGTCAAGTGCAGCCGTGGCCTCATCCAGCAGTAATATAGCTGGTTGAGAGATGATTGCACGGGCAATGGCAAGACGCTGCTTCTGACCCCCTGAGAGATTTGATCCATGTGCCTCAATCATGGTGTTGTACTCCTTGGGCATACTCGCAACGAAATCGTGAATTTGGGCAACTTTGGCAGCCTCGATTACGAGCTTTCGTATCTCGTATGCGTCCTTTTTCTACCTCACAAAATCAGTATCAGAACTGGAAGGCAAAAGATAGTGGTCGTGAAGCACCTCAGCGGCAGCTTTGGGAAGCCCATATGCGATATTATCGTGTATTGATGCACGAAACAGGGTGACGTCCTGACCGACATACCCAATCTGCGACCTTAGCCACGCGACGTTCATGGCATCAATCGGCTCGCCATCCAGCATGATCCGACCACTGTGTGGATGGTACAGTCGTTCTAAAAGGGCAAACACGGTTGATTTCCCAGACCCAGATGGTCCAACAAACGCTACAGTGTGTCCAGCAGGTACAACAAAATCGACACCTTTCAAAACCTTCCCTTCAGGCCGCGAAGGATACGTAAAGTGTATATCTTCGAAGCTAATATCTCCTCTGACCCGACTATGCGTCACCCCGGTACTTGCAGAAGGATCTATCGGTGATTCCCGCTCAATGACCGAAAAGACACGGCTGACAGCCGCGTTGGCCTGGGTGATATTGACAATGGATGGCAATGCTTGGCTTAGCATTCCACCCGCAACGGCCATTGCATACAGAATTGTCAAGACTTCCGAAATAGTGCAATGCCCTTGGCGGAGGAGATGGTCAGCCTGCCAGAACTTGGCAATCATTAGCGTGGCTGGAGCAAGAAACTGGAAGGGGACTAACTATATACATACGCCCAACCCGTTCGCCCAGTGCATAACCATGACAGACCCTGCAACAAGCATACCGAAGATGAAGCGCTCCCGAAAGTCCAATTCTGCTGGATGTCGCAACGCTTCGTAATACCTTTTGCCATACCTTTCCTGGCTTCGAGAAGCAATGACGCTTCTCATGGCGCTGAGCACTTCCTGGGCCAAATTGTCTGCTCTGACGTACTGAGCTAGACTCCTTCGCTGTGTTAAACTTAAAAATCCCCCCATCACGCCGATGAGTGTAAGCAGGGCAATCGGTTGAGAGATCATGATGCCTGCAAAGCGCCCATTCTGGATGAACGCGCAGATAATTGCAACAACAAAGCCAGACAACCCAGAAAGAAGCTCACCAACTTTTTGCGAGATACCAGCTTGGATAAGCTTCATATCCTGATCCATATGAGACGTCAACTCGCCAATACCGACCACATCGAAATAAGCCATATTCTGCCGCAAGGCTGAAGCGAGGTATTTCTGCTGAAGCTGGCGCGAGATTTGCTCTCCGATGGTGTTGAAGCCAAATGTGCTGATGGCAGTCGTGATCAGAGACCCGATTGCTGCGCTGCTGCGTCAGATGGTGACAGATAACGGATTAATCCAGATCTGCCTACCGATATACACCAAGTAGAGCGCGAGACTCTGAACATGGTGTCGAATTTCGTCCGGTGCATTGTTATCTCCGGTGATGAACTCGCGTGCAAAGTTTCCATACACGACTGTCACTAGAGGCATTGCTGCGCCCGCGACTATTGCGCAGCATCCTGATAGAAACAGCAGACATAGCTGCGATGTGTTGGCGGTTCGGTAAATGGTAAAGATATTGGCAGTGCTGCGCACTATATGAATTTGGGACTGGAGGGCCTCTGCCTTATGCGTTGTGTCGGCAGTTGGCTGGATAACCTTGAGTGGGATTCCCTGGCTGGACATGCTCATGAGTAGCTTAATCCCAAAGTGCTGAACTAAGGCTAAATGCTCCGGGCGACCGGCTTATTTATAAGGACTAAGATGTGATCGACTAAAATGGATTGGACTAAAATGCGATTGCTACGTGGGTCACGGCATTGACATGGTTCTTTCCAAATCCAGAACCCCTGGTCTCAAGTTTAACGTATAGCTAATCCGCTTAACATACATCATTTCTGCTCATCCAGCTCCAGCAATGCTACCAACTGTCTATGGATTGCTGCCCACGCCCCAGGTCGGGTTTTGAACAGAAGCCAATAATCCCCCGCAGCATCCTTCCCGATAATCCTGACTACGTTCCGGGTCGGATAACCCTGACAAGTCTCAATGTCGTTGATATACGACGGTCTACCTAGAGCATGTGGTCGTTCGCTCAGAGGTACTCCTGGAGCCACCACGGCGGCCGAGAAGTCCAGTTCAAAATATCTGGCCTTGTGTTGATTGGTGCATGCCATGAACAGCAAATTGGCATCTCCGACAACTGGTGGTGTCCGAGTGAACGATGCCCTCTGCATGGAGGTCAAGGCTTGAACCTGTTCCTTTGTCCGGTGCTCCATGAGGGCTTTACGGTTCTTGGACGCCACATACGCGAGGCTAGCATCCTGGATAACCTGGCTTGCAACCAGCAGTGTGTAGGAGTAGAAAAAGGCGTTTCCAATGAACCCCGCTCCGCCACTCGGAAACCATTCTTCAAAAAGTGCCCATACGTTGAAGACGTTCATGACCATGATGGTTCGATTTGGCGCAGGATTCAGAGCTGTGGTGATGGTCCTCACCCACCACGCCATTACAACATCGCCTTCACTCAGGAAGGGTGCCTTTGCCTCATTATCCGGACTCATTGCAGCAAGCTCCTTTCGAGCAGATTCCTTCAGCTGTTCCACGCATCGTCTTGGCAGGCGAATAGGATGTTCCTCCTCTTTCTGGTACCACAGTAGCTCCCACAGATACCGCAGCCCAAATATCACTAGGCTAAGTCCGCTAAGAGCGCGGCCAAAATTACTATACGGCTTCACCGGGGCTTCTGTACCCAGTGTGCGCAGAGGATCATGTTCAAAAGGGATGAAAGGTGGTACTTCGTCTTCTCGACCCCGCAGAACAGCTATCCACGCCTTGAAGAAGGTTGTCCGCGCAATAGCATCAAAAAGCGTATGAACATAGCTGACCGTCACGAGAGTTGCGTCTTGAAAGACAGAAACATGGATATGAAGTTGTGGCCGATCAGTGTAAATCCAATCAGCCAATTTACGAGGACTATCCGGATGGCGGACAATAGGAGCGAAGACAGCGGGCGAAGGCGAAAGAACCGATTGATCTTGGCCTGCTTTTGGTAGCTGCTTACCGAGTGCGTGCTCGGAGATGCGCAACCCATACTCATTGGTGGTGAAGTTGTATGCAGGCCGCGCCTTGGTATACTCAGCAGGAATGTGGTATTCGAGGCGATTTTGATCCTGGTTTGGAGAGAGCGTTAGCCTTGTTGATACCAGCAGGAATTGATATGAGAATGGAGGAATCTTCATATTCATACGTTCAGGCGCAGACGAGCTCCCAACTGGCCCCAGTTTCCAATCTCTGTCAAACGTGCCAGAGCAGCATCGAGTTTGGAGGCGTCCAGTACGTCGTCAAAGCGAAAGGTGAAATCATGGCAGAGACGACGGAGGTAGTCTAGGTCATCCCAATACCGTAGGGGGACAACCTTGTCAGTGGGCACAGTTGCTGGCCGGGCACGGTTGAAGATCGGGAAAAAATCCATCATTTTGTTGGGCTATCGTGCAAGGCGTGGGCCAAACAAGAAAGGAGGAGCGGAATGCAGAGAAATTCAGGCATGCCACGGCTCTCTGGTTTTCTGCACAAGCTGTCATCTTCATCTCCATCTGCATCATAAAGTCACACGAATGCCAACCGGGAAGAGGGGGGGGTTCAAGCAGGGAAGGAGCTGCTCAGAGTCCCACAAGAGGGAAAGCAATCACTGCGCCCCGCCACGTTCCCAATAATGCAATCGATCTATCTTGATCCACTTGAAGGAAGGGGAATGTGACGAAAGGCAACTTCATACAACACGATCATGCAGTTCAGCCGCACGCCCCGCCCGCCCCGAAGAACGATATTCCCTTTCCCCCTCGACATACTGGCACGCCCGCTGAAGAGCCCGTCCCAATCTACGATGTCTCACAGCATACCTTCAGAAGAACCAATGATTCTCAAGAAGTACCTCACGATCCTTTTGGGTACATTCTTCGCAGTCCCACTAGATACTACCTGACCACACGGAGAAGGAAATGTTTTTCCGCCCTTCAGCCCTGCTAGTTCAAAATGCTAGCTCATACTACGGAGCACCTACCAAATCCATCCAAATGAACAGACCCATTGTGATCCCAACAAAGGAAGCGGGGTCTGCATACGGAGTACACTATCCATATCCACTAGTCCATCTAGACCGACTCTCAAGTCCCGATCCAATCCAATATATCCGACAAACAAACAGTATGCACGCTACGTGTCTCGTGCTTGTTCACTCGAATTCCTTGTTGTCGTCAATTCATGTGCTAATGAGTATCCCGGGACTACTCTCTGGCCGCTTTGACCAAGTAAGGATCCACATACGGAGTATCTACTAGTGATATCTAGCTGCATTATGCAGTTGTGCTCGGCTAATTGAATAAATTAAAATGGTGGCGATGGCTAGGAATTCACTCGCTTTCATGAGTGTCTCATGCATGATCTGATAGTTTTTGTCACAATACGTGAGCATCAGCTCTCTCCGATTTTTGGTGGTTATACAGCATGGTAATGCTGCCGCGTTTCTTCATGTTTACGCATAATGAGGCGTTGATAAGTTTATTCTTGAAGAATGGTACGGTTGTAAAGTTAATCTTGGGTTGGCACACGTGTCAGCAGTACTGAAAAAAGAAAGTTCCTACAATTTTAAGGTTGTGTTGCTACTATGCTGCAAGGACGTACCAGGAACTAGTCGAAGCTAAAAAGTACTACAGGTGAAAACACTCAGATAGTCCTGGTAAATACTAAAAAATATGATATATATACTAGTTGCGGTGACTGCCTCACAATCTCTGTCTACATAGTTATCCAAGTTATTGTTCAAAGGCGCAGACGCATGTGATCGATCGGTTGGCTGCGAAACACCTCCTTGCGGCATCTTCAAGCCTGGGCTTGACTCGCCTGCAAATAGCGCCCAAGAGCCATCATGGGAAAGTAATGCCGATAATAGTCGTAGCCCAAATAGAAATGATTGGGAAATCCTGTTCCCGTGTAGACCGCTTCGGGCCAGGAAGCTCCATTGCCCTTTTCCGGCTGCTGTGAGCATACCAGCCACCGAATCCCCCGCTCAATCGCAGGGTCAGTGAGGGGAAGGTGGGCCAATAGTCCCATTAGCGCCCATGCAGTCTGTGATGGCGTTGATTGCTGCTGCAGCTGAGTGCCCGGTGTTCGGTACGATAGTAGCGGTTCGCCCCAACCGCCGTCGTCATTTTGCTTGGATTTTAGCCACTGTAGCGCCGGCGCCACCAGCCCACTGACTCGCTTGTCGTCTTCCATGTAATATGCCAATCCGCACAGCGCATGACACGTCCCATAGATGTAATTACATCCCCATCGTCCGAACCAGGCTCCGTTGGACTCTTGTGTGGATGCAAGGTATGTGATCCCCCGAATGCATGCATGCCGTAGCATTGGAGAAAGGACGGGTCTTTTCAGTTCACGCTTCATCATTAAACCGAAGGCTTCCAGAATCCGCCCAGTAATATCGGCACAGGAGGTGTCACATAAGCTGTCCATATCACTGAAGGGAATTTTGTTGAGGAACAGCTTATCATTTTCCACGTCAAAGGCGGCCCAGCCTCCATCGGGGTTCTGCATGCCTAGGATCCATGTTGCTGCTGCAATCACCGAGTCCGAAGCGACGGACTGGGGATCCTGCTTAAGCTGAGCCAGAATGATGGCCGCGGTGTCGTCCACATCGGGATAGTGGCTATTCTCGTACTCAAAGCTAAACCCTCCAGGGGCTAGCTTAGAGCGGTAGATGCGCCAGTCCCCGCAGGGCTTCAGCAATTGGCGATTCCGGATCCAAGTGATGGCCTGCTGGAGGATCTGCTTATCGGGCGACATGGCATCGCAAAGCCCGATCGACATCAAAGCTGTGTCCCACACGGGAGACACACATGCTTGGATTCGTTTGCCCTTCTCGTCTTCCCAAGCAAAGTTTTCCAATGCTTGGATTCCAAGGCGGACTGGAGGGTCATTTAGCTCGTAGCCCTCCAGCACGAACGCATAAATACTGGCATGCATTGGAGGAAAGATCCCAGCCCAGTCACCAGTAGGTTCCTGGCGCTCGAGGATCCACTGTATGCATTTTCGTCGAGCGTATGATCGGAGCAAAGGGACGGAACGCAGACCGTTCAGATAGTAGAGCAAGTTATCCACGACACTAAATGCAAGTCCAGTAATGTCTCCCCGAGACAGCAGATCCCGGAGTGACGAGCCATACGGCACATTTTTGTCCGTCGGATCGAGCCATAACTCATCTAGGTAGTCCTCCGGTAGCGCGTACACGGGCTGATGGTGGCAGATAATCAGCAGCGGGGCAATCGTTCCTCGGGCCCAGGACGCTAAAGTGTACATGTTGATTGGACAACTGGAAGGCAAAAGAATTAGCTCCACGGGTAGCTGGGGCACTGCATCCCATGGAAATAAGCCGAAGGTTGCCAGGAATATGCGAGTGAAAACGCGAACTTTTTCAGCACCGCCTGCTTTGCGAACAAATGCACGAGCTTGTTGCATGGCCGGCATGTCTGGACTCGTCCCCAGCAACTTGAGTGCTAAGTAGGCTTCAGTCGTGGTGGATACGTCACCTGGATACTCAGGTGCTAGGCCCCATGAACCATCGCAGTTCTGCTGTGATAGTATATAGCGGCAGTAAGCCGCATTGTCGGTCCTCAAATCCAGGCCTAAAGCGTGTCGAAGGAAGATATACTCGGCCGTGATAGTAACATTGGACCTTAACTCCCCGCACCAATGCCCATCAGAGCGTATCGAACTGAGAGCATATTCGGTTGCAAGCTTCAGACTATGCTCTATATCTGAAGTAAGTTGCTCTTTCCCGGGGGTTATGCCTTCTTTGTGGCCCTCTTCTCTCAAAGTCATCATCACAAAGCCGGCGTGGGTTTCGAGAGTGGAAAGTAGCAAAGTAGCAATTATAAAGTTGTAGTAGAGGTAACAGCAAACAACTGCCTCTCGGACAACAGGAAGAGATGTTCTATATCGATTCTCCAGCTCTGTAGTAAGGAGAAACTATGCAAATTTATAGTAGTCGAGCATGTTTAGCGTATTCTAGTAGCATGGATATTGGTGGGTCGCATGTGAGGGCGCGGGGTCTCTCTTTCCTTCCTTGATTCCCCTGTTAATCACTCTCGTCAAGGATTCCAGGTCTGCTTACCTGCAATCTCTTTTCACTCGATAGACCAGTCATCCGAGCATGACTGACTGTTACCCAGCGTAACCGTTCCCCGTCAGCATATGGCCTCTGCTTTGTCCTTGCTTTGTCACCATGCAGGATGTCCAAAGGTACAATTCAAACATGACAGCACTGCTGCTATCCGGACCCTCCAGGCCAAACGGCCTTCTCCTAGCTTTGGCTGTAATTGCCGTTGGTGTCGCGATCACCCTCTTGGCAAATAATTTCAACCAGCGCCGAAGATCGCGACAACTTGAGCGACTTCATGGCTGTGAGCAGCCGCCCAACGAAAGCGACCGCTTCCAATATGACATTTTTGGCATCGCTAAATCAATCGAGTTGGCATATCATTTCCGCCGTCGAACGTCTCTCCCGTACACAAATGCACTCTTCGAGAGATATGGGGAGACATATGCCTCCAATGTCTTAGGGTATCGGCTGCTATTTACCTGCAACGCGGACAATATCAAACATCTGCTTTCAGCGGCATTTGTTGACTTCGATAGTTCTCCGTTGCGAAGGCCATTGTTTGAGCCAATCACACCACATGGCATATTCACCCTTGACGGTGCGGCCTGGAAAACAAGCCGGGAACAGTTGCGAAGTCGGCTCTCCGACCTTCGCAAGGCCATCGATCTTAGCTTGTGTGAGCAGCACTTCCAAGCTTTTCTTCGGCACATCCCTCTGAATGGGCGACCCTTCGATATCCAGTCCTGCGCGTTTGGTCTGTCTCTAGACATGCAGACCTTGTTTTCCCTGGGAGAGTCTATTGATGCTCTCAGCTCCACCCAATCCCAAGAAAAGAAGCAATTTTTCAAGGATCTGCTTCTTGTTAAGAATAGAATCGTGCAAGATGGCTTCCGTGGCCCGCTTCGTCATTTAGTACCCAAACGGAGCTTCCTGCAGGCTTGCAAGAGCTCACGAGCATATGTGATGACTCGGGTTGTTAGAGATCTGGAAAGACAAGGCAGTGTGGACAAAGAGGCGGATGAACTGCCTACACTCGAATCATACTCCGATACAAATCGGGTATCACAGCTTACCGATCAAGCTTTGAGTATCTTACTTGCAAACGATAGCATGAGCACGACACTTTCGGGCCTTTTCTACTGTCTTGCCCAGAACGAGCGCGTTGTGCATAAGCTGCAAGCATCCATCATTGACGCCATTGGATTGACACCTCCAACGTGGGGGCAACTCGGGACGCTGCAATATGTCCGCTGGGTCCTTCAAGAAGGTTCGAAACCTCTTTTGGCCATCTCAGTTAGGTCATGCACTAATATCATTGTCCAGCGATGCGACTATTTCCCCCAGTTGTTTTGAATGCGAGAGTGGCAAACAAGGAATCAACCCTGCCAACTGGAGGTGGAGCTCATGGTGATAAGCCGGTTCTTGTTATGAAAGGAGACATTGTAGTTTTTTCCACCTGGGCTAGGCATCGCTTAGGGAAGGATTTTGGGGAGGATCCTGAGGAATTCCGTCCAGAGCGGTGGGAACAGCTAAGCGGAGACATGGCTGGCTATATCCCGTTCAATAAGGGTCCTAGAATCTGCCCTGGCCGTAAGCTTCCGTTCATTTACGGTGATGCGCAAGATGCACTGGCTAACAAAAGAGCAGAACATTATGCTATGACTGTGCTCACATACATTGTGGCTCGCATATTCCAAACCTTCTCAACCGTGTCAGATTATAATGCTAGGCCATGGACGGAACGCATTAGTATGACTTTCGAGAATGAGAATGGGGTGCTAGTTGGGCTTAGCTAGGCCTTCCCATAGATGTGTAGACTTTCTTGGATAATAATCGTCTGGCTGATGAGCGAAGAGATACTGGATGAGTGCTGGTTCATGCAGTGATGAGTTTGGCCAAAAGACATGAAAGCTGGTGAGAAGCAATGGTTTAGTGTATGCAAACAAGGAAGGACACCAGAGCTCATCAGGTGACTATAATTGTATAGGCCAAAAGCGACTACTATATTAATGATACCAAATCCTGGGGGAAAAAGCATTATCATTACTCTGAGAATAACGGCACGGCGACTGCGTAACCCCAGCTACGCAGCCATGACGGTTGCGCAGCTAGTATACGACTTTAAGCGTCTTTCTTCACCCCAGCTTCGATTGTTCCAAACACAGGAAACATTTTTCTCATCATCAAATCCTACCAAAGCATTTAGTACATCATCTTCATCAATGCCACATAGGTACTCTGCAGCAAAAAGGAGAAGGATACCTACCACACCCCATTGCGGCAATAACCACAGTGCCCATTTCGCAGGAACAGCGCCTCCACCAACCCACAGCTTTCCTGACACCTTCCTCTCGACTGCCTGAAACACTTTAGAGGCATATGAGTACCTGTCGATGCCGCTATCCTGCAAGCTCCCATCTCCCATTTTCTGAACAGCATCCTTTGCTCCAATGTAATATGAGTTCTCGGGGACCTGGCGAGGGACGTAATTGTCAAAGAACTTAGTCTTCACACCACCAGTCATAAGAGTGATGGTCCGAACACCCAGCGGAGCCAGCTCCATACGCCAAGTCTCGCTGGCGCTCATAAAGGCCGCTTTTGAGGAATTGTACATGCCTTAAGTGAGATATACTAGTTAGAGAATGCCAGGCTCTGTGACTGTATTTGGAGAGGGACTGGACTCACTCATGAATACAAATGGTAGAGCTCCATTCACTGATGTATTGTTTACAAGACAACCTTTGGACCTGATCAGTAGAGGAGCAAAGGCCTGCGTCACAGCTAAGGGCGCCCAGAAATTCAAGTCGAATAACTTTTTGCCGTCCTCGATTGAAGTATCCAAAGCGGGGAGAATAATGCTGCCTCCACTATTGTTTACTAGAACGTCAAGCTTGCCGCCAGTGGCTTTCGTCACCTTTTCCACGGCATCAGAGATAGACGTCGAGTCCAGCACATCCAGGGTGAGGACGGTGGCATTGGGAGAGTTGATGAGAGACTTGGGGGCCTTTGATGGCGTGCGCACAGTGGCAAAGACATGATAGCGGTGATCGTGGAAGGTCTCAGCCAGTGCAGCTCCGATGCCTCCATCGGAGCAGCCCGTGATGAGGACGGTCTTTCGATCTGTGGACATGGTGCGAATTGCAAAAGAGTAAGAGTATGTCAGGAATTTCTGGTAATTGGAGAGAGAAAGAAACTCACCATGGGAGACATCTTGAGAAGATATTTATCTTGCTTCCAGCTTCCCAAGAAGGAAAATAGTATTGTAGATATGGTGTCGCCGAATGAATCCAGCAGGAAGTATACCAAGGCCGGTGACTATACCGGAATCGGCAAATGATATTAGAAGCAGCGACACGCCATCGGTTCCTGTCAGCATCACCAGCTGACAAACCAACCATAAAAGCCCCCTTCACCCTCTTCAAGTTCCTGTTCGGGTAAATGATATTAAGACCCTGAATGTCATTCTACTTTTATGATTTCACATCACAGCCAGCATCTCGACCGAGCTCCCCGTTTCACATCCTACTAAATCGCGCATACAACTGGAGCTATCTCCACCAAATCATGCACTTCATTATATCAACAGATAACAAAAAGCCCGACAGAAGTACCCGTCGACTTATCCGAAGCCATGTAATGCAAGGCATAAACAAAGGGCGGCCTCGATACGACCGACGGAAAAAACCCAGTCCGATACAGCAGGATCAGCTTCCATCGCCACAATTAACGAAAATGTATCAGGACTCCGACATCATCCAGTCGAATAAACTAGTCGTGGGGCCTGATCCGTCTTTCGCTCAATTCGCCGTTCAAGTGGACTCCCGCACCTTCGCTGATATACTACGATGTAAGTAGGTTCTCCCGTATCCTAACCCATCGTTCGTTTGCGTAGCTAACGCGAATACCATTTAGTCGCCAAATTATCAATGCAAATGTTCTTCCCATTGGGTTTCTTGATTGATTTCGACTGTAGGGATAAATCCTGGTTCCACGACTCTATACGCTCCGATGCAGCGTATCTGCATCTCACCGTGTCCGCATCAGAGGTGTTCATGGGCTCGGTTCACGGTCGACAGAATGCCGATGAACTACTTGCTAATCGCAGGACCATGCTCCATTTTGCAAAGGGCGTGCAGATCCTCCGCGAGAGACTGACGGGCGTCGATCTCCAGACAAAAATATCCGACTTCACTGTACGAACTGTACTAATGCTAGCCATGACAGCGCATCTGATGGGCGAATCGGAGGTCGCGCAGAAACACATGGAGGGCATTCGAACAATCATGGATCTTCGAGGAGGTCTGCGCTTATTTGAAAGCCAGAAGATTCTCATCGAGCTGTTCAGGTAAGCCACCTACTTCCCCATAACAGCCAACCTACTACAATAATTGACCACCATTAGATGGGACCTAGGCCTCGCCCTCCAAAACAACACCACGCCCATGTTCTTCAGAGACAAATTCCTCGAGCCACTCACTCCATTCCCCACCATCTTCAACCCCACCTTGAACCAAATTAACAATCCCATCCTCCCCCAACTCCATTTAGACCCAACCCTAAAGACAACCTTTCACGTCCTCCAAAACTTCTGCACCCTAATCAACACAAGCATCACCGAGACCCCCCAACGCCGCCTCTCCCCAGACATCATCCCTTCCACGCTCTCCTCCGTAATGTATCGTCTTCTCCAAATGCCTTTCCCCATGAACAGCAACAACGAAGCCTTCCGTCTAGGTCTCCTCACCTTCTGCCATCATACCTTTCTTCAGTGGCAGGATAAGACACTGCCTTTCGTATATTTCCCTGCCTCGTATCAATCATGCCTTTTATCGTTGATGGAACAATGCCAACGTCGTCAAGATGAAGAGGAGGATTCCTCGGAGCTTATTCTCTGGCTATTGATGGTCGGAATCCTTGCATTGCCGCCGCTGCCGTCGTTTCTGGGGACGGATCTCTGGATGAGGGGGTATTTGCGGGAGTCGTTGGAGAAGTTGGAGATCAGGACGTGGGGGGAGTTGCGGGGGATTATGAAGAGGTGGGTGTGGGTGGATTTGATGCATGATCTTGCTGGGGAGGGAGTGTTGGGTGATGTGCTGAAAGTATAATTGGTGCTGACAGTAGTTTCATTTGGTATCCTGTTGTGTATCGGCATCAAACACTAAGAGTAATTATCTTTAAATGGTGAAATTAGGGAATAGCAGTACTAATCTATTTGTCTTAATTGGAAAGGTGGCGAACGACTTCGACTGTCGTGTCATAACTGACTTAATATGTGGCGCTGTTACTCTGATTAAGGGTAATCTTCACCCTACTGGGCTCACTCTGTCCACTACTACTAATTAAACACCGAGAAGCATCCTGTAAGATCAAGCATACTGCATGGGCAAAGATACTATATTCTGTATTACCAATCATATACTTTTCAAGCAGGTCTATCCACATCGCCATGGCATATCTCTAGTTCTTTTGCCCCTGCCAGTTTGCTTCCACCGTTTGACCTGGCCATCATCTCCAGGCCGACCACAAATAAACGCGGTGAGGGAAAGCAAGTACTGAAAGGGGAGATCATGTCGTTCTACATCACAGTGCCGACACCCGGCCAGAATAAGGTGAAAAAAATAAGGAAAAATAATAAAAGAAATCCGTAATAAACAACTGAAGGGGTTCAACATGATTGCATTGTTCGTGACCACATTGTCATCAAGCTGCGATCCCACAGCTGGGCTCACCGTTATCTACCAATCGAGCAAATTTACTGCTCAGCGGGCTTCTCGCCCTCAGCCGGAGCGTCCTTCATCTCAGCGTCGGGCTTCTCCTCGGCCTTCTTAGCCTCCTCTTCGGCCTTCTTGGCCTCCTCCTCGGCCTTACGCTTGGCCTCTTCTTCGGCACGCTTCTTGTTGGCGGCCTCCTCCTGGGCCTGGCGCTCGGCCTCCTGCTTCTCGCGGTAGCGCTGGATGATGGGACCGGCGACGAAGCGGATCTCGTCCATCTTGGCCACGTAGACCGACTTGGTGGTGTCCTCACCCTCCTCGTAGAGCCAGTCCTGAACAACTCAATTAGTTTCTGGTAAACGACAGATGGAACGAACGTTCTGAAAACTTACCTCGGTGTCGGTCAGCTTAGCCCGCAGCTTGTCCTTCTCCTCTTCGTTGGCGAACTCGGAGTAGACGCCGTCGATCTTGTCACGCAGCTCGTAGATGCTAGACTCGAGCTCGTTCTTCTTCTCATCGGTCTCGGCAATGAGCTTGTCCTCCATGTACATGGAGTTCTCACGCTCAGTCCAGGCGTTCAGGACGGACTCATCGGTGGAGGTAGTGCCAGTCGAGATGGGCAGATCGCCCTTGCGAACCTGCTTCTTGACCTTGCGAGTCTTCTTGGGCTGCTCACCATCCTTGCCATCGGTGTCCATGGCCTAATCAGTTGTCAGTAATCGGAACATCTCGCGAAAATGACCTCGGGGGTTTATCACTCACATCACCCTCCTCGGGAACAGGCTCCTCGACTTCCATGTCCTCAACGTAGTATCCGGACTCCAGGTTGAGGATACCGTGAAGGTTCAGACGAGCCTTGAGCTTGCAGATCATGAAGTCGTCGTTGGCATCAGCCTTGACACCCTTGACGGAGAAGCGGCCCACCCAGGGGTTGACCTTGCCGGGCAGCATCTCGGGCTTGGCGTAGCGGGCCTCAAGATCGAAGGGCTGCTTGCGGTAGAAGGTAAGGATCTTGGTCGAAGGCATAACGTTGCCGCGGTTGAAAACGGTCAGGCTGGTGTCCTCGTCGGGGATGTCGGCCGACTGCTCCCAGGTGAATTCGATGGGGTAGTTGACGATATCGTGAACGGAGAAGTCACGCACACGGAAGACGGGGGAGAGGATGGCACAGCTGAAAGCACAGCCGCGAGCAATGGCCTCATCCTGGTTGAGGGTGAAAGAGAGGGTCTTGCCGAAGAACTTGGCGACGGCGTCCTTGATGGCGGGCACACGGGTGCAGCCACCAACCATCTCGACGAAGTCAATGTCCTCGGGCTTGAGCTTGGCCTCAGCCAGGGCTTCCTCAATGGGAACGGTGACCCGGTCCAGAAGGGGCTTGACCATGGTCTCGAGCTCCTCACGCTTAACGATGGCGCGGACGTCGACGTCCTCCATCAGAGACTCAATGCTCATGGGAGCAGCAGGGTTGGCCGACAGGACCTTCTTCATCTTCTCGGCAGCGGCCAGGGTACGAGACCAGGCCTTGGGGTGAGAGCGGACATCGATCTTGAACTTCTCCTTGAACTCATCGGCGAAGTGCTCGGTCAGGGCACGGTCGAAGTTGCGACCACCGAAGTGACGGTCGTAGGCAGTAGCCTTGACGTTGAGCTCACCCTTGCGGAACTCGACGATGGAGGCAGTGTAGTCGCTGTAGCCGATATCGACGAACATGACCCGACGGGGCTTCTCCTCAGGGCCGGGCAGGTCGACCTTAGTGATACCGTAACCGAGAGCGGTGGCGGTGGTGTCGTTGATCAGGCGGAGAACCTTGAGGCCAGCGATCTCACCGGCATCGAGCATGGCGCGGCGCTGGACGTCGGTGAACCAAGCGGGAACGCTGATAGTGACGTCGGAGACAGGAAGCTTCAGCTCCTTGGAGGTGATGTCCCGGATCTTGGTCAGGTACATGGCGACCAGCTGAGTAGCCGAGAACTTCTCCTTCTTTCCGAGGTAGCTGACCTCGGCACCGGCCTGGCCATTGACATCGCAAAGCTGAGCCGTGGTGTACTCCTGCTCGATCGCAACATCGGGGTCGCTGAATGTGCGGCCGATCAGGCGCTTCAGGTTGCCGACCGTGTTCTTGAGGTTGGAAGTCTCTTGCGTCTTAGCGGCCTCACCGAGAGCTCTGCAGCGGGCATTGAAGCCAACAAGGGAACTGTGTGGGAGAAAAACAAGTCAGTACACGGCTGAGTAACAGGTATACTGGGCAGGGCAGCAAATATGGCGCCGACATAAAAATCATGATAAGCAAGTGAATGGGCGAACTTACGGAGTAGATCTGTTGGAAACTTCGTTGGTGATCTGTAAGCCATCACAATGGACCAGTTAGTAATTACTTGAGGTCAATATGACGAGCGGATGGGCAGCGCTCGGAGGGGAAAAGAAAATTGGGTAGAGGGGGAAGAGTGACGCACAATATCAATACCCTTGTTACGGGCAACACCGACCTTGGTGCTCTGGGCACCGAAATCTATACCGACGACAGACATTGTCTAGATGAGGAAGAGGTAGAGAGGGGGGAGAAGAGAGTGGGGGGAAGAAAAAGGGGAGAGAGGGGAAAGAAGAAGAAGTAGAAGAGTGATGGAGAGGATGAAAGAGGAAAAAAGTGGAAGATGGGACTGAGGGGGAGAGGTTGGGGGAGGATCCAAAGAGGGCAGAGAAAAGAGCGAGACGGAGGGGGAGAATTTGCACTGCGAGAACTGCAGGACCCGCCACTAAAGCTCGCGGGCGGTGAGGCGTCGAGTTTCCAACGTGGGCACCGCTGGCTCGTCAGTCACTGAAACTAGTAGTATCTATCAGGCAGATACTATCTAGGCGCAAATTCGATGGGGGGTTCCACTTGGGAGACAACTTAAAAATGTATAATTACGCACTAGAGGAGATCAATGCAGACAAAAAAATATATATAAGAAGTAGGTGTTCCCGGGTCGGAGGATTACAGGAATAAATAAGGGACCTGGCGCTCGCAAGCATCCCAGCTCAGCTTCACCGGCTTCTTTGGGCGCTCGTCGAACCTTCTGGCTGCTGCTCGACGCCTCCCACCTTTCACCGCTCCCCGTGTGCCGGCAGAACCCTACCTGACCGCTTTGGCGGGGCTTATCGATAGTTCAGAGTTTTTCTCCCGTTGGTGATGACTCATCATGTGCATATCTTTTTGGCCACTCCTGCGTTTCAGTTAACTACGAGGGTGTGTTTGGCACTCTATAGCTGGTGTTAAACGTCTGATAGACCCGGATACTGCAGCTGGCATAACGGTATCTTACGGTCTCATTGGTTTGCAGACTTCTGTCGAGAAGAATCATCCGATCATCATATTCCAAATGTTGTGTCATGCTTGGTAACATGTAAACATCCATTCGTCTTACTCTCCTGGTTATCGGGACCAAATAGAGTTGACGCGACTTTACCATACGCACATCCATGATTTCAGGGAATAGTAACTTTGGCTTGGTTGATCGTGCGAGAAAAAGTTATTAGAATACAAAGGATGTGAATAGACAACGGATCGAAAAGCCATGACTGAATGAGAATCGAGTAACTAGTTCATTACACATGTGTGCATGAAGACAGGCTCTAGTACTCTGGTCAGTCGGGCTCTATTCCCAAGTCACTCTCATGCGCTGCCTTTCGGTTCAAACCATTTGTTCTGGTTGCATATATCTCCTCTTCTGCCTCGGAATCCTGCTAGGACGCTTTGTATATTTCGGCTGTGGCAAGTGTTCATGGGGCTGAGACATATTCCCAGGAACAGCCCTAGATTGTTGCATCCCAGATTGCGGCACACTTGACGATAGTACCGGGGCTTTTCCGCTCGGAATTCCGCTCCCTGACTCAATAGTATGCATTTCATACGCCCGGTTGTCTTCCAGGTCCTCGTTAGACTGCACGTCCAGGCCACGCTCTCCACCGTCTGCCTCCTGTGTGTGTAGAAGTCCGGTGGACTCCTGCGCCTGGCTACCAATGTAGAGTTTTGCTCGTTCCTCGGCACTCATCAAGGTTTCCACATGCTGGGGCAAAGAAATTGAATTACCGCCAGAGTCGGATGTCGCGACCGAGTCAGATGAGCAATGTGGATGAAGGCCGATGCGAGGCACGTCTGGAAGGGGGGTCAGGTATTTAGCGAGACTGGTCCCCAGAGCACCTTGATAGTCGTAATACCGATCTGGAAGCTGTGGCGCAAATGAGAGGCGACCATTGACCTTGGATGAAGGCCGGATTGGAACGCCTTTCTCTTCAGTTTTCGTTCGAAAGGTGTCTACCTGGACATTTAGCTCATCCCCCTGGACCCTAGCCTTCTCGACCGCTTCCTCTGGTGTAGTATGCTCATCAGCTTTGGCTGCGTCAGCTCGAGGCCCGCCCCAAGTTCGCTGGCCTGCAGTAAAAATCCCGTACACTATGTAAAGCCAATTGAAGAAAGGATTCAGGATGAACATCAGGGGATAGAGCCAGGCTTTGAATCGTTTGAGTCTTATCCCAAAATAAACCATGAGGATGTAATTGAGACCGAGCGAAACTGCAATGAAGCCAACAGGCAGGTTCTTGATCTTGCTGGAAGTTGTGATGATCGAGATCGCCAGAATGAAGAATAGCAATGCAGTCGTCCGGATTGTGTTCTGCATGAAGCGCACCAGACACAATAGTGGGTAGCGTTTCCACAATCTGACATCAGTCAGCATACACACTTCGTTGGTTATGTAGCCGAGAAACCATCGGCGTCGTTGTTTAAGCAGGCTACAGAATGTCTGTACCGCCTCTGTCTTGCAGAAAGCACTTGTGCACATCTGAATCTGATAGCGTTCAATCGCCCCGATCATAAATAAGTGCGTTAACCAGCGATCTTCTCCCAAGTGACACTTGCCATAGTCGAAGAGATCCTCACATTGCTCAGCTTTGTCTGCGAAGTAGTATCTCGCCATCTTGCGGAAAGCTGAGAATCGTAGGATTGTCAGTGCTCCCGGTAGGCAGGTTACAGCGCCGCAACCAGACTCCACAGTACGTTCAACAAGCTGCCCATGAATGTATTCCATGTCCTGCAGAACAGTTATCAGGGAATTTCTCTCTGTGGTCGAAGTGATGATGCCTGTCATCGCTAACATATTATGCTGACTCCCTGGTTTCAATTCCATGTCGTACATGAAGTTCTGCAGACATAGTTTGTCAAGAATGCAGTCTGAATCGATGAACAACAGAAATAGATCGTCATGATGCTTTAGATAGTCGGCATAAACCTTGTCAATCAGCCTGAAGGTCTGTTTCTGGCAATGGCGTTTGCCACCGTGCTTGAATCTTGACACAGTGATTCTTGCTCCTTGGTATGTCACATCAATGCTTTGCGGGTAACTCTCCAGCGAAATTGGAATTCCAAGGTGATTGATCACTTGGAGATAAGGTTCGTCGATGTTGCATCCATCATAGGACAGAAAGACATGGATGCAATAACTAGGATAGTCACTGTTAACGACTGAGTCAATTGCCTTGATCAGAACGACGGGGTCTTCTTTGTATACTGGCATGACGATGACAGTTTTCGGTGCGGTGCGGTCATCCAAAGCCTCCTTCACCCTTTTGGTTCGCCCTAAGGAGTGAATCACGAATCTATTGACACAAAATAGCCAGGGAATGATGAGAAGCGCAGAGAATGCCCAGAATGCGAACCATTGTAGTACCGACACGAGCTGATGAGGAAAATATTGCGTGATCTGCGGTGGTAGTGGAAGAATAGCAATCATCACCGGAAGGAAGATTCCCCTACATGAGTGTTATGATAGTTCCTTTCATGAAACTTTGCACTTACACAAGCTCACCTACACAGCGTGATGAGAAGGGCCATGATGACTGCGAGAACTCGAATACTCCAGTGATCGGCCTTCTGATATACTTTGATCAGACAGTAAATAAACGCAGCAAGGAAAAGAAACCACTCCAATAGCGCTGCAAGCAACAACGGTCCGAGGATTGAAATGTAAATGATCTAAGCCCATAGTAAGTGTACTTGTCTTCCAATATTTTGGCTTCAAGCCTACATCTCTAGTAGGCCATGCGACTAACACCTCGGGCACTAGTTCCTCGGCCATGATGAGGCGAGCTGGCGTTTCGTTTCGGCTTGACCAGTTCAAATTCTCCGCAGGTTTCTATAAATGCTAAATTTTAAGTTTAACACTCGCGAAGAACCGTCAAAGATGCCCGAAGCAAACCGTATTCGTTGAAAAGCAAGTGCTCTTTCGTACACTACTCGGATAGAAGGAGCTCTCTTATCGGTCGCTGCGGGTTCCAGCAACTATCAACATGCCTTGCTGATGAGGGTTGATCCTGTTAGCTTCTTCCCTGATAGAATATGGAAATAGCAGCAAAAGCACACTTTCACATACCTTAGAATATTGTATGACATATTGGCTTGGATGAACGGCTTAGGAGAGCGAAACAATCGCACAACCTCTGTGAAATAATGCAATGTGGTAGTCCGAAGTATATCAACAAAACCCGTCTGACACCTAGATATTATGTTGCGGACATGATACCGAAGGAAAGGTTAGGCTGGAGTCAGTAACTATGAAAAAAGGTTATGGTGCTGACAGCCTGAAAGGCTCCAACGGAGCTGAACCAAAACGGAAAGGGCAGGTGCTCTCAGTCCAAAGTGCAGTAGTACATACCCCTTCTGGGGAAGTGCCGGGCATCTGCTTTGCTTTTTTCTAGTTTTATCTCAACCCGGAGTATTCCAACCCATATTCATTGACTTTGTTTGATAGCAATGTCTCTCGGGTTGCCTTCACTAGTGGTAGCTAGGAGCCAAGACTTTCCAAGTCATACATCCATTAATACTTGGTTCTTGCATCACTTTGGATATCCCCCTCAGACTAAGCGTCGTTCAGAAGGCTGCAAACCGATTCCATGGGCTGGCGAATCACGTTTCGATTGGACAATCTGAACCGCTTTCTCCTCAAGTAGACCCCGAACAACCAGATGACGAACAAACTCCAAAGTCCACTCTTGACATCTCCTGTTGGTGGTCTGTGCATGTCAGGCTGGAGCACCGGCAGTGAGGTTCTCAACTATTACTCACGTCATTAACAGGTGCCATGAAATTCTCACTGACACGGGGGGCCGGTATCTGACTGGCTGCGGTTTCAAGATCATCCCTCGGGGCATGGTCTACGAACATACTCCTCTCTCCTGGAGAGTCCGCAATATGGTGAGAGTCGACATATCCAAGCAATGCCGTCTCATATGGCTCTGCGTTTGAAGATAGGGAGTGATTCCGTTTGAACTCGAGTTGATAGCCCATCATAGGCGCACCCACAACGTGTATCGAAGTACCTATAGTGGAACAAGCGACTGACGGAACGAAGATTGAGAAATGGGCACGCTGGCTCGGGCTATTTCGGGATGATACGAGGAGTATTGCTCTGGGAGGCATAACGGTAGTATACGATGGAGTAGAAGAGCAACAACTTTCGGTTGGAACGGTCTATAGTAAACCAGGGTGTTGAGGCCAGTCTGCTAAGTACTTGGGCGATATTCAATATTGCTTCTTAGGGGTTGATATTGACCGCCTGCGCTTGAAAGCCGGCTAGGCAACAACAGCAGATGCATGTCTGATTGGTACCTACTACGGTGATTGTCGTCTGTTGTAGCAGCATGCCACATGTTTTGGGACTTTCCAAGTATATACCTAACTGGTAAAATAAGAACCCAAGTACCTGTTCCAACCCAGCTTCACTTTTCCCTCAAGCGGCCTATTCGGCTATGAAGGATTTGTGAGGGAGTATTCATGATGTGACAAAACACCGAGCTCCTTTCGACTTTGTAAAAGAGGTCAGTCCGGCTACTTTCCTAAAGCGGCCAAGTCAGCTGTTTGCGCCACACAAACACGGCCGCCTGGCTGCCTGAGGCGAGCAAGACAGTTGCTCCGCTGCGGCGCTCAGAAAATTTCCCCCGCCGCGCATTAATTGGCCTGGCCATTTTCCCTCTCGCATCTGGAGCTCGTCTTTAAATTACTTGCAGGTGTCTTTTCCCGGGCAATTCCTCTTTTCCGCTTATATTTCTATCTTGCGCTCGCGCATTCTAGGTAAGATACAAGTGCCCTGCTTGCTTCCTCCATTCTATTCTCCGCATCGCCGTCGCGCGGTTCTCCGTCCATCATTGGCCAAATCGGTCCGTATCATGGTTCTGACGCGGGATTGCACCCTGCCCTCATCTTGGGCTTATTGCCTGTGGCACTCTGCTTTTGACAATATGTAGGAATCACTGACTGATATATTTCAACTGTAGTATAGGCCCTATAAATCAATTTCCTTCCTTATCCCCTTATCCTCCTACAACACAGCTCCGTGACCATGTCCGAAGAGCAAAAGCCCGTCGCCCAGCCCAACGCTGAGGCTGAGAAGGATGTCCAGAACGTCCTCGCCGAGCTGAAGGGCGAGAACGAAGCCCCCGCCAACGGTACTGAGAAGAAGGAGGCCGAAGATGCCGAGGAAGCCCGCATTGTCGAGGCCGCCGCCAAGCTGGGCGAGAAGTCTGAGAAGGCTGAAGAGCAGAAGGAATCCAAGACACAGGAATCTCGCAACGACAACCGGGGTCGCGAGGGCCGCTTCAACCGCCGCAACAACGCCAAGTTTGACCCCTCCACGCAGCAGGTGACGGATGACCCGATCGAGATTCGCAAGCAGGTTGAGTTCTACTTCTCTGACTCCAACCTGCCCATGGACAAGTTCCTGTTCTCCAAGGTTGGCGGCAGCGCCAACCGTTCCGTTCCTTTGGAGCTTCTGCACTCCTTCAAGCGCATGCGCCGTTTCCAGCCCTTCAGCGCCGTGGTTGAAGCCCTCAAGTCGTCCGAGACGCTTGAGCTGACCGATAACGATACCTCCGTGCGCCGGAAGACGCCCCTTCCGGAGTCCGTGTCGCAGACTCACGACCACAACGTGGTCAAGGTGTTCGAGGACCAGGCCATGAGCCGTAGCATCTACGCCAAGGGTTTCGGCGACGAGGAGCCGACTACCCAGCTTGACATCGAGGCTTTCTTCGCCCCCTACGGACCCGTCAACGCCATCCGTCTGCGTCGTGCCTACGACAAGACCTTCAAGGGCAGTGTTTTCGTTGAGTTCGAGTCGGAGGAGAAGCAGAAGGCTTTCCTGGCCCTGGACCCCAAGCCCCAGTGGAAGGGACAGGACCTGCTCATCAAGAGCAAGAAGGATTACTGCGACGAGAAGGTGCGCGAAATTGAGGCTGGCCGCGTGAAGCCCAGCGGCTCTCGTGGACGCGGTGGCTTCCAGCGCGGTCGCGGCCGTGGCCGTGGTGGAAACCGTGGCCGTGACAACCGCGACTGGAGGGAGCGCCGCGCGGCTGACCAGAAGAACGGCTTCAACGACAAGAAGAGTGAGCCCAAGGAGGAGCGCACTGAGGTTCAGAAGGATGCTCGGTATGTATTGACTTCTGCTTCCCCCCGATCACCACCTTCCCTACCCCATGTCTCAAAGCAAATGTATACTAACAAAACACCCCAGCGGTGTCCCCATTGTTCAGAGCACCGCCGAATCCGGCCAGAAGCGTGCCGCCGAAGACGAGGCGAACGGCGACCACCCGGCCAAGAAGGTGGACGCCAAGGAGTAAACGAAATAACGTCATCTAAATCAAAAAAAGAAAAGTTGCAATTCAAACTGTCTATCATCATCAAGGACAACAGTTGCTTATTTATTCGTTGCTTCGAGAGAAAATGGGAATAAGGGATGGGATACAAAAAGCATGACTTTGGCTCGAATTACTACCCCCGGACTTTGAAGACCATAGTACCATAATGGCGTTGTATAATTTCATTATTTTTTTTCTCCTTTTAAGGGTTATTCTTATTGATCGGTTTTCTTTCTTCGGTGGATATTACATTCTAGATACTCGAAATAGAATGTTCTGGAATCCATCTTTACCATTTAGTTTCCTCCTTCTGGCTGGTGAGTATGCCATTGTAGAGAATCCATGACAAGGCTAGAAACAGAACTAGGCAAGTAAAATTGCGACTGGTTATATGATGGAATTGCAATGCTTAGCAGCAGCACCCTATACTAATGCAGTGCACAACTAATGATACCCAGAGCTACATTACTTGAGTTCCTTCCAAGTAGTCGAGATATCGAGGGCAATAGCCAGGTTTGCACATATATTCATCAACTACTGCACGTATAGAACGGTAACATATGTAAAACCATCACTCTTTCAGCCCTTTTTATCCCGATTGCTTATTTCTTCTTCTTCGTCTTATCCACAACATCAATCCACTGCGTCCTCAACCCACGTCTCACCAACGCCGTCTCTAACGCGCGTCGCTGGTCTCCCTGGACAAGCACCTCCATAACGCCCTTCGGCGCGCCAGTAGCCTGCGTCACGCTGGTGCTGCTAGCACACTTCTTCTGCAGCTCTTCGGCCAGAAGACTAGGGATGATGCCGAACACTTCGAGGTTCCAGACCTTGGTGACGGTCTTGGAGCCGGTGCGGCGTTCGAGAATTACGTTGACCTTGGGGGCGGCGCCTGCTTTGGGCTTCACGTCGGAGAGGTTTTGACCGGGCCGTAGGATGACGTAGTGGGCTGTCATGAGGGAGTGGTCATCGATGAGACGCTTGAGGAGGCCGTCGCGGGTGGTCTTGCCGCGGGCGAGAGTGCTTTTGTCATCGGCGGAGGAAGAGGTGAAGATGGTATTGGCGAGGTAGGGGTTGAGGGTGATAATGCGTTTGTTTTTGGGGTCGACGAGCGGGGGATTTTGAGATTGGATGTATTGGTCGAGGTGAGTGGAGATGTCGGTGTACTTGTAGTAGTTGCTGGGGTGGGTGCTGGATAGAGCAGGGAAGATGGTCGGCGTGAGTTTGTTGGTTGGGCGATATACAGTCTGCACGGTCAGGGTTTGGCCGACTGAGGGGTCACCGCTCTGTGTAGATGCGGTTTTGGCGTTATTTGCCTGAGTGGCAGGCTTTCCTGCGTTCTCAACGGTATTCTTGGATGGGAGTCTGTAAGGGATGAACTGTTCAACACGATGGTCGTTGAAGTCCACGTCGAGGATGACGGTCTCTTGGCCGTTGCGGTCTTTGGACTTGACCAGGCGCTGCTTGTCCAGATATTTGATGAACTTTTTCACATTTTTCCAGCTGGTCTTCTTGATTTGATAGTATTGGGCTTGTTTGGCAGTGTATATGGGCAGGTGGGGTGTGATCATGTTTGATATCAGAGCAGATGGTTGGACGGGTAGAGATAGACCGTGGTTGGTAGCAGATGGATTATCTTGCTTGAGCTTGTAGAGGGAGTAGAGGAAGGCCTTTTCGAAAGCCTCGTCAATTTCTTCAAGCGGTCAGTATAGCTACACTCAGGTTGTATTGAGCGAGACTCACCTTTGGTTGTGGGCTCCTTCTCTTCAACTTCAGGTGCCTCCTCCTGCGGGACATCAGGCGCCTCATCTGATGCTTCCTCGCCTCCAGTTGCTTGAACTGCATCGTCACCTCCTACTGCTAGGCCCTGCACGCCCTCTTCAATCTCTCCTACATCTTCGTCCTCTTCCAGTTCATCATCCCACCCCTCTAGATATTCTGGAGCGGGCTGACCCGGCTTGGAAGACGAGCTCCAAGCCCACAACTCATCGCCTTCCCAGTGCAGACCCCGAACAGCATGTCCCTTCGTACCCTGAACCTCTCCAAGTGCAGAGATGTCAATCTCACACACGCCCACAAACAGTGGTACCGTATGCCTGTTCAGACTAGCGACAGCAACCACTGCGCCCTTGACGGCACGCTCGTCGAAAGGCGGGTCATTGGCCAGACCCGGAGTCATCAGGTCTGCTCCTCCGTGCAGTTTCTGCATGACCATTTGTGGAGTATGGAGCAGTGGCACCAGATCTGGGTTGTGCCAAAGTGTATATACCGTAGGGTAGAGGCGTCCATCGGCGCCGGGCCCATGGTCGACTCTGAACCACAGGATCCTTTCGTCGGCCCCCGGATGTGTTCCAACATACACTGTCCCTTGTACTTCGCGAAGCTGGGGCCCGGCGGTCGTAGTGAAGCGTGCGGTCAAGCAATCCTCGGGAAGTAAGGCATTTCGGATGGAGGTGAGGTTTGGCGCCGTTGGGTTGGATGCGCCTGGAGCTGAGTCGTCGCCGCTGGTTTCAACTGGCGCACTTTGCGGGACCTCGATCTTGTAATCTCTGATTATCTGATCGGCAATCTTCCGACGGTCGGAAGACCGCAGGGGAGAAAGGTTCTTGATCTGCGTTTGGCTAGCGTGAGTAATGAGCTCTAAAGGCACGATTGACCTTTCCGTGTTGTGACCGATCCCAGAGTGGTGCGGGGGAGGGGTAACGTACCGTGGGCTTCTTCTTGAACATGATGGAGGAACGAGGGTGCAGTGCTCCGATAGACGAGTATCAAATGGCAATATAATCCATGCAGCCCACGCCAGTAGGAATGGAGGGTCCGGGAGTGGATAAAGGGAAGAAGATGCTATTCGGAGATCTGCTGAGGGGGACGAACGAATGGATTTGACTACCGCAACAACAATCGCCCGCGTGGTCCCCGCTTCCAAGGTTTCAAAACATTCTACGGATACATCACCGACTAACATCATCACTAGCAATCAAAGCGTGAACTCCTTGAGAGTGCCAAAGACCCTTAACGTCCACTATAAACACAATTCAGTTTTCTGTCCTGTATCATGTAGAACGATAGCGGTAGTACCTGCCGGAGAGTCTTACCGAAACCTTTTCAGGTCAAGTCCTGTTGTATACTTCGCCGGCATCTAGGTAGAGCAAAAGCACAAAATAGAGGCCTACTCACCAGTTCTTGGCTCAATCATAATAATCATCGCAAAACCCATCATCCACCGCATAGTCTGACTGGTCATAGCATTCCTCGACCGGCTCACGGTATCTACCTCGCAGTCCTCGTAGTCGTGGTGGCTCTGGTCTCCCTCGTAACCTTCATACTGATCGTGATAGAATTGACTAGTCCTTCCTCCCAAACCTCACATTTTTGCCCAGCCAGTTCTGCTCCCCAGTACTCGCAATATCCCGGGCTGGGTTCGCAACGTCCTGCTTCCTGATCCTCGTAGTGCTCTTGGTAACGTTCCTGCTGCCCGGCCTCCCAATACTCCTGATCATACCGTCTCATGGTGTCTATGGTCGGATTCACTTCACCGTAGTCCTCAAAGTAGTACGCGTTCAATCCATGAGATAACATGAAGTCATGCATGTTGTTAAATTCGGCTTCTTTGATCATTCGATACTGACTCTTCTCATTTGGGGGGAGGAGGGGAGGGATGTCATCCGGCTGCTGAGGTGCGACCTGCGAGGGCGACATGATGGCTTGGGCAGAGAGGGAAAGAAGATGATAAGCAGCATTTTGGATACTCTAATATGAGAGAGAAACTTGAAGGTGGGGAGAGGTAATAGTCTATCCGAAGCAAGGCAGTAAATTACTCTGTAGCAGTCCCTTCCTTTTTGGGTGAGAATCGGTCACCGGGTATCATCATGATTATTGGGGAGGAATCTACCAAGTTAGTATGCTGGTAACCACATCGATAAGGATCATTTGAGCCATTCGGTAGGCTATTGTTGTCCTTATTACGAGCGTCAACAAATAACTACCAACGACTACGGAGAGTCGATTCTATTTCTAGAGCAATACAAACAATGCGCAAGAATACGACAAGAGAACGGTACAGTTGAAAGTCACAGCTTCAATATTGATTTTTTATAGGTACATAAGTGGATACCCGATCCGGAGCGAAAAGAGCATCAGACGGCTGCTCGTGTAGCCGTCAGATAGAATCAAGAATGAATGTCTATATGATCCGAACTTCCACGTCTGGCTGGGCGCTTAGGCGTTGAGGTCACGGGCGTGCTTCTTCTCAGTGACCAGCCAAGAGAAGGTCTCCTTCAGGACGCTGAGGAACTGGTCGGCGCTCAGAGAGCTGAAGTAGCTGGTGAGGTTGTCGCTGGAGACGGCGACACTGGAGCTGCTGGGGGTGGAAGCAGCGGCGCTGGAGCTGGCGACCTGGATGTGGGTCTGCTGGGGGGCGCTGCCAGTGACAGTGACCTGCACAACGTCAGTCGAAGTCTGGTAAGCAGTGGCGACCGCAGTCTGAACGGTGGTTTCAACGTCGGTGACAACGGCAGCAGCAGCAGTGGTGGTGGCGCTTACGGCGGAGCTAGTCGCAGCGGCAGCGCTGGTGGTGGGGGTGGAAGCGCTGGAAGTCGAGGCACTGGAAGTAGTGGCGGCGGCAGCGGCAGCGGAGCTGGTAGAAGAGGCACCGGAGGAGCTGCCAGAAGAGCTGCTGGAGGAAGTGGCGTTGTACATAGCAGGACCGGGGATGTCGTAGGAGCTCAGGGTCTCGTAGATGTTGACCAGGATACCCGGGTCGGTGTCCTTGTAGAGGGCTTCACCCTTGGTGCCGGAGTAGGTGGAGCTACCACTGCCGGTAACCTTCAGGTTGAGACACTGGGGGTAGTTCTGGGCGCCATCCTTGTTCTCAGCGGAGTGCAGGGCAATGATCTCGTGGCGCAGGACGTAGTTACCAGCCTCGAGGGTCGAGGGAATGGTCACAGTCCAGCTGTTGTTGTTGGAGATCAAGTTGTCAGTGGCCCAGGTTCCGGGGACTTCAGTGTCGCTAATGAGGCCGCTCTCGTCGATCTTGAAGAACTCAAGGTCAGTCTTGGTGACATCGGAGCAGTCACCGTTGCAGTTGGCAAGGTAAGTCAGGACGGGACCGTGGTGGCTGGAAGGCCAGTCAGTCCACTGAAGCTCAACAGTACCACCGGCCTTGACGTCAGCGGAGATAGCACCAGGCTTAGCGCTCTTGTGGCAGATGATGTCAGGGTCCGAGTATTCAGAGCCGTCGACGAAGCCAAGGTCAGTGGCTGTGGTAGACCAGGCAATGGTCTCCGGAGGGTCACTCTCATAGGGGTAGGAGGAGACGATGTATCCTCCGTAGTACTCGCCGTCGATGACAGCACCAGACACATAACCGTGGCCAGCAACAAGGGCGGCCGAGCCGAGGACGACACCAGCAATCTTAGCGACAGACATCTTGCAGGCTTTGGGTTAATCAACGCACAGCGTGATCGTGGGTAAGAGGGATCGGTTGGGAAAGAAAGAGTGACGAAGCAAACGGTCTTCAATCAATGAAGCCAGGAAAGGAAAGTAAGAGAATGGATGGTTCTAAGACCCCGGGAAAGAAATGAATGAGAAGCTGATGAGGAGGAAAGGAAGAAAGGTCGAAGCAAGACGTGAATCCAGCGCCTTTATATAATGCTAGCCATGGTCGCCGTTCTATCAAGTCTCCGCCCAGAGCTCAGACCGAACGGTTTCGAACCAGGATAAATGAAAGGTTCACTCCCCGATAGCCATGCTGCAACTAGATTTTCTTGGCAGCTGTCAGGTTCCCACAGAATACAGGGCCGACTGAGACGCGGAATTGATTGGGATAGGGTCGTCGCAGGCGGAGAGTCTGGGATTGATGAAAAGCAGGCACTAGACCACAGACCACAGACACGCCGGTAGGTTCCAGAGTTGGAGGTCGAGACACCCTTGCAGGAGCCAGTTACTACTTAGGCATTAGCGTTGTCCAAAAAGGGGAGACGGAGAGGCGCCGAAAAGGGCGAAGCGGATTTAGCTACTCACCAGAGCAGAAGAGTGGACCGAATCCCGGCGCCCCTCTGGCCGTCCGGCGGCAGTCTGCGACATGGCGAGTTTCAACCTGGAGCTATTCTGGCTCCAACTCCGCCCTGCCAAGAAATGCCATTGTTGCAAGTCCGCCGGAAGTGGCTTGTTTAGGTTATGTCAGTCGTTGAAGATAGAGGAATCCGTTCAATTTGGATTGAATGAAGAGAAGGCATTCAAAGCCGGGGTGAAGAACTGCCATCCAACCATTGTTACAGAGTAGTTCGATAGTCAGTTGTAGTCAGGTGGTATTGCAGTCATAAGCGATCAACCACGTGCGCACTAGTCCCTTTTGAACCCTCGCTCACCTCCCTCAGTGGCTTTTCACTTCTATTATGGGAGCTTCCCCATGTACTGTGTAAAAAGTGGCGGAAAAAAAAAAAAAAAAAGAAAAGAAGCAGCGACAAGTTCAGATCTCAGGTGGAGGGGCGCAATAATGCCACCTGCCACCCAATAGAGATGGTGCCATCCCGTCACATACATAGTGATGATAACTGGGGCCGGGGCCCATCCGACAATTAGATTGAGACCACCGATTTAATTGCAGGGAGGGCCGCATTGGACTTGGTCTTGGCAAAGACATTACGAAGTAGAGTCAAGCTTCCCATGATTGATTCGTTCACCTTCTCAGCTTTGATTAATAGTACTCCCCTTAAAGAGGCTAATAAGCAACAGCCCTGTATTGATTGGATGCAGCCAGCTTCTGCTGTATGGAGTTGGTGTGGATTGCTGGCTAGTCCTTGAGTTGAAAACACATTCGTGGCCGCAAGAGCTCCTTTCGATAGGACCCTAAGGGTCCACGCGCCACATGCAGGGACCGCTATTGCCTCTTGAAGCGCCCGACTTGTCCAGTAGTACAATCCCTTACTGATTCTCATCAGCTTTTGGGAGTCTGGGCGCTCACTGGTGGTAGTCTGTTACTGGTAGATAGGTGGGACCCCTATCCAAGTTGCACCGTTGGGGTCTTCAATCCGAAACACACCCATTGGCGGAGTTCGCTATCCACATGTACCAGCGACCAACCAAGCTTTTTTCTACGACGGCCATCGGTATGCTTGTTTGATAGAGGGACTCCTGTGGAATAATATTTCTCTCGCGGATCTTTTGTATTTTGCCAGAATAAGAATGTCAGGTGTTGCAGATGATATAAACGGTCGTCTTGTCCTAGCTGCGAACCTCCTTGGGACCGTGGCTATTCGCCTAAGCATACTTGAATACTGAACTCCAGCCCCAAATTGAAATGCTTGGGCTGGACATACACTCAATAGGTTTCCTACGCCTGGTTTTAGGCTTATGACTAGCGAAAACTTCTTGTTGTGTATAACCAGCCAGCCATTCAGCGCTGATTCGAAATTCACGTTCCTATGTACTCCGTATGCATAGTATAAATATAGATAATGCGACTTATCATATAACACAAACGTTTATTGAGCGAGGAACCTTGTATTCTTGCCTCGGGATTTTGTCATGCGCTCATCCCGCTCTTACTCTAATCTGTACTACGTGGCGTCACGATCCCTATGTACTTCTGTAGCTTGGGATCTGACTGCGTTCACTGTGCGACATCATGACCTTACATAGATCAGGCGGCTGTTGGTAAATGCAGTCCTTGCATATTTTGAACACAAGGCTTTGTAATATCACCCAACACATCTGCACCCAGCTTTTGAAGGAAAGACTATGTAGGGCATGGCATTTCTATAGCACTGACTCATGTACCGCTTGAAGTCATCGCTTTATGTCAGTGCCATAGAACCTTGAATATATATAGCGATCGATTTACAGTTTTATATAATACTACTGATTTGGACATCAATAAATCAGAAAGACACTATCAACAATAATCTCTGGCACCTATGCCGAAGGGATAAACTTGGAGTGACCGCGAGAGCATCATGTAATTCGCTATGGAAATATAAGGTCTCCACCACTAGCAATCCTATCTGCTTCAGCTATGTGAATGACAGACTTTTCATGAATAGTTGTTTCTCCCTGGAATGGCTGATCGACACCGCTTGGTACAGCTTAAGTATGAATAAGTTCTCTGCAGCTGCAAAGAAAGGAAAGATGACATTGTTGGGGTAATACATCAAATAAAGCAGAGACGTAGGCTTAACCAGCAGTATTTCGCATCCAGGAGATGCGTGATGAAATGACGCTACAGTGTAACTCCGAATCATCCGTCATGTTTCCCCTTATTCCCACAATGCACCCTCGGGTCCCGATCAGACCGCAACCTGAAAAGGTGACGATAAGCGTCCTGACAGCATTCGACCCAAGCTCACCGTGCGGAGCAGATAAGGTGCCAATAAAATCCCAAATTTTGGGCATCTTCGCTTAGCAAATCAAGTCACCCTGGACAATATATTACTACTAATAGTATATTGAGTCTGCATTCAAACAGAACTCACCGCACTCGTTTTCAATGACTGGTCGGTTGTCCTAGATTATCTGACAACAGGTTTTGGGGATGCCTACAAAGGGGTCCATAGAAGAATGCAGGTTTCAGTCGACAAAAAAAGCCAAATTATCTTCGGCAGTCACAACCATTTGGGCGTCCTAAAACAACTGCATGTCCACGCGATGTATGGAGTAATTGCAATGTGCCTATAACGGTACTTCCGCAGCGAAGATCTCACGGCAAGCCGATTTTCACTAGCGCAAGGACATCAAAAGAGAAAATATATATGTATGAACTATACGGAACTTAAGTAGACGGGAAAATATCAAAAGTGCACCGATCTACTGTGGGGGTCTATTTCCTCATGGAGTACTTTCTTGGATGGCTGGTCTTTCGAGGATTAGTACGTGGTGGATGTCCAAGTTGCTGAGAATGGCAAACGCAGATATGCAGTCTGGACCAATTGACGGTGAGAAATGCTCCATAATGATCCGCGAACAAAGCGCCACTCCCCGATCCGCAGAATTGCTCGTCTTTCGTGGCTGATCAAATACCAAGTAACTACGGTAACTAACCAGTATTTATTAGGGAAACGCGCTTAGCACTTGATGAACACCTGCTTGGCCAAGTACTGTAATGTTCCCAATTGGGTAGGCCTGTTTTGAGCGTGTCGGGTTGACGGAGAGGATATCATACAGATGTGTCACAAATGCGGTGCGATCTGACAGGCTTGATCCAATGGCTCGGAACTGAGCCGCCCGCCTACCGTAGGATCAACATAGTATTACATCTCTTGGTATCCGTAATATTCTCAGAGAGATGATCGACTGATGATGGAGGATCGGAGGAGTCAGCATCCACTCACTAAGGCATGGACACGATCTGGTTGCACTATAGTAGTACTATTGACTAGCCCGCTACGCGTGCAGGGACTTGTCCATCAATGACAGACGCAGACACTCCTGGGAGCGGCGACTACCACCGAACTTAAAGGCAATAGTACTTGGTGTAGCTGAATGTTCGGAGTAATAGGAAGGCGCAACTTTTGATCATTAATACCACCTCGATATCACTGGTTGCCGTCTTCGGGCGCCCCTCCCAGGATCGTTCCCCGGCCAATGGAAACTCGGCGGCCTAGTTACTCCGTTCCTGGCCGACATTTGTCCATCTTGGGACTAGCGCCACTCCGGGGCGGCCTCACCGCGACTGTCGAATCCTCGCAAAGCGTCGTTTTACAGCAAAGTGCCTCAGTCAGCAGATAACCCATTGATTCACCTCCCTCCCCTTCCTGTCCTTGGCCTCTCTCTCCCGTCTCCAGGACTCACTTGCCGGTCGGACGCCGTCTCCCGAGTCGCCCTTCACATCTCCCACTCCAGTCCTGTCCTTTTCCTCGAGGTCTTACTCGGATTGACACGCTCACATCTACTACTCTCGAAACTTCTGCGCTCCGACGCCCGGCCTGGATTTTGCACAGTGACTCCCTTTTCCCAACTCTGCCGCGCCTCCGCCTCCGCCCCCCTACGCCAGCCGCCCTTACTCAACAACCCTACAGTTCCCCTTTCAACCACCTTCTGGGAATACACAACTTTCCCCTCCCCTCAATCCGCTCCTAAATTAGACTATCCTGTGTCGCTGTCGCCTCGGTTGATGGACGTGGGGTACTGCTGACGGAGGCAAGAGAATCGCGCCCGCAACTGCGCCCGCCCAGCACATTCCCGTCCGAGTCGGCCGCCCTTTGTCCTGTTGTTCCACCGTCCGCCGTACCAACAATCTGGATTGCAAACACGTAAGGTGTGGGTCGAAAGCAGGCTGTGAGGCACTCTAGGGAGAATTGCAGGCATCTCCCTCTAGTCTTCTGAAGACTGCTGTAAAGGTCAAATGATGGGATCGGCAGAGGCTGCCTCTTCGCCTGCGTTTCCTTTCCTGGACCCGATTGTCGTTGACGACGAGATGGGGAACCCTTACCAGGACGAAGATATGGACTTTCTAGATACCGCGAGGTTGCAGATGTCAGCGGAAAATGCAGGGAGAGACTTTGACGACATATTCTCACGCGCCACTTCATCCCGCCCGGTCGCGGAATCGGAACCATCGTGTCTGTCGCCCTCGGAATTGTCTCTCAAGCGATCGTATCAAGACCAAGATGCGTTGCGACAAGTGAATGTTGTATCGTCTGACTCACCCGCCGAGTCCCCAGATGGTTCTTCTCCTAGCTCTTCCTCCACATCACCGCGGAATCATCTGCGAAACCCGTCTGTGACCTCGTCTGCGTCGGTTGTCCATAGCGAAAACACCGTCATGCCGTTCGGATATGCGACGGAGGATTGGATGAATCCCGACTTGTCATCAGTGAAGGAAGAATCGCTTTTCGGTCTGGATCTTTCCCTTCCAAATCTTGACGGCGCGTTTCCCACAGACACCGATCTTGAATCGAGCAACAAAGCCATGGATGCTGCGTTTGATTTTGAAAGTGCTGCCAGCAGTCCCAGCCCTCTGAAATCCGAGTCTGCGCAACCCAGAATTTCCAAGAGATCAAAATCCCAGATGCGGAGTGTTTCTGGCACTTCAGCCAGGCATTCAGCCTCATCGGTGAGTTCCCGCTCTTCTTTTCTTGCTGCCGTTCTGATCGTGCTCTACTGACACGTAGAATACAGATTAATGGGTCATCTTTCCTTCCTCGCAATACCAAGGAGCCTTCGCCCTTCTCCGTTTCACGAAGCTTTAGTCAGGCCAAGTCGCCACTGGGTCCATGGGGAGGCCATTCACCTTCATCACTTTTGGAAGAAAGCTTTGGTGGAATTAACATGAATGGCGGTTCTCCGCTTACCCCGGGTCTTAATTTCGGACCGAGTAGCTTCCCATTTGGTGTCAACTACGCACCGTCACCTTCTCCAACTACCGTGAAGCAGGAGACGACGCAGCGTCACATGCTAACCGTGCATCCCACCTCCCTCAAATCGCGCGTGGAAACCCAGATTCCTATCAGACTGACTCTCTTCCCGTTGCCGAATGGTGTCAAAAAGTTGCGCTTGCCGAGCCACACTATCTCGAAGCCGAAATTTCTGGCGCCGCCGACTGTTGAACGATCCCCGGAGATTGTGGAGTTGCACACAAGTCTCGTTTGCACAAGTGCGATGCAAGATCAAGAGAAACTGAAGAAGGCGTTTGCCAGAGCAAGAGGAGATAACTCTTACCGTTCATCCAGCTCTAGCCCACGTTCCGCCGAAGACATGCAGGAAGACGATAAGCCACTGGATGGCGGAGAAGTCAAGATCTGCCCTGGTTGTATTCAGCGTGAGCGGAAGCGTGCGTTCAGGAAAAAGCAAAGAAAGCCGGAAGAAGACGAACTCTTCCAGAAGGACGAGGAGAAAAGGGTAATCGTCTTCAACACCAACGAAGTCAAGGAATGGGCCGAGCCATCGAAGAATGCCATGCCAAGCTTTGGCGACGCTCCCATGCCTAATATTCCTCCAGGGGCCATGCAAGTGGAGTTACCAATGCGTATCGCATGCTACTGTAGGCATCAGAATGAGAAGCTTGGGTTTCAGTACGTATACACGGCTCTGCGCGGTTGTGTCATTTTGACATTTTGCTAACTTTTGGTTTCAGAGTCATTTTCACTGTCAAGGATTATAAAGATAATGTTGTCGCTCAGGCAATAACAAATTCTATCATGATTACCGACGACCACAAAACCCATGCGCCTCCCGCTCCACCAGCTCCTGGTCCATCTCCTTCTCTACCGGACGGGACACAGCTTCCGGGCGTTGGCGTGTTCCCATCGAGCCCCAGTGTTGATACAGGCAAATCATCCGCTCCGTCGCAACAAGCAGCTCAGTCATCTTCAGCTACCGATCTGCAGGGTCTGCAGCAAAGATTCAACACTCAATATCTGACGTCAGGCTCCTTCCCCGTGTCCCAATCCTCAACGAACGGCACAACCACCAACACTCAAACGCCTCGGAGTCTTTCTCGACAGACATCGCCAAACGATTTCCAAGGGCCGATGAGCAAGCGTCGCAAACACAGCAACTCCGGGAGGCTGCCATCGGAACTCACCATGACCAAGCTGGAGAACACGCAGTCGTCAGGTAGCGTGTCCAGCTCCTCAGCCCCTAACAACGATCCACCTTTCCCTAGCACTCGCGGGTTCGCATCCCCCGCGGAGAGGCCCTTCGTCACTGCTTCTGCCATATCTAATCAGTTCCCTAACGGACCGCCGACTCCGAACGGCGCAGATACCAATCCCTTTCTTAACACCATGCAACAACAGAGTTTGGACAACTTTATACAGCAGCAATTGATGTCTGCACCGAACTCCGCCCAACCAAGCCGTCCTGGGACCCCTGGGGGTTCGCGCAACAATTTCCAGGATCCAAGTTACAACATCTCCTTGGGACCCAACACGTCCACACCGATGTGGCCACCACTTACCAATGCGGGGAACCGGTTACCCTCAGTCATTCACAAGTTGGTACCTGCAGAAGGCTCTATTACGGGAGGCACGGAGGTTACCTTGCTTGGAAGCGGCTTCTACCCCGGGATGGAAGTTGTTTTTGGTGACACTCTAGCCACTACTACCACGTTCTGGGGTGATAAGTGTCTCAATTGCCTGACACCTCCTGCACTTCAGCCCGGGCTTGTGGCGGTGGTTTTCAAGCATGAACATCCCACCTTCGGTCAAATGCAGCCAGCTCAACCTCTGATGCCGAAGCAACAGCAGTTCTTCCGTTATGTCGATGATCGCGAGCTGCAGATGTATCGCCTTGCTCTTGGTATTCTTGGACAGAAACTCGGCAGTCAAGCAGATGCATTCCAGACGGCTCAGCAGATTATGGGCAGTGACATGAAGGGTGTCTTCAATCTACAAAAGGACTTCCCGGGAGGCTCTGGCGGTGGTCACCAGCGGCAGGTGGCTGGGCTGGAGTCGCAAGTCTCACTTGGTGACCTTGACGGTAGAATATGGAAGTACCTTGAATTCGTCGATCTTGATGACAGCCCGCGCCCACCCAGGTACAATTCGCGCTCTGCGACAGGTCAGACACTGCTCCACTTTGCCGCCTCCTTAGGCCTGACACGGTTCGTGGCTGGTCTGCTTGCGCGAGGTGCCAATCCTGACCTGCAGGATAATACCGGGAACACGCCAATGCACTTTGCGGCTCTGAACGGTCATGCGCATATTGTCAACAGGCTCCGTCTTGCCGGTGCCAACCCTAATGCCCGTAGCATCAGGGGATTCACTCCAGCAGATCTCGCTACGACGTTGCCTGCTCACCAGGCGGCCTTGATACCTGCACGTCATTACCGCTCACGTAGTGTTGGATCACTTTCCTCTTCGCGTCGCAGGCACAGCAGTTCCGCATCGTTACATTCCCTTTGGGACTCTTCATCAGTGTCAGGCTCGTTTGACCATGCTGTTGAAGACTCTGAAGACTCGGAAGACGACGACGATGTAATTGATTATAGCGCCTCCCGCCGGTCGAGTATGCATCACGAGCGACCAGTGTCGATTCCTGGACCTGAGCAGCCAGCAGAGTCAGATGATGCCCGACCGTTTTCGCCTCCGGCCGCCCTTGTTGCTTGGCGTAACCAACTGCAGGCCCAAATCAACCAGTTCCAGCAAAGTGTGGCCAATGCTTTCCCCAATTTGCCTGCGTTGCCGCCTATGCCCGCACTGCCTGACTACCAAGCCCATCCGATGATGCGTCGGATCACCAATTTGGTTCCTCACCGACCCAGCACCTCGCGGTCTGCCAAAGATGGCTGGTGGGATATGCTGACGGGCAATTCCGCCCCTACTGGTACAGAGCTCCCCTCCTATGAGGAACTCTACCCGCACAAAGAGAACGAAGATGATGGGCAAGCAGCGCGTTTGAAGAAGTCGAGTATGCTCCAAGCGGCGACGGAGGCAGCTCTCGATCAGCATTTCGAAGCGCAGGCCAGCACATCGGAGGTCGTCCGGGCCAAGCCAGAAAACGAAGATATAAAAGACATCCGGATTGGCCGGAAGGTGATATCTCGTGAACAGCAGAAGCACCTTCGGGAGCAGCAAGCGCGGCGAATGAAGGGTCTTGGTAGCGATCGGAATCTGTACTTCATCTGGGTAAGTAGGACCGCTCACCAAATTTTTAGTATCTCTTTGGAACCACTGCTAACGATTGCTAGATTCCGCTCCTTCTGCTGGTAATCTGCGCTTGGATTCGGAGTTATGTCCCAGGCATCTGGGAAGGCTTCACTAGCGGCTATGAATTCGTCAAGGCCCAATATGCGCAGCGCGTTTTAGAAGTTGGCCATTGACACTTGTTTTACTTTTACTCCTTTCCTTCATCTGTTTTGAGCTAGGGCGTTCTGTCCTCTGGGTTCGGTAATACAAACGGGGCATGTTTTTTCTTATGTTAAAGAGCTATTGTTCCATAATGACGGGATATGACTGTTTTGATCTCTTTGTCTTGTTTCTGGTGAACTATACTGCCCTCAACTGTTCCTGTACAGATTCCTGTGTGTTTCCTTAGGCGATCTCTTTTCTCTACGGCTTTCTTTCACTTAATGAAGACCAAGTCACGTGTCCTGCAGAGGACTCGTCCCCCATTGTTTTCCATACCGCGCATAGAGCTGAATATATTTTCTACGATCGAGTTATCCCACTATAGACCTTATAGGTACGCCGTAGCAGCTTGGAAGAAGCCCAATTGTAATTACTGCGGGCTCCACCGAATGATGTCGGGGGGAGGTTAGGCGGAAGGAAGCCCACACGCGCGGAGAGAAAGGCGGTCTTGCCGCCCCCGGCCAAAACAACCGCAATACTCCCCATCATCACCGCGGTGGCCGATATACCTCTGCCAATTCCCTCCCCTTACTGCGCATCTAGCTAGGAGTTTGGCTCCCCTTTCTCGGCCAGTCAGGCGGCATGCCCTTTGCGAGTGGCCCCTTGACCCCCGAATAGTGCTCGGGCATCATGGACCCCTCACCCCAGGCGGGCTCGAGCAGTGTCACCGGTAAGGATACCCACCCCCCCCGATGGCTTTCCGATGGTATTCTGGGGTACACATTGCTCACTTCTTCGTTTCAATTCCCAGTCGAGTATACTGACCCCTCCGGCCTATTCCCCACCGTTCAGTCCATCCTTGCAGATAAGCTACCTCTAAAGAACCTCCACTGGAAGTCGCCGACCCGCCCCGTTCGATCCATCGAGTCCCTCCGTATCGGCTTCGTCCCTGCCCAGCATGAATCGGACGAGCGCAAGCCCTCTACCGACACGGCCAGTGCCACCGTGACGCACCGGCGACACCAAATCCCAGGCTTACGCCAGACTCCCTACTTGAAGATCTACTTGCTCCGCTGTGACGACAACGATACCTACAAGGCTACGGCGCGGAAGGCGGTGCGGGACTGGATCAAATCCCATGCGACGACTTCTTCTTCGTCCAGCACAACGTCCACTAGCCAGGAGAAGCACGATGCTTTTGACTGGCTCATTGTACATGTGGTGCAGGACGGAGATGGGGCGGAAAAATCTGCCCCTTCCAAATGGGGTCGCACGACCACCACAGTCCTTGAGAAAGTCAAAGCCGACTTCAACGGAACTTCCAAGTCCTCTACTGTGGATCGCGTGGCCCAATTACGGCTTCCCAAGCAGGGCAGTAATGTGAAGCCACCTGAGCTGGCCGATCAGATCGAAGACTTGGTTGAGAAGCTGAAGAACGCAATTCTGGCATCATTTGACCTTCGCGTGGCGCAGTATGAGGAGGACATCAAAGAGAAAGACTCGCAGCGCAGCTTGCCTGGCTGGAACTTCTGTACCTTTTTCATACTTAAGGAGGGTCTAGCTAGGGGCTTTGAAAACGTGGGGTTATTCGAGGACGCGTTGCTCGGGTATGATGAGCTTGCGGTCGGCTTGGACACTGCGGTACAAGAACAGCTGGAAGGAACTGGAGACCAACATGGGGGAGCATTCCTGACTTACAGCAAGGACTGGAGAGACAAGGCGAAATCAGCTCTGGAGTCTGAAGGAGAGGGAGCACGGAAGGACGAGGGTGAGGGAGATGACGAACCCGAGCCCATTCCGGAAATTGCAATGGATGATTTTCCCATATCTGCAACCAAAAAGCCGTATCGGGAGATGATACTGGCCAGTGACATCTCTATTTTTGATTTCCGCACCTACGTTTTCTCAAGACAATTGACATTACTGCTTAGGGCGGCAAAGGCTCCCTCCTTACTGAGTAAGGAAGCAGAAGCAGATCCACAGTCGTCCAAGAAAGACAGGAAGCCGGAGAACCTACTGCTTCTCTCCGAAGCTTGTCAAAGAGCAACCGAATTCATAAGTCTTGCAGCACGGACGCTCAGGATCGACCTCGAGACGGGACTGGTAGATGTGGAAGCTGCCCGGAAATCAGAGGTGGTGAACAATATTGTATCATCATGGGCGTATGCTGCTGCCTCCCAGGTGCTTTCTCAAACATTTACTCCTGCCCTTACACTTCCTGAGTCCTCACTGCATGCTGTCAACAAGCCAGCAGACGTCGCGACTCATGCCGAGAGCCACCCAGAACTTCCTAGGCGCTCAAGTTCACTTGCGACTTCAGCTACGCCTCAGCCACGGCGTATGACAACCTTGGGCATCTTGCCTCCGGATGCCCTTTCGTCTGTCCATGCCCGACCAGGCTTCGAGGGCCCGAAGCTCACACCCAAAACCGGTTCCGAGCAATTGGCTTCTGGAAGAGCGGAATTGCTCCTCATGGCTCGCCGACTCCTGGAGGAAATCTCTGCAAGATGCGGCTGGAAGGAGACGTGGAATGATCTCCATCTCCTCTTCAATGATCGGGGAGCCGATGCTGGCGATATGGCCGACGTATCGCTTGATGATGAGACTTCACAGCCGGCAGATAAGTCCGGGGATACCAATCTCTTGTCTGGTATCGATCTCCCAGGCTTGAAGCTAGCTCTCCAGTCAAGAAAGGCTTTCCGCGTGCATTATGAAGATCTTACAGATCAGATGTACCGGCATCACATCGCTGCAAATCGGACGTACTCAACCCAGGCCGCACTTGCTGACATGGCCCTTATACGTTACAGACAGAGCGACTATGGAGCAGCAGCATCTTACTTCCACCACATTGCTCCGTTTTATGGTAGTAAGAACTGGGTTGTGCTAGAGGGTATTATGTTGGAAATGTACACCCGGTGTCTGAAAGAGCTGAATCGCAATGAAGAATACGTTCGGGTGATCCTCCGCCTTCTCGCAAAGTTCGCAATTTATACAGAGTCAAATCTGTCGAAGCGTCAGAAGACACTAGATGCGTCACATATCTTTGCGGAAAATGCATTGATTTCTGAATACGTTGAGGAGTTGTTTAAGGCATCCAGTTCTCTCCAAAAAGAAGTCATAGCCCCCATGACTGATTTCTTTGCGGATATCAACGTCAAGCCTGCAATCTTACACTATGCGGACAAGGATGGGTTCCAGCTTCAACTTTACTTGCGATTTTGCCTGGGAAAGCGTATCGATATTGATTCAATCAAACTGCGATTGGTGGGCGCGCACAACGCTCAGAGTAACGAGCATTGGCTAGAGGCGCCTATCAAAATGACCATCAAATCGTCGTCAACGAGGGTGCTGGTGGACTCTCCGGTGAGCACGATTCGCAGCTATGTGTGCTGTCGTTGTTTTGACATCTACTGACTATGTTAGATTACGCTGCAAGGCAAATACTTCGTGGACCGCATCGAAATGCGAGCAAAGAACATTGTTTTCACTTTTGGAGGCGGGAAGCATGCGTCTTTGCCAGTTGGATTCAGGGAGGCAATAGAGGCCGAGGAAGAGGATAGTCGGCCATTCATCTATTGCTTTCCGCCGCCGGACGGCCTTCAGGCAAAAATTGTGTCACCGCACTTTGTCAATCTGGAGGAATTACGGACGATAGAGCTCGAATTCAGTAGTGGATGGAACGACATCAAAAGCGGGACTCTTCGAGTAAGACCTGCCACGGCTGGTCTTCGATTGAGAACTACCGAAACCGAACTGGTAGAGGGCGATATAAAGATCGAAGCCCATAGTGACTCGGGAAACATTGAGTTCTCTCAGTTGAAACCCAACTCGTTTGTTCGGTTCCGGATCCCTTACACGGTCGAGGAACACCACCCGATGCTCTCTGCAAGGGCCGAAGTGGCATACGAGACAGAGAAGGGACGGTTTACTTACTCCTCGGTGCACAACATTATTTCAGGCTTGCCAATCAGTGTCAACGTGCAGGATGTCTTCAAGGATAGTGTGCTATTCTCACGGTTCACCATCAGTCCAGCCATGCTGATTCCGCTCCGGATCTTAAAGTGCCAAATCCCAAGCTCAGACATCTATGAAGTGCAGTCAAGTATTGGCGACTCTGTGGCGCTGAATGTATTTGCCAAACAGCCAGCGTCCTTACTCTACAAGATTCGGCAGCGGCCAGACAGCGTTCCCACTCCGGGAGCAAGACGGTCCCTGCGATTAAGCGTCGATTTTACTTGCGTCGACGATGAATGCCTACATGCAGTCGAGCAGACATTCAAGTCAAGCATTGCAGCTAGCGAGTTTCATCAGTACACGAGTTTGCTCACATCCCACATTGTTGAGACCTTCCGCTCACAGCTGTCGACCTCCGACATGGAAGTTGTCGGCCTCGTCCGGGAGGTGGAAACACTGCAGTATGCGAATGCCCACTGGGAGACATTGCTGAGTGCGTTGAAGGAACCAATGGATGGACTGAAGGCCTGGCTGATGGACTGGCATAAGGTAAGTCACTCGTATAACCCACCGATGGCCCCCTTGCCTCTTTAGTCTAACCCAAATAGAACCACCCGGTCATCTGTCTTCCAGACTCTCCAGCCGTACGCAGCAGACACATCGTCATCCCCGTCGACATCCCGGAGATTCAAGTTGTGCACACAGCCGAGCTCCGCCTCGCCAATCTATCACAGCAGCCTCCCCATGCGGCAGTTGGACAGATGATTGCTGCAGAACTCAGCATACGTCATACACGACGGTGGTGCTCACCGGAGCATCGCGAGAACGCAGGTGGTCCGCTTGACTTCTCGTACGAGATCCACGCAAATCCCGAAACATGGCTCGTTGGTGGCCGACGCCGCGGAAACTTCACCGCCGAAGAGGGCGAGACCAAAACCTTTGCAATCATGCTCCTTCCGCAGAAAGCCGGACACCTTCTTCTTCCGGGGTTGGAAATCAGGTCCTTTGTGCCACCATCCCCAACATCCTCATCGTCTCTGTCACAGCCGCAGTCGCAATCTTCAACGACTGCGAGCGGGGGGCAGATGATGAGTCCCAACCCTGGACAGCCTGCGGCAGTTGGGTCCATGACGGCGGCCGCCGCCGCAGCGGCAGTGGCACCGCTGCAGCGCCGACCCATTCCGTGTGAGGTCGACTACCGCAACCACGGCGAGACCGTGCTGGTATTACCCGATCTCCGCACGACGACAGTGAGCCTGTCACTGTCGGGGGGCAGTCATGGCGGGGCGTGGTTGATAGATTCGGAGCGGTTGCATGTAACGAGCTCATAGACTACATTTCTTCTACATACCTACTACCTAACTACCTACTTATGCATACATAGCATAGCTTAGAAGCCAGGTACAATGCATGTATAGACTATATGGTATATAAATATACCTTCATGTTAGAATTATATAGATAGTAATGTTAGCTAGCAATGAATTGATAAGAAAATAAAGTGTACTACGTAGTCCAACAATATACATCAAACCTCCTTCATCCCTGCATCACCCATCCTCAACTGCAAAATACCAACAATACAAATACACGCCCATGACAATACATACCCCATTTCACACATACTTCCCACCAGATAAGGTCAGCATACCATACTACTTACTAGTTACTCTTACCGACCTTAGTTAGCATATATCCATTGAAATTGTACTACAATAAGACATTGAACACACTCCCTCAAACCTACTTTCTTCTTCCCTTCCTTACTAACCAACCAACAAACCTACAACAACTCACCATCCACTCCAGCAGTAAGTAATTGATCAGCAGATATACAAGAAAGGTTACACAAAAGCTACTTTCACCAGACAGACAATCAAGGTAGTAAGAGTAAAAACTCAGTTAATGAGAAAATGACTCGATCAAGTGTCTATTGCAAAGTACCTGACTCGGTAATTGATTGACACGGCGGTCGCCCTTTTTTTTCCTTTTTCCCACCCCACATATCCTTGTTTCCCGATCAGCTTCCCCCCCTCCCGCCCCACCGGGACCCAATCTCAACAAAATGGCTGGTGTCCCAACAGATGCTGACATGCGTGCAACGCGACTATTCTACTTGTAGTAGTACTTTTCGTTGCTTGCTTTGATTGCGTTCACTGCTTAAATAGGGGTAGGGGGTGAAAAAGAGGATGAAGTTGGGTTATTTATATACCATGTGTATGTATGTATAGTTATATGTATGTAGGTATGTAATTATTGATTTGGAGAAGACTGAAGTGGGTTTTCATGCCAGTGGTCTATAGTAAGTATATCAACAGTGTAGATACAAAGCAGTTAGTTGGGGATGTCAGTGAATACTACGGCGTACCTTCCATATCCTACAATCACATGCATCAAACCTTCTCAATTCGGTTCATCCATTATCTCTTATACTCTGTAGATGACTGAACGATTATTTTACCCTAAAATACCCTAATTGTGTATTTCGCATTACGCGACAAACTTAACTTCTTTTATGTGGCAATGGCAAGTAAGTACGTAGGTTTTTTTATTTTTCTTCTCTCTTTTTTGCCTGGCTGGGGCTTGCGTTTGTTAAAGTTTTTCCACCCGCGCCGCCGAAAGTCTAAGGCCATTCATCCATCCCAGTAAGTGGATTCTGCCGCTTTGTGTTCGAGTCGTGGAGCTGGAATACTACTTTTGTACATGCTGTAAGGCGCGCCACTACTGTCTCTCAACTAGATACATTCTGCATGCGGAGGAAATCACATGGGGGTTTCTTTCCGTTCGATCGAGACCCTTTACACGCTCAGGACCGTCCGAGTGCAAAGTCGATGATCCATCAACCTCTGTTGAATTTGGACGCACGCATTGGGTTGGGTGAAGCTGGTTGGTGGGATGGAGATACCACGGCATGTGAAGAAGTTGGAAAAGAATCAGAAGGGTCTGTTACAGCGGCATGGCTTCAGCCCCTGGGGGGGCGCAAAGCAAGCAGTGAGCATCCCTACTCTTTATGTTTGTAGCTCAGCTGGGGTCCTCTCCAATTCTGATTTCTGATAAGATGCCCGAATCATCTCCGACCCATTCCATTCACACTAGTCTCTCTGAGACGAGACGAGACGCCTTGTGTGATTCCTCGTCTCCATCGGAGGTGTCATCTGTCCTCGCATGGTGACTGGTGAGATTGACCAGTAAAAATTATCCGAATGCCACAGGGCCAACGACCAGCCCCCTCCGATAATCAAGTGGGATATAATAACCGTAATTCTTCATCCGGGTTCATGCCCACCGCCCAAGGGGGAAGCTGCCAAGATTGTTGAGAAGCCAATTCTCCTCTTCTTACCCGGCTGTGGGGCCTGAGGTCAAGCTCCCATTGGTTCCAGCGGGGCGGTGAGCCTCCGCGGTTCATGGTCCCTGGTAACCACGCTCGGGTTTCTGGAACGTGAAGTATTTTGCAATACTCGAGCCACATGGCCGGTTAGTCAGGAGTGCAACCACATCTTATGATCTTCTGGCGTGCGGTGAGAGCCATGCGGTGGAGGATCTCGGCTTAAGGGGGGCAAAGAATAATCCCTCAGCACACCCCGGAATGCAAAAATGACACTCCTCCCTTCTGGCAATCAGGCCCGGACGGATCAGCCGCCCCCTTCCAGCAAGCAACAGGTGGCGTATACCTCCCACCAACCAGTCACGGATGGGCCGCAACCTAGAGGGTTCGTAGGCATGCGCATCTCGGGCAAGCCACAGACAGACTCCGCGACGACCTCGGCTCAGGTATCCAGACTCGAGCAGATTAACTTCCTACTACCTTGCCAGATGCGACGATCGAGCCAGTGATGAAACCATCTGCAGATGTAGAGCATGTCACGCAAAAGGCAAATTGCGCTGAGATGGTCCAGTAAGCGTCTCCGAGGTTATCCATCCACCCGATCTCTTCTGTAGGCCAAAATGACAGGACAGAGTGAGATGAGAATACTGCAAAATGTAATGCCGTCGGGTCGTAATCTTCTCGTAAGTCGGGACGCCGTCCCGTATTGACGCGCCAGCCCCTGACCAATGAGAGTTGTCCCACCCAATACAAAATTTTCGCGGGAGATCCCCCGTAACGCAAAATTACCAGCCCAGGGGCCCGGCGAGACTTGCATCCAGATCGGGTGTTTCTGGATGGCTTGTCTTCTGGGCTTCTTCTTCGACTGCACTGGAAATTCAGTCTTCCCCAATCAATTCGCGTTTGTTTGGTTCTTGGGTGTTCCCCCTTACCTTTTCCTCTTTTGCAATTTTTCCTTTTCGCCCTCTTTTCGGAACCCTCATTTTCTTTTTTTTTGTTTTGCCTCCCCCCTCCTCTCCCCGGGTTCTGCTGAACGCTGAACAGGTGATCATCAAACAATCGCCCTTCTTTTTTTTCTTTCACTGTTTTCGCCTCTGTCCATCCGCTTTTTTTTCCCTCCCTTTGAACCCCCCCGTCCCACTTCTTTCTCCGGTCAAGGCTCTTTGGAGGCGACCATTTATATCTTTCCGATTGTCACCCTACCTCTCCTTCCCTCCTCTCTTCTCTCCCGATCCCATCCCTCCGTCTCCTTCGCTGCGTGGGAGCTCAACTCCGTCCAGTGCCTACCTTGAGCTGCTACAGCTTTGGCGCCGTGTTTTGACCCATTGGTACGTTGCACTTTGCGTGACCTGTTCTTCGCACATGCTGTGGCATTGAACCCGGGCTAACAGAGCTTCCAACCTTTAGACTTCGCCGTCTTTGAGCTCGAGAAAACCTTTTTGTGGGCAAGCTCCAATATGTCTTCCACAGCTCTCCCCAAGCGCGTTGCGCTGCACCGCAATGCTACGGACTCGTCCGTCCCCAGCTCGGTCACCCCCTCCCCGCTGGACAGCCCTCGCCAGTCCCCTTCGACCACTTCCCTGTCGTCGTTGGCGTCGGAGGCAGAGGCCAGCGGCAAGATGCTGGATACCTATGGCAACGAGTTCAAGATCCCGGATTATACCATCAAGCAGATCCGTGATGCCATTCCCGCTCATTGCTATGAGCGCAAAGCTCTCACCAGCTTGTACTATGTCTTCCGGGATGTCTTCTGGCTCGCGACCATCTTCTATGTCTTCCACAACTACGTGACCCCTGAGACCGTCCCTTACAAGCCCGCAAGAGTCGTGCTGTGGGCTCTTTACACCATCGTGCAGGGTCTGTTCGGTACCGGTGTCTGGGTTTTGGCTCACGAGTGCGGCCACCAGGCTTTCTCTCCGTCCAAGGTTCTCAACGACACTGTTGGTTGGATCTGCCATTCCGCCCTGCTGGTGCCCTACTTCTCCTGGAAGATCTCCCACGGAAAGCACCACAAGGCCACCGGTAACATTGCTCGCGACATGGTGTTCGTGCCCAAGACCCGGGACCAGTATGCCTCTCGCGTCGGCAAGGCTATGCACGAACTCAATGAGTTGATGGAGGAAACTCCCATCGCCACTGCCCTCAACCTCCTTCTCCAGCAGCTCTTCGGTTGGCCCATGTACCTGCTCACCAACGTCACCGGTCACAACAACCATGAACGTCAGCCTGAGGGTCGTGGAAAGGGCAAGCAGAACGGCTACTTCGGCGGTGTCAACCACTTCAACCCATCTAGCCCTCTGTACGAGGCCAAGGATGCGAAGCTGATTGTCCTGAGTGACATCGGTCTTGCCATTGTCGGGAGCATTCTGTACTTGGTCGGCTCCAAGTACGGCTGGATGAACCTTCTGGTTTGGTACGGTATCCCCTACCTCTGGGTGAACCACTGGCTGGGTAAGTTACTTTCTTCACAAACTGGCACAATTGCTGGAACGAATACTGACCTAAAGATATAGTCGCCATCACCTACCTCCAGCACACCGATCCCACTCTCCCCCACTACCAGCCTGATGTCTGGAACTTCGCCCGCGGTGCCGCCGCCACCATCGACCGTGACTTCGGCTTCGTCGGCCGTCACATCTTCCACGGTATCATTGAGACCCACGTTCTCCACCACTATGTCAGCACCATCCCCTTCTACAACGCCGATGAGGCCAGCGAGGCCATCAAGAAGGTCATGGGATCTCACTACCGGACCGAAGCCCACACTGGCTGGACCGGATTCTTCAAGGCTCTCTGGACTAGTGCCCGTGTGTGCCACTGGGTTGAGCCCACTGAGGGCGCCAAGGGTGAGAGCTCTGGAGTGCTCTTCTACCGTAACACGAACGGCATTGGAGTTCCTCCTGCCAAGCTTGAAAAATAGAGCATGTCTGTCGTACATAGAACGAGTGATATCTTTTTTTCCTTTCTTTCTTGGAATTTTCTCTTTCTTTCAAATTTTCTTTTCGCATTTCGTGGTGCACTCGCAGGATCGACATGGACCACGGTATGACACTTGCTGTTGTTGTTATGTCATAGACCAACTGCGAGTTGATTCGAGCTGAAGGCGTATACGGAACGGGGGTAAGGATCTGAACGTGTAGGAGGGCCATCGTCGTGTCTGATTTAAACGTCCATAATTATCAATGTAATCCGGAGGGGAATCGTGTAATATGATCATCAATCAGCTTCTAAACCTCCAGCGCAGGTCGAGTCGAGTAATGTCTTCTAATCTCGTTTTCGAGCGAATGACGATACGATACAGATCTGCTTCCATCGTTATGGATTATTTGGCTGCTATCTCACAGTCAGATTAAGACCTCGTATGTATGACAAGCTTCCAAAGACCGAACGAAGGAACCAGTGGCATGGGAGAAGCTCAGCAAGTTCCAGGCTGCCTGACAGCGTCCCGACGGACCCACCGCATTTAAAACAAAACAATAAACTATAAGATTGACTGATAACAGGGCACTAGTGATCACATTGACCCAACCCAAAAAGTAAGCATAAAATTAAGGTGGGAATAGTGTGGGCGTCTGGAAAGGGGGGGAGGGAACTGAAGAGCTTAAACCTTGGGTAAGTTAGTTAACGTTAGTCGGTGGTGGTGGTGGGCAAAAGAAAGAAAGGAACAAAACTGCGGGGGCGCCCGTTCCGCCAGGCGCCGAAAACAGACGCTAGTCCCGGAACGGGTGAGACCTTTCAGCAGAGAGGCCTCAGACGGTTTACCAAAAGAATAAAATGTATTGACGGGATGAGGTAGAAGTACAAAAGAAGAAGAGTGAAACAGAATATATTGTTCGTGTCGTAAATCGTGACAGGGAATATCGCGCTAGATGGTGTCAAAATCCTCTGTACAGCCCCTCAGCCCACCCTTCCAGATTTCAAACTCCGCCTCGTGTTGGATCTCGCCTTGCTCTGTGACTGGGCCGGCAGTCCAGGGGGCAAATACAAGTTTCATGGTTCTTCGAACGCCTTGTGTAACTGCCTGTGATGACAATGGTGAGGATTGCCCGGTTGCTGCATGATCATCACGGACAGTATTCGGGACATCGAGATTCGTCTTATCGTCTACTGCATCGGTCTCGTCCGGTGGTGCACAGACTGCAGGGTGGTGTGCCCTAGATTGTTCTTCATTCTCCATTGCTACTCGTGAATCCGGGGGCTCATTGGCCTGCTCTCTTGCTGTAGGCAGCAAATGCTGCTCGCTGGAGACAAACGTGTCCTCTAGAATGGCCTCCCAATCCACAAAGCGGGTCTCCTTTTTCAGTGCAATGCGACATGCAATCTGGGTAGACCAAACCAAGCCTAGAGCAGGGGTCTTCTGTGCAGCTTGTTGGAAAGCTGGGTACAGGCTTGAGATAGTAGGTTGTAGCGTGTCACCCCACCCGGTGAAGAACCGCTGCTGGTGTAGAAGACTCAAGATCTCGTTTCGTACAGGGTTGCCAATCAGGTATGACCCGTCGAACTGCTGCTGCTGCGGGTCATCCTCTGTGGTGTACGGTGACGAGGGAAGACTAGACGGAGAGGATTGAAGGATCGGGTTATGAGGAGTCAGTTCGACATTCCGGGACTCAAGAGGTCGATTTCGTGGCAACGGTGTAACAGCTTCTAACTCGTGACGTGACGACGGCACTTGCTGTTGCGTTGAAGGAATAGATGAGATGACACCGCCATTCGAACGTATTAGTGTTGGGTGCCTGCCAGCAGCTTCAATGCGATCAGAAACTTGGTTCGCTACTACAACTGCGACATTTTCCTCCACAGCCAGGTTCCTCAGCATGTGGCCTAATCTGGAAAGCTCGCCAGACCGTGTGGACAAGCCCGACAGATTATGGGACGAATGTTCTGCCCGGTAATTTGCAGTTATGGAGTCAATGACGACCAATCCGACATTATATCGCTTGATTGCAACAGGGAGTTGGTAGTTGAGGATGTGATCTTGTGCCTCGAGATCCATGGCATTGATAGACAATATCTTCTCCAGCGAGGGCGTGTGAGCTTGCGACAAGGAAGATAGATAAGGATGGAATTCAATGAGCTGCGAAAGCCGTGGCGTCGATAACGGAGCTTCTGTGGAAATGTATATGGCACACTTGTCCAGACCACGGGGTGCAGGAAGTTGGGCGGCCAGGAGAAGGGTGAGAAGGAATTGCGTCTTGCCACTCCCACTGTGACCGATTAGCCCATTAGGTCAGGACGCCTCGAATACGGACGGACTCACTCTGGGGAGCGAGTATACGCACCTCTCACCAGTCACCTCGGTCACATAACCCGTCGGTATGCCGCCATCAAGCAGTGCGTCTAACGTGGGGTCGAGTGTACTAATCGCACTCCACTGGAATAGATCTAGCTTGGTCGTCGGGCCTGGGAAGACAGGAACATCAACACTGAGGCTGGAGCTCGGCTCATCAGCATCGGGATCTCTGTTCTCCTTGAAACCGACATCATTGTGGAGTGCTCTTATGATCTGAGCGGACAATCGGCGGACATCGGCGGGAGGAACACGAGCACGCTTTGCGACTTCGAGAGTGTCGAGAGTGATCAAGTCGACCGTGCTGATATGGCTCCGCTCAAGAGGTGGGAGAATATGAGCATATGGCTTGGTAGGGAAGTCCGGAAGGACCGACAAAAGATCCATAAGCGTAGAGGTGGAGGAAGTCAATACTGGAGACCCTCCGCCATCTCGTGCGCGACGCGGAGAAAACGCGGGTCCACGTGCTGCCGCCCAGCGGCTTCCCTTCTTGGGCTCGTTTGGTCCGACTCACTTTCCGGTGGTATGAAGTTGTTCTGAAGTCTATTTGCGATAACTTCGTGTCTATTACAGGCAAGTACCTTACCACCTATCGAAATAAATTGTGGAGTCTAGCTCCTCATACTACTCGGGGTGATGTCAAAATAATACCTTGACATTCGATGATATATCTATCCCACCACACCGTGCTTTGACATCATCGTCACTTCGATTCAACTCAAACGATGCAGTCATAGCATCATGTTGATGGCTATTGATCACATATGAGCTAACATGTTAATTGATTAAGTTGTCACTGCAGTACAGGCTTTCAACGAAACCCTGATTCTTTCAATCGTTGCCTCTTCGCCGCCGCAATACTATCTATCACCTGCCAGGCTATATTTTGAATGCCAGTCTACACTTTTTCATCTGCATTACGGCTCTGGAACCCTAAATGGGCTTTGCAAGTTACTAGAAACATGCAGAACATCCTTCCGACTTAGCTGTCGTGACTGGCTTCATCAATTGATTTGATAATCTATTTCGTGAACGGTGCAGCAGCTGGACTATTCGGTGAAACAAGGCTGTACCAGTCTCTATCACTGGCTTAGAGCGACTCCAGATGGGTCTTCTCTCATCAAGACATCCGCTGCCTGTCTTCCAGCACTGCTCGTCTTTGGTCAAGTGAATGTTCTGGCCCGCGTACTTATACTAGAAGCGGAGCTGGAGCTACTGCGCCAGTAACGTGTCTGAGAAATAGACCATGGGTATCTATCCCTTGATCTTCACAAATGAGCATTAGTTTCAATATGCTCGGCTGACCGTTGTGCTCTTCTTCAGCAGCAGCGCCCGAGTAGGGAGTACATTCTGGATCGTTTTGAAGGGCTCGCAGTCTTCCAAACTACGGGGTCCACTGGCGAACCTGTGACGCAAATCAACCCAATCATGTGCACCAAGACTGGAGACCAATGCGCGAGACAGGATATGATAGTCTGGATGTAAGGAAGTGAGCTCACCTACCTAGCCTCTCTGCATGATAACGATGTGTTGCTGTGACTAGAAGTAGAATATCAGAGGTGTGTTGAAAGTTTCGGTCAGAGGTCTTGGATCGACGTCGACAACACTAGAGGCTTGCAGAAAGGCCACTAGGTATCTCCTACTCTAGTGGCTGAGTCGAGACTCGTGAAATTAGGGTGCATCAATGCCCAAATTCCCACTCAGACTGTCAACAGTGCCTTCCTTCTCAGACCCTTGCGACACATCAGCTGCACACCTGTACTAAGCCCTAGACAGGAATCCAATGAAGACGCGAAGCACATCCGTGCCATCTGATGCGCTGGCAAAGACAGTGTTTAGCTCTTCTGGCTATGGAATCCTTGATTTCTTTCACACATCTGATACTAACATACAAGCTCCAAACCCCACATCTTGAAGCTATGCGTACAATACCCATTCGAACGTACAGTGATCATTATTTTGTTATACGGGCATAGAAACACCGACTTATGCTGGAATCCATGATATGACTCGCGCTTATGGAAGAAGTAAGGGAGCGGAATTTGTGTACAGCCACATGGTGCATCTCGGATGAGCGTATCAGGCAAGCGTGGGAAACGAACAATCATTCAAAGGGGTGGTAGCACATTGACAGTGACGGACATAGCCGAGACACGGATGGATATGTGGTCACGCTCCTTGCGTCAGGAACCTAAAACATTCTCTAGCACGATTCTGGGGTGGGTAAGGACAGCATATAGCAATGACGGCCCTGCTTGGATATTGGAGGGCTGCTAAACCATCTTTAGTGATATACTGTAGCATGAAACATGCCACGCCCCATACTGGCTCATCATTTTGCTTATTCCACGAATATTGCTGAGAATGTCCAAAGTGATCCTTCACCCCTCGAGTTATTATGCATCTATCCTAGCAACCACGAAGGTTCAAAGAGGAATTGATCTACTCGATTGTAACGCCGATTCACATTGATCAGGAGCTGTCTTGACCCGGACGCATGACCTACTGCGCCGATGATCCTGATCATAGGGATGTCTCTGCACTGCTGACCTGAGGCCTTAAGGGAAAGTTATGACGTTATTCCATTGAGAGATTACTTCACAGATATGCACTCACAGTTCCCGAACAGATCCTCTGACCCCTATACTGTGCTCCAGAGAGTACTATCGAGGGTAGGAGACATCCGGCACGAAAAGCCGAGCTGATAGTATACTTGCCCCACGACCTTTACTGTCAAAAGTCGCATGGAATGCGTCGTTGGCCGCACCCTTGGAGCCCAGTAGATAGAATGAACTTCAGCAACAGTGGGTACCTTGCTTACTGGGCTATCAAAGCACCCCTATCGAGAGCAAGGCAACTACGCCTGCGACAGAACATGACACTCATAACTAGTTCGGTAGCTGGGCTTTCGTTCACCTGTACTGCTGACGAAGAGAAGAGACATCATATTTCTCGAGCAGATCATGATTGCCTTGGCAGAAGAGACCCAAAAGAGGTCCGGATTCGGTACCTTTATACAGAGCCAGCGAGGCCATATCATTGGTGGAAGAGGTTTCCAGCACAGCTGCTCTTCCAGTAGACCAGTGCAATGGCGTCCAATTCTTGGACATCAAGTCCTATAGTCACATTTTCAATCTAGTGACGTCTAACCCGATTGAGCGGGCCTGAGCAGTCTGAGAGGGCCTGGACTACTGTGTAGTGATACGTTACTGGCGGTAGCTCCTCGATTTTGAGGGCGAAGCCGGTTGATCCCCTATACCAGCTGCATGGTACATACCCTGCGAGTGCAAAGGAGACACCATCCACTCTGCACCACGCAGCACCAGATCAGTCAAACCCACCCCAGAAAATTGCACCGGCCGCCCAGGCACGCACAGACGACAGCGCACCCGCGACCGCGTCCAAGCTCAACGGCGACCCAGAGACACAAGGGCAAGGCCTCTAACCTAATCACCAGAGGCACAGTCAAGTCCCGACAAAGTGCCCACCCCGTACCTTTCCAAAACACGAATGAAAGCCAAGCAATTCCTTTCATCACCCGCGCTAATTGGAGACATGTGAATCACCCCGTTCCCGTTTATCCCGAGAGATACGAGGGAAAAGGAGAGAGGGGACTCGATGCATCACATTGAGTGGGGACGCGGATACCACGGCGTCGCGTATGGACCCAAGGCAAAAGAAAAATAACGGTCAGCTAGAACATAATCAGACTAGTCGACCCCCCTAGTGAGTAGACTATGTACATGCTTAAGTGTCTCTGGGGGGTCCACTAAGTAAGTACGATACATAGATAGCTTGATAGATAGCTACAATAGTCAGAGCTACTACTGTGAGGATGGACGGGGAGGGGATGGAAATAGAAGCGGGGGCCATCCAGCTCCGTGCAGTGACTCAATATTTTGACAGCCTTGATAGATAGATAAACTATTTCCTCCGGAGTGGAGCATCAATGGGGGGGAAGGATGATGAAGCTAATGTGCACTCCTCCGTGATCTTTCCTACTATGCGACGCACTAAAAAATGCCGTTAAGTTGCATCGGTAGTACATAGCCAGCTTTGGATCTAAGTGATGATGATGATGAGAGTTATCCATAGTTGAGTATGCACATCCCAAGAGGATAATTTCCCAAAGACGAACATTATGATCAGCTTCAATCCTTGAATGTGCTTCCATTATCTTGATATCATTATAACTTGCTTTTGTTTCCAAGGCAGGGTTGAAGCCGATCGCCCAGCCACAAGGAGGAGGAGAAGGAGGAGGGGGGTTTGTTATGTGTTGTGTGGTGTTAAATGAAGATCTACGCAAGGAATAATGACATACAGTAGATAACTAACTACCGGGATGAGAATAGAAAGAGGATACCAGCAGCAGCAATAGGAGTGAGAGGAGTAAGTAGAGTAACGAAGCACAGTCTACTCGTTGGTAGTAGCATAATCGGCATACCTACTCCATCATAGGTGTGTGTAGTAGTATGTAATATAGTATGCTTTTGTTGTGCATCGATCGCTTATAAGACAGTAGTATGGCGCCAGATGCTAGACTCACGATCCTGCATATGATGGTGGTACCGCCTACGGAAATAGCAACTAATTAGTTGCATAGATGGATAGGTGACTTGGGAGCAGTGGTACTTTTGTCTTCATACTACGTCGTGTATGGCGGGATTTGCTAACGGGATTTGAATGCATAGGATGAAGTATACTTTCCATACCTCAAGTATAATCCACGAGAGGGTTTCAGTTGGTGCGGTTCTTTTTCTTTCTTTTTTCGCTTTCATTTTTATTTTTAATTTCATGTTTCTTTGCTTTTAGCGTTGTCATGTCACTGGTGATCGCACGGCTACTACTCCATAGGATACTATTTCCTCCAATGACCTTCAAATTTACGCACCAGTCTACTACGTATGACCATGAGACCTGCCAAGTATGTAAGTTCTGAATGGAGCACCTTGCAGTTACCGGATCCATTCCAGCCACTTTTTATAAGATAGGGATTAGGAAGAAGCTCTTGGACTCGAGCCTCGGTATGTAACTTGGCGGAGAAAATCCAAACTGGGGAGGGGAGGGGAGGGGGGTGGAGGAGGAGGAGGCTGTCGGGGACCATTCGTAAAGTAATCCGTAGTCTCCCACGATCGATGCGGTTCAAGAGCAGGGATGAGTCTCCTGCAGATGCGAGGAATGCACACACGTCTTGCCGACCATTTACTCACTTTTTGAGGGCGGTATGTGGCTTTTTAATCCCCGAGAGCGCCTCAAAATGAAGGTTGTACAGACACTTTTACTTAGGACCGAATGTCGCCGTCCGAGATACTCGGGGAGGGACGAAGATAATGCCACCAGAAGAGTGTCGATAGGAGAGATTTTGAGGGTCGAACGCAATAATGGGGATGGTGTGGTGAGGTGGCATTGCCACATCGCCGCCCCGTTTCCCCCCAAGCAGGCTTAGCGTCGGGGCTCGCAAAGTACTTGTCTGTAAATCCATCTGGTGATGATATCCCCAAAGATAGAAGTAACCGTCACCAATGTGATAACCACAACAAGGACCTGGTCCAATATGTGCCCGATCTTCTGTAACTGGCACCCAGTGAGTCACATCTAGTTTTCGCTTGCTCTCTCTTACTCTACCTGTTACGCCTCCCCAAATACCAGACATCCAGCACCACACATGACCCATGCAGCCCAACCAGGGAGATCCATGCGGGTAGACCCGACAGGGTTGTTACTGGCCAATTTCGCTCGATAGCGCACACTCGGCTTATGCAGCATAGGCATCCGGACCCAAAGAAAGAGTGCTGGCGACATTCACGGCACGGAGTGCATCCAACATGCTTGCCTTGGATGCCTCGAACCTTCAACGTAGATCGGTCTGGACGCAAAGTATTCTGATGAAAGTACACGTCAAACTACCAGAGGGAAACTCAACGGTCTAGTGCTACTATGCACCGGCTCGGATCTGGCAACTTTCTGGAACTCATGCAGAATGAATGGATCGCTCGGACGGTGGTGGTGCCATGTCTCGGCGGCACGCACGTAAGAAACAGTATTTAATTTGGTATGACAACGGTGGTGATGGTGGTTGATGGGAGCACAAGGCACCTACCTACTATGTACTAGTCGCTGCTAGTTGCTGCTGACTGGCTGAAGGATTAATGACAGGAGAAGCAGGATGTCGATGCAAGTGGATGGTGGCCGATGCACGCTGTCATCATCGCTTTTCGGTGGCTTCTTGGTTTCTCCACTCGACTTTATCCCTTCCCTCGCCTCCCTGTGGGAGAGCATGACATGATTCAGACTGACTCTCCCTATAAACAGCCGAGACTATACCTGCTACTAAAACTGATCCTCATTATGATCCCCAGGTAGAGCAAGAGACGGAGGAGATTAGAGTGATTGACATGGAGATCTTTCCGGAGAAAAATCCCCTTTGAGATTCCAGTCCGAAGCGCAGGGGTAATAGTCGCCCGTAAATCGACTAGATTCTGCCGGGGAAGGTGCGGTGTGGGCCCGGGACTCTCTTTCATTCATTTCTCTTTTCCGGCAAGAGGGTACAGTAAATCAGTCCGTCTGTCAGTCTGTCAGTCAGTCTGTCTGTCCGTCTGTCCGTCTGCCACTAAAATAGCACTTGAGTAGTACTAAGTGGTAGTACTAAGTACTACTAGTAGTAGCACTGGTTGGTGGTTGCACCATAGCAGGTACACGAGGTGTCCCTCACACCGTTATCCCGCAACTTGTCACAGCTACCCCTGAGGAACCAAGTCTATTTATTCATAGTGGTTAGGGTAAACGTCGGTTCGACCATGTCATACTTAGCTAGCTCCAAGTTACAGAACGAGCATCCACGTTCCGACCTAGTACATTCGAGAGTTCCGAAACATTGTGAACCATATCTTGCCGCAGTCACACTAAGTCCGGATAGTATGTAGTATAATATTTCTATACACAACGAGAATGCTACTGTCGCTCAACTCACAGTGGAGGTCTTCAACTGCCTCTTCACCTGGCAGATTGTATGCCTGCCTAAAGCCGAGGTGCTGAACCAAACTGTCAATCTGGCTGGAATGGGGCCGCTTTATTCGGTGCGGACCGTCTGGGTGGGGCAGAATGAAACCTTCCACAATCCAGCCATCCATTCATTCCTCGGGGCTGCTATCCATCCTATTTTACATACACAGGACGGAATACGGCACACGATGATCGGGGCGGCTTTACATGAGTCAAGGGCCATAGCCAAACGGGTGGACGGACCAGGCAAAGCCGGCGCCTGACGCTTGGTTTTATCTTATTTTTTTTTATTTCTTATTTTCTTTTCCCCATCCAGGACAGTACCAGTGGAGTCGCTAGCTGTGGTCGAATCATGTCGCAGGTGGGCAAAGAGGAGGGTGTGGAGTCTCAGCCTCCGATTTGCTGAGCAGTCATCGTCATTCGCAGAATGCGATCCGATGCCATTCCCAAGAAGGCAAGACCACGGCCTAGATGGGCCTGCAGGCGCCAGGCTCATAAGGCTAAATTACCTGAAGGACCAAAGAAGGCCTCCAACGATTTGGGGTCGGGTGTTCAGCGATCGGGGCTGGGGCAGCTCCCATTGTCGAGCTGACGACCTGCTTTGTCACTAGGGAATCCCTGAAAGCCGTGAACAGTCCGGGCTCCCTACTAGAGGCCATTTCGTGCAGATCCAATTTTATTTGGAGGGGGCTGCGACAGGATTCCACATCCCAGGCTCCTGTAGTTTTCAGTTAAGATCGGCAGTGCTTCGATCGGTGCCAGATTTGCTTTTCTCGGATTGTTGTTTGGTTCGCCTTCGGCCGGTACCGGAAATCACCTTTTATGGACGGACGACTGTCATTCGCTCACCTGCCATCCAACTGCTCCTCGCGAATGACTGCCTGCCTGCTTGCTTACCTAGAAGAGGAAAAGAGAGAGAGAGAGAGCATGGAACCTGCATTGCTGCATCGTAGTTCGCATGTGGCCAGCCCTAATTAGGTACCAGAAAGCAAGCCATACCGATACGATAGCCAGTCATCTTTTGGCGACCGTCTCACACCTTGAATAAGTAGTAGTCGTAGGGGAAGATTCGAATATCTCCTATCTCAAGATTATTGGCTCCAGGGCTCGGAGCACGCAGCGTACTGAAGAACTTGGCCAAACTCAAAAAGCGTGCCATATTTATCTCAAGGCCACTCACCAACCAGCGGTCCAGTGGCAGGCCGCTTTGGGCAAAGTGCCAAAGTAAGCAACTCTGCCACTGTTAATGACTCTCAGGATCGCACAAGAGTAGTATAATTTTCAAAACGTTCGATTCCGACTGACAAATGGGGCAAACCCTCTCCATGCGGGATTGCTGACCCTCCCCGAGACTGGCCGTGCAGCAGATACAAGATAGCACGCAAACCTGCAGGGTTGGCAAAAAGGCTAGCGATGAACAAGAAGACAAAGAGCGCATTGACCAACCCCCGCTATCCTTCAAAGCTCCTCTTCTTTCCCAGCTCCCAGGCATTTGGGATAAGCAACCGGCCCGCTGGACTGGGTAATTGCGAGCCCAATAATACAGTGTGTTATACGTGACGGACAGGGGGTCGAGTCGGGTAAGCACTTGTCTCATGTGAAGTGTTGTCGGAATCCAATGATCAGTCATGAGCCCATCCTGGATCGGAGTCCGGTGGGTTACCAACACTCTGGTTAATTACGCCGTGCCGTAAACTCAGTCCTACTCCCAGCTGAAAAAGGTCAGCTTTGCTATACCACCGAGGTCAAGTCTCCTTGTGGATGGTCATCCACCCATTATTGTCCAAGTCTGATGATTATTCGTATGATTATTGATCCATCTCGAGGGAGCAAAGTCCGTGCTGCAGAACATTCCCAATTATAGCGAGCACCAAGATAAGTAAGAGCTTTGTAAGGCAGAGGGGAAGGGGGAAAAGCGGGCTCTTCTCCAGTTTTCGGACGTGCCTATCGGCCTCTTCTCCGTGCCGGGACTTTCCCAAGCTACAGATCTCACATCGACAAACTATCAGGAAGAAAACCCAATAGCATTAATGCGGACTGGTTACCCCATAATGTGCATCGATTTGGAAGCGACGCGACCGCCAGAAAATCACCTTCCAGTTTGACGCGAGATCGTCCTTCCGCACAACCCCCTAGAGTCTAGTTTAGCCTGCCGGCCTAAGCTGGGCGCTTGCAACTGGCAGTTACGAGGATCTAGTCTACTAGTATTTCGAAAAGAATTCTCTTTGGCCAGCTGCAATTTGAGAAACTTCGCCTCGATCAAGTTCCAGCCATTCAGATTGCGTCGCTTATCAAGGATGGCAGCTCACTAAGCTGTTTAAGTCGCTAGCATCTGGGTAACTATTCCAAGAGAGTTGCTTACTTATCCCAGTTGTCCCTGTCTAACGAACTAGTATAGTACGGAGTAGTTGTTATTTATTTCATGAAGAAGATCCGACCAGGGAGTTCAGACCTCGTAAATTGCAAAGTCTGTAAATATTTCTGCCGGTGCCGAAAAGGTCACCTTCCCAGTCAGTATCAGGAATTCTAACCAAGCCCCCTTCTCTTTTCCTCTCAAATACGAAACAGACGTTGTTCCCCCCCTCTTTTTCCTCTTGAGATTCACGGACCTTTGCCCTTCCCGCCCGGCCGGAAAAGCCCCCAGAGCCAGACCCACTGCCCTCAGCGACTACCGATAAGATTTGTAAGTATTTTTTATTTGCTCTTTTGGGAAATTAATCCCTGCTTCCATTTCTCATTTTGCCTTTCTTGGGTTGGATTTACAAATCTTTTTGTTGTCATATAATTTTCATTTCTTTTCTCAATTTTTTATACCAAAGGGTAAAAAAAAAGGCAAGCCAAGAGGGTCGCAGTTGCGATTGCAATGTCCCATTGAACCTAACCGCTGCCTTAGCACTGGGCTAAAGCAGGAGCGTGGCCTCCCAGTGGATCGGCTGGCCTGCGTTTCCCCTCTTCTGGCTCCATCTCCTTTTCAGTCCGGCCCAGTACCCACCCCTCCGGCTCAGTAGCGCAGATTTAGTCTCCTTCAATCCTTGGGGGTGACCGGGTAATCTCATGGGAAGTACGTGAAAATGTGCCAGAGATGTATTAAAAACGGAAGACGGTGTATGACGAATGACCACTTTAATTGTAAGTAGTCACGATGGTAACATGGAGAATTACAAAGTAGGTAAGTAGTCTGTGGAATCAATAAACTCCCCCCTCCAGGAAAATTTCATACCTTGAAGCCGGACTTTTTCACAAGTAAGGTAAGTAAATGCTTCGTAAGTGAGTAGTAGTAGTAGTTATTCCCGTCGATGAAAGTGGAAAAGTCGTACCTTCAGACAAAACTGTAAGAGCCAGACCCGGAAGTGGGCCGTCCGCGGAGCAGGCTAATTTCACCCAATTACACCCACACCCTCGGAGCCGGCTTACCCAGCCAGAAGGTCAAGTTGTGTAAGTCTTTCCCAGTTCCACCCGCCAAAGTGGGTGTGGTCCACGGTAGGTATAGTCGCTATAGCGCACCTTCATCTGCCATTTCGAACGACTCGTTACGGCTGACTCTGCCACCCTCCTACCCTTTCCTCTTCCTGTCTCTGTATCTCTTCTTCTCCCCTCCCTCTTTACCCTCTTCTTGTTGGTCACGCTGCTTCTTGCTGGTGGTATCCATTCCTCCATCGACCCATCCATCTCCAATCTCTCTCTCCCTACCCGTCCGTCCTCTCTCTCTCTCTCTTTCTCTTTTACTTTTCCCTCTCCATAGCCCGCTGGGGTCAATTGCTAGGCTATCAGCCATTCTGTCGCTTATCCGCCCACGACAGACCCAACTTTTTCTCATCCACTTGCTTCCATTTCTCAAATTTCAGTGGAGCCCTTTCATGTTGTCATTCGACCTACTATAATTTGGAGCGACCGATATCAATCCCAACCTCACCACTCGCCAAGTTCTGTCCGTGTCTTCCAACCGCCGGATCGGTTCCCATAGATTTTACGCTCGGTCGCGCCTAAGGACTGGCTAAGGAGGAGGACGACAATCACTATCAATTTAATCCGCACAAATTTTCGATGCCTGCTTGGATATAATTACTGTTCAATCTAGAACGAAGTAAGTCCCGGGCGGCTGAAGCAGATTGCCATCATTTACCTGCCGCGGCAAGCGCACCGGGCTTGGGATGGGGAATGCTAATGCCACAGCAGGTCAATCGAACATTCTGTACATTATGGCCACTAGACCTCCCCTTTCGCCTCCGGTGAACGAGACGGAGCATTCCGTCAGCCGGATTACTCGTGAAGGCAAAAGGATCACATACAAGCTCAATGTTATGCAACAGCCTGAACGTGCAAGAGCATGCGGTGCCGGCGCCAAATGTACGCATCACTCCCTGCACGCTATGCGGACCTTGTTGAAGACCAGGCTGACCATGTTTGACTGTTGCCAGCATCTGCGGACCGCCGCCCTGTTGATCCCCCACCGGTTGTCGAGTTGCGTATCTTCGAGTCCGATCCGAACGATGACGTACACAAGACAGATATCACCTTCGCCTACAACGCCAATTTCTTCCTGTTTGCTACGCTAGAAACAGCTCGCCCCATGGCGCAAGGACGGCTTGCCCCGACCCCAACGTTTCCCGTCCTCACAGGTGTCCCGGTGGCGGGAGTGGCATACTTGGATCGTCCGTCTCAGGCTGGATACTTCATCTTCCCCGACCTTTCCGTCCGGCATGAGGGTATCTATCGGTTGAGTTTCCATTTGTACGAGGAGACCAAGGACAGCAAGGATGCGGATGAAAGTGCACCAATTCGGTCACCTATGATGAAGGGGAAGCCCTCGATTCCTAAATCGTTCTTAAACTTCCGTCTCGAAGTCGTCTCGGTCCCGTTCACGGTTTTCAGTGCCAAGAAGTTCCCCGGTCTGACCACCAGCACTTCCTTGAGCCGGATCATTGCAGAACAAGGTTGCCGGGTCCGTATCAGGCGCGACGTCCGTATGAGACGACGTGGCGACAAGCGATCTGACGACTACGACTTTGATGAGGAACGCTCCCACCGCGGCCGTATTCCGGATCGGTATTCAACCCCTGACGCCTACGCAAACCCTGTTGAGCGTCCACGATCGACCAGCATTGGGTCCGTGGACCCTGCTTTCTCCTATGGGCCTGAGGCTTCTCGTCGGCCATCCGCCACGGAGTACGGCTTCTCAAATCCTCAAGCTTATCCACGAGCGATCCCGCCGGCGCCTGCTCCTGCACCACCGTCCTCTTCTACACCCACTCCAGTTGCGCCCATCGCGCCTTCTCGCAGTTCCTCTTACACTTCGCATCTTTCATTCGGCGCGACGCGGACTCAGTATCCAGCCCCGCAGCTACCTGGCACTCCTCAGTCCGCAACCACGCCAACCCAGGTTTATTCTCCTCATCCCACTTATACTCACGCGAGGAACCCGTCAACAAGCACTGAATACGAGCCGATGCCCTCTGGCTATCCTCCCTCCCGATTGCCGGCGGAGCGCTCTACCTACTCGAAGCCCTTGCCGCCTATCCGCGTACTGCATCATTCAGATCCTACCACATATCGAGCCATGGCCAATCCTGTGCCACCTCGCGCTCAAACTCCCTCCAACGCCGCTCCTTCACTTCCGCCCATCGCCTCCATCTCCGCCGAATACTCGAATAATTTGCCGCAGCCACCGAGCAATCTGGCGCCTAGTCCGAACCGAGAACCCAGGGGATTCTTGTGGGACACCCGCGCGGCAGCCTCGTCGAAGCGACCTCATGAGGATGCGTTTAGTCATAGCGAGCGCCCACTCTACAATGGCATGCGGCCCGATAACGACAGCTACCCCAGCGCGGACCGCAGGCCGTCGGATGTTCACCGGGCGACGCTACTCAGCGACCGGGACGAAATGGCATACAAGCGGGCCAACGGGCGGATGGCCACCAAAATATCTCCGGCCATCTAATGAGATCGACAGAAGGGAAACCATGCATACATACAGCACTGTTTATACAAGGGAGGTGTCTCGGCGTCTGGTCGTGCAATTGAATCTGTAATTTGGGTTGGGGTGGATTGGTAGGGGAAACAGGGGGAGCTCTGGTCTGGGTACGCGGTCCCAGGGGGGTTCCATTTTCTTTACGACACCATTCTTGACGTTTATACCACATCGTCCGCGGCATCTTGGCTATTTTCTGTAAATGATTGTGATACCTGCTTTTTGTTCATACATATTCCCCACATTGTTTGTCGGTCCTTTCTCTTCATCCTGGGTTGGGATCGTTTGGGACTTGCTACCGAATGACGGCAATGCCATAGTCTTAGTCCCATCTTCGTTGAAACCTGCCCAGGCCGATTTGAGTTTTATTTCCTTGTGTTGTGACCGGTTAAGCTCGGCGATTCTGCAGCCCATATCTAGAGCGATGCTTCGTATTCCCATCGCATGCATTCTTCATCATTCCATTTCATTTGTCATTAATTCTTCCTTGGATAAAAGCGCTATTGTGCACATGCCTTTCTTTCAGACGATAGCATTGTTTGCCCGTCGCTCTGGTATGTTTGATTAGCCCGAGTCTGGCGCCAAACGGGCTGGTGCGGCTTGGCGGCTGGCCCAGGAACTCGGGCGGGGAAAGTAAACAAATCAACAATGCACCGTCAACAGTCCACAACAAATCACCACCATCCCATTCCCTCGGGTCAATCAGTTCTCCTCGCTGTCTCTCACCGCTAGACAGATCTTACGAGATATTGACACTATTGCCGACCACCCGGGCCACATCTGCCAGCTGACGACCCATCGCTATCTTCCCCACTCCGGCTTCCCCGTCTGTTCGCTTCCCTGTTGGCTGTCTCCATCGCTCTGGTTCACGCGGCCTGTCTCTTTATTTATCCATTGTCTCGCTGGCTCTGGTGTCCAATGCTCCATCCTTCCATACTTACCCGTGGAAGTGGAACGTTGTGACTGACGGGATGACGGATCGCGAAGCTGCGACCGAGGTAAGTCGCTCTTTACTTGATAGCATCCACTCTTTTTCTCCCTTGCGCGGGCGGATCCTGTGTGAACCAAAAGATCTGACCCATCATTTCCCCCCCCGGACAACAGTTGGCCTCGGATCTCGGATGCACCACCACGATCATGGACCTCGACCCTCTGGAGACCGACCGTCAGCTCGAGCAGACCCTGCAGTCCACTTGCGCTGACCATGCGGCCCGTGAAGCCCAGGCTCGCAAGCACGCGCGCAATGTCAGCGAATCCAGCCTTGATTCCGGGTTCAGCACTGATGAGTCGGGTCGCTTCGATGATGCAGACGAGCTGGACCATCCTCCCGCCCGGAGCAGGTCGCCATCCGTTCACTCGGCCAAACGACGGCGCTCGAACGATTGGCCACTGCAGCAGCGAGATGATGCTCATGCCACTGATAGTGATGCCCCAGCGCGGAAGGAGGATCCGAGCGGCGACACTACGACTGCGACTGCTACGACTACCACGACTACGGGATATCGCAGGCCATTTCACTCTGCGAACAGCAGGGGCAATGGCTCCCCACGGACATCGAGGCATGTGCGTCAGGCTGGTCCATCTGCTCGTGGTCGACGTTCGCGATTTGTTGAGGGAAGCATGAATGACAGCGTGAGCGAGAAACCGCCGAGCATCTTCATGCGCGATGACGCACGTAACAGCAGCAATGGCCAGCGGCCCTCGGGAATTTTCCGCTTTGGAAAGGCAATCGCATCGGCCTTTAACCCATTCGGCGCCTGGGGATCAAAGGCCGGACCGGCAGACGGAGGTGCCAAACAGCCGGGTGACCCTTTGAGTCAGGCGGAGAGGGCATATGCGGAGCTGAAGAAGTCTGGCTACAAGGGGACCGTCAAGGGAAGCTACTTACAAAATCTGAATGCAGAGTCCAACACGCCCCAACGGTCGTGGAACCCGATTCCCGAGCAGATGGAATATAGGCCCGTTGGGATTCATTCGCGCCAGAATTCGGGCGAGCTCACGGAATCAGGCAACTCCCTCCGGTCGTCAATCCAAGAATTGCGGAAAGCTAAGTCATCTTTGGGGATACCCCTGGTGAGACGGCAAGATTCAAATAAATTCCCGGAAGAGCTGGAGGGATCTGCAGTGCGACGGCAGAAGTCACGCAAGGAGCTTCAACGGCAAGCCAAACTGATGAAGCGAGTCAGTGATCTTGAGATCAAGCTGGAACGGGCCCGACGAGAGTTGCGCGAATTAGTGGGTGAGGAGCAGGAGGTGCTGGCACCGATCCCCTTACCAGAGATTACCTACCCCAGAAAATTCGTCCCCGGGGCGCTCCCCTCGCTTCCTTCAGAGCGGCTGTTGCATCAAGCAGCAGCAACAGTATCGCCTACGTCCCCAAGGACTGCATCAGCCCCCGTGGCGTCCCTGGCAGACAACGCCCAGCGACGCCCCGAAAACCCGCCCAGCAGCGGTCCGCACGAACTCGCCGGGACACCACATCTTACCCCGAGGACCCCTAAGGAACGTCAAGGACGAAGCTCCCTAAGTGCAGACAGTCCGTCCCTCAAGCGTAAATCCCCAGACCCGGAGTCTCTAAAGACTTCTCAACAGAAAGACCAAAAGCACTCAACCACACCGGGTGCCGACAAGCCCTCCGAATCCGAGGAAGCCACAACTCCTCGCCGAGCCAAGCTCCCCAAAATGCTCACCAGCGACAGCCCCGGCTCCGTCGAGCGCAAGCAATCCAAAGACATATCGACAACCGCCTACTCCTCCGGCGAAGAGCGCGGTCGACGCCGCTCCCAACCCCTCCGATCCGCAAGCACCCGCTCTCCCTCCGCGCGCCGTCGAGCCTCCAACTCGCGCAACCGGATCCAACCTAGCCTCCGCATGAAAAAGGCCCGTTCTGACCTCCGTTCGGCGAGTGCCAGCGAACCACCCCAAGACGACAAAGAGAACCATGACTACCACCAAAGCGACCCGATCCATAACCTTCAGCAAGACGGTTCTCAAGGAGTAGTCGAACCGGAAATGAAGAACGAGACAGTCGAGAGTCCTCACTCTTCTTCTTCCTCTCCTTCATCCCCGAGTAAAAAGAAGCCTGCCCGATATGAATATATCCCTCCTGTGCCGCCCCTCCCTAAAGATCTCTCTGCTACGGCCGCGAAGGTCGACAGACGGATTGCCAAGGAGATGGGGAAGAAGCGCGAGGCGCGGGATAAGGCTCGGGCGTTGGCGGGAGGGAAAGCAGAGGATGGGGAGAAGAGGGGGAGTTTTCAATGGCCGGAGGATTTCTTTTGAAGTCTTCACTAGATTTGAGCAGTTGGACTGTGCTCGTTGGTAATGGTAGACATGACTATCCCACCCTTGGGTAGTTGATGTTGATTGATATCTGTGAAGATCACAGATGAAACATGAAACATGAACAGATGTTGAAGAAGGATGATGCATGATGAATTGAACGCAAAAAGAGACGGCATTGGGTATATGCAGCTGCATTGGATTCACCCTACACCCGTACTGTTTGCTTGGATAGCATCAGTGGAGGAAAGAAGTTGATATGGTAGTGAGGGGGGTATTTTCCTATGTCTATTTCCTATTGTTTCTTGACGAGTGTAACGACTTGATGACCCATAATGAATTGAACATGAAAGATATATTCCTAATGCTGTTGTGTTCGTAAGTGGTGAATATACGCTGTAGCTGTATACCTCTTCATGCATGCAACATACCAACCAGTTACCACCACCACCAACATGCGTCGTCTCTCTCTCAAAGACACACACACATACAACCTACCTCAAAGAGTAACCCCATCTACAAACTACAAAATAGCCATTGCATTCGCATGCGACCCCACCCCCCCTACAACACACACATTAGCAACCCCATCCCAAACCCCAAGAACAACAACAACACAACACAAGAGAAAGAGAGAGACATACCAACAACATTCGCCGGCGCACTCGTCACAAAAACCACCCACCTGCCAATCTCCCTACACCTCCTCGCAAGGGTCTCAAAATCCCACATCTCACCCAACGGCATCCCCCACAGCGCCAGAATCTGCTGATGAATGAACCCGTCCTCCTTCTCAGGCGGCCAAGCCTCAAACGTGGGCGAATCGCCCGCCACAGCAGCAAAGTAACAATCATGCAGCCAATCGAGGATAGGTTCTTCCTGGCTCAGACCAGCGAAATGGAGGTCAGTGTGGGGACGGTTGAGGACATATTCGGCGCGTCGTTCGGGAGTCAGGGCGTAGTAGCGCTCGATGAAGCCCGAGCGAATGAAGAGGATGTCGCCGGGTTTGATGTCTCCGCCTTGGGAGGCGGGACGGAGGTCGAGGCCTTGAGATTGGGCGCAGGCTTGCAGGGAGGCGTAGCTGATGCGGTGCGTGGTGTAGGGGTCGTAGGTGATGGAGTGGGTGTCGGCGTAGTGTTTGTAGTCTAGGAGGATGGCGCGGCCGGCTATGCCGTGCGTGGCCCAGTGGTGGATGCTGCAGCGGTCTGTGGAGGACGGGCCGATGATGTCGGCTGCTTTGGTCTGGTGGATTGGGGGCGGGTTAGTTTATGGCTGTATGGGTTGGGTTGGGGGTGCGTACGTTGTTGTAGAAGGTTTTGGATTCGCCGTGGGCAAACTATATCAGTTTTGTTTGTTAGTATAGATAGATAGAAATGCTAGGATTTGGGAAGGAACTTCGAGTGGGAGTATCGTACGTGACGGAATCCATCCCACTGAGTGCCGCTTTGCGTGTTCAGGGAGTAAGTATCGTCGAAGACGATGTCTTTTATGAGCTCTTTGATGTTGTGCTCGAAGGATTGACGCTCAAATGCCGGTGGGTTTGGAACGTTCAACGGAAGACTGCGGGTGGAAGTTGGCCATCAGAGTACTCAGGCTTACATGATGAGTAGTAGAAGCACTCACTCGAGACGAATCATCTCGCCAGTTTGGATCTCTGCGGCGGCTGCTTTGACTCTTTCTGGTGTGAGCAGGTTCAGTCGTCCTAGCTGGGATACGCTATTGTGTTAGTATATAGTTCGGAACAGACCACCAGCAACCTAGTAGTTCACATACCGAATCATCTTTGCCCCAAACCCAAGCAGCTCCATCTGGAGCACCTGGGATCTTGGGAAGCTCCTTGCGAGAGGGAAACTGGGTGCAGTTGGGATCCCAGGGGAGCTGGTCAGGGATTTGTGATTTAGTTGCAGACATGGCAAGCAGTAGCACCGGCACACAAATGGTAGGATGTGAGGGGATTAGTTCGATCTATAATATAGAGATGACTTCGCTCACAGCGTCTGAGGTGCCAGAGAAAAGAAATGCAAGGGAACTAGCTGTGACTGGCTATATAGTACAGCGCTTAGTAGATGTCATGCTGCTTCCCCTCCCTCGGAGATCGCAATGAGGGGAGGTGGGACTCGGATGAGCATCCTTGTTCTCCCCGACCCAGTCTGCGTCATGGTAGAACTCTCTGCTGTCATCTTAGTGGCAGTGCCGTTTGGTGCAGGCCAAAAATTGAGCTGTTTTCCCCCACAGGTATCATAAATCGGTCGAAGAAGCTCAATCTCTATCAGTTTGGCCGAGGTAAGGAGCCCTGAAATGGAGGGCGATTTTGCCGAAGATGGGGCAGGATGGACATGCCAAACCAGGATGCACGAATCAGAGGGGATCGGTGATGTGGTGATTGAGAGTGGAGAGACCCCGACGCGAGCAAAAGTGATTGCCATGGTGGCCTTCGCTGGACCCTGGCCAGTTGATGGCCTTCGGCGGTTCCACGGAACGGGGGGGGGGGGGGAAGCTCTCCCCGCATGATGGAGGGTGATTAAGCCTTTCAGCCGATAAGACCGTCGAATCTAAGGGAGAACAAGAGATTCAATTGAGCGTCTGATACACTCATTTTCTGGACTACGGAAGGTGGCCCTCGGCAAGGGTTATGCTGGACAAGCTTTGCCAGGAGAAGTCAAACTACCCCGTCCGGGATTACCCCATGGCATACGGCAAGTTGTCCATACTCCAAACAAGGCCAAGACAGTTTAAGAGCACCAACTACGGTATACTAAACTACGAGCAGAAGACAGCTGTTGGTAGACCAATTGGCCTCCTTTTTTTGGGTTTTGCATGCGAAGGGGAATCATCTCGTAGTATGATACATAGACTCGAGTCCACCAGAGCAGCTTCTGGGAGCGTCAGACTCAGGCAAAAGCCTCGCCCTTTCCTCGGGCGGGCATCATCAAGAAAGAAGACATGATCATCGTCCAGACAAGCAAGGCAAAGGAGGCCCACGACCAACCCATGCGACTATTTAACGCCAAATTTGACACCAGATGCAACCGTAGCCTTTCAGCCACGAAGCTCACCAATCCCACCGTAACCCATAGTGATCCCAATCACAATCCGAAATGTCCCGACATGTACAATGCCAAGCTCAAGTACTCGTAGGATGCTCCATCAGACGCCAGGGATATCAGAAGCAGAAAGTTGTGGAAGGATTTCAATACTCCCCAAAGCGCACAAAGAAAAGCAAGATAAGAAAAGTAAAAAGACAAAGCCACTCAAAACGCTAAACGCATGGTAATAAGTTTCAACATGGAAGAATAAGTATGGTCAGACGAGGGTTCGCCTATGTCTGGGTAGGCACGCCGGTGGCTTGCGAAGTGTTGCGACCTCCACGAAGGCCTCCACGACCCCGAGAGTACCCACGTCCGTAGCCACCGCGGCCACGACCATAGCCTCTTCCTCTGCCACGGCCACGGTAGCTTCCCCGGTAACCGTCAACGCTACCCTGCCCGAAGGTCTCGATATTGCGCTTCTCCTCCTCGCCGCGCCATTCACGGCCACCCACACGGCCTCCCGTTCCCTCTTCACGATCACGAGCCTCGCTCGAGATGTTATCGAAGAAAGAAGTCGCCCGGTTGTAGGTAGCCACGGAATCAGCGCTGGTATCAGGCGCTTCAATGTCCCCGTTAGTGATGGAAGCAGTCTCAGCCTCATGGGCAGGCGACCCAGTGGCAATGGCCTCCTTGACCAGGTCTTGCTTGTTGAATTTGGCGTTGGCAGTCTCGAAGTCGTAGTCCGTATCAGGAACCTCAACCTTCTTCGACTGTCCCTGATATGGGGCACGGTGACCGCCACGTCCGCGGGGATGCTGATGACCACGGGGTGCGCGGTTGCCCTCATACGGCTTCATTTCCGCCATCTGTCTCGTTACTCCTTCAACGGACACTTCTCCATGCGCAGGCTTCTTGGGCGCGTTTGGCTGGGGCAGCTTGGCCATAGCCGCCGCAACAGCAGCCGTGGCAGCACGCGTAGCCTCGGTAATGGCCGCCTGAGCGGTACCTTGCGGCACACTGCTCCCAGCGCCAGGGACAGGAGGATTGCTTACAGCAGGAACAGGTGGCTTGGAGGGAGCAGAGATCGGAATCGCCGGCTGCACACGTCCACTCCGGGGTCCAGTAGGTGGCATCTTGGCCGGAGTCGGAGCCGCGGCAGCAGCAGGAATACTGGAGGCTTGTACGGCCTCCGTTACAGATGGTTTCGATTCAACAGGGGGCGGAGGAGCATTCTGAGCAGAGACTCCAGGCGCGGGTGTAGCATTCCGGCTGGCTGGCTTACTGGACGGCCGGTCACCAACGGGAAGCTCAGAGGTGGGTTTAGGGACATTTACGGGGCCTGCGCCAGGTACCCCCTGTCGCTGCGGAGGAGGGGTCTGGTGTTGGCCAGGGGGTCCAATAGGCATCTGGGGAGGGAACTGGCCTGGTCCTTGGGGGAATCCTTGACCCGGGGGAGGAAACCATCCTGGTGGCGGGGCTCCATACGGCATATTAGGAAAACCAGGTCCAGGAGGGAAACCGGGGGCTCCAAAGCGTTGTCCATATGGAGGATAGAAGCCTTGGAACTGCGGTTGTTGAGGGTAGCCAGGAGGCGCCGGACGAGGCACCTGAGGCTGTTGTGACGGAGGCAAGCCCTGGGAAGTAGGTCCCGGACGAGACATACTCTGTTTTCATGAAACTTAATTAGTATCATGGCTTGAGAAAGAGAATATGTGTGACAAGGCAAGATTAAGAGTGCTTTGCTTCTCGATCATTCAGAAGGAAGGCAACGGAAAATATCCACATGAATTGTTTGCGCAATTCGGAACAGGTCTGTGAGTTTACATCCGAAATATTTCATCATTTGATCGAGTGTCCATACGGAACAAGTCCGTGGACGCAAAGCACTCAAAGGGCAGGCAAGGTTTGGAATGAAGTTGTGAGTTGATAAACTTACCCCTAAGATGGCGGGATCATCCGGCACCTGAGGAGGTTCAGGTGGAGTGTTCTCCTTCGTGTCCTCTGCTACGCTAATGTCTTTTACGTCACTGCCTCGGAAGACAATATATTCGTAGACGCTGGCCGACGGGGCAATCTCCTCAGCGGGATTGCCTCGACGACCCTCGGTCCCGAAAGAGACAACATTCTCCAGAGCTATGGTGGAGGCTTCAGGATTGATCTCATGCAACGTTCCAACATAACTGACAAGGTCAAGTCAGTATTAGTATAATCCGTGGGGGAGCCAGGTGCGATGACGAAGCAGCTGTAGCCAAGGCCAAAAGCCAAGGGAGGGAAAGATCGAACATACCGAATGTCACTCTTGGAGATCAGGTTGAAACGCTGACTGCCAGGTGTTAACTCCCGCCTAGCCGCACAAACCCTGGTTCAGACCAGTAGTGGCATAGAACACTGACCCTATTAAATGGTTCATATCCATGCTGACAGGGGAGTGTGCGCGATTGACGCGCAAGATAGAAAAGAAAGAAACAGGGGAGGGAGAGAGGGAAGGAGAGGGAAAATTCTGTTCAATGGGCAGGGAGGTGGAGGAGGGGGGGAAGGGAAAGGAAGTGGGAGGAAGAGAGAAGAAGGAAGATGAGGGAGAGAAAAGGTTTAAAAACGAACGACGGAGGTTTTGTGGTGGGAAAGGCTGGGGCTCCGGTGGGCGGGAGAAGCTCAACATGCAGTTCCTTCGTTAGTTTTGCCCGAATGGACCACGTGAGCGCATTTGGCGGGGAATGCTAGTATTCATTATTCACCAAAGCTGGTTTTGTGGATAGCATCTCAGACCAGTGCTGTTTGGGTCTTACTTGGGCTATTACCACAGTTCCCATTTCCTGGTTACTGCTCTTTCTTCTTGATCATTACAATAGACACATTATTAGGACCCCCCTACCAACCACTATGGCCCAATCCTCCCACCGGGATGATTTCTTCCAAACCACGTTCGTCACTCTATTACCTACCGCCCAGCTCCTATCCGCAAGCTAGTCGCTGATGCCCCACGCCTCCCAGAGCCGCCCTTGATGAGCAGAAGCGAAAGGATGTTAAATCACAAAACACCAATGGCGATCCCATCCGTCTTCAGAGTAAGATTCTCGCAGTCGCAGCCGATCCTTTGAGTACTGGGTCCGTCTATGTCGCTCAGAGTGGTGGTACGGTTAGGAAGGTCATACTCGAAGTAGGTGCATGGTAATCTCGCTGCTGGATGCCTTACGAATATCCCGGCTAAGCCGTTTCTTTCCCTTCTCGTCTCTCCCTTATAGACCGGTGAAACTGCAGCTCTCTTCAAAGGCCCGACTGCCCCCGTTACGAGTATATGCTTTAGCCCCAATGGCCGGTTGCTGTTTGCGGGGTGCTGGGACAAGACGGTCTGGAGTTGGGATGTGGAATCGAGGGAACCGAAGTTGCGCTACGAGGGTCATACCGACTTTGTAAGGTCTGTTGTCAGCACGAGACTACAAGGTCAGGATGTCCTTGTCTCGGGAGGCGCCGATGCACAAATCATGGTATTCGACATCGCAACCGGCCAGCGCCTCGCGGTGATGAAGGGGCATGCAAAGGGGATTCAGGACCTCGCCCTCGATCCCGTTTCCCTCGACTCAGACGGGCCCGAATTGATTGTGTTCAGTGCGGGTAGTGACCGAGAGATTCGTCAATTTGACCTTTCTACTGGCAGTAAAGACCTTACTGGTACAGAAGCTCTTCTCGCCCACGATACCAACGTCCACAAGCTTTTCTTTGACCGCGACGCTGATCTCTGGACTGCTTCGGCGGACAAGACATCCAAGTGTCTTGTGAGAGACGATGGATGGAAGCCCAACTTGACGCTGACTCACCCGGATTATGTGCGAGACGTAGTGGTTTACGAACGAGGAGGCTGGGTGATTACTGCGTGCCGAGATGAGGAAGTTCGCGTGTGGAATCGATCGGTGCGTACATATTCATTATTCCCAAGCCACGGTGTATTCTATGCGATGAAGATTTGACTGACAATCGTGCTTTCTACTGGACAGACCGGACAGCTTTACCATACCTTCTCCGGCCACTACGAAGAGGTTACGGGGCTTGTGCTTCTCGGATCGACTGTAGTCAGCGTCAGTATCGATGCCACTATCCGCCAGTGGTCCTTGAAACCCGATGAACTCGAAATCGCAGTAGCAGAGGCGAAGAAAAACAACGAGGACGAGGAGGAAGAGCAACAAAATCCGGGAACGATGCTGACGGAAGAAGAGGAACGGGAACTGGCGGAACTAATGGCCGAGGACTGAGTGCAGTTGCGTTGCTTGCCCTGGCCCATTATTGGTGGGGCGAATCGAGCAACAGGGATGTTACCACGCCGTACGGAGAAGAGCCTAGACAACAACTCGTAGATCTATAGAACGTCCTCTGTAGGCACACTCGCAAGGTTGTGTAGGGGGGACATGTACCGAGTAAGGAGCAAGTGCACACGTGACCAGTTGATGCACCCATGACGCACGACGGCCGACGATCTCCCGGATGCGGGCCAGTCTAACGCGGGCACATGCTGCTTCCTCGCTCCTGCTCCATCCTCCCCCTCATCCCACTAGCTCGTTCTTCCTGCTGCCCTTCTGCCTTATACCTCTATCTAGTTGGCTCTTCCTTGCCACCACGACTCGTGGCCTGCCGTTCCTGCCCCATCTTGATTCCTCTTTCCTTTCTGGTCGTTCTTTCAAGCTCCTAACCCCCCTCCCCCCTCCCCTGTCTAGCTTGAATAGCCGGGATCCAACCGCGGAGGTGGTATCTTATCAAACGATTTCCCCGTCTTTCACAACGTGCCTATCCGAGGCTGTGTACCCTTCTGGGCTGGGTAAATCATCTATCAATCTAAGTGGATCACGGTGTGAATGTCCTACGGCCTCAGCAGGATGGCTGCTCCATTAGCCATGCACCACGATGGCGCGACCGATGCCGGTCCGAAACTTGTCAACCGACTGCACGAGAGCCGATCGCCTTATGTGAGTTCGGACAAACCCCTGCCCTCGCGTCGAAAACTGACTCGTGGATAGGTTAGGGCGCATATGAACAACCCAGTGGGTTGGCAGCTATGGGATGCGGAAGCGATCGATCTGGCCAAACGCCATAACCGGCTGATCTTCCTCAGTATCGGTTATTCGGCTTGTCACTGTAAGTTCTCTTTTCGCGACGCGTGGTGGCCGCGCGATGTCCTAATACCAAGCCAGGGTGTCACGTAATGGAGAAGGAATCATTCATGTCGCAGGAGGTGGCTTCCATTCTCAATCAATCTTTCATTCCAATCAAGGTCGATCGCGAAGAGAGGCCCGACATCGACGATGTCTATATGAACTACGTACAGGCCACCACTGGCTCTGGAGGCTGGCCTCTGAACGTCTTCTTGACTCCTGATCTGGAGCCGGTCTTCGGTGGTACCTATTGGCCGGGCCCCAACTCCTCCACCTTGACGGGCAATGGGACGATTGGCTTCGTCGAGATCCTCGAGAAACTAAGCGATGTTTGGCAAACACAACAACTACGATGCCGTGAGAGTGCGAAGGAAATCACGAAGCAACTTCGGGAGTTTGCTGAAGAAGGGACACATTCTTATCAAGGTGATCGTCAAGCCGACGAGGACCTGGACCTCGAGCTTCTCGAGGAAGCCTACCAGCATTTTGTTTCTCGATACGATCCTCTCCACGGTGGCTTTTCCACTGCGCCGAAATTTCCCACACCATCTAACCTAAGTTTCCTGTTACGTTTGGGCATCTATCCGACTGCGGTTGCAGACATTGTTGGACGCGATGAATGCGCCAAGGCAACTGCCATGGCTGTTGACACGCTTATCAGTATGGCGCGCGGGGGTATTCGGGATCATATCGGCCACGGCTTCGCACGATACAGTGTTACTGGTGACTGGGGCCTGCCACATTTCGAAAAGATGCTGTACGATCAAGCACAGCTCTTGGACGTCTATGTGGATGCATTCAAGATTACTCACAACCCCGAGCTGCTGGGTGCGGTTTACGACCTGGCTACCTACTTGACTACCGCACCCATTCAATCGCCAACGGGCGCGTTCCACTCGTCCGAGGACGCAGATAGCCTGCCCACACCCAATGATACCGAGAAGCGAGAAGGTGCTTTCTACGTCTGGACGCTGAAGGAACTGACACAAGTGCTGGGCCAACGAGATGCTGGAGTTTGCGCCCGTCATTGGGGTGTCCTGCCTGACGGGAACATTGCACCTGAGAACGACCCACATGATGAGTTCATGAATCAAAATGTTCTATCAGTCAAGGTAACCCCAAGCAGGCTCGCAAAGGACTTTGGCTTAGGAGAAGAGGAAGTGGTGAGGATCATTAGAGCCGCGAAGCAGAAACTTCGGGATTATCGCGAAAGGACGCGCGTGCGCCCCGATTTGGACGATAAGATCATCGTTGCCTGGAATGGGCTGGCCATTGGTGCGCTGGCTAAGTGCAGTGCACTGTTCGAGGAGATTGAGAGTTCAAAAGCGGTACAATGCCGAGAGGCAGCTGCTAAGGCGATTAATTTCATCAAGGAGAATCTATTCGAGAAGCCTACTGGACAGCTCTGGCGCATTTATCGGGATGGTGGCAGGGGCAACACCCCAGGTTTCGCTGATGACTACGCGTACTTGATCGGCGGACTGCTGGACATGTACGAGGCTACATTTGATGACAGCTACCTGCAGTTCGCCGAGCAACTACAGAGTGAGTATCCTCGAATGTTTAGGCAAAAGACTTGCGCTGCTAACATTCTTGCTAGAATATCTCAATGATAACTTCCTTGCATATGTGGGGACAACACCGGCAGGATATTATAGCACACCTTCCACAATGACATCAGGGGCTCCGGGTCCACTTCTTCGCCTGAAGACCGGCACGGAGTCGGCCACGCCGGCTGTCAATGGGGTTATTGCCCGCAATCTGTTGCGCCTCGGAAGCCTGCTGGAAGACGAGGGATACAAGACGCTTGCCCGGCAAACGTGCCGCTCATTTTCCGTGGAGATACTCCAACACCCCTTCCTCTTTGTTGGACTTCTGGACGCTATTGTTGGGTTGGAGACAGGAACACGGAATGTCACCGGCGTATTCTCTACAGCCGTGACTGAGGGCAGTGTCCAAGCTTCCGAAGGGGTGATCAGAAAGACAGATGAGCCAGTCTGTGTGCGGGACATGATTGTACAGAAGATTCGGGCGGAAGCCGGATTGGCGATATCGACTGCGACAACGACCGCATCTCTTGTGGATATTCGAGCGTCTCACGTGGGAGACTTTGTAGGGAATCAATCTTTCTGGTTACGGACGCGAAATCCGTTGTATAGGGAACTGAAAGCGTCCGAGACGACAAAAAATCATCTCATGGTTTGTGAAAGTGGGCGATGCCGGATAGTGAACATAGTATGAACTGTACAACTGAATGGAAATATTTTTGGTATATCTTCAGGCCTTGGATGACGTGAGAGTTCAACTCTATAGTGTTTGTTTGTATGTAACCAGTCAATCAAATTGGTGACAAAATCCAAGATAATGCCGATGGGATAGCGCTCTACATAGTTACTAACCATCACCCCAGCTTGCGTATGACTGACAAAGTAACTAGTAGTCTCAGCATCTCTGCAAATGGTCAGTCAGGAACCCAATAAGCGATACGCTTGAGCATCGTTCCACCGCATCAGTCTCACAGATCTGTTTCATGTGGTTTGCTTACTACAAAGAGGGTGACACAAAATTGGGTCTGAGGGGTTATCTTATGTGCAATTGTTTCCATTCTTTGTTTGAGTCTGGGTTTCAGTTTCATCGGTTGTTTCAACCATACCTACGTCATTGTTCGATTCCTTTTTTTTATCCGTCTTTTCTTTTTTTCTGCTTGAGTGTCGGCGAGGATCTGGACTTAGTACCAGTCAAGATCGAGATCCCGGGTTGGTTGGTTGGTTGCCTGCTGAAGGTTGGAGGGATGTTGATTGCTGTGATTGGCTGGGGATGGAAATTACTTTGATGTGGTAGTACAGTAGAGTGTGTTTGAGGTGCTGTGATCTGTGATCTGTCTATCTTGTCGGAAGGGATAATATACATCCGCTTTGAGTGATTAAATGATTGAGTGACTATCATTTCGCTGTGGACAGGGTATATAATTAATGCCTCATGCGTGGAAGTCGGGACAAGTTGGGGGAAATAGTTCGAAAAACTACTACTACTAGTATGAGCCCATATGTAACATAGGATTCTGGTGTCTGCTAGTTATTTAGCATCATATTATATATCTCGTGCACTGCTAGTAGTAAGACTTGATTAGTATGTGTGTACAACTGGATATCATTTCAACATAGGCTCAATCATGTGAAAATGAAGTGCCGTGTCACAAAATATATCATAACGGGTAATACCACGACGAAGTACTATTGACTTTCTGCCCACATTAGGTTCTGTAAACGACAACATACAAACCACCACAATTCTAATCTCATTACGATATTGAATGTTCTCTTCGATAGAATATAGAAAATATAGACTCTACAATCCATTCTAGATATCTGTATTATGGGACAAACTGCCAGAGAGGGGCGCAACTCGGAGCCGAAATTTGGTGCCGGGATGCTCCGCTAATCAAGCGAGTTTGTTTGGCTGTTACATGCGTACGTATCCGCCTCAGGGTGGAAATGCATCCGAGGGTTGGGTCATCCCATTCAATGCAGAGAATTGGAAATGGTTCGGGTGAAGTTTGTCGCTAAGCTCTTCCTCATTAAGTGTATGATGTGTATGTGTGCAACGTAAGCTAGTAGATGTCATGTGGATTGTAGATGAAGTTAATTTTGCTATGTAGACTATGTTGTCGACACTTGTCCGCCAAGCTCAATGCTAAACGCGCAAGTAGCCGATGTATCCGAACGATGGATTGGAGGGATGACAGGTGATTCGTACTTCGTTGTTATGCTTTGAAAATAAACACCCTTCTAATTCTTTGGAAATGCACACGTGTGCGTGTGTATCCGTGCGAAGTTAGGCAGAAAAATAATATCTCAATTGTTCTACCATGGCAAGCGTGCAAGGTACAAGGTGTGTATCCATGGCCAGGTTGTTGCTTACGACTTGTCGAAATTTTCTTCTAGAAGAAGGTATCCAAGGATCCGATGCAGTGGCAAAGAAGATTTACTTGAAAGCGATGACAATGATTGCTTGGTGTAGAATGAACTTCAAAGACGATGATAAATCTGAATGTGATTGAAGTGTCTTTATCCGTTTGGAACCATGGAACGGGGGAGGGGGTCTGTGTGTCGAAGCAAAGAGACTTTATCCCCTCTCGCGAACCTCTCTCCCCCCCCCCCCCTCTCTCTCTCTCTGTGTGTGAAGCTCTACAAGTGTCATGGGCGTTTGTACCAAAGAAAGGCTAGCAATGGTGCAATTCCCACCGTGTGTGTTCGTCTAGACTATCTAAGGGGAAAAAGCCGTCCGTTAGATGGACTCCATCCTAGGCACGGCATATCCATGGTTCTAGAACTTCTACACATCACCCTCTTAACTAGATGACGGGAATCTCCACGACCAAGTGTAAGTAAGTGGTCCTGGGGCAATACTGGATAGACAGGTCCTCGGGAAAAGGTCTGGATACTACTCCGTATCGAGCTGCGAGGCAAAGAAAGAGAGAAGCTGGAGCCGGGCCACTAGACTACTTAGTAGACTAGCTCCAGGTACCCAATCTCCGAAAGATGATGGGAAGGCCACAAGTGAAACGTTAGCGAGCGCCATCCTGGTTGTGAGTGGGTCGGTCAGTTGCCAAGTTTTGGTGGTTAATCACAGTTAGCGACCCTGCACTTACCCCTGGGAAATACTCGGGTGGTGCTGGAGTGAAATTGGTGGTGGGCGGTGTTCAATCCCGACCCCCAAATTTGCGGTGACCGGGGGGTTAGTTAAGTTGGCTGACTATGAGAGACTTACTGTACTACGTAGAGAGGGGGAGGGCGAGTAGTATGATGATGAGGATGATGCCTGTTCGTCATTGCTCTCTCCGCTCATATTATTGAGTTTAATAATCTCGAATAGATTATCTTACATTGACATCGGAGAGTTTTCCTTCGGAGCTTCGCAGGTGCTCAATTCTTGGTAATCCTGGGCATGACGAACGTTAACCGTTTCTGCAAGAGAGTGAAGAGTGATGGTCACCATGATCCATTGACAGGCATTGGTCTGGACTTTTGGGATGGACCAACAACGAGAGGAGTGACTGTGTGCTTCCACCAGCACCAGCCAGCGTGGAATTGGAAGAGACCCAAAGGATGGGTGGTGGGTTGTTGATTCCATTGCGACCGTGGGAAGACCCACCGTCAGCGTATCAACCTGGAACGGGGCGTTGATTGGCTCTTAAGAGCCCGTTCCTGAAACGGGCGGCATGCGCCTTGACCCAGAGTAGCTTAGTGGCGAGCCAGGGGCACGGGATTTTTGTTCGACGGTTGGACAATCCAATCCCTGCAAAATGCCCTCTTTTTCTTTGGGTCCCCAACTTTTCCAGGGGCAAAAATGAAAAATAATACAGAAAAGAAAAAAAAAAACATCTCGTCACTGGAAGCTAGTAATTATGTTAGATTTGCCGGTTGCCGTGAGGCGCGATGTCGGGCCGCCTTATGGCTGTACACAGTATAGTAGTTATTCTCTCTATCTCTCACTCTCCCGCGTCTGCAACTCTTTCTGGACCCAACATCGTCTCAGGTCTCAGGGACGTGGAGGTCAGAGACCCTGGCCCTGGAAGATTCCTTGTCAGAACGCCATGAGCGGGAATGTATCATCAACCAAAAGGGACTGGTCGACCAGCTTATCGTAGACGATCCTCTTTGCTATTCTTCCACAAAAATCCCTACTGTGTATCCCACCCCTCCCTTCCCAAACTCCGGGTACGCGCTCGTGGTTGGGACATACGTAGTTAGTTACTCGGGGGAAAAAACAATGGACACAGGCTCCAAGGCACGGCATTCCGTGGAACTACGCCGGTGTACACGCGAGCTGAACCGATATTAATGCGCTGGGGGCACCGCATGGCGTTTTTGAAAGAGTGAATTGACCTTTCTCTGTCTTCTGTTCTGAAAGAAATTGGCTGGTCAAAGGATGCTCGCCTGTCTGCTCACTCGGGACAGGCCCCCATCCATGACCCATCGCGACGTCGAGATCCGTCCAGAACCCACTCGTATATGAAGCTACCCCCGTCTGAATTAATTTGCGTTTAATTATCAGAGATCGCCGACCCCACCGGGTACACGCCGCCCGCTGGAGTCGCCCTCCTTTCCGTGATTAAGTTGCCGCCCCAACTCCAGCTGCTCTTCTGCTCGCTCCAGACTATATTATCACTTCACGCCCGCTCGCCCTTCGTTCTTTACCGTTGGCTTTTCCCACCGTTCCCTTCAACCTTTCTCTTACCTTTCGCCTTTATTTTTGGGTGCACTTGTTTCCACTCCTTCAAAAAAGTGTTTCCTCTCCCTGAAGGCTGTCATTCTTTTGTCCATACGTGCTGGTTATTCGTACATATACACAAACACACACTCTCACCCCCCTTCGGTCTTACCAACGCAACCAACTTCGCAGTCGATCTGCATTCATCGCCAGAAAAACTCTATAAACTGATATCTGCCATATACTGTTTCGTGCCTGTTGATCTCTTGGCCGCATAACTTCCCGGAGAAGTCGATCTCAATCGGACACAGTTGAACTGTAGTAAATCATCTCTTAGCTCTGGCAAAGACAAACCAACAACCCCTCATTCAATCATGCGCTACTCTCTCGCTCTGGGTGCCCTTTGCGCCGCTGGTGCCTTGGCCAACAATGTTGACAAGCGTTCTTATGTGACCGACTGGACCATCGTCACCTTGACCACCACCATCACCGAGTACCCTACTCCCACGGTCTATGAGAACGTCGCCGCACAAGAGGCTTCTGCTGCTGCTTCTTCCTCCAGCGCCGCTGCCGTTGCCGCTGCCGCCGAGTCCTCCAGCTCTGCCGCTGCTGCTGCTGCTGCTGCCGCCTCTGCCTCTGCTGAGGCCTCTTCCTCCGCCGCTGCCGCTGCCGCCGCTGCTGCTGAGGCCAGCACTTCGTCTGTTGTCACTCCTGTCGTGGAGACCACCGCCGCTGCGACCACTGCTGCTGCTGCCACCACTGCCGCTGCTGAGGAGGTTGCTACTTCCTGGACCTCCGCCTGGACTTCCGCTTGGACTTCGTCCTGGTCTTCGGCTGCTGCGCCGACCACCACCCTTGCGACCTCAACCTCGTCCAGCGCTAGCTCGACCGCCACCAACGCTTACCAGTCCGCGGTTCTGTACAACCACAACGTCCACCGTAGCAACCACTCTGCTAGCTCCCTTGAGTGGTCTTCGGACTTGGAGTCGAGCGCCTACACCCTGGCCGCCAAGTGTGTCTATGAGCACGACACGTAAGTGGATCATGCATTCCAGAACCCCCCTGTTTCTTGCGCTAACGTAAATCTGCAGTTCCATTGACGGCGGTGGCTACGGTCAGAACATTGGATATGGTGTTGAGTCTTCCGAAATTGGCGTTATGATCACCAACCTCATGTACAACGACGAGATGGGCTACTACACCGACCTGTACGGCGAGGCCGACCCCGACATGACCTACTTCGACAACTGGGGTCACTTCTCCCAGATTGTCTGGGCCGCCACTACTCACGTTGGTTGCGCTACCGTCACCTGCGACAGCCTGGGTAACGTCGATGCCTCCGAAGCCCTGCCCTTCACTGTTTGCAACTACAGCCCTGCCGGTTAGTATACCCGTCTTCACTAAATATTTTGACAAGAAATTGCTGACAAGCTTGATCCTCTAGGAAACTATGAGGGAGAATATGGCACCAACGTCAAGCGCCCTCTCGGCCAAGCTGTTTACGTTGCGTCATAGATGGCGAGAGATGACTTCGCGTGACTGTGCCTAGGGACCGTCGCTCTTGCACCATGCCAAGGAATAGTCGGTTTCCCTGCACCCGACGGGTAAAACAGTCAGCTTTGCCATGACGGGCGCTGGGGATATCGATGAACTGGGTTAGAGCTGCCTGTGATGGAAGTAAACACTGGTCCCTGATCCATCTGGTGCAAGGGCGATTCTCTGGCCACCGGCCATATGCGAACATCGAACAATGGAGAATCTGACGATCATCAGTCCTTTTTTGAAATTTAAATCTCATTCCGCCTTCACACTGTCTATTTTATTTGATAATAAGCTTGTCTTCTCCCGAGACACGTCCTGCGCTTGTTTCACGCCCGGATCGCCAAGACGCTCTGACGGAGGTCCATCTGGGGAAGATCTACCTTACCGCTTGCCCGAAGTACCGAAACAGGATCCACCCGACCTCGGAGCCCGCGGGCTAGAGCAGGTGCACGGCGTGACTTTCTTCTTTCTGCTTATCTTCACCTGTGAATATTTTATCTGTTGACTTTTTGCTTTTTTTTCTTTCTTTGCTTTTAATGGGGCTCGATGAGAGACAATATGACTCGTTGCCCTTAGACTAGATGATCTTCATTTCTTGTGTGTGAATTATGATTCGGGTATTTTGCAAAGCGGGTGTGTGTGTGGATATGGGGCGCCCCTGATTTAGAATCGGTACTTGCTTCGGGATGATTAAAAGCCAAATGATGAGACCTTTTTCCAAAACACCTGGCCACGATTGTGTGTGGGAGAGAAGTAAGTCAGTGAAGTTAGTTAACACCAGTTTTAGTGTAGGATAATGTCAGCGGGTAGTCCTGTGTCCATGTCTCTATCTTTCTCTCTATTCTCTTATCTTGTCAGCGCGGCTGTCCCGCCCCACCCACGTGACTGCAGCCTGTGGTGTCAGTTTTCGCCTTCTGAATAAGCCCAGGTGATTGCCTTTTTTGGGGGAAGGAACTTAGAATCTGGCAGCTTCTCCTCCCCGCAACCAGACTTTCCACAGTCTCCCTTCGTCCGAAAACGTCACCAATTGGTCTGCTCTCGTCCAGGATTATTGCCACATGTTCCAATCCTTCTACTAGTTGCTTCCAGGCGCTATCGACTAGGATTGCATTCGTTAGAGCCCTTCCATCTCTCATTAAACTACTGTCTAATGCGGTCACTGCAGTTGACCCGTCTGTACCACTTCACCTAATTTCAGCTGGGTTGTGCTCGTCTATTGGCTGTGCCCTTCAAAATCCCCGAGTACGTGTCTCTTAAGTGCTACAGTGCTAGTACTATCTCTAGCAGTTGCTCCTACTGCCTTCTGTGTCTTTCTGCCATGGATACTCGGCTTCACATGATCGTTTCCTCCCCCGCAGTTCCCCATCTCATCTTCCCTCTGGTACTGCCACAGGCACAACCCTTAGGACCGGATGGAGCTCTTCGCACATTCCTGGCCTTTCCCTTCATTTTTCTTTCCCCTGGGGATGTTGATGATAAGTACTTATATGGGTTCTTAAATGCTTAGGTAGCAGCAGCAGCAGTGCGTTCGCGCACCAGAGCTTTCCCGCCTCCACCTCGTACGGCCCACCGGGCCTATCGCGCATATCTCTTGGCAGGCCAGCTGGATATACTTCCCTCTGCCCCTCTAACCAGACTTCATCCGTTCCCCCGATATCCCGTTTACCTGCTTGCCTTAGGCGCAGCCGCGGACGGTTAGGCCCGGCGAGCTGATCCACTGTGGTTCGAGCCTTTCATCTAGGCGTAGCCTGGTCGCTTTCCTAGTGTTGTCAGCTAAGCTGTAAGTGTCCCTTCCTCCGTCTAACTCCCTTTATCCCGAAGGTACCTCTTGGTTCCACCCCGCGGCCAGCAGTTGCTCCCCGGGTACCATTGCGAAACTGTGTATTGTTCTCCCCTGAGTGGTTTCTACCTATATATGATACCATTTTCGCTGCACGAGTCTTGATTATGTTTTTCTCGATCTCATGCCTCCAACCCTTCTTGATCACATCTGCCTCGTGACGTGAGCCGTGGTCATGAGATAATCCTTCAGCGTTCTGATACTACCCTGCGAACTTATCATAATATCTAACACAACATCTTGCCTCTCCCATCAATCCCTATATTATTCACCCGTCTTCCCATAGATTTCAGTTCAGGACGGGCTGCATTGTGCTGACACCATGTCCTACTCGTCCGTAGCAGTTCGCCACTTCACGGCCCCTAAGCCTTTGGGAAACACAATGGATTCTATCCGTTCGAACTCACCCCCCGAGACCAAAATCAAGCCATCTTCGGTCCCTATGTCGGTGAATGGAGGAACATCAGAGCCGCCCAAGAAGGGCTTGACCTTTGCGAACCAGGATTCGTTACCCAAGTTGCCCATCCCAGATCTTGAGCAGACATGCAAGCGATACCTTGAAGCATTAGCTCCGCTACAGACGCCCCGAGAGCAGGATGAGACCAGGGCAGCCGTGCAGGACTTTCTCAAATCGGAAGGCCCTATTCTGCAGGAGAAGCTCAAGACCTATGCCTCTTCAAAAACAAGCTATATCGAGCAATTCTGTACGTCACCAAACAACGAACTTTCTCTCATGCCTTTTCGAGTCATCTTAGACTGACAGCTTTGGCTCATTGCAGGGTACGATTCTTACTTGAATTACGACAGCCGTAAGTGAATACGTGCATCAAGCCTGGGGAATATGCTGTGCTGATTTACTGTAATAAGCTGTTGTGCTGAACTTGAACCCATTCTTCCTATTGGAAGATGACCCGACTCCTGCGAGAAATAATCAGGTTACCCGAGCAGCCTCACTCGTCGTCTCTGCCTTGTCGTTCGTCCGTGCCGTGAGGCGGGAGGAGCTTCCCCCCGACACTGTCCGGGGCACGCCTCTTTGCATGTATCAGTATTCTCGCCTATTCGGAACAGCGCGCGTCCCGACCGATAACGGATGCGTAATAAGCCAGGATCCGCATGCGAAACATATTGTTGTCTTGTGTCGGGGTCAGATCTATTGGTTCGATGTGCTGGACGACAACAATGATCTGATCATGAACGAAAAGGATATTGCAGTTAACCTCCAGGTTATCATTGGGGATGCAGAACAGACACCCATCCATGATGCTGCGAAAGGAGCGCTTGGTGTGTTGAGCACAGAGAACCGCAAGGTCTGGTCAGGATTGAGAGATATCCTCACCAAGGATGAAGGGTCAAACAACGCAGAATGTCTCAATATCGTGGACACCGCTTTGTTCGTTCTGTGCTTGGACTACACAGAACCACACAACACGTCGGAGCTTTGCGCCAACATGCTCTGCGGAACGAGCGAAGTGGTCCGAGGAGTGCAGGTCGGCACTTGTACCAACCGGTGGTATGACAAACTTCAGATCATTGTGTGTAAGAATGGCAGTGCGGGCATCAACTTCGAACACACTGGCGTAGATGGCCATACGGTACTCCGGTTTGCCAGCGATGTCTATACGGACACCATACTCCGCTTTGCTCGGACGATCAACGGCCAGGCACCGACCCTCTGGGCGACGTCTAGCCCTGATCCTGCGAAGCGCGACCCTCGAAGCTTCGGCAATGTCAGCACAACCCCCCGCAAGCTCGAATGGGATATGGTGCCTGAACTCAGCATTGCTTTGCGGTTCGCCGAGTCCCACCTCTCCGATCTACTGCAGCAACACGAGTTCCAAGTGCTCGACTTCAAAGGATTTGGCAAAAATTTCATCACTTCTATGGGCTTTTCCCCTGATGCATTCGTGCAGATGGCCTTCCAAGCAGCCTACTACGGGCTCTACGGCCGCATGGAGAACACCTACGAACCTGCTATGACTAAGGTTTTCCTACACGGTCGAACAGAAGCCATCCGGACGGTGACCAACGAATGCGTGGACTTTGTTAAAACGTTCTGGGGGGACAACCCGGCAGAGCAAAAGGTGAGCGCGCTGCGCAAAGCGACCGAGAAGCATACCGCCATCACGAAGGACTGCTCGAAGGGTCAGGGACAGGATAGGCATCTTTACGCGCTGTACTGCCTGTGGCAACGATCCTTCGATGACGGCGCGTCGTCGGCGAACAACAGCGTCATCAGCAGCTCCAACGGGTACACTAGCCCTGTGGAGACAGCGTCCATTGATTCGCCCAAGTCTTCCACGTCGTTATCGGAAGATGGACTGTCATCCAATGGCTACAGTGTACGTGGGGTGCGTACCATGCCCGCTATCTTCAGCGACGCTGGCTGGGATAAGATCAATACCACCGTGCTGTCGACCTCCAACTGCGGAAATCCGTGCCTCCGGCACTTTGGCTTCGGGCCTACGTCTGCGGATGGCTTTGGCATTGGCTATATAATCAAGGACGATTCGATTTCGTTCTGCGCCTCGTCGAAGCATCGACAAACTGCGCGTCTGATGTACACGTTGGAATCGTACCTGATGGAGATCCGAAAGCTGCTGCGCACGGTCACCCACCGGCCTGCCAGCCCTCGCACGAGCAGGGCACGCGAGATGGAGATGATTGCCGAGCGGCTCCAGGGCGATCACCGCCGGGGCCGGATCGTCCGGGGGGACCCGGGCCAGCTGCATCGGGGCGCCGAGACACCCACGACGGACAGCGGAGAGCTAGAGGACGATGGCATGGGCGGATGTAAGTGCACCTTTGGAAGTGTGTTCCCTTGCGTTTAACGACACAGCTACTGACCACCGAATCAGATGGATTCTTTGATGCAGGGATGTTGCTCCACGCGCTCAAGGGGCTGAATGCAGACCGGGAGCGGGGCGCCGATAAGCCCGAGAAACGTCGGTTTGTCGGGAAGAAGCTGCGGCTGAATGATTATTGAGGTTGCCTTGGGGGCTGTGGGATGAGCTGGCGTGGTCTACGGAGGTCCATGCATTGTGTGTTATGTTTTGGTTTCCGTCACTCATGCTCCTGATTTAGCCATGATGGGTGTTCGGCGTATATACACTTGATTGATACCAATGCGATAGATGATTTGCAGGTTTGCATTTCCCTGGTAGGAATTTTGCCAATGTTCCCCACCATCTCTTTTGGATGAGATGCATAAACCTTGGGTGCCGACACTGCATCCACATCCAGATGGCGATGAAACAGCTGTCTGTCCTACTTACAGTACATCCCTTCCGCACGCCGCTAGCCGACGCAGACCACGCCACACGCACGCCGGTTGAGTTTTCATTTCCCGGGGTCTGTTGTAGCCAGTAACAGTAGCCTAGCAAGTCTATTATGGATGTTGGTAGTAAAGTAACCACAACGAATCCAATTAATTAATCAGCTTGCACGATCTCGATCCTCTCCATGAGACCGGCCCGGTAACACCTTTAATCTCGGTAGGTTGCTTCCTTTAAACTAGACTAGAATCATGCCACTGGGCAATATTACACGTACGCTCCTGCTACGGTAGTATACAGTAATAATCAAATGGACCGCACTCAGGCCATCACGGGATCTTCTCTTCTTCCCTACGCAAATGGACAAAAGAAGAAAGAAAGCAGACAACAAATCATTCTTCGTTGATTATCTATTTGATGAAATTATGGATGGATGGGACGGATGGATGGATGCCAACTGACCGACCCTCCCGATTACGAACGATTGAGCTGGAGCCAATCAGGGAGGCGGATTTGCACAATGCTTGGGTGTGTCTGCCAGTAGTTGTTGTTAGGTAGTGAAGGTGGTGGTGGTTGTGGTGGTTGTTCACGCCACCCGCTAGTAGATTTGTGCCCAACGCTGTCTTGCATACTGCATACTACTAGTGGACTTCCATCTGATCAGTGGGTTATTGGGTGGGTTTAGTAGAGAGGTCTGTTCTGGGGGTTGGATCAACTAGCGTACCGGTTTTTGAGTGATAAGAGGATTCTCAACTGCATATGGTCGGTATGGGAAGTTTGAATTTACATTGTGTAGATACATAGTAGTAAGTTGTATTGACTACTCAGGACGCAATACCGTCTTACTACTAGTCCAGGTGTAGTAGTACCTACAGTCAAGGTAGTTTGTCGTGCATATGCATGTGTATATATGTACGTGTATGTATGTATGTATGTATGTAAAAAGTATATATGTCAATCAGTCCTTTTCGTATGTAAGTAGATGGTGTGTGTGATAGTTGTTGGATGGCGTTGCGGTGATGGTGTATAATAGATTCGGGTTGTTGTTGATATTATTCCGGTGTTGGGCTACTACTACTACTATTATTCAAGTTTGAGTTTGGTTATATTAGTTTACGAGGTGTGAGGTAGTAGAATTATGCTATATTTATATGCAGTATTGCTTTTATGTAGGTACATGGTTTATTGTTGCATTGTTAACCGGCTTGTGTGTTACCTGCCTAGCTGGTTGACTCGACAGGAGTAGATAGACCATTCCCACGGTAACAATATCCCGTATCGTCTATCATAATTAAACTTCCATAACAAAGACAAAACCCATACCTAACTACGTGCTAGATACTAACTAGTCATTCAGTAATAGAGAGAAAAAAAAAAAAAAAAAAAAGAAAAAGCCGCCTTTACCACCGGTTAAATAACCATCCAATGGTATACTCGGCTGGTGAGATCATACCGATCAGACCCCTTCCTGTTAGTGCTAACTAAACCACTTAGTGAAGATCAAATTGTTGAACTAAGAAAGACTACTGCTGCAGTACTAGGCGTAAGTTAGGAAAGTATGCAGTGTTCTGCTTCCAGGGAATTTCTGCCGGTCCGCCGCTATCCGAATTTCGCCAAAATGCAATTCTGCACAGCCTACAGCGTGCTGATGTCTACCGCGTGGTGTATTCTGCGTCCCACAGTAACTTCCATTTAACACACATCTATTTTTTTTTTACTTTTTTTTGCCCCGGTATGACGCTAACCATAACGGGTACTGGTGCTGTGTCTAATCCCGGCCAGTCATGTGCTGCACGTGATTCTTCCTGGCGTCAACTCGAGAGAGAGAGAGAGAGAGAGAGAGAGAGTTGGCTGGACAATCCCAGAAGTTGAAGTATTATTACATAGAAGACACTACTACTACGACGAGTAAAGGGTAGATATTAATCTCCCATAGTCTATTGACAGGGGGAGAAACCTCATTCTTTATACTTTCACTTTTCTTTCATATCGATTTCAGTTGCTTGTTGTATAAAGTGAGTATCTTTAATTCCCTCATACTATCTGGACTTGTTGTTTCAAGTTGGTGTGTCTATCTGTCTTGTTTGCCTGCCTGCCTGCCCTGCCTGCATTTCCCGACACCGGAGACGTGCTGAGATCTGCTCGCGGCCGGGACCAGATTACGTGCCTTTACTCGACTGAGTATCGCGCCGCGGAGTTGGTGCCTTAAGAGTCAAATTTCAGGCGCTCAGGCTGCGGCTGGTGCTGCTGTTACTGCTGCTACTCTTCTGTTACTTGCTCTGTTACTCGTTGCTATTACTGCTCTCTTACTGCTAGACTGGTTCAGTGCAGTCAGTCAGTGCAGACGACAGCAGCAGTAAGTAATCATCAATTATTCCTTCCACTCTTCTACCAATCCGTTGCATTTCCACACACCTCATTTCCCTTTTTCTCTCTTTTCTATTTTCCCAAGAGTCAGGCCATCGTGCTCTGGCCCGGATCCACAGCTTGGACCGTCCGACGTGACGCTGAATGCTGGGATTGGCTCTGCCGCCTTCCCTTTTCCTTCATCTCCCCCTGCCTTCCTGCTTGCTGCTTGCTGCTAGCGTCCCATCGGCCCTGCACTCGTTGGCGAACATCCTTTGCTGCTTGGTCCTGCACCCACGGCAAATCTTCTCGCTCCATTGCCCTCAAACCGGAGGAGGGGCTTGCTTGACCTGACTTGCGCTCTCTCTGCCAATGCGGTGGTGATACTGCTGCTGATACCGATCTCATCATCCACTTGCTAATTTTACTTCCACCCACCGTTCCACCCGCTCCCTATCTTTTATCGGTTTCCCTGGTTGTTTTCTGCTGCTTCGCATGATCCCTATACCCAGCAATTTGTCTCTGGGAGCTCGGATCATCCAGCCTTGCAGTCCACCACCAACCCTTTCTTCCTTCGTCATCACTACTACTACCACCACTACTACTACTGCTACCACCACTGCTACTACTACCTCTCTTATCTTGTACCCCCCAATAATACCCAGTTTCGTTTCGCCAGCCTTAATAATCCTTCCTTTTTGATTTTTATTTTATTCTATTTTCCCTTCCCTCCTTGACCTCGTCGGAATTCTAACTGCGACAAGAAACGACCCAAAAGGTTCCTGCGCCATATTGACCCGATCTACAGCACAAGTCCTTTCCGACCTCTTAACGTCCTCTCCCCCGACCGCTGGGAATCCCTCTCCTGCCGTCGATCAGCGGTCGCATATTCCGTCGACGGCATCCTTATCGACATCCGACCAATTTCACCCTTCGTTCTTCCCATCTTGAGATGATGGCGGCAGCGCTTGATCAACCCCTTTTCGACCCGATCGCCGGCGCTCCGGCGACCGATGCAGCCTCAATCACTCCTCCCCAGAGCGTGAACGGCAAGAAGGAGGTTCCCGATGGGGTTCCGTCAGAGCTGTCGGATCTCGAGCTCGATCCCAATGTCAACGGCGCCAAGGAGATACCATCGGTAGAGGCGGACGATGAGGAGATCGAGCCGGACCACTACTATGGTGGCGGCAAGATTCCGGTGTTCAAGCCGGTGAGTCCTCCCCCATGTTTACGCCATCCCGGTCAAGGTATGGGCTAATGGGCATCTCAATAGACTATGGACCAGTTCCGCGACTTCCAATCGTTCATCAACAAGGTCGAGGAGTATGGCATGCGCTCCGGAATCATCAAAGTTATCCCTCCTAAAGAATGGTATGGCTCGGCGCTTGTGCGGACAAAGACTCATGGCAGGACGTGAACTGATGTGGCCAACTTTAGGACCGATTCCCTACCACCCCTTGACGAAGCCGTTAAGAAGATCCGTGTGAAGAACCCAATCATGCAGGAATTCCATGGCTCGCACGGAACCTACACACAAGCGAACATTGAGAGACAGAGATCATACAATCTACCCCAGTGGAAAGCCCTGTGTGAAGAGAGCAGTCACCAGCCACCTGCTCGGAGAGGTGAACGGCGCCGGAATCAGGACCGAGTGACCCGGGCTCCTTCTGCTCCCAAAACCCAGGCCACTCGATCGGACTCTCAGAAACGTCGTGCTGGCCCTGGTCGCCCGCCGAAACGGGCCAACCAGGTGAAGGTCAAGGAAGAACCGCCAGCCGACGAGGGCCTGGATAAGATCAAGCCGGAAGGCCCGCCAACACCCGTGTCTCCCGAATCGAACCCCGTCGAGGCGAAAAACGAGGAACTGAGCGACGGCGAATCCTTGCCCGGCCCGAAGCCCAAAGGACGACAACCCAAGTCTGTCACATCCCGTAGAAAGCACAACAAGGGCGATGCGATCGATTACGTGGACGAAGAAGCCTTCCAAGACTTTGATTACCGCATCGATGACAGCCAGGATTACACCTACGAAAGATGCGAGGAGCTTGAGACCAACTATTGGAAATCCCTGATGTTCAACAATCCCCTGTACGGTGCCGATATGCCGGGTTCTCTTTTCGACGATAACATCACGACTTCATGGAACGTCGCCCGATTACCAAATCTGCTGGATGTCTTGGGACAGAAGGTGCCTGGTGTCAATACGGCATACCTCTATCTGGGAATGTGGAAGGCTACTTTCGCATGGCACCTGGAGGATGTGGATCTTTACAGCATCAACTATATCCACTTCGGTGCTCCCAAACAGTGGTATAGCATCTCCCAAGAAGATGCTCCTCGCTTCGAACAAGCCATGAAGAGTAAGTCTCCGAATCCCGAAATCGGATCTTGGGTCGGTAGGCCGTGGACGCTAATGTTGACTTGATAGGTATTTGGCAAAGCGACGCTAAGAATTGCGACCAATTCCTCCGCCACAAGACCTATCTTGTTTCTCCCAATTTGCTCAAGTCCCAGTACGGCATCACAGTGAACAAGTTAGTACACTATGAAGGCGAGTTCGTCATCACCTACCCGTACGGATATCATTCCGGTTACAACTTGGGGTACAACTGCGCTGAGTCGGTCAACTTCGCAACGGAGAAGTGGCTCGATTACGGACGTGTGGCCAAGAAGTGCAACTGCGAGGCTGATAGTGTCTGGATCGATGTCGACGAGATCGAACGGAAGCTTCGGGGCGAGGCTACCCCAGAGTATTTCGGCGAATACGAAAGCGATCTTGACGAGATCGAAGGTGCTTCGGATCTCCTGACGCCTCCCCGCAGTGTCCCAGAAAAAACATCTACGCGTGGTCGGAAGCGCAAGAATGACGGTGAAACCACCAAGGCGAAACGCATGCGGGTAGCCATGGAAGTTCCCAGAAAGATACCCTGTGTCTTGTGTCCCAATAATCTGGATTACGAGGATCTCTTGCCGACCGAAGATGGCAAATCCCATGCTCACCGTCGCTGTGCCTTGTACACCGAAGAGACCTCCATCCTCCGCGATGAGTCCGGCAAGGAGGTGGTGTGTGACGTGGATAAGATTCCCAAGGCCCGCATGGGTCTCAAGTGTCTCTTCTGCCGTGAAGTACGCGGAGCATGCTTCCAGTGCAACTTTGGCAAGTGCACTCGGTCATACCACGCCACTTGTGCACTTTTGGCGGGTGTACAGGTGGAGCAGGGCCAGGTTGCAGTGATTGCGGATGATGGGAACCAGTACTCGATCCCCAGCGTGGACCTCAAGTGCAAGTATCATCGCCAGAAGAAGCCGTCCTGGATGGCGAGCGGCGAGTCACCCGACTATGACCGCAAACTCATCCAGACGGCACGGGGCTTGGTGGCTGGGGATCTGGTGCAGTTCCAGGCGGACAAGGAAATTAACGGTGCGATTGTGCTCCAGAACCGACCGGAGGAACGGACGTTACTGGTCAAGGTGTTGCCACGAGGGTAAGTTCTGTGCCCCACGAAGAGCCTGCATAAAGAGCCCCGCGGGCCCTCCATTTGTTTGGGGATTGCCCGATCGGGCAATGATGATGTCGCAGGGGCTAACCATTCGATGTGCAGGGATGTAATTGAGTTACCGTACCGGTGGATGCTGGTTGTTCGCAGGAGCAACTTCTCACCGCTGGCTCCAGGTACCAGGCCATTACCAGCCCACTTGGCGCGCAAACCCGAGGCGCGGAAGGAGTTGGAATCGGCAGTACCGGTGGCAGGGAATCCGTTTGGCGATGGGCGATCTCCGTATCAGTGGGCCGAGTTCGAGACGGTGGACAGCACTAATCACCCTAACCACCAGTCCGCCCCACCATCCACGCAGGTCGACCTCAGCAAGAGCGAACAGATCTGGTATTACCTGGGCGAATCCTCCACCGAGTGTAGGGCACAGTATACACACAGCCCTAGCGTGCCTGTCCACAACCCGCGCGCGAATTTCCTGGACAGCGTCAAGTCGCTCGGCGCCGTGATGGCCCGACTCCCCTCTTACCCCCACCATCTCGCTCCGCCTCATCATTATGGTGCTGGTGCTGGTGCTGGTGTTGGTGTTGGTGCTGGTGCCCCTCACCCTCATCTCTTGTCTCCCCTGACCGCCTCTACTGTTGCTGCCGCTTCTGCTGCTGCCGCCACCACTACTGCTGCCACGACCACCACCACGACCACCTCCGCCGCCGCCGCTGCTGCTGCTGCTGCTGCCGCATCCCGCCGCCCTTCCCTGTTGCAGCACGCTCCTCTTGCCCCTCCTCGTCCTGCGCCTCCCACTGCCTCCTCCCCTGCTGCGATGCCGTCTGCTTACCGATCCTTGCCAACTCAATCAGCCCGCCATGCTCCGTATCCCCAGGTCACCAAATCTCACCACCAACAATCCCTTTCCCGTTCGCAGCAAATTCACAATCACCATCACCATCAACAGCAGCGGCAGCAGACCACCAATAACCTCCCCGCCAATAATTTCGCCAATGTCAGAGAGCTTATTGCCCGTCGTCGTCTGGCCCAGATCACCGACCATGCCAATGTTTTCGCCGGGTACAACATTGTTAGCCCGGAGTTGGTCGTAGAGACCCTCCTGGGTCCAATGGGTTCGGTACCACCGCCGACCGGGTTGGAGAAATTGGAGCTGGCCATGGCTCAGCAGCGAGTGCAGCCTCGTGCACCGGATGGAACGCTGTTGCCACTACAACCCCTTAACATGCGGTCCGAGGAGGTGACGCAGTTGTTGCAGATGCTCCGGTTCTCGCTGGTGAGTCATCGGGACCGGCTGGACGTGCTGCAGAAAAAGGAGGCGGAAAACATCAAGCAAGAGGCCACCAACGGAGGGAGCCTTGCTGCCACCAAGTTGCCTCGCAAGTACGCCTACCTTGAGCAGCAGCGGGAGCAGGTGCCGACCGTCTACCAGTCGCCGTACGACATGCCCTCCGGATTCACGGAGTATGCCCAGAAGACCTTTGGCTTGACTCCTTGCCAACCCGAACTGCCCAAGCCCTCTTTGGCAAATGACTATTTTGCCAGCCTCTCCCCGGAGGATCAGGAAAAGATTTTGAAGACGTGTGGCAGTTTCGTTCAGCGAGCCATCGAACGGTCGGCTAGTCACAGCCGCCAAAGCTCCGCCTCCAATCTCCGGCTAGCGTCAGCACTGGCTCAGCAGACTGAGAACCCGACCATCGACATCACCACCGTCGAGGACATGCCATTCCCAAACCTCGATTTCCCGCTGCATGCCGATTCTCCCTGCTCAAGTTTCAGCCGGTCGCATCTGCGGTTCCAGTCCCCCAATGACTTTACCAACCACGGGCCTGAGACCCACCACGACCACCATGACCTCTTTGGGGACCAACAGGCCAACACGAGGTTCTGGCAGCATGGGCCCTGGGCAGCGGGTGATGGTAACACCCCCAACGAAGAGACTCGGCCATTCTTTGGACCTCATGAACGACTCAAGCATGACTATGCTTCCTCCGACATCTCTCTGGGCCGTGGTGGCCCCGGATCTCTGCACTCCGTCGACATGGCCGGCTTCGGCCTGGATGGAACGGACGACCTCTGCAACGTTCTGAGCCCGTGATGCTGGGGGCCGTGCGTGCGTGACCTCATTGTATTTGGCATGCTATCATCACTGCATCATCATGTAACGACTTATCTGGATTGACGACTGCATGACTGGGCGTTTGCGATTTGTTTTGCTTGTTTCTTTGCCATTTCTGTGCCTTTTGAACGTTTCTTTTTTTCATGATCACTTGGGCGATGATCATTGACGACGGAGTTGAAGCTAGCTGGCTGGTTGCGACTCAACTTGAGGCCTTGTCTACTGGAGGCCATGCATGATCTTGTTTCATTTTCTGCGAGGGTGTTGATTGAAGTGATGATGAAGGCGAAGGAGTTCCAGTATACAGATTCAAGGAGAGCGACCGGCTGGCCCCCCTCAAAAAGTGGCGGTGGGCGAGTCGGCCAGGTGGCCATCCGCCATACCCAACGCCAGGCGTCTTGATGCTCGGGCTGGCCCACCCGCCGCCGTTCCCGCGATCATTTGTTTCCCTCTTCCCCCTGCTTCCATCGTCCCCCTATCTTCCCTCCGATCTTCCCTTGTCCCTCGTCCCCTTTTCCTCTTTTTTATCTCCTGCCTGGACCCTCTCCCTACCTTACACATTTATTTGTTGAAGAGATATTGGGGCCTACTTTCGCCCCTCTACTTCTGGTCCGCACGTACACTAGACATGTCACACACCAAAGAAAAGAAATTCACAAAAGAGACAAAACACAAAATGCCCCCCATTTCGAGATGAATCGATATCTCCTGCGAAGGTGATGATGGACTTGTCTTCCTGTTATAGTGAACCCACCCCCCCTACCTGTTTGATACCCCCCACCTACATGCCCTCCCCTGTGTTTCCTATTCGTTCGGATTTCAACCTCTCGGTCGACCCTGTTGTGTCTGTTCTCCCCGTTCCCTTTCCCCCTCCTGCCCGTATTTCTCCCGCATTTTCTATCTTTATTCCGTGGCGCTCATCCTTGCCTGATGCCGAGTGATGGTGGTGAGCATGCGGCGGCAAATGGATGTGGCAGCCGTCACTTTTAGTAGTGACAAGACACCACCCGTGATGTACGTTGGAAATGGATAGTTCTGAATGAACCGAAATAGCTAGAAATCATACTATATGCCCCGAGGAATTGCTGCCATATTGTAGTACTATATATATATATATATATATATATATCGTTCATATCTCCAGTTCCTATTACAACACATAATGTCCTACAGTATAGTAGTACACAGTAAAAACAATGTAGTCAATTTAGGCAGCAGGTCCCTCGTAGACAGACCCAGATCAAGTCCACCCACCCTACCCCACGAACCACAAAATGGGGGGAAGGGCAGCACCATGGTTCGCAAACGTGAGGAGCGAGCGGATGTGATGGAGACTACCAACGAAATCCCCACAGGAGGAGAGAGACCGCGCGCGGAGGTCATGACCCAGTCAGTAAAACTTATCCGGCGGGATCATAATCCCCCCGAGCATTAGTATTAGCTTTGTCGCCTCGTGTCTGTGTAAGTGTCACGAGCCCCAGAGAGATGATGTACAGGGTTGCAGAAAAGGATGTAGTGGTTCCGGACGTGCAGATGCGGGGGAACATGCATGGATGCATAAAAGAACCAGCCAAGGACACTGGTGGCGAGCAGCCCTGCATTCGATTACTTTATTCATGATGGTGGATTCCGCGCGGAAAGACAAATTGAAAAAGTGGGTTGGAAGAGAAGGATTGATTCTATATGATATTGTGCTGCCTCAGGATATCTTCCTTGAAGATTCAAAAAAGCTATACAAATCTGATAAGAAGGAGAAGAGATAGGATCAAGTCATCGGGCTGATAACTAACTACGTTGGTTAACCATTTATTATCTGGCAGGGACAGTTGTCTAGGGCTTATCAGCGCGGTCTCGGACCGCCGGCCACTAGCCCGACACCGGAGGGCTTTTAGTTGGGGAGCTTATCGCGGGGAGGAGGATTCTCATTGGCAACGATGGAGTCACACACTCTCTCCGGGTTGTGGCAGTTGTTGTCATTGTCTCTTGTGGTGTGGATTCATTGTGGGATTGTGGACTAGACGGTGACAGAGTTAAAAGTGTAAGTGCGGGGGGGAATGATGATTGCTGCATCAGTTCAGTTGAGTTCAGGAACTGGAACTAAGCTGCTTTGCTGCTTTGCTGCTTCTCTCTCGTTCCTTCTTATTCCCCTCATTATCCTGCTCGTGTTCTCCCTCCCTCTCTCTCTCCTTTTTCCTGTTTTCTTCACTCTACTCCCATCCCTTGCTTTTGGGATTCGGATCTCTTTCTATTACGATATGTTTGTCCTAAATTAAAAGACTTCCTTCCCTGAGATAATTCTAGTGGATCACATTTACTCCTTTTCTCTGTTATAAAGAAACACACAGCTTCTTGACTGATTGATTGACTGCCCAACATGCGACAACCTTCCATGGATGCCAACGCCGATGAGGCGTTGGCTAGAATGGGTTACAAGAGTGAATTGCCTCGCAATTTGAGTATGATGAGTATTCTGGGCCTGTATGTTCCCATTCTCCAGCACGTTGTACCCAGTAGCGATGGCCATACTCATGAAATCACTGTATCCCACAGTTCCTTCGCCATCATGGCCGCCCCCTTCGGCCTCAGCACCACCCTCTACATCACCCTCACCGACGGCCAATCCGTCAGCGTCATCTGGGGCTGGGTCGTCGTCACCCTCATCTCCATCGCCATTGCCGCCTCGCTGGCCGAGATCTGCGCCGTCTACCCCACCGCCGGCGGAGTCTACTACTGGAGTGCCATGCTCTCCACGCGGAAATGGGCCCCCGCCATGTCCTTCATCGATGGCTGGCTCACCCTCGTTGGCAATTGGACCGTCACACTCAGTATCACCTTCTCCGGGGGTCAATTGATCCTCAGCGCCATTTCCCTCTGGAATGAGGACTTTGTCGCCAATACCTGGCAGACCATTCTCATGTTCTGGGCTGTGATTGGGGCCTGTGCCTTGGTGAATATCTTCTTCTCCAAGTGGCTGGATCTGATCAATAAGGTGTGCATTTATTGGACCGCTGGGAGTGTCGTGATTATTCTCGTTACGCTTTTGACGATGGCGGATGAGAGACGCGATGCCGAGTTTGTCTTTGCCCATTATGATGCTTCGCAGAGTGGGTGGTATGTTCCCCCCTTTTTTCTCTCTTCTTTTTCTTTCTCGATGGGGCTGATGACTTCTTAGGCCTGCTGGATGGGCGTTCTTTGTCGGACTGCTGCAGGCAGCATACACACTCACTGGCTACGGCATGGTGGCTGCCATGTGTGAGGAAGTGCAGAACCCGCATCGGGAAGTCCCCAAGGCCATTGTGCTATCAGTGGTGGCGGCCGGTATCACGGGTCTGGTCTACCTGATCCCCATCATGTTTGTTCTGCCCCCGGTGGAGACCCTTTTGGCTGTGGCCAGCGGCCAGCCCATCGGACTCATCTTCAAGACAGCCACCGGCTCCGCTGGCGGAGGCTTCGGGCTGCTGTTCCTGGTGCTGGGCATCCTGGTCTTTGCGGGGATTGGCGCATTGACGGCTGCCAGTCGATGCACGTATGCCTTTGCTCGTGACGGAGCTATCCCCGGCTTCCGGCTCTGGAGGCAAGTGAACCCGAAGTTAGATGTGCCCGTGTGGGCCATCATCCTCTCCACCGTAGTCGATTGCCTGCTAGGGCTGATCTACTTCGGGTCCTCGGCGGCCTTCAACTCGTTTACGGGCGTGGCCACCATCTGCTTGTCCATCTCGTATGGCCTTCCCATTTTCATTTGCGTGCTGCGCGGGCGTGAAGCCGTCAAGGAATCCAGCTTCTCACTGGGGCGATTCGGATACGCGATTAACATCGTATCCATCTGCTGGATTTGCCTGGCTGTGGTGCTCTTCTGCATGCCCACCTCGCTGCCGGTGGATGCGAGTAGCATGAATTATGCGAGTGTGGTGTTTGCCGGTTTCGCGGCGATCAGTATCGGGTGGTATGTGGTCTACGCGCGCAAGCATTTCACTGGTCCACCTGTCACGGACGAAGATATGCCCGGCGTGATGACGGGGAAACCAATCGATACGGAGAATACTTATGCGGCGCATGAGAAAGCGGGGAAGGAATGATGGCTATTAGCGATTTGTCTGTATATAACTAGGTTCGATGCTATAATGGATTTTACTATTATCTGTGTATTTTTACAGCAACTGTGAAAGATTGATTCAGATTGCTTTCGGGCAAGTAAGAAACATGAACATGACGGCGCGAGGTAGGGGTTGCATCTGGTAGATCGATAGATAGCCGATCAATCACAAGTTGGGCTGGCTGAGCAGCGCGAGGGACTAAACTCCGACAACCGCGGTTCAATCGCTCCAGCATCCATCAAGCAATCAAACACTACCACCACACCACCGATCTCTCAGCTCGCAGCCTCGCACTCCTTCACACCCAAACAATTCTTACGCGACCAACCAGCTCTACACGGGTGTCGAAACCTACCATATCCAATACCCATTATCTCTTCCCCCGTCCACCCTAAAATCAATTGCCACAAGTCCTGCGCGCGCACTCTCTCTCCCTAGGCCGAAATCCGGGGAAGCTCCAACTCCAACACCCTCTCTCATTTGCTCGCACCGATAAACAATACACCACAACACAGCTACTCTCCATCAATCTCCGAATATATACAGAGACAGCAAGACACTGATGCGGACCCATCATCGCGCGCACTTCCGTCCCCGTCTGCTCTCATGTTGCTGAACCCGTCCGACGCCTTGTTCCTCGCACCATGTCGGATTCAGTGGGTGCGTTTACCCCGGAAGGACTATACAATATGATGAAGAATGAGAGGAAGGAACAGAGTGTATTAGGGAGATAATGTGCTGATTGATATGGTTCAGATCGTGTCTTCGTCCATGCCCTTAACACGGTGAAACGCATTCCCCGCACGGGGACCGCTAGACCGCCGGCGTCGGAGAGATTGAAGCTCTATGGCTTGTATAAGCAGAGCATGGGTATTTCTCCCCTCCTTTCACTTTCTTCATTGGGGCATTGTCTGTGTTGGACATTGGATGATAATGTAATGGTCATGCTGACGAGTACTTAATTGGAACTTGTAGAAGGCGATGTCGAAGGCGTCATGGATCGACCGGTCGGGAATACTGCGGATGTGTTTATGGAGTGTGAGAAATGGTATATTTACCCTCCCACCTTTCTCTTCTATATGCTGTCAGTGTACTAATAATGTAGGGACGCATGGCACGCCCAACGAGGTCTCTCCCGCACAGAAGCCAAACGACGCTACATCTCCACCCTCATCGAAACCATGCATAACTACGCTTCCCAAACAGCCGAGGCAAGGGAACTCGTCGCCGAATTGGAATTCGTTTGGGATCAGATTAAATCCAACCCGTCTTCGTCGTCTATGTCCTCGTCCCAGGAACCGGGTAGTCCGGTGGCTTCTGCAGCGGTGTCGATGCGTGATCATGCGAGGTTACAGCCGCAGTCTAGTAATAGATTGACTCGTCCGGAGTATGAGCAGCTACTTGCCAATACGGCTAGAGGAAGAGGGAGTGAGAGACTACGGGTGTTAAGTCCGGTTAGTCAGGCGGAGTCAGGGTTTCGGCGACAGATGGAGGAGGAGCCAGCAGAAGAGGAGGAAGAAGAGGAAGAGGAGGAAGTGTACGCGGAAGCACAGGATAATCTATTCGAGAATGAAGAAGGAGAAGATGATGACGAAGAAGGACACATGGAGGAAGAAGAGTACAACAACAATCACGACCGTCACGAATCGCATGACTATCACCAACAAGGATACAACTTCCCCTCCCACCAGGAAGAATACGATCACGATCACCACCACCATGATACCCTAAGTCGAAGACGACCACCCCCACCCCCCGACGACTCCAAACGCTGGCGTCGCACAGTCGAGCAGGCCTTGACGACCATGACCGCGGAAATCGCCGCCGTGCGAGAACAACTGGAAGCGCGAGCGTTAGCTCATCGTCGACGAACGGGCCTGTGGGCCTGGCTGAAGTGGTTAGTTTGGGTCGCTGCACGGCAGATCATGGTTGATTTGGCGCTGCTGGGTATGCTTCTTATTTGGATGAGACTGCGAGGAGATCGCAGGTTGGAGGAGAAGTTGAAGGTGGGTTGGGCGGAGGTGAAGACGAGGTTGGTGTTGTTGATGGTGTTCAGGAGGGTTAGGAGGGTGGTGTCTAAATCTTCTTCTTCTGCTGATAAGACCTCGTCGTGAGGTTCTGATGCCCTTTTCCTTTTTACCGTCATTGGGTCCATGATTCCCTTTCTTTTGTCTTTTCTTGGTACATATACATATATACCTTTCCTTTCTTTCTTTTTTATTCTTACTTATTATACCTTCTCTTTCTTTTATTTTTTTTTTTTCATTTCTTTTGTTGTGTCAGGTCCATTTTTAGAGGCTGTCCACTTCTTTGCGGAGCTTGATATCTCATTGCAGTGGTTAGCTGTCTGCATATTTCTGCGGTGTTCTGGTTGTATACTTTTGTATTCTAGGTAGTTTCATACTTCAGTCCATAGATCTGGAGCCTGGATTATAGTGTATGCATCATCGTCATCATCTGATACCAATTGAATCTATATTTATAGTAACTCAAAAGCAATATTCTTACTTGAATCCAAGTGACTGACTCGCGGAACCAATGACATTCCTGATGCTAATATATACACAAACAGACGTCAACCAGAGAGACGGAAGAACAAAAGGAAAACACCGGAATACAAAAGACACGTTAAGTTAGTAGTTCAGTTAAGAAAAACACAATGATATATGCTCCCCTCAAGATTTCATTTTGTAATTTTAATATTGCCGACCAGGCCAGTCCGAGTAGAGCTGCTTGGGGCGCAAGTGCACGGGGACGACATTCTCGGGGGTTCCGGGGATTTCCTTCTTCAGGCCCTATACAACCGGATTAGTATTTCTCTGTGGTACGCCAACAAGGATCCGAAACAGGATATCTATTAAGAAGGTATCACGAACCAGCTTCTCGAAAACACAGCTGTTCAGCTTCATCTCCTGCGCACGGCACTCCCAGAGCTTGTGGTTGTTGTTCTCGAGGCACTCCCAGTGAGCGGTGAACGACTTCAGGCAGTGGGTGTTGATGTCCTTGATTCTGCAGGGATCCCCATTGTAATCAGTATCCATTTCTCCGGTGATTCTCATCACTCAATGGGCGAATTGAATATAGAGCATGGGGACAACATACACGCTAGCCGCACAGCGCGTCACCTTTCTACCCTCCTTCAGACAGTCCAGCTCTCCGCGCCCGTTCGACTCGTCCTTGCACTTCATGAAGTCGTCGTTGTAGGGCTTGCAGCGGTCTCCGATAAAGTACGCCGCGCTGTACAGCGGCGCCGACGTAGCACCGATCTCCTCCACCTTGGGGATGTGATCGGGCATGGGGGTCGTGTCGACCAGCACCTGCTGGTTAAACCTGAAGCAGTCATATTCCGTTAGAAACGAGTTGTTCTAATCCAATTGTGTTGCATGCATGTATGTATATGTGTCGTATTATATGTGGTGGTGTAGTAGTCAAGGGTAACCCGTGGAAGTGGTCGATTGGGGGGATTGGCAAGGTATCAACGTACTGGGGCTCTCTGGACGCCATGGTGACGGCTGGGCGTAGGACTCAATGGACCGGATCGGGGGTGGAAAAGTCGAGGAGAGGGGGATCGAATTGATGGAGATGGTTCGCCGGGTCCGAGTGGAAAGGTGAAGCTGCGAGTTTGGAAGGAGTGGTTTTTGCTTGTTGCTGATTGGTTGGGATGACTGGGTTAGGTAATCTGCTGATAGCCTGATATGTCAGGCAGAAGAGTTGAGGCATCAGCGTGTAGCTGGCTTCTTTGTTGCCTCAGGCATAAGGAGAGCTCCACACGTGACCGTAGCCGTGCGAAAAACAAAGCTTCCCGATGGGACTCACGCCAGCATTGCCCGGCTGTTGTTGATGCCGCGCACTGCGCTTCTAATTCTGCTGTTTGTCTGTGGGTATCCCATTTATCCCCTCATTGCTTCTTGTTGTGTGTTGTGGCCCTGTCGCACCATTGTATAGGCTTATTTATTACCATTGTTGACATTGAATAGGAATTCGGTATCTACCGACATAGGTTCAATTGGGTGTTATTGCGCCTTCGTTGCGGAGTGACCGACCTTATTCATTGCAATTGTTTCTTCCATTACTGTGTCATCCTCAATATCGCCCCTTATCTTTCTTCTCCGTTTAGAACTAAGCACAACTTGCAATGTCGCTTTTCGGTCAACCTGCGGCCCCGTCCACGGGCGGCGGCCTCTTTGGACAAGCCAACAACACCGCAAATAAGCCCAGTCCCTTCGGCGGAGGTGGTGGTCTCTTCGGAAACACCTCGACGACAAACACCACGCAGCAGAATACCACGGGCGGATTGTTCGGAGGCGCGACGCAGACTCAGCAACCGTCGGGAGGAGGTCTTTTCGGCGGCGCCACGAACACGCAGACTCAGCAGCCATCAGGCGGCCTGTTCGGCCAAACCGCGACCCAGCAGAAGCCAGCCGGTGGTGGTCTTTTCGGAGGATTGGGGCAGACGCAACAGCCCCAGCAGCAACAACAGCAGACTACTGGAGGGAGCTTGTTCGGACAGAAACCCCTTGGAGGAGGAGGAGGGTTGTTCGGTCAGCAACAGCAGTCGCAGACACCGCAGCAGCAAGGTGGTGGTCTGTTCGGAGGGTTGGGTCAGACGCAGCAGCCTCAACAACAGCAGCAACAACCGAGTCTGTTTGGAGGGTCTCTACTAGGAGGGCAGCAGCAGCAACAGCAACCGGCGCAGCAACAGCAGCAGCCCCAATTGGGCCAAACTCAGATGGGTCAGTCAACGGCACAGCTCGGTTCGAGTCTGTGGGAGCCGGGTCGTGCAGTTACCGGAGGTATGTTGAAGGTGGTTTATATGCTTTATGTTTACACGTACTAATGGTTGTAGTCCACCGCACCGTACCGATGCAGATTCAGATCGTGAAGGACAAGTGGGATGCATCCAGCCGTGCCTCTCCCTTCCGCGCGTACTTGTATAACAATGTCGGCGAAGAAATGGCACCATTCTACCAGCCGGGTCCGGAGGACGATGATACGAAATGGGAGGATGCGCTGCGGAAGCGGCCTGATTCGGGATATGTGCCTGTGCTCGTCAAGGGCTTCTTCGAGCTGGGCAAGCGCGCGCAGCGCCAGAAGGACTTCCTCACCATGATGCAGACGCGACTGCACGAGATCAACAACTGCCTGTCTGATCTACTGTCTCGGCACGATCTGAAGATTTCGGTCAAAATTGCCGACTGCCGCCGGAAACACCTCGTCCTCAGCAAGCGGTGTCTGGCGCTTGCGGCTAAGACGCAGGTGCTGCGGAATCGGGGCTACGCCATGGATGACGCGGAGGAGGAGCTGAAGAAAAAGCTCAGTCAGCTGGAGCGGTCGGTCTTTGACCCGTCACTGAACGGACGAGCGGAGGAGATCTGGGCGCGCATGCTGGCTATCCGGGAGCATTCTCGGCGTCTACAGCAGGAGATGGAGCGGGCCGGGCCCGGCGCGGCGGCGCAGGCGGACGACGAGCTGGACGAGCAGACGATGAAGACGGCCAAGAAGGTGAGTTGCTTACTTCCAGTCATGACCTCTACACATGCTAATGATGTCGTTAGATATTGGATGACTACCACACGCAAATCCAACACTTGCAGAAGGAACTCGAAGCAGTGAGAAAGGACTTTGAGGAGGCACAGAAGCTTCCCGGGGGTGCCGTGAACCACTGATGCTGATGCTGATGCTGTTGATGCTTGATTGCGATTCCATCATATCATGAATTGAGGGTCTGTCTGGTTGTTTGGCTTGTGCTGTTTGGAGCATGGAGTTTATAGGAGCTGGTATCCGCACGTCTTGCACACGAGACGTGGTTTAATAGAGCATAAAAAGTAACCGTGACAGCTGGTCATTTGAGTATCATTCATTTCTGCAACTCGAGATGTACAATATAATACATGATGCGATCCCTTCCTTCCTATCCTACCCTATACCCGTGTATGCATTGTATGTTGTAAAGTGGAAAAAAGTAGTCGGCACGCGATTACAAGAACTTCTTGACGAAATCGATGGCGAAGGGAGCTGTACGGTTTGTTAGTTCGTAGAACAGAACCCCGGGGAATGGGCAGAACTCACAGAGGTAAAGCAGGATACCACCGGAGACAGCCATGCGGATGGTCTGGCTAGCCTGGACCTCACCGGCCTAGATGGGAAGAAAAATAAAATGTCAGCACGATATGTTCTGTTTGGTGTCGACGATGACGATGAAGAGGGTTTGGGTGAAATACTCTGATCTCCTCCTTGGAGAGCTGTTCCTGGCCTAGTAACAATTAGCAAAATGCAATCTTTCTGAATAGAAAAGAAGAGGCTCACCTGGAGCGAACATTGTGATAGTAGTGTATGGGTAGAGGGTGAATGGACAAATAGATAGAGAGATGTATGATCAAGAATGATGAATCGGTTGAATAACTCTCTAGTTAATGAATGAACGGGTTCGATTCTGCCGCGCACAGACCACCGCGGAGGCGGAATCTGCTTGCTTTGGCTTGCTTGCTTCAACTTCTTGCGCGGTTGCTCGGTGCTACTACTTACTAAACCTTCCATTTCTTTTCGCTGTTTCTCTCTCTCTCATCTTTCTTTCTTCTTACTTTCATGTCGCTTAAAGGATAATACTCTTAAGGATTCAACGTGTACCAACAGATCTGGAATCCGGGCGAATAAGGTCCTCGAGAATCGATCTATCCCATCTACGCTTCACGAAACCTGGTCTAGCCGACCACTCCTCATCAGGGGAGAAAGTAACACACTACTCCAACCCAACCACAACTGCATTTCTCACAAAACACAACCATGTCCGAACCGCGCAGTCCTGAGCCCGAGCTCAAGCCCGCCGCTGAAGTGGACGAACAGCAGCAACAACAGGAAGCGCCCCCGACGCCCGGCGGCGACGCCGTTTCCGACGAAGAGCCCGCCAAGGAGGTAGAGGCGGAGGCAGAGCCAGAAGCCGAAGAACAACAACAAGAACAAGAAGAACAAGGAGAAGAAGAGGCCGCGCAAGATAATGGTGGCGATAATGATGACGATGACGACGAAGACAAGATCTCCGACGACGAATCGATTCTTTCGGAAGTCGACGAAGCCCAGTTCGAGGACTTCGATCCCGAGAATGTTGACATCGAGGACCGGCCGCAGCTGGCGATCGACGAGGATAACTTGAAGCTTATTGGACGGCATAAGCGGAAGCGTACGGAGGGTGGGGATGAAGAGCGCTCTAAGAGAAAGAGAGAGGGACGTCGCGAGAAGAAGAGTCGGAGGATGAGGGAGCTGGAGGATGGGGGTGCGAGTGATGAGGAGAAGGCTAGTCGGAGGAGGAAGAAGAAGGAGGCCGAGATTGCGGATGAGGAGTTGTTGGATCCGGCTACGAGTATGTTCTTTCTTCTCTCTTACTGGGGATGATATGTTTGATGCTAATTGCTATGTTTAGGACGGCGGAGAGCGCTTGATCGCGCAATGGACGAGGCGTTGAAGAAGCCGACCAAGAGACGGTTTAGGAAAGCTGATGGCATTGTATGTTTACTTCTATTGTTTCGCGGGTTGATGCGATGATGGCTGACTCCCACAGGACCTGGAACAAATGGCCGATGCTGAAATCGAAGATATGCGCAAGCGCATGACCCACGCTGCGCAGATGGACGCCATCAACCGTCGTGAGGGCAAGCCTGCCATGCATAAGCTGAAGATGCTCCCTGAGGTAGTCTCGCTGCTCAACCGCAACCAATACGTGAACAGTCTGGTCGACCCGGAAATCAACCTGCTGGAAGCGGTTAAGTTCTTCCTGGAGCCCTTGGACGATGGTTCCCTGCCGGCGTACAACATTCAGCGGGATCTGATGACTGCGCTGGGCAAGCTGCCGATCAACAAGGAGGCTCTGGTTGCCAGTGGCATCGGCAAGGTGATTGTGTTCTACACGCGGAGCAAGCGTCCGGAGCCGGGCATCAAGCGCATGGCGGAGCGTCTGCTGGCTGAATGGACGCGCCCGATCCTCCAGCGCAGCGACGATTACTCGAAGAGGGTATACCAGGAGGCTGCTTTTGACCCTACGTATGTTCATTCCTACTCAGACCCTACCACGTCGATTGTATCGCTAACCGGAACAGTAAACTGAGCGCGACACGCACTCAATCGGTACAGGCCACTGCTGCAGAGGCTCGTGCCCGTGAGCTACTGCCTCCTCGCCTGGCGAATCGCGCGCGCGCTGACATGACTCACACGAGCTATACGGTGGTGCCGCGACCGACGATGGTACAGGAGAGCAAGTTTGCGCGACCTCTGGGAGCGAGCGGCGAGGATCGTTTCCGCAAGATGCGGGCGCGGCAGATTGCGGCGAGCAAGGGATCCCGTCGATGAAGAATTTTCACTCCTTTAATTTTTCTTACTTTTTATTCTTCTGGCTGTACCTTTCTTTTTTCTATTTCCTTTTCCGATCTCATATGTATGTCAGGTTTTATCTCGTAGATTTTTCGGGGGCTGGCGCAGGGCGGAATGTGTATTATTGGATCATGCCATAGCGAATGGGAAGGCACTAGATAAACGGTCGGGCGTTCTCGCGCGAGACGCAGCTTACAAAGTAGCCAAATGCAGTAAAAACGGTTACAATTCGGCGAGGCTATCAAGGATCCCGGGCAAACGCCGGATGGTCCGAATCTCCGCCGCAGACCCCGACCGTCCAGATCGTACGTCACCCGGGCTTTGCACGTATTTCTAGCATCATTCTCCCACTCTTTTTCTTCCTTTCTTCAATTCTCTCTTCGCCCACCTCACACGTGTACTTAATACACTCTTAATTGCCTCCATTGCAATCAATTACATACAGATTCTTCACATAACACCATCACAATGAAGATCCTCACTAAAGAAGAAGAAGATGCTCACTACCGGTACTTCCGCCCTCCCCGCCACCCAATTTCCGAACAAAGTAACTAACCCAGCAACTTTCCAGCGAGGTCGTCAAGGGCGGCACCATCGGTGGTCTCATCGGTCTGGTCGGCGGCGCAGCAGGTGTCCTCGCCGCCACCAGGCGCTACCAGACAATTCGCAACCTCACTCTCCCCATGAAGTCCTTCCTCGTGACCTCCTCCGGTACCTTCGTGGGTATCATCAGCGCCGACCATGCCTCTCGCAGCTTCGAAGCCCAACGCAACGCCAGTCGCCAATGGTACGAGAACCGCGAGGAGCGTCTCCGTCAGGAAGAATTGTCGCACCTCTCCCCGATCGATCGCGCTCTGCAGTGGGCCCGTCGCGAGAAGTACAAGATCGTCGGTGCCACATGGGTGGCTAGTATGATCGGTAGTTTCGCCATGGTTAACCGGAACAAGCACCTCAGTGGCTCGCAGAAGATTGTCCAGGCGAGAGTTTACGCCCAGGGCTTGACCCTCGCTGTGTTGGTGGCCAGTGCGGCGTTTGAGATCCAGGATCAGAGGAAGGGTCGCGGCTTGCTGCAGGATAAGATGAAGGCCGAGAAGCAGGCTGCTGAGGAGAGGAAGAATTCTGAGCAGGAGCACACCGGTGATCTGTGGAAGGACATGGTTGCTGCCGAGGAGGATAGGTTGAGGAAGAGGAAGATGAGTCTGTCGGAGTCGGATTACTTGCACCCTCATAATAATGGGCAGGAGAAGAAGGTTGAGGAGGTGAAGGAAGAGAAGGAGGAAGAGCCTAAGAAGGAAGAGGCGACGGAGAAGAAGAAAGAGTAAAAAGGTTGTTATTGTTGGTTCTTGTTTATATATCTAGATGTGGTTGGGCTGGTCTTGATCACAGGTGTATTTGTTCTTTTTCACATCTGCTGTTACTTTTGCCAGTTTTCTTTGTCGGTTGGGTACACTCTTCACTCTGGATATAATGCGGCGGATTGGTTGCTAGACTTGGATGAAAAGTGATTATGACTGATTGCGAATGGTACATGTCACAACTTTGAGTCTATATTTGGAGTCTCGATCTTATCTACAACCCACATACGTTATGGAGCTATACGTCGATCAGTTAATCGAACTGGGGCTTTATGTACGGTCATAGTAGCTGCCAATATATTGTCATAGCTCTAAACTTACTGGATATTTTTGCTCACTGAGTGAAGCCTTACGTCGTTTCCCGATTCAGTATGCTAAGCTGATTAATCAACAACTATGTCACTATCATTGCATATCAGTTAATAGTTATTGAGCACATTACTACCGAAACGTCCCCTTCACTCGCCTTGAGGTTGGGGAGTGTTGACTGATCCATGCAAGATAGTGAGGACTCTTCCGACGAACATCCTGTCGCCTTCTGACTCCTGCACGTGCCCCGACTGCCTCTTGATCGGCTGTCATTGCATACTATCATCGTCCAAGTGGGGCGCCTGCAGATCTGGCATTGCTTGTTGCCTGCAGCCCAAACTCAACTATAGACTGACTCACTCGCCAGGCTGTCATGGCCCCCAGATCCCAGCATATCAAAGGTGACAGAATGTGGCATTGCCCGGAGATATCCTACTCCATGGTGGGGTCGAACTAACTTGTTAGTTAGCACAAGGCTTGGGAGGCTCGATGGCGGTCTCTTATATAAAGCTAGCAGCACAGCCTCGTGGTCATTCACTCACTGACCCTTTTCACTCTTCTTGACCACCACACTCACTTAGCTCGCTCTTACTGACTATAAAGCTCTCCCCAAATACAGACATCACTCCTCACATCAACTTTTCTTGCCAAGGAAAATGAGGTGCATGAACCAAAGCACGTTTCTCCAAAACTATGTCTATGCCCTTGAGCATGACTTCTGCTCTCCCACTGGGGAGCCTGCCACCTGGGCGATTGGATATCCCAAGTACTGGGGTCAGGAAGCAGCGAAGATCCAACTAGAGGGGCAGGCAAATGCGCTTGCTCTTAGCCCTGATAGCAAGATTATTGCCGTGGGGATTGACACCGAGATCCATATCTTTGATGCGGATACGCGGAAACGTATTGAGGTGTTGAGAGGACACACGGGCACCGTGGAGAAGGTGAAGTTCGCTCCAGAAATTATCAATACCGTGGATTCAGAAGACACCCGGTACATCCTGGTGTCGACAGGCGAGGAACTTGAAGAGAGTGATGGAGATAGTGACCGCCATGAGGGATGTGATTTCGGGATCATCATCCTATGGGAGCTGGACGAGCGCGGGAGACTCCGACAAAAGAAAGAGAAGCCAGTTGACATTGACACCCTCACAAGCAGAACTCTCCAACCCCTTATGTCAGACCTAGTGTCCAACCACGGCTGGAAAAGTGATGAAAAAGCCATGGGGGCCCTAGACCAAGCCATGAAAAAAGCCCTCCGAAAAGCCCTCCATCTACACGAACAAGAAAGCAAACACTATCTTCGAGGCGAACTAGCCTCCTTCGGTAGTCCCACATTCAGTTCAGACGGCAAGACATTGATCTATCTCAGCCAAAACGAAACAACCCAGCACGGACCTCGTGACCCTGCTCTCCTCCCATGCCTCAACCTCTGGGACATGCAGACCCGGTCCCTCCGACACCGACTGCTCGGCCACACAGACGCCATAATGTGGGCTGGGATGAGTCCAGACAATTCTCTAGTCGCGTCCATCGCATGGGATGGCAGGGCACGAGTCTGGGACGCCAACTCCGGAGCCTGCATCCATGTACTGGTTTCTGTGGACGGCCAGCTCTGGAGCGGTGCCTTCTCTCCCGATAGCAAGTACCTCGCTGTGAGCCAGGGAAGCCCCAGGACATATATCCATGTCTACGACCTTCGAACAGGACAGTCCGTCTCTCGCTTCGACGGATTTCGCCGTTGGGCACGCACCTTGGCTTGGAGCCCTGACGGGACCGTGCTTGCAGGCGGAGGAGACGGCGGCACAGTGCGTCTTTGGGATCCGTTGAACGGTGAAGAGCGGATGCGATGGCGTCTGGCTTTTGAGGATTCCCTGATGCGGAGCTTTGCCGGGATTCAAAGCGTACAGTTCGTGGATAAGGGGAAGAAGCTGGTGTTTCGGACCCAGGAAGGTACGGTGGAGACGTATGATATCGAAAGCAATCTCAAGCAGCAGTTTACAAGACGTGCGGAGGACAGGATTGATAGGAGCCCTATGGCGAAAATGGCTGTGTCAAGTGATGCTCGGCTGCTGGTCGTTCCGGACGCAGATGGGGGTTTGAGACTATGGGGTCTTTAGATGGGGTGTTCCGGATGGGACAACGTGGGAGGATATTCTCTCGAAATACTTAGGCGAAGATGTTGTAGTTGGTCAGATGTAGTAACTAATAGCATTGCCACATAGTCTTCTATTTCGAAGGCCTTGGCTATTTTATGATAGATATAATGACAGCTTCTGTACTAGAGAATAACCCGTGTTTCCAGCCAAGTCCTAAGGAGCACTGCTTAGCACCAGATGGCCGCATCTGAACGGCAGCTGTCAGTATTTTGTCCTTTCCTTCAAATAGCATAAAAAAAACAGGCACCTGTTCGGTCGAAGCTGTTGCCTACAGCCTTCTGGGTGTTTTGATAAAACTGTCCAATCCAGAGCGGGAGAATATAAGCTAATGATGCAGTGTAATGAAGCACAGCGCGCCCCGTGCGATGTGCACAGACAAAGTGTGTTGCTACTTTCCAGTGTACAAACAGGGTCTATTCAATCTCACGAACTTATCTATGTTCCCGTCCGGGCGAAACTGCAGCCTCTAAGACATCGCGAAGCGCCTTGCTGTTATGGAATGCGGCTCTTAGAGCACTCCAATGAGAATAAAGCAACCATGCTCTAAAAAGTTCACACGAAGACCCTATGATTCCGAAGAAGCTAAGAGTTAGTTCCTTGTCCGTTACATTGCCTTCATATACCTCTGATAGCCTATTTCCTTTTTCAACGTATTCCGATAACCACATACCCGTTCAAATGCCTCAAACTTCTGCTCTGCACGTTGCCATCTTTCAGAACCACGACGGTGTATATAAACACTGGGGCCTATTCCTCGACGGACCAACAAAGCTTGAAAAGGCCGTCTTTCAGATTATGGGATCATCTACCCGATATTATTTCGAGAAGCTAAACTCCGATGCCCGGGAGTCGGCGGATCTTCTTGAATTGGTGCACCTCTGAGATGTGGCGAATTCCCATGCCAATGCCATCGAAGACGCTGCCGAGAATATGACCATACACAATGAGGCACCGGGTTATAACTGCCAGGATTACGTTCTTGAGCTTTTAGATGACTTGGAAGAGAGGGGTTTCATCGATAAGGAGGACGCCGATTATCGAAAAAATAGGATGGCATTGGAGCGTAAGCAGGAGGGTTTGGATTAGCGGGACTCGGTCGATTTAGTTAGGCTTCTCTTCACTGAGCCTTTTGACCCCTGTGGGTCTGTCGAGCAATGTGCTTCCTTTAGTGGTTGGGGCAGATGATAAGGAATATCAGGCTTCTTATGAGACGTTGGGTGACTCGTGCATTTGTTATTACCCTTTATCTGCCTTCTATTTCGTATGCTACTGTGCAATATCCAGCTTGGACATTTGCCTACTTGAGCATCAGATTTAGTTCAAAACCAAACTCCTGCGATTCGTGCTAAGACACAATGAGTCGACTTAATGCTGCAGCTTATCAATACGAACGCAGGGACTATCAGTCTTTAGCCTAGCGTCGGTGAGATTCCGGACTCCGGACATCCATGCTAGCGCTTGATACAACGCTTACGGCCTCATCCAACAAGACTATCAAGGCCCCTCGACCAGAGGAGTGACTTGCCTGGTAGCCACGTTCCAACCACATCATGTCTGCGTGTCCAGCAACAGCTGACACCGTCTTCGGCCCCAGGGTCGATGTCGCCTGTCGCACCTTGGACTTCACCTTTTACTTCGAGGATGCCTTTCTTGCCTTCCTGCCATCTGCGGTATTCATCTCGCTGCTGCCCATGGCACTATGGCAGCTCCGATCGCGATCTCGCAGAGTAAAGCGATCGGTACTGCTATCTTGCAAGCTGGTAGCACTGATTGCGCTTCTAGTCAGCCAGCTCGCCTTTGTGCTCGTCCGACAGTTGAAACTCTCCCATCTGCACAATAAAATGTCGATTCCGGCGGATGTTCTCGAATTGCTTGCGATTACCGGTGCTATTGCGCTGTCATCGCTCCACCACACTCGCTCAATCCGTCCATCGACTCTGCTCGTCTGCTTCCTCTCGGCGAGATCACTCTTAGGCATTGCCCGCGTTCGCACCCTCTGGCTCAAGCCAAATGCAACCCGCGCGACAGTACCTTTTACTTTGAGTTTTACCTTGACCCTCTTGTCGACAGTTCTTGAGTCGATAGGGAAGGAATCCGCCCTTGTCAAAGCATCCGAGAAACCTGCGACACCAGAACCATTCAGTGGCTTTTGGAAGCGCGCTGCGTTCGCCTGGCTAACGGGAACATTCAGAAATGGCTACAGCAAGGTCATCTCCGTGCAGGACTTACCAGAACTCGACCCCAAGCTAGACAGCGAGGTCGTGGGGGCCCAGCTACAGGCAGTCTGGGCGCGCGCTGATAAAAGGGCTGCCCACGCGCTGCTTCGCGCATGTTTGACTGCATATCGGTCTCCCCTGCTTACGGCTGCCCTGCCGCGTCTGATGAAGACCGGCTTTACCTTTTGCCAGCCGTTTCTGATCGATGCGGCTGTCTCGTGGGTCGGCAATCCGAATTCCCCCATGGACTCTGGGAGAGCACTGATTGGGGCTTTTGCGCTGGTTTATGTGGGACAGGCGGTGCGTTTCTTGCAGTTCATTAGACCAGGGAATGATTCTAACATGAGTGACGATAGGTGTCTACGAGCCTATATGGCTATCAGACAGCGCGATATACCATCCGCTTGCGAGGGGGCCTGATAGCGCTCGTTCACCGGCAAACTGTCAACACCCGCGCTGTGGATCTCGGGGAGAGCACGGCAATCACACTCATGGGTACAGATGTAGAACGTATCGTGTCTGGGTCCAGAGTGACTCATGAGTTGTGGGCGTCTCTACTCGAGATAGCGATTGCCATTTACCTCCTTGAGAGACAGGTTGGTGTTGCGTGCCTTGTTCCTGCCGTGATCGTGCTTGGTATGTCCCACCCTGCGAGTTGACAAGACTGTAAGGCTCTAATAGCTGATGTTTCCTTGCAGTCTTCGTAGCCGCCACCTTCAAGGTATCAGGTGCCACTAACAAATACCAGCGTCTCTGGATTGAGCGGATTGAAGAGAGACTGCGGCTGACGTCGTATACCCTGGAGAATATCAAGGCCGTCAAGATGTTAGGCCTGTCGGAGAAATTGTATTCGATAATCAGGAGTTTGCGACATGCAGAAATTGCCACGTCTACTGTGTTCCGCAAGCTGCTGATTGTAACTAGCACGCTTTGTACGTCCTCCGTGCTATTTATACCCGGTGATTTCCAGCTGACAAGTCGGTCTAAACAGCCAACTCCCCCGCTGATTTGGCGCCGATGGCAACCTTCGTCGTCTACGTTATCATAGCGCTCGTACGAGACGACAAGTCGCTTCTTGCTGCACAGGCATTCACCTCGTTGTCTTTGGTTTCGTTAGTCACAGACCCCGTCTTGACATTTATCCTATCTCTGCCTGAAGTCGTTCAGTGCCTAGGATGCTTCAACCGGATACAAGAGTACTGCTGTTCTGAGGAGTCGGCTGACGGAGTTAAGTCGCTCCAAAATACCCCCGTTGACAAGGTCGGTGTGTCTTACGACCTGAAGGAGATCTCCAAGTCCCAAAGTTCCCGCAAAGATCTGGTCGTCTTTTCCAACCTTAGCGTCGGATGGACCAATAACGCACCTCCAGTCCTGCGGGACATGACTCTGACTATTCAGCACGGTGCCGTCACCATGATTGTCGGGCCAATCGGCAGCGGAAAATCCACGTTCCTTGAGACTATCCTTGGAGAATCGCTTGTTCTACAGGGGCGCGCGGACCGGGATGCCTCCCCCATTGCGTACTGTTCGCAGGCACCGTGGCTGCAAAGCACGACCATCCGCGAGAATATCCTAGCTGGACTGCCCGTTGACACCGTATGGTATGACACCGTTCTGCGTGCCTGTGCCTTGGAAGGTGATCTTGCTCGCCTCCCTCGTCGTGATAAGACGCCAGTGGGTAGCAACGGTATCGCGCTGAGTGGCGGCCAGAAGCAGCGTATTGTACGTCGCCCCTCTAAGTTCTTTACTATGAGTACTAACAAGAAATAGGCACTCGCCCGGGCAGTATACAGTCGATGCAGGGTGCTGATGCTAGATGATGTCTTCAGTGGGATTGATGCAGCTACTACTGAGATAATCACACGAAGTCTTTTCGGCGACGGCGGCCTCTTTCAAACTCTGCAGAGCACGGTTGTGCTTGCTACACATTCCCGTGGGATTGCCCCGACCAATTCCCTTTACAACGCTTGTAGACTGATCCTTCTCGCAGCCTCTATTCTTCAGTACGCCGACCATCTCGTGGTCCTGACCGACGGCCACATCAATGGAGCCGGAACCCTGCACGCCCTTCAAGCCAGCAATAGTTACATTCAGAATCTCAATGCAACACACAACTCAAATGTGCCAGTCACCGCCAAACAGTCCGATGACACAGTGGTGCCCCGTGCAATATCTACTGAACATGAAGACCGCACAGCTGGAGACTCGGCCGACATGGACACCGATCACGTTGGATCCACCGACGCTACGCGGCAGAACGGCGATATGGCTGTCTACGCCTACTATGCTTCTGTATCTGGGCGCATGACAGTCGCTATGACTGTGATCATGACTCTCTGCTGGAGCTTCTGCCACGAATTCTCGAGTATGTCTCTAGATATCCTTCTTGTTTGGTGATTTCACTCACAATTATTAGCTATTTGGTTGGACTGGTGGACGGAAGCGAATGCACAACACCCTAATGAGAGGGCGGGGATGTATCTCGGCGTTTATGTCTTCCTCAGCATCATCAGCGTGGTTTTCATGATTGCTGCTTGCTGGTACGTCCATGGGGCGTGTTAAAGTGTTCAGGCATAACGTGAATAGGCTTCTATTCGTCAGGATTGTCTCAAAATCGTCGCTGCGGCTTCATGATGACCTTTTGAAGAGTACCATGCGGTCAGTTACTGCTATTTTGGCAAAGTATAGCGCATCGCTGATCTTACCTACCTGCAGCGCCCCATTCCAGTTCTTTCAAAATGTTGATGTCGGCAGCATCACCAACCGGTAACCACCCCGAGTTTTTTTTTACGGTTGTATACTAAGCCTAGTCCACCTCCAGTTTCAGCCAAGACATGGATCTCATTGACATGACCCTCCCAATTGAAGGCATCAACCTGCTGTCCGGTATGTACTACTATTGCTGTGCACGTATCCATTCTTGTGCTGATATAGTCATTGAAAATTAAGCCGTCTGCAGCAGCCTCGTGAAAGTGATTATCCTTGCCGTCTTCGCCAAGTACCTCGCAATCGCAATTCCATTCCTGGCAGTCATCCTGTACTTGACACAAAAGTTTTATCTCCGGACGTCACGCCAGATGCGTCTCCTCGATATCGAAGCCAAGGCGCCACTATACACACACTTTCTAGAACTGGTTGGTGGCGCTACAACTGTGCGTGCATTTCATTGGCATGTCACATTCAACACGACAGCTCTCTCGCTGCTGAATATATCCCAGAGACCAGTTTATATGCTATCGTGTATCCAGCAGTGTCTAGGTCTGGTGCTCGACCTGATTGTAGCCGCGATGGCGGTTATTGTTGTTTCGACTGTCGTCTTCTTGAGGGATCACTTCAATGCGGGCGATGTCGGTGTTGCACTCGTCATGGTCATGACATTCAGCTCGTCACTCATGGAGCTCATCAAGTATTGGACTATGACCGAGACATCGATTGGAGCTATTGCAAGAGTCAAAGATTTCGTTGCTGCAACGGAGCCCGAGGATAACATGGATGAGGATTCATCCTCGCGCCCGGAATTACCGAGGTCATGGCCAGCAAATGGCGCAATTCAGCTCAGCGGAGTTGTAGCCTCACATTCGTAAGTTCAACCCTCTTTCTTGACAAATGATATCTCTTTACACAATCTAACACTACCCAAAACCAGACTAAGCACACCCCCGGTCCTTAACGGACTGAGCATGAGCATTCAGCCTGGCCAAAAGATTGCCATCTGTGGCCCCTCAGGTAGCGGCAAGACCAGCCTCATCCTAACTCTTTTGCGCATGATCCCCCTCCGTGCCGGCACCATAACCATCGACGACCTGGATCTCACCGCGTACGCAGCATCGCAGATCCGCCCGCGCCTAAACATCGTCACGCAGGATCCGCTCCTCCTCCCTGGATCAGCAGGACAGGACACCACCGTGCGCTTCAATATCGACCCGTTCGGCAGTGCCGCAGACGACGCCACGATTATCGCTGCATTGGAACGACTGGGTCTTTGGACGATCATTGCCGCAGCCGGCGGACTCGATGCCGAGATGAAGGCTACGGCGTGGTCAGCGGGACAGAGGCAGCTTCTCTGTCTTGCGCGGGCGATGGTACGCGGGTCCGCTGGTCTCAAGGTGCTCATCTTAGACGAGGCCACGAGTAGCGTTGATCCGGACACTGAGGCGATCATACAAAATGTTCTGGATACCGAGTTTCAAGACCATACGGTGCTTTCTGTGCTGCATCGGCTGCGGTACGTGGGTTGGTATGACCGGGTCGCGGTGCTGGAGGGCGGCGAGTTGGTTGAGTTTGATAAGCCGGATGTGTTGTTGGCGAGGGAGGAGTCGAAGTTTGCGAGGCTGTATAGCTCGTCGGGGGTGGGTGGTCATTAACCAGATATCTCTTTGTGTTGGATACATAGCGAGGAGAAGAGCAATATACAGGGATGGCTGATAGACCGACTTTTCCCTGGGAATGACCGTCACTCCAACGTTATCGCTGGAGTGCTTGGTGTGGGGAGACCAAACTGGCTGCGAGATATAATATTCAGGTTAAGGGACTCCATTGCGTAGTTCTGCCGTGTGCGATCCATTGTAGCTTGGCTTCATTTGGTTATGAACAACTAAGGCTTAGCTCCATTGCATAATAATATATCACGTGTGGTCACAGAAATTCAAGTATCGGAATGAACCATTCCCCAATTTGCCTGAGAAGCTCGAGGTTGGGAGTCGGTAAGTGAAAAGCAGCTACAAGGATAATGCCGTTCAGGGCACGTAGTGGAATTCACTTCACATTGTTAGTGACTGCAGCCCTTCGTTACATGATGCTAGTCGTTCTCGGCCATATGTATAAATATCAGCCGCTCTTTCCCATTTTCATTGTACTACTCTTCCCACCACATATTTATTTCAAGTACTCCCTGGCTACATTTCGTCAACCCCTCAAAAATGGCCACAACTGAATACGTCTCCGACCCCGAATTCCTCCAGGAATTCTGCCTCAGCGAAGACCTATCCCAACTAAGGCTTGATCAAACACCCGTGCCTTCTCTGCGCGAGGCAAGACTGGCCTTGTTACGCCCACTCGAAAGAGCTGATATTCTCGAGTCATGCACTCCGCCACCAGTCACGGACCACGATCCATACTTCAAAATCAAGACTCAAGCCGAATACCTCGATCTGCAACCCCTCTCCAAGATGTGGAGACAGGAGTTAATGAGGATCCCCCCTTTCTCCAAGATAATATTCGATCTTTCCTTGCCACAAAGGCATCCACTCGAGGCTGCTGGGTGCGACAACTCTCGGATACAGTGGGATATATACAGGTCCAGAAATAGCACTCCTGCAATCCCTTTCAGAGAAGTGATGCAAATGGCTACAACTATTGCTTTGACGACGAGAATGCGGATGAAGGGTGAGGCTGCTTCTTTTGATATTGTTTACGATGATGAGAATAACATTAACGACGGCGAGACTGATGAAGTATTTCTTCATCGTATGGGTATGCTGAGACAACAGATTATTGAACTGGGTACGGCTCCATCTACTGGAGTGTAGGGGGAGGAAAAGAGTGCTGTTGTGGATGTCTCCAGGGTTCAGGAGCAATATTCGGATATTGCTGTCCGTAAGTTGCTTGGGGTCAGACGTCGGACTTGAAAGCCTGGTGTGACTTGTGGGCCGGTTTTTTCAGAGCAGGTCCGGATGTTTGGTCCATGGATAGCATGCAATGGAGTCAGGATAGTCTGGAACGCTGGTGAACAAGCTGGCTAAGGTGCTGTGGTATCGTTTAGGAGTTGAACCAAGGTTTCAGAACTAAGGATTAGTCGAAATTCAGTGGATCTATCCTTACTTCTTGATGTTCTAGAGTTTCTTCTTGGTTTCTCATTTGAAGACCCAAAATAAATTTAGGATAGTAAGTAATGAAACCGAACGCTAGGCATCCAGCGTACTATAGAAAAGGAACTGTAATGTAAAGTGCCAGGACCTGCTAGTGAAACTCTCCTGATATGCGACAATTTCTCTCTAGAAGACTAGAATGGCACTATAATAAGCATTTAGTGTACTACAGCATGTAAGAGAGCCCTCGATGGTTGGATCCTCTTTCACGAAAACAAAGAAAAGACTTCTTGGCCGCGTTGGACGAAGTAGGGCTTCAACATTGGCAAACGAGGGACGAATACACCCACTCGCCCGGGGTGTCCGATTATTAATCTCAGTGGCTATAGCGTTGTTTTATCTGGATTTCATCATTTAGATCCTGCGGTATGTGAATATCTAGTTCATATGATACTATACTAGACTTGGTATTAATCACTGTCCCCTTTCATTTCTAAACTATCTTGAACTGTTCTGTATGCTATCTAGAATTAAACAAGCCCGAAACTGATCAGCAATTGACCGTTTACTTTGAGGAGTTTCAGTTCTGTCGAGTCTCGATATTCCCACCCTGGGGAGAACTACTCGGAGGAGAGGTAGCGGTACTCAGTGCCCCAAGCTGCTGCCGCAGAGCCTTCATAGTTTTAACAGGTGCCCCATCAGTCGGGTCATAAACAACATCAAAAGAGACATTACCGCTCTTCGTCCGTATCCTCGTCGTTAAAGCAATCGTCTTGACAATATTCATGACTTCTTTGTCATGAATACCAAGACTGGCTTCCTGGGGCATAGATATATCCCAGTAGATCCATCGGGTCGGTGGCTCAGTGTTGTTGTTATTGGGAGCATTTGGTGGTAACGTGAGATCAAATATGAGATGGGAAAAAGGTGGGATCTTCATCAGCTCCTCCCTCCACATCTTACCTAGTGGATGGAGGTTAAGGAATTCGTGTCGAAATCTATCGCAGGTGTAACGGCATAGCTGAGGATCTGTGGGTGGATTTGTTCGGCAGCGGCATGATTCGAGTATATCTGCCTTGCTGAGAGGGTGTAATAAAGCAAGCTTTGCCTGACGAAGAGGAGGCGTGGAGACTTGGTTGGTGTTAACTCGGGACAGATGGACTTCATTCAGATAAAAGTCCTGCAGAGAGCGGGGATCGGATACAGTCTGAGGTGTGGACATGTTCGAATAGTAGTACTCCTAGTATGTGGTGGATTGAGTAGGCCAAGTAAGGAACTATTAGTATCTAATCACGATGGTTTCATGTCAAACGGCTGATATATATAAGTGGCCAAGAGCGCCTGACATCACAGGGTCACTTGAAGAGGGCAGCCTAATAACGAATGATGTTTCTGCTTGCTGCTAGTTCGTCCGGAGTGACTCACTGACGGGCAAGGCTGGCCGACAATTTCTGCCTGCGGAGAGGCGCGTGCCACTACCATAAGCTCTCCAGTCTCCAAGCTAGTAAGGATCCCCAAAGGGTGTTGATTTTATAGGTCAGTATGCACTTATTAACTTTCAAAGGGCAGTTAGGCAGCGGTAGCTTGAGAAGAAGTACATGTGCCTGGATTCGATATCTGATTCACACGATTCGTCTGAGACAATGATCTGAAAAGTACTATACTGATGGCTGTTTCACAGTCTGGGCTCTTCGGCTAGTACCCTATATTATATATGAACTAAAGCAATGGCAATGACGGTATCATTCCAACTTAACGCATTCATCGAAGTATAGTAGAAAGCCCCCAAAGTAACCTTCAAGTGCCGGGGTTTGCCGAAACCAAAGAAACAGGAACAGCTCTAGAATATTGGTCACAGCGTATATAGAAAATGTAGTTCATGGCTGTATTCGGCGATGCATGATCAAAGAGAGTGCTGAGTGCCCTCCTGAGTGTTGGTGCCCCCCTTATGGAAACAAAGAAAGCATCTTGGCTGCGCTTGACAGAGTAGGGCGTCATTCTTGGCAGACTCTTTACCGTATCATTATTATTTCTGCTGTCTCTTTATAATGAATTTGGATATCAGTATTGGACCATCTTGCACCCGTCTTCGTCTGCCTGCCATTAATTTGAACCTTGACTAGCAATGTCATAAAGAAGCCGGAGGATTTCTAAGTGCAGACTGGACAGACTATGCTTACCGCGCTCTGTCTACTCGTGTAACTTACTGAATTCAATAGTCCAGCGCTAGTCCCTGGGCTGGACAATCGAGATCAGATTTTTCCGAATGAGCTGTTGATCCACTCGCAGGTCTATTGGCTTAGTATAGGCTGCACAGGAAAGATGTGGCATGAATGAAGCTGCTGAAGTGCTGATTTGGCTTTCCTTTCATCGTGCTAAACGCTGCCTGGACCCTGCAGAGCGATCGGATCAGCACTCCTACTACTGCTTAGATGCAGGAGACCCGCTCTCACTATGCTCCCGCAGAATGCACTTGGCCACCAGTTTCCGGGGGCTCTCTTTATAGCTCTTCTTGGAGAGTTGCTCTATGATTCAGCCCCTATTTACTCGTCGCTTGTTCTGAATGGCTGAAATGGTTGGTCTGCGTGGAATATATGGATGCCGCGGAGCATATATCAAGTTGAATGGAAGCGACTAAATGAGGCTTTCAAGGACCGAGTGACTTCTCTCATAATCATTTTCTAACACCCGCAATACACTGAAGGTTCCGCCTCCAATATCCCTTACTACTACTGGGGCGTGGTTGTCGTCTCGCAAGTTCGCCGGCATGGACGAGTATTCAGAAGAACGTCTTCATCAATCCAAGCAACACTTGATCATCACCGTTTCGATCGTGTTTATAGTACTGGAAGTGGTATGCGTGGTCCTGCGCTTTACTTCCAAGTTTGTTGAACGGCTGAAGTTCGGCTGGGATGATGCTCTTATGGTTGTGGGCCTCATTCTCTGCATTGCTGATGCGAGCTGCACAATAGGTAGGTCTCGATATCCCACTCCTCCTAACATGGACACAGTAACTAATGCACACTACCTGGTAGCTGCTGTAATATACGGTGGGATCGGCCTGCATCAAAAAGTCGTCCGCCAGATTGATCCCGAGATGTTGGTGACGGCGACCAAGTTCCTCATCACCACTCCGCTCCTATACTTTGCCACCGTCGTACCCCCCAAACTGGCCATCTTGCACCTCTACCTGAGCATTTTCACTCACAAAACCCTCCGAAAGATATGCTTCGGCACCGGAGCAGTCATCGTCGTCAATTGGCTTGTTGTCACTATCGCAGGTCTCGTATCTTGTCGGCCGCTCAGCTATTACTGGACTTTTCAAGGAAGCTGCATTGACATTAATGCATGGCTGCGTTGGGGAGGATTTGCGCACATCTTGACGGATGTTGTCATGTTGATTCTGCCGATGCCAGTGGTATGGAATGTGCACGCCTCGAGTCGCCTTAAACTGGGTATTTGGGTTACGTTTCTTATGGGTAGTGTGTAAGTTACTCCCTCCTTACCTTCTTTACGATGACCATTGTATTACTGGAGAGTAAGGTACTAACTCCGTCGAACAATAGGGGAATGGTCTCTTCCATTATCCGATTCCGGGAATTCTACGTGACTAACGTGCAAGGGGATGTGACCTGGGCAGCCTCGACTCTGGTTATCTGGGGTGAGATTGAGGGTGGAATTTACCTCATAGCAGCGTGTTTGCCAACATATCGCCCGTTAACGAAGCTCCTCTGGCGTCGCGTTCTCAGGAAGCACAGCCAGATGGGCGAATCTCTGCATACGGGAACGGGCCACAGGGCGAGTCCACTGAGACAGGGGCTTAATTCCACACATAATGAGTCGAAGTTCCCGTGGATGGAAGCCTCGGGGAGTGAGGAGGATGTTTTGCGAATGGTGACCTTGGGCAGTCGTTCAGGTGCGGATATCAAGCCGGGGCAAATTGTGGTGGAGCATCACTTCTCGGTGCATTGATTGAGAATATTTCCTCATTTCCCCAGACTGTATATCACCGTCTATATATATTTGTCACCTTCTTATGCTTTGTAATCGGATAAGGAAATATAATCCACTGGTTCCACATGAAGAGGCTCAGACCCATCGCGGGATAAGTCCCACCCCCGAGCGAGCTGAACGGGTCACGCTGTCCACCTTGCCGTTCAAATCTAACCCCAAAGAAGGAAGAGAGATGTTGGTCCAGACGGAAAGATCCAATGGTATTTGCGTTAAGATCCGCAAGGCTACAAAAGACACAACAATCGGCTTGAAAGTCCACCGACGCGAGGCCGCCATCATTAGTGGCTGTTCCGGCGACTAGGGCTTGATTAGTGTGATTAAAGCATAACCTAAGTATGGATCATCACCACTCAGCCGTTGGGCTTTATTGCTAGTGCTGACTGACTAGTTTGGCCCCCAAATGCCATATCACACAATCTTTCGCTCAATGGGGCAGAAACGTTCCGATGAGGCTGTCGAGTTTATTGGGGCTGCAGCTTGGCTGGGTCTGTTCATATATTCTCACTCCGTTGTCCTGCCATTATCTATCTTCACCCCGCATACCAGAGGCAAATTTGTCCTACACAGACCTCCCTACGCGCAGCTCCACTGGCTATCCGAAGCCCACTTGGGCTCCACTTTATTCTAGTCGGAATGCTCCGCCAAACATGAGCTGGTTCTGCTTGCCTGGGCTGACGCAGGTGCGGGCCCCTCGGCCACATGGTCCCAGCTAAGCCGCCTACTCTTCACTCGACACCAATATATAAACACAACAAGTTGCGCACTTCTGATGATTTTTAAATTACTTCCCAACTAAAATTGCTTCTGACCATGACTGTTCCAGATGTCTCGCAGTTCAATCCTCGGACGCAACTGCTCCCTCACATCGTCGACCACTACGCGAAGGTCAAACCCGACGCCATCTATGCCGAATACCCAGTCTCTCTGATGAGCTACGACGATGGCTATCGCCCGATCACATTCAAAGCATTTGCCAATGCCATCAACGGCATTGCTTGGTGGCTGACTGAGAAGCTGGGTCCTGGTGACGGTGAGACCCTGGCTTACGTGGGGCCTAATGACTTACGGTACCCGGCATTGGTATTGGGTGCTGTCAAGGCAGGATATCGCGTATGTCATTGATATTTGTGATATGAAATGAATTAAGCTGACGCTTGATCTTCGAAGATGTTTCTTACCTCCCCAAGGAACAGCGTGGCTGCTCACAGTAGCCTGTTCAATCGCCTCAGTTGCACTAAGCTGGTCACCCCAGTGCCTCATCCACCACCAGTCAAGGCCATTCTGGAAGGACAAACGCTGGATGTTCTGGAGGTCCCTAGTGTCGATGAGCTGATCAGCAAAGAATATGCTCATTTTGAGTTCTCCAAGACTTACCCAGAAGCTGCTGGAGAGATTCTAGCTGTGATGTAAGCCCCTGATTGACCGAGCAGCGATGGAAGACTAACTCTCCAGTCATACGTCTGGCTCCACGGGTATCCCGAAGCCGATCTTCTGGAGCCATGATAGTGCTTGCAAACATATGCACACGACGGTGCTGGATCCCCCGAAAGGTCACGAGAGCCAAGATAGCTGGTTGTTTGGCAAGCGGATATTCCTCGTTCCGCCACCTTTTCATGTAAGCCTTCGCTGCATATCTGCAGATAGCATAGGAATCTAATGATATTGTAGGCTGCAGGTTTGGCATACTCACTGTTCTTAACCATTCCAGTCGGCACTACCGTCATTTTTCCGGCATCTGGGGGGCTTCCCACCGCTGCCTCTCTCGTAGAGGCGAGAAAGAAGACACAGATTGATATTCTTTTGGGTGTTCCATCAATCATTCAAGAATTCTCCCAGAGCCCGGAGCTCTTGGACTACTGCAGCAAGCACCTCGATCGCTTAGTTTACTGTGGCGGAGACCTTCCCCAGCCAATCGGGGACGCCGTGGCATCCAAGATCAAACTCATGAATCTATACGGAGCCTCAGAAGTAGGCATGATTAGCACTATTCATTCCAAAACTAACCGAGATCCTCGCACGGATTGGCGATATCTTCACATCAACCCCCGGATGGGAGCTGAGCTGCGTCACGTCGCCGATCAATACTACGAACTCGTGATTGTTCGAAGCCCAAAGTCTGAAAAACATCAGCTCTCCTTCACAATCTTCCCAGATCAACAGGAATACCACACCAAAGACCTTTTTGTGCGGCACCCGGACCCTAGTAAGCCGGACTTGTGGCGCTGGGCCGCTCGTGCGGATGACGTGATTGTCTTCCTGAACGGTGAGAAGACCAACCCTGTGTCTATGGAACAGCACATCGCTGCATCCAATCCAGAAGTGACAGCAGTCTTAGTTGCTGGGGCACGTCGCTTCCAAGCATCTCTCCTGGTTGAAATTGGCGGAAAAGATCTCACTGCACATGAGCGCGCCGCGATGATTGAGAAGGTCTGGCCGAGCGTTGAAGAAGCCAATGCGGTTTGTCCAGCTCATGCGCGCGTGGCAAAAACACACATTCTGTTCACAAAGCCAGACAAGCCTATGCTTCGTGCCGGGAAGGGAACGATTCAGCGGGCTGCCTCGCTCGAACTGTACACGTCTGAGTTGGATGCCTTATATGCCGATGCGGACAAACTATCGCAGGCAACCAGTAATGGTGAACCTGCTAGACCTGGCCAGGTGGATGATCCGAAAGTTCTTTCCGATTACATTAGGAGAACAATTAACTATGTCACTGGGTGGGATCTCACAGATAATCAAAATTTCTTCGAGTTGGGCCTTGACTCCCTCCAGGCTATCACTGCCACTCGGGCTTTCAAGAATGGTCTTGATCTCCCGACGCTCACTCCAAACCTGATTTATCTCCATCCCTCTGTGGATGAACTCACCCAGGCAGTGCTTCACCTGCAGCAACACGAGGAGGCTTCCGCTGAGGAGAAAAAAGAAGCCCAGCTGCAGCAGCGGGAAGAACTACTACAGGAACTCAGTAGCCAGTTCCAAGCGCCCAAGTCCCATGTGGTCATTTTGACCGGCTCGACAGGTAACCTGGGCAGCTACCTTCTCGACACCCTCCTACAGTCCCCTTCCGTTACCTACGTGCATTGTTTGAACCGCAATCCTGACGCAGAGGCAAGCCACCGCGTAAAACGTAACGGCATGAAAACCGATCTGTCTCGCGTGAGCTTCTGGACGGCGGACCTCTCCCAGCCGGACCTGGGTCTGGGACCTGATGTCTTCAAAACCCTGCGAAACATTGCCACTCTGATCATCCACAACGCCTGGGCAGTCAACTTCAACCTCAGCCTGTCGTCCTTCAAGCCTAACCTCACCGGCGTGGTAAACTTGATAAACTTCGCTGCCCAATCACACCAGTCACCCCATCTCTTCTTCCTCTCATCCATTAGCTCCACTATGGGCCACCACACAAAGACCGGCCTGACCCCGGAAGAGGTGATCACAACTACGAACCCCGGACCCAACGGCTACGCAGATAGCAAGTACCTTGCAGAGCAATTACTAGCGCAAGCGGCTCGCCAGGGCCGAGTGCACGCCTCTTTCGCACGTGTTGGTCAGATAGCGGGCCCGGTCCGCTCAAAGGGAGTATGGAACCAGACTGAATGGTTTCCGAGCCTCGTTCGCAGCTCTTTTCACCTGGGTATCTTGCCTGATACACTCGGACCAGCCCTCAATCGCATCGACTGGGTACCGGTTGATCTGCTCGCTGAAGTCCTAGTGGACTTGGCAGTGGCTGGTCAAGGCGTGGGAACCAGGGGTGTCCAGGTGTACCACCCACTGAACCTGCACCCGGTAGACTGGGAGGTCATTCGTCCAATGGTCGCTGAAGCTCTCTTTAAGGTTTCCAGGAAGACTATCGAGACTGTCCCCTTTAATGAGTGGGTGCAGCGCGTCCGGCAGGATCTGGAGATGGCTGGTAGTACCGGCGAGAAGATGAGTGACGAAGAGCTGCAGAAACGATTGGCCAAGAATCCAGCTGCAAAGTTGCTGGAGTTCTTTGAGGGGATTATGTCCCAAGCTGAGCGGGCGAATGTGCTGGATACAAGGCTGACGGGACAGATCAGCGAGAAGTTGCGGGCTGTGGATGCGGTGAAGCCGGAATGGATTTATATGTGGGTGGAAGGGTGGATTCGTCGCGAGTTGGTCGTGGATTGGTCATGTTTCGCCCGTGAGTCGGGTGTGTGGAAACGCACCTAATATAGTGATGTTCCAGAGAGTGATGAGAAGAGGGGCTTTCTTTATAAAGATATATGACAGAGTGCTGCATTTAAGTAACAAGGGTGATTAAAGGCCTTCAGTAACTTCTATGACATCCATGCGCATTGCACACTTGAATCTAAATGGTAGTTCAGATTCAGGTGACCGGTTATACTTTGGAACCTGTTTGAGCAAGATTGCCTAACTCGGATCTCGGATGAGGAAGCCGAGGTCACCCGAAGATGTGCTTCGTGACTGTCTCTCGCCGTAGTATGCAGTAAGGACGTCAGAGATATACAGAGCATATTCCTTTACCAATATGGCCTGTAAAGTTTAATCAGGAACCATATATCATGTCAAGACGAAGGGTCAAGAATATATAGATTTGATCTATCTAGATCTCAAGAAGATGGTTGGTGGTTGTGTTGGAAGAGGTGGTGGTCAGAGACCACGCAGGAAGAAAGGCAAAGGATCAGCTGACAGCTGCCTGGCTGCAGTGAATGTCTCAACATATCATAGTCTCATGTAGCAACAAAACATCAGATCTTCTACTAAATAACTTGAAAGAAAAATACACCATCTGCCCACATGACAGCAGCTGAGTAACCTCAATCATAACTAGCAACCGGCTCTCCCAACACATCCATCCTCGGCCTAACCCCCAACCCCGGACAAGTCGGTGCCGTCAGGACCCCCTCATGCACATCAAACGGCCCATCCGCCGTCTTCCCAACACACATAGCCCTGCACTCCAAGATACACCTCAAATACTGCTCCGGAATAGTCTGTCCGAGATGCACAATCGCCGCAAACGCCACGTCCGAACCACTCGTATCCTGAACAGACATGGTATACCCCGCCGCAAGACAAATATCCCTAACCCTGCGTCCTCGCGTCAACCCACCCGTCTTGGAAATCTTCAACCCGATCCCATCAACAGCATCATCCGCAACGAACTGCACAATCGAGCTCTCATTGTTCGCCAACTCATCAAAGATAATCGGCACATCAATCCGTCGTCGAAGCGACATGCTCTCCCTATACGTAGCACAGGGCGCTTCCAGGACAAAGTCCAGCCCTTTAGGAAGTAACCTGAACATCCGAAGCGCAGTATCAACAGTCATGCCACCATTAGCATCGATCAAAAAGAACTCCCCTGGTCTCTTATCCACCAGAGCAGCTTCCACCCGTGCAGCATTAGCCACGGGGTCCGAGCCAATCTTCACCGAGAACCCCGTAAACCCCAACGCCCTTGCATCAGCAACATGCTTGCGCGTCCCCTCAGGATCCGCAACGGGGATCGACTCCAGAACAGGGAGCTTCGTTTCTGTCCGTCCGCCGAGCAACTCACACACGGGAAGTCCAACAGACTTGCCGAAGATATCCCAGCAGGCAATATCGATGGCGGATTTTGCTGGCTCGTTGCCTAGTAAGGCGGCGTCCATGGCATCGTTGAGGCGATCGACTCGGCGGGGGTCGAGGCCGACGAGCTTGGGGGCGATCTCTGCGATAGCGGCTCTGACTCCGCCGGCATGCGATGCAATGTAGTTGTCGAAGGGGGTGCTTTCGCCCCAGCCTTCGAGGCCGGTGTTGGTGGTGACGCGGACGAAAGTGGCGTCGAAGCGGGTGATTGCCCGGCCGCCGGAGAGGTGGTATGTGCCGTGAGAGTAGGGGAGGTCGACTTGAAAGACGTCGATTTTGGTGATTCTTAGTTCGGTCATTTTGGCGATGTGGTGAAATGTAGTAAGTTAGATTTGGGTTGTTTGTTGATATGTTGGTATATCTAAGGGAGGCCTGTTTAGTAGGTTTATATCTCAGAACTGTTGGACTCTCGGGAGCTTTGGGTTCGGGACGGATGAGGCTGCTCACAAATAAGTGATCAAATGACTTCGTATTCCTTGGATGAAGTGTTATATTATTAATACCTACACTATGGATGGACAAGGATCGCGATACTACATCCGATCTGGACCCTCGGATGTCCAGAGACATGGGGAATCCTTCTACGGCTCACGGTCCGAGCCGACAGGGTCCAGTCGCCGATCGATCGCCGACCCAGACTTCCGACAGTATACTCTCAGTGGGATATCCGAGGAGTACCGAGACCCAATAATCCCTGTTTGCAGCCGATGGTCAAAAGCGGGGATACAACAACAGGCATATTGAGCCATTAATATAGACTGGCTCCGTGTTTAATGTGGAATAGGCCGGGACATTGCCTGCTTTTCTGACAGAATCATGTCCGACGCTATGTCCATCGACCAAAACACAAAACACTTGGCATATACCGGGCGGTGTTTATGCAAAGGAGTTGGCTTCACAGTAAAAGGCAATCCAAACGCGGTTTACTGCTGCTATTGCGGTGATTGTGCTCTTGGGGCTGGAGGGCCTTGTCAGATTGTGCGTATAGGTTCTTTCTCTCTGTCCTCCCAGATAGATGACCTAATATTGCCCGGAATAACGCTAACATGCTTTTGCCCCAGACTGCAACATACTTTACACCTGACTTCACCCTCCATGACGCCGAGGGGCTTGCCAAACGCTACATCGTCAATGATACCCTAAGTGGACGTCCGAAAGTCAAGTGTTTCTGCAGCGGCTGCGGGTGCACTATTTTCACGATTCCTGCGAGTGACGGGGACGAGGAGATAGTTGTAAGGACGGCACTTATTGAGGATGGGTATGTGAGATGATTATTCTCGCTCTTCATGATCGAGTGACATACTTATTGATGATGATATTACTAGCCTGGAACTTTTCAAACCCACCATCGAGTGCTACGTGAGAAACCGACCAAGCTATTTCTCTGCTACCGCGACGGGCAAACAGTATGGCCTTTTGCCTTGAAACGGATGCTACAGAAGGCGCGGGGTTAGCGACTAAAATCCATCCATCAATTTCAATTAACCGTCATTGAATGCTTAGCTGGTCCTTATTTTAGTTTTTTATTATGTTAAAATTGATGTATGATATACGCACCCTGCATAATTGATGATCTAAATTCTTTCAAGTCTAAATATCCGTGGACTCGTCAATCTTCGGTTCTGCACACCCTCAAACAACTTAATTCTTACTGCATAAGCCACATGGGGCCAAAACACACGCATTATCCATACACGGCAATCGCGCAATCACTGCACCTTCATCAGTCTTACCTTAACAAGCTTAGAATGACAAGCTTAGATAGTACAAGCCCAGACATTGGCTCATTTAGACTTATATATTAACGCTGCCCCCTGCGTCAATCTAGCGGCAGCTCTGACAATACAAGGCAGACTAGGGCCTACAATTTACGAGCTTTTGGCCCCCAAATCAGCTTCGCGTTCCCCGCGCATGTTCCAAATATAATGGAACAGATGCCACACATTTATCATCAAAGCTTTCAAACCCACATGAACCACTGACCATGGCCAATTTAGGCAGTTGGCAGCACTATAACCGAGATGCCTCAATTTCAATTACATTGTTGGGTGTCTTCTTCGTGGGACTGCGCTTTCTCTCGAGGCATCTAGGAAAAGTGCCCCTGGGCCTGGAGGATGGGCTGATTGTGGCCGCGGTGGTATGGCATCTTTCACCATACGCAGGGTTCAATTTGACGAAAAACGTAGTTGAACTTATTCGTCATTTTCGCACTCGATATAGAGAGTAAGTCACCTCTAAATACTCTCTAACTTTCTGCTTTATCTTGAAGATATTCTAAAATCTAACAGTGGTAAAATACGGCCTTGGCCTGCACCAATCCACCATATCCATGGATAGCCTAATAACCATCAACAAAGTAAGCCCTATCTCTCCGTACTCTCTTCTGACAAGCAAGCCATTCTAATACCATAGCAGCTCCTTCTCCCCGCCGAAATATTCTACTGCACCTCAATAATCCTCACCAAAACCTCCATCCTAGCAATGTACCACCGGATCTTCCACATCCATAGGCCCACCCGCATAGCCGTGTACATCCTGGGAGTGATAACGATCATCAGAGCCATATCCCTCATTTTTGCCTCCATCTTCCAGTGTACTCCTGTCGCTAGGGCGTGGGACAAATTCCAATACCCCGGTCGATGCATTAACCTCAAGGATACGTTTATTGCGAATGATGTTGTGAATGCTATCACTGATGTAGTCATTCTGGGGCTCCTGATCGGGAGAGTGTGGAAAGTGCAGGCAGGGTGGGGGGTAAGGATGGGCGCCGTGGGGATGGTCTCTTTGGGGGGTTTGTGAGTATTTTCTTTCTATTTCTCAATTGCTTATTCGTCTTGTTCTTCTTGCTTTCGTAGAATGATTAAAAGATATGCTGACAGTAACATGTGATGTGGATAGTGTGGTTTTCACGAGCATATATCGCATCATCACGCTTGTTGACGTTGATTTTGATGACTTGACATGTGCATTCACCCGTTTCTCCCCCTGCAAGTGGTGAGTAATATACTGATCAGTCGCAGATACACTAGGCCGATCGAACGCATGGTGTGTAATAGAAGTCTCTTCGGGGATTATCTCTGCGTGTCTCCCTACTCTACGTCCACTGGCAAGAGCTCTGTTTCCGCGAGTGTTCAGCAGAAAGCAGTCCTCTCGGGGACAGGGGAGTTCAAGCTATCCTAAACCAGGCCTTCGTGGGCTATCAGGCGAATCTAGTAAGGACATATTGTCTAAGAGACCAGATGTGGGTGTGGAGTCAGATGGGGATGAGTACCCGTTGACTGTGGTTAAGATCAAAGGGGAGAGCTGTAGGAGAAATTGAATTCCAATAGCGACTGGTTCCGTTCATATTCGGGTACTGGTTCATCTTGAAACACCGTTGGTTCATTGAATTGCTAGAAATCCTAATTCGGCCTTGATAACTTGCCATCCTTTGATGTCAATTGTCGTACCTACAGTAAGCCACAGGCTTATTCGCTTCCAGATAACACGTGGTCCTCGCAGACTGTGGCATTGTCAGACTGGGATGCCTCATCAGCTGTTTGATAACGCAGTAACGACTGTATTATATTGTCATGTTTACTGTGACGTGCATAAAACAAAGCCGTCTGTCCCTCGTCATCGCGCACATTCCAATCAGCGCCGCTTTCTAGCAGCAAATTGACCTTCTCCTCCTGACCCCAAAGAGCTGCATAGATTAATGCAGTAGATCCTCTGTTGTCTTGACTGTTGAGCTTAGCGCCACATTCCAGAAGCGAACGAACGCAGGGGATGCTTGTGGTATGCTGAGAAGAATAGATTAGGGCTGTTCTCCCATCTGAATCCTGGCGGTTCACATCCGCGCCTTTCATTAGTACCAGTTGACGAATGACATGACTCCAAGATTCCTCAACGGCTAAAATCAGCGGAAAACCCCCTGTTTATCTGCGGTTATCTCTATATCTACACCACTTAGGATAAGTAAAGTAGTTATCGGCTCGTGATCTCTTCGCATAGCCCACAGAAGAGCCGTCTGATCTCTATTGTCCTGAATGTCCAGATGGGCTCCACCCTGGACTAGTGCTTCAACAATCTCGTAGCACCCATTTTGGGCTGCATAAATCAAAGCCGTGGCGCCTGTAACGTCGCCAATATTAACCTGCGGCCCAGATGCCAACAAGAGACGGGCCTTTTCTACTTGTCTGTCAAGGGCTGCACGAATCAAGGCGGTCACACCATTTCTATTCTGAATATTCAGATCGGGGCCACTTTGTAACAGTTCACCGAACGTCTCATCGGAACAAAAGGCAACTGCCTCGATCAAAGCCGTGTTACCATAGCTGTCCTGAGAATCAAGCTGAGGTTTGTAGCTCAAGAGGAGGCGAACTATCGGGTCACGTCTTACAGTGACTGCGCATATCAAAGCAGTGTCACCATTTCTGTCTTTGAGATTCAGGTCTACACCATAGTCCAGGAGTAGCTTCACGACCTCTTCTTTCCCACTTAGGACTGCATGATGCAAAGGAGTCCGTCCGTGCCAGTCAGTCATGTTTGGATCGGCTCCATTTTCTAGCAGAGCTTTCCCGACAGCCAGATGCCCGCCAATAGCTGCCAACTGCAAAGGTGTACGCCTATCCTGCTGGCAATTTGCCGAGACTCCTTGGCACAAAAGCGCTTCAACCAAACGTTGATCACCAATCCGAGCTGCGTACACCAATTCAGCTTCGGAAGTTGAGGTTTCTTCTTTCTCGGGGCCACAATGTCGGTTCTCCAGAATCTTTGCAACATGTTTGTGGCCATTCGATGATGCCAGTTGCAGTGGCGTCATACAAAACTTGTCTTCTTGGTGCCAAAGACTGACGTTGTCGTGAAAATACTCGAAAAATTTCTTGCGTCCAAATTCTGCAGCCCACGCAAAAACATTTCTTCCCCAGCTGTCCTTTGCACCCAGATTGCCGCCGTGCTTGACAAGCTCTTTAGCAATATCGATCAGCCCAAAGTAAGCTGCCAAGTGAAGCCCGGTGATGTCTTGTGGATTGTCTAGCTTCATATCATAAGAGCGGCAACCCCGCAGAGCCATGTGCTGTGCATACAACGCCACCTTTTCCTTCGACATCAGCAGTGGCAGTAGGAGGTCATCAGCTACTGGGTCAAGTTGACCATGGTAGTCCCAATATTGAGCCGCATAGCGGTAAAAGGGATGCTGGGACACTATGGCTGCGGCATCCTGACTCATAGACCGGTCAAAGGACAGATATGTGACACATGCTTCGGCAATCTTCCGATAGCATTTGGAAACCATTCTTCCAGGAAGTTGCTATAAAAGCCCTGTGTGGTAGGGTGGTCGAGACGGACAACGCCGCTCTCCATGTCCACAGAAACGAGCCCCACACACACAGAGATTATCAATGTGGCATCAGCAACGTCTTCCGTGTCAATCGAATGACTGCCTGTTTGTATCGCTAATGCATGCTGCAATTCCAAGATACTCAGAGGTCTTTTAGCACAAACAATCCATGAAAGGGCATGTATTGCCAGGTTTCTCAAGTTTGGTGATTGACTCTCGATACGCTTCATGGTCTCTTGGTACGCCAATCTCCGAAGCCCTGAATTGTTAGACATCTCTGTTAATGCCCGGTGCATGCGCTTGGGTGAGACTTGGTCCCGCAAGGAATCGAGGCACAGCCTTGCAAAAAGAAACCTGCGTTTGTGTTCAGTCAGATGAGGGTCAGAAATCACAGTCTATCCCCTGCCCCATGGTACTTACATTCCGCTAGCAGCCCGGGGAATTTCCTTTGATATTCTGTCTGCCATTGCTTGATCCTGCGTGACAAAGGACGGCAGGGAAGTGATATTTCCCTGAACATACCTTCGAATATCTTCATCCGTGGCACGTATTTCCAGAAAGGAACAATCGTCCCTTTCCCTGAAGATCTTTTCAATCTCGGGGGCGAAGCGTGAGGTTGCGAGTATATTTAGGCCAGTAGCATCCTGTATTCGAAACAACTCCAATAAGAATTCCGTAGGTTCTTTGTGTAGACTTTGGATTTCATCCACCGCGTCGACAACGATGTATATTTGCCTATCACTGCTCATAGAACAAAGAACGTCGATAATCTCGTGTGTTGAAGGTTGCGTGCCCCTGACACTATGTCGACCGTAAAGAGCCTTCAAACCCTGCATCAGATGCCGGTCTTGTTGGGCAAGCTGTTTCAAAATTGACGCGACAAAGTTCTTGGTTCTCTTTTGTGATGGAAAGTTGAAGCTGAAGAACACATATCCAAGTGCGTGATTCAGGTTGTCATTGTGCCGGTGTGTATTAATATATTCAATGATGGTAGCTGCCATAACCGTCTTGCCTGCGCCAGGAATGCCTAGACAGAGTAGTGTTTGTCCTCTGGTCTGATACCAGGACTGGAACTCGTCCGAGCCCAATAACCACTGGCCTGTTCCTGGGTGGATTTCATCGAAGACGAAACTTTTGTCTAGATCGTAGGAAAAATCATTGAGCCATCTGAGAATTACCTCGTTATGATTGTGGGATATCATTTCATCAAGTTTGGCGACTCGTTTTTCTATTTCTCCAAGATTTCGCAATACTGCTCGGTATTAGCTGGCAAGTCTCTGGTAACAAGTATACTTTGACATACAGTCTTCGTTAGTTCGAGAAGTGATTTCGGTACTGCCGACATCCTCAGGTGGTATGACTCGTAGGAGATCTTTGGCGTACGCGGCCGCCATGGCTGCTGCGTAGCGCTGCCAATGATCATTTTTATGATTATCAGAGTAGTCTGCTATTCCTCGGACAATCAAGCAGGGAAAGTAATTCATAAGACCCGCTGCTTCCATCTCGAAACAGCACACTCCCCAGGTATCTCTCAGATGATCGCGATATACAGCGGACCTCATGACAGCGTTGGCGGAGGCAATGAGACCGTAGTGTACGGCAGGATTATCTGATTCACGATCAAGGCGTGTCTCTAAATGCTCGGTGCCGCAGCCCGAACAATCAAATCCCTCAGTGTGCGGGTGACTTGGTTTGTATAGTCGGTCTAATTCGCGGCCAGGGAATTGGAAGCCCCACAATCTAGCCTGCTCGAGTTTCTACTGATATCTTCAAAGTAATCGATCATCTTTCCCATCCCACGATCATGGTCTGACTTTAGCAGGTTCATGGCAGCCAGCAGATCTTTTGGAGGCCGTTTCAGATGAGATCTGATTTCAAACACTCCATCCTCTCCCCACCGACCTTTGTCGTACTGCAGCACCCCACCTTGATTATTGTGAGAACCTGAGTGGACTAGATAAAGCACAAAGTCTAGAATTGGGTATATGAGCAGAAGAAAAAATTGAATCTTACTGTGTTTTCCATTTGGCTCAATAACGACAACATCTCCCAGCCGAATGTCATTCAACGGGTTCTTAGGATCAGGTGCCGAGGTGCCCCCCCGCCTATGCCGACCATCAGGCCAAATCGGATATCTTGAAATGTGCGAACCATGTGTGCCACCGTATGAGCAATGACATCTGCACCGTACGAGCCCGCTCCAGGAAACGCAATGACTACTTTGTGTTCTCCCATTGCGCCAACGATATAGACATTGTTATCATTCGGCCGTCTAGGAGGCTGTTCATGCTCTTCATCCAGGAATGCTCGAGAAGCAGTGACCTCATCCTTGCTTGCGCAGACCCAGCCTACGGTGTAAACGCTGGTATCAAACCTGGGTGGCATAGTTGAAATTTCTTGTCCACCTCAGTCACGGAGAGCGTGCGATAATTTTCCGAGGAAGATATAAGTGGACATTAGATACCTGGCACAGCAGGTGAGGTAAAGGATTCAATATAATCCCTTTCGGGAGCTGTTATTAGGCATCAGCCTCACTCATGTCGACCTCCTCGCGCGCGGGCGCGTACGCCTAGAGGGGCAGCCAATCGAAATCGTACATGCAAGAACAGCACATCGCAGCCTTGTACTCTGTACTTGCTTCCCCGCCTCGGCGCTACGGCCTTTGGGTGACACCCAATCATGCCAAGTACCAAATCGTGGGTTGATGTGCTAGTGGTGGGTGTTGAAACCCAGTGGAAAGGAAATCCGAAGGGACCGAAATATTTTTTGGAGAAGCCATTACCTGTTACATCAGCAGTGTCGGCAATGAAATGTTGAAATGGTCGGAATATTATTCTGATGTTGGACAAACGACGAATACTGAATGTAGTGGGCGGTAGATGTCAACTCATTGTGTCTACTGTCTATAACACCACCTTCAATTGCTTCCGACCGACAAAGTCCACTAGTAGTGAGTTTATTATAAGCCAGAATACGAATATCAACCGCTCTCAAGATAAAAAGACCCTCTCCCTCCTCATCGCCACCTTATTATCACTCCCCAACTTCCCCAACTCCGCCCGATCCAACCATCCCGAACCCACTCGCTCATGATGTCCCTTCTTTCCACCCCCAACTTCCTTCACAAGGAGAACAAAAATCCCAATATGATCCCGCGGCGTGCATAGGGTAATATCATGTTCGGCCTCGAAGAGCACCAGGCCTGTATATTCCTCCTCTATCACCCCATCTTCGTCTGAACAAGGAGGTGGCCCACAGAACAGCACCGGAGCACGGGAATACCCATTCCCTATAATGATTCTGAACGCAGGAACAAAACTCGTCCCGGAACGAATACTCAGTATCTTAATCCGGAGACAATGGAGAACAGTACATTCGATCTGCAGAAGGGGCGAGAGTTCAGGAATAAGGTTCCTCCAAGGAGCGCTGTTATGATTGATGAAGAAATCCTCTATTGGGATATGGCTATTACGCCTATTACGACCGAAGCAAATCCATATGCGAATAGGCTGATGGCCATCCAGCTCCTGCGGAAGAAGATCTTCCTCTGCACAGGGGAATCTCCTCACCCAGAGAAAATAGTAATATGAGACCTGACCTATCCAGCCGGCCCAGGACCAGCTGGGAAATTCACTTCTTCGAATCAAATGTCTGTTGTTGCCATTGCCGTCACTAGTATCACAGCGGGGAGGCCGATAGATAGGTTCCCAGGCCAGTGCGCAGGCGAAGCGTAAATTATGATCGTGCGCTAGAGCATAGGTTGACTCCTCACCAAATAATAACGGAATGCCGTAGTACGTTGGGCGACTGGAGCGAGCGAGAACGCCTCGAAAGGCGTTGATAGCGTCGGTATTGTAGGAGAGGATTCGACTTGAGTAGTGTGATAGGTGTGTACGGAAGGCCCATGGTCGGGACGGTGTCATGGAATAATATGCTGGATCTTGGGGTATTTGATGGGTAAACCGAGAGCAATCGAGACAGTCGTTGATGGCGGGTTCTGCGTCTGTTTGGGTCATGGACATGGGTGAGAGATGAAAAGGAGAGAGCACAGTCGACTCGCAGTGTGTGGTCTCTCCGCACATATAGTAGACTTGAAAGTCGGTGAAGAACAGACATCGACGCGAGAGAATTACTTCCTGGAAGGTCCAGCCACGGGAGATCCATGGACTGGTCGATAAGGCACTTCGGATGGAAGGCAGTGTAGATACCAGTCTCAGGTTTGTCCCAGATGCTGTCGGTGAGGTTGCTTGCGGTTGGCGTTGTCGCGGAACTGCACCAACGCCAGGTAACCCAGAAATCGAAATATCAGAACCAGCGGCGATTATAGTAGCATATGCACCGGAATATATCAAATCCATGTGAGATATTTGGATGTGCTTTCCCTGCACGTCGTCCTGGTCGATGCAGTATTTGTCGACCCAGATATACCTGCCTCCAAGGTTGAGGACGACGGTGATGGCATCTTCAATAGTACCGTGCACACAGTCTGGAAGAGAGGTTTTAGAGTTTTGTATTTGGCCAGCTGTGTCCTCCGATGACGGTGTTCCCCATACGTAGCTCAGCGCGAAATACTCACATCCTGGCTGCAGAGGGACAATTTTCCGGGTCTGGCAATCGATCACCTGTTGCAAAAAAGACGGAGGACTAAGGGAGCAAGTACATCGAGGCCCATGGTGACACTCGCAGTTCTTCATCCACTCTTTCAGGCGGGTGTAATTGATCTGATTTGGTGACACTCGGACCCCGTGAGTCCGTGGATTGGCGACCCTAGGCCCCTCCACCGGCATAATGACGCTCTGTTCTAGGTGGCTGCAGATATCGAGAACCCTGGCTTCACTTGTAACGAAGACATCATCCGCGCCCCCCGGAAAGACCGCGAAAAACACACTGTTTGACTCATCACTCATATACTCATTCCCCCTGCGAATTTCCTTGATAATATCTCGTCGTTTAGGTTCTGTTGCCATCTCTGCCGTGACTCCTACTTCCTTTATAATGCTGCTGAATGCACGTAAATGATATTGGCTTGTATCCCATGTTGTTTGGAGGGCTGATATGTCGAGGTCAAGTTTGACCTTGTCGAAGAGGTCGCACATCGGACATGGCGTGTTTGGGTCGGAAGTAATACTACCCAGTGATGCAATTGGCAGACCCTCTAGTCTTGCATCTCGGACATCCTTGCCGAGCTGGAGGATTGTATCGAAGTCGATGGTGCGACATCTGGCGCAGAGGGGTGCATCTTGCTCTACGGCATACATGGTTTGGCGCAGTGGAGGGAGTTAGTAGTTCGGAAGATTTGGTCCAAAGATTCCTTTGGGCGGAAATCACGTATTGCGCATTTGGGCTACTACCCACGGGGCATGCGAACCAGATTAATCGTTGCAGCTGTCATGGGCGTCGAGCTGACATGAGCCCCGCCCTGCAGGATCAGACACTTGGCCCGAGCTGCGGACACTAATAAGAACAGAAACGTGGGGGCCGAATGTCTCAATGCAAGCACTGGAAAATCACAACAAGGACATGGCCGGTAATTCTAACGCAAGATAAATCCCGGAGAAAGAGGATCTTCCTCATTAATAAAAAATCGCGACTGCGCAACGAGATGCGCCTGGCCTCTGACACGCACCACACAGGAATCAAAGCCCGGGACAGGGCAAGTCCTCAAGGACTCTATCTGAGCCTCAAAGGCCGACCCGATAATGGAGTGATGTAAAAGTTTCAGGTTCTCTCGAAGCTGACCGTCTCCAAATAGGGTAGCAATTCTCGCACAAGTTCCAGAACCACAAGGAGACCGGTCAATCTGGCCATCGCCGTAAACGGTAGCGCTTCTCTGGACGATTAACTTCTGATAATCTGGGTGGTCTCTTTCCTCCTCGAAAAAGATGACTGCGTATAGCTCATAATCGAGATAAGTTGCCCTATCACCAAGGGCTGCTTTTATTTCTCGCTGAAGTTTGATGAATGTATCCGCATTACTTGGCTTGACCTCGAGTCCCAGTTCAGCAGCATTCACCGAGGCCATCACAGCGCCGGCGAAAGCCAGATCAACACGAATCTCCTCATCACGAGAAGGGATCTTAACAGATAACCCTCTCGCTATCTGATAACTCGAGATATTGATAAAGTCCGCATGCACTGGCTTGCCGTGCCTCACAGTAACAGACGCTGACACACGGCCCGACGGAACATCAACCACCACCTCCACAGCTCCATTCTCTGGGACCTCGACAAGACCTTTAGATACAGCCCAGTACCCTAGGGCGATGGTGCCATGACCACATGCCGTTGAGAAGCCGCTTGTATGCCAGAACAGCACGCCGAAATGCGCACCCTTGTCGTCCGGCGGCGTGATAAAGCCCCCGTACATGTCAGCATGTCCGCGAGGTTCATGGCTGAGGAATTTGCGAAGCCTATCCAGCGGGTGGTTCTCGGTCTGAATGATCTCAGTGCGGCGGTCAGAGACAGTTCTACCTGCTGGCATGAACCCTGATGGAAGTCGGGGAATGATGCGGAATGGCTCGCCAGCCGTGTGCCAGTCCTCAGACTCAATCCAGTAAGATGGGTTGTTTGTCATTGTTTGGGAAAGGGGAAACAAAGGGGAAATGGCTTGGAATGGGATGTAATTTATGAGGCCAATGATGTCAAAATGGTATATACTGAGTTAATTAGGATAGCTACTTAGATTGAGGCTTTGAGGAGAATGTGTTGCTTTTGATTATAATATTTCTGGTTGTCGAAATAGGAAAGTACCCCCAGGTACCAACCGGAAACGGCAACATTACAATCCACGGTTGAGCTGGTCACTCTGGGAAGGCCGATCATCCCGCGTATCAATATTATCAGTATTACAATTCATTATTTACATGTTTTCTTTTCCCCAACAAGGTTTCTGGTTCACTGGAGAAAGAAATGAAATAAACAAAGTTCGAAAAAGAAAAAGAAGGGGAGGAAAAGGGGAGAAAATTGTCAGTGTTCGGAGTTTGAATAAGTCCCCCTTTGCCCCATTCCCTGGGAAGGAAAAGAAATGAAGAATAATGAGACAAATACAATGAGACCAGAATGAAGTGATCTCACAATAAAACGGTGACAGTCAAGGCTAATTAAATCATAGGTAAGTTAGCGTCACTGCAGATGACGACCAGCGCACATACAAGTCTATACAAATGTGCTCGACCCAGGCGTAAATTTCGTGTTCATAGAGACACTGCACGTTCAAATTAAAAGGACGCAATCTGCGCTGTTCCGTCGCTCTTGATCCGTCGTTATTGCTTCTGCCACACTCCTGAAAGTACTATCGTCCAACATTCCAATCTCATTCCATGTCCAACCCCCACCCCGGCCCGAACACCTCCCGGAACACATCCGCAAACCCTTCATCCAAGCCCATCGCAACAGACCCCAGGACTGGATCGCAGCTGCTCCCCACCAGCCCCGATTCAGATGAACAGTGCAGCCCGCTATCCGCAACAACCCCAGGTCCGATCCCCGTCCCAACTCTCGCCCGCAGGATACTAAGCAAATGCCTCCCCAGCACAGCTGCAATCCCAGTTCGATGAGACGGTGTGCTCCCTGCCTTCTCCAGCTGCAGGGCTACTTGTCCTAGTAGTGCCAGCAACTCGGTCTCGTCACCGGGATGGGTTCCACACAGAGCGGGGAACAGTCTGAGGGCCAGAGTGGCGGCGTAGGCTATCATAGCCCAGGTTGGGGAGAGTAGACAATACAGAGGTTCACCAATTGATTGGAGATCGTGCACGGCGAGGGTACAGCATTGCACGGCGGCCATAAAGCAGTCTTCCTGAAGGGCGTGGGAATGAATGGTCTGGGTATGTAGGGCGAAAGAGAGCGTCCAGAGACGGTTGTGGAGATAAACGTAGGTCAGAAAGGCCGTGGATATGTTGGGGGAGGGGGTAATGGCTCTAGTCGTGCAGCCAGGAAGCCAGGTGATTCGCCAGGGATCGAGGGTGGAGTCGACAAGATTGCGAACCCAGTGGGGGTTATCGTGAGACAAAGAGGCTTGGTGGTGCAAGGTGCGATGGAGGCCTGCCAGATACCGACGGAGGAGAATAAAGGCACATGTGTCCTTGTCCGTCGAATCGGCGAGGGGATGATGCCACCATTTGTCAATATTCCGGGTCAATGGCGACTCGGGAAAGGCAGTTGCGCGCCCATAAGCGGCGCTGGTAGCGCGTTCCCACAGCAGGATTCGCAGCCAGGTTCGTTCGCTATTGCGAGCTTGTCGCTGGGACATCACCGAGTCGGAGGGAAGAATATTGGAAGGGTTAGCTTGGTCTAAGCCGAGCTCAGTGGCGACGGCGACAGCGTAGGAAGTGTAAAGCCATGAGCGTTCCTCGGACAAGGCAGAGGCAGGGGTAGCGGAAAGAAGAGAAATGTAGTATCCTTGGACAATTTCAACGGACTTGTACCCGGATGTGTGGACATGGCGCGAGAGCATCTCGCCGTGGAGGCGCAGGCGTTTGGCGCACGATGCAGACTGGTGATCGAATTGAGCTGTAATGGCCAGGATCCATGTGAAGAGGAGAGCGGAGCGGGAGCGCACATAGTCGACGGTGTGGAGAATTGGGTCTAAGATGCCGTTGATGGGGTGTAAACGGACGAAATAGCTAGTACTCCGTTAGCAAGAGAATTCCCGGGGCGTATTGCACATACATTGAAAACAAAGTATGCGCATCCTCAAGCGATAATAGCCCCAGCTCAATAGGATCCAGGTCTGGGCCAACATCTCGAGGTGGATCCGCATCAGGAGGTCGGAAATAGCTTGAATGGCAGTGAATTGGCGGAGAGGGGGTATAAAGAGCATTGAGGCCTTGTGCCAATGTGTCTCGACTTAGCTGTAGTCCCAATGACACACAGCCCAAGCGCTGGAGCAGCTCCTGGCCACCATTTGTAGTGGATGGTCGATTTAGTGAGGAAGTCAATGGCTCTGCTACGCTAGATGCGTCCGCCAGCAGTGCGAGCGGATTGCTAACTGGTTCCTTCGGGGTTAGCAAGCCATCGTGGTTGCTTCTCAGTGCATCCTCTGTGGATGCAACTGGCGTCTCGCAGTTACTACCATGCTGCAGCTTCGCCACAATCAATTGGAGCAATTCCTCCTGGCCCGTGGTATTCAGCACCTGCTGTACCTCATCAGCCGACACAGGTGCTTTCTTCAGCTGTGCTTGCATTTTCCTATAGGACTTTTCGAATCCATTATAGCGACCAACAGCACCGGGCCGGCGGCCCAAAGGACGGGGAGGGGGGATGTCGCAGCGCCGATTGTTGCGTCGACAGCGGTCGCATGGCTGCGATGGGTCGGGCCGGATACAACGCATCTTTAGGTGGCGGCATACTTCGCACGCAGCAGCCGAGGGCCTAGAGGCCCTTGTAGCATGACTTGAGCGAGCGCCTCGGGCCATATTGGGAGAATAATGGGATAGGAGTCTCTAGGACGTCTTGGAACAAATCACCCGAATTGCCGAGAAATTCTGGAGAAATGCGGGGAATCACGGTATCCGGACAACCCTACCACAACCGGTTTCGCCACTTTCCATTCAGCATGGGCATAGACTGAAAGACTGTGCTTGGAATTCGATGATCTAAATTGCTATCAGCTTGACCGGAATGGTCTTTCGCTATGATCTGGACTTGTCATGCTGGTTCAGGCATAAGATCCCCGGGTGGGTCCTCCGGCCACTTAATTTAGCTACCGGAGGGTGGTTATATACCCGGCGCTCCGTCTTCAGCCATCATCACTCCAGGCATACCACTTTTTCATAGAAAAATCATCACAATATGCAAACAATTACCGTTGATGCCCTAATATGTGGCGGAGGCATGTCAGGCCTCGCCTGTGCCTCTTTCGCCGCGTCCTCAGGGGCTAAGGTTCTCGTTGTAGAGAAGCAGTCCACCGTGGGCGGGTCATCCAATTACTCCGCCGGGATGTTGTATGTTGAAGTTAGCACCTGTCAGTTATAGGGGACATATACTGATTACTTTGGTGCAGTTGGGGCCCTAAGTCCTACTCGAGTCTGCGCTCATGGGTACCATGGGGAGATCCCGATCTCCAAGCGGCCTGGATGCAAGATTACCTCCCAGCCGTACAATGGATGCGGGAAAATGGTGTCCCAGTGGCGCAGAGGTTCGATGGAATTATGACAATTGGCATGCCATTCTTCTTCTTGCAGCGAAAAGTAATTGACATAAGGTACAGGCATTGGTTTCCCCATCAATATTCCGCATCTCCATGCATATCATCAGCAGCGCATCAGGGATAGCAATACCGGCTCACAAATATTCACCGACACCGCAGTGGTGAAGCTTCTGCAGGAGGTGCCGGGTGTCCCTGGGTCGCGCGTTATAGGGGCCGTAATCCGTCGCGCGGATGGTACACACTACGAAGTTCGAGCGAAGCGGGTTGTCCTAGCTACTGGAGGATTTCAAGGTAACCCCAAGCTTCTGTCCGTGCACCTGGGCCAGCACGCAGACGATATGTTTGTGCGATCCAACAAGGGATCAGTTGGGGACGGGTTGACCCTGGGTACACAAGTAGGGGCAGGTAGCAGTCGTGGGATGAGTACCTTTTATGGCCACTTACTCGCGGCACCTTTGCAAACTGAGAAGGTCAACCCACGGGACTATTTGCCGTTGGCACAATATCGTAAGTGACATACGTCCTGGCCAAATATGGTTCTAACTATCCGGTAGAAAGCAAACATTGCCTACTTCTCAACGAGAGCGGTCGCAGGTTTGCAGATGAGACGACCGGCGACGAGATTATCAATCAGTATCTCGCGAAGCAAGAGAAACGGCGAGGATTTCTTCTATTCAAGTATGCCCCCTTAAGATTTGTTGAAGTACATGTCTGACAGTTCAGCGAACGCACTCGGACTCAGCACTGCATCTCTGCGCCCTTCCCGAACGCGGGCGAGATCGACCGTCTGGCCAAAGCGCAGGAGCACGGTTGCCGTGTCGGTAGTGCACCGACAATCAACGGGCTGGTCGAAATTCTCACACAGTGGGGAGTGAATGGTGCACAAGCTCGAAAGACAATCAAACAGTATGATCAAGCCATTCGGCTAGGTGATTCGACTGTGGCGTTGGATGCCCCTGTCGGTGCGGGTGGAAACCCTCCAGTCCCGTTGGTGGAGGGCGACGGGCCCTTCTTTTGCATGGAAGTGCAGCCATCGTAAGTGACACCTTCCCTTATCCAGGAGTAGAAATGACTGATCGTATAGGATCACTTTCACGTACGGCGGCATTAGAATCGACTCCAAGGGCCGCGCGCTGACGACTGATGGTAATCCCATCCCCGGGCTTTTGGTCGCAGGAGTCGATGGCGGAGGATTTAGTAATCTCGGATATGCGGGCGGGTTGGCTCTTGCCTTCGTGACGGGCTTTTGGGCTGCGAAGGCGATTGCGATGGAGTTGAATCTACCGGTTCCTAGCCTGCCGGCTGCAGATGCACGGGATGCGGTACATCGGGAAATTGGACTGGGAAGTAAACTATAGTAGAAATTCTCTCACAAATACCGTCGGTGTGTGTGAATGGACTTTTATGGAATGTTTCTCTACGTAGTTTTATATCAAAAGAAGAATAGTGATTGGATTCACGTATATTTCAACCTCGAAACCAACAACTTATAGTCCTGACAGTCACGCCCTGGGCCCCGCGGATTTGCCATCCTCTATAACCTCAACCCCGGCTTTCATCGCTGTCTGATGATGGTATTTCATAGCAACGGCAAATACCACAACACCCTCAATTGACAAAGACCAAAGGATAGGCAAGCTTCTTCGCAACTGATGGTTACATGAAAGAGCGTATCATAGATCTTCCTACCGGGCAGAAGATGTTCCCAGCGGTAGAACCCCCAGGATAGCTTAAAAGAACTAAGCGTGCGCGAGACACTTAAGATAGTCCACGTCAATATGACGAAGGTCTCGTTGCGAACTGGTGACACGCAATTCCTCGAAGGTGAAGATTACGTGCTCCAACTACCAAGCAGATCTAACGATGCGTACGCCTCGAGTAAGGCTATACAATCTCTGGTAAGGTCACACGAGATAATTGCTCTAACCTCAGAGCCTCTCTGAAGATCTGGTAGTAGTATCATTTCATCCAAATGCTTGAAGTGGATGAAAACAACGGAAGACCTACAGAATCCTTTGCTGTATCGTACTAGCGCCGGGTATACCCGTGGTTGGCCCTGGACCCCCACACATTCGGATCCACCGACTCTTGAAATCGTTTTTAGCCTTACTACGCATATCTATAGAACGGACTCAGCGACTCGTGGGGTATTACTTTGGTATCATGGTGAGTGTAAAGGTGAAGTGGAAACAAAATGGTATGCAGGCACTAGTTCAGTGAGAACTGGGGAAGAGCATGAATATACAGAGGGTCTATAGAGTACTTGAATATCTCAGGTACATGGCGAGGAATGAACTAGAATCCTTGGAATTTGTGACAGCGAGCGTAAGGACAGTATTGTGGATGATATATGCACCGTCGTACGGGCGTGTTGCAACTTCTGTGTGCTTCATCCCTAGGAGGTTGCTAAGATCTAGAATGCTAGTGACCCAGATTAAGTGTAAAGCAAGGATTCGTTGAAATAAATGCTAGTATAAATCAACAAAAAAGGTTGCAGGCTCAGAGTTTAATCAAAAGGGCACTTGTGTAGACTCAGGACCACTTCATTGAGGAGGTGCTTCTCAAGGCTAGTATTTGACGATGCTAGACGAGACCCCCTCAAACACTCCTCAACGGCATACTCATAGTAACAGCCCATCGACCCTCCAAGTTGTACCCTAAGGGTACTATACAGCGACTGCGCACTTTCCGAAGAAATTATACCGCGGTTGTTTTTCGACAGCCCTGGCCTATTACGCTTCACAGCGTTGCGATAGGCTTCGCAAGGACTTTTCCAGAGTGCAATTTCCATTAGGATGACTGCAAAATTCTTCAGATCGTCTCCTTGCCAGAACCGTGTCAACGTCTCATCACTACCCGGATTATCGTCCTGCATTCTGTAGTCATCTGGAGTGCATTGCCAACCGCCTATGTACGGTATGCTTATGGGATGCCAGGGATGGTGTGGACCTCGAAAGAATATGATATTGTCACTGGAGAGTTGGCGATGCTTCCATCCAGCACAGTGTAGATGGAGTAGTGCAAGGGACAATCTCTGAGCAAGACGGAATCGGTTCTCTAGGAAAGGGGTAACCGGGGCGAACGTTCCGGTGCGCCCGGCAATCTTTTCTTCGAGTGTGAGGACGCTGGCTGTACTTTTGAGCCATCCCGGAAACTCATACACAAATCCCACAACAGGGTGTTGTGTTCCATCTGACAGTCGCCCTGTCGTCAAACTATAGCCCAAACAATGTAGCATGCAAACTTCACCAATCATAGAAGTCCGCCGCAGAAGTTGAGCGAAATAACGGTATCGTTTCGCTTGGGCTTGTTCGTCAACCGAATTCTGGGCACTAAGGCTTCGCAACCGCCATTCCACTAGCACATATTGCTTTTGTCTCCAGCCATATCCTTCGTAGGAGTACACTGAACGGGCAAGTGCGGAATTCGCTATGTTGCTTTCCGCTGCTGAACCATCGGCAACCCCGTTCGGGATTATAGGCGTGGCAAAGTCTTGAAAACAAGAAATTGGAATCTCCCAATTGTCTTCTTCTGCTGCGGGCGCGCGGGTGGAGGACGAGGAGCTTGAAGCATTATCAAAACAGCCTGTCTGGAAATCCAAAGTATCTTCGCATACATTGCGTCGGTTAATTGAACGCAGCTCAATGATACTTGCGGTCTTGAACTGCTTCGGTTTAATCGTATGGGTTCCGATATCGACAACATCTCGGACGAGATGCCGAGTAAGCTCCATTTCCTGCTCACGGGGCAGCAGACGTTCGCGAGTATTGTACCCAGACATCTCTGATATCAGGGCTCGTATATCCTCTCCCTTATGCTGNTTCCGGTAGGCCTTAGTGACCAGGTTGCTAAATGACACAGTATGACTTCTGGAGTACCTGAACGGACAAAGTTTCTCAGAGGCTTGTGCTTCTCCAACCCCAAAGCCACTTTCCACAGGGTTTGTTTATCGATCGTCGTATCCCGCGTGCTCCCGAGAACCAGTTGTTAACGAAATTTGGGTTGCCAGGTATATCCTTCAGAGACTTCTCCAGCGACGGAGACTGACCTGCTTGTTCCGGAATAGTACTGTCAGCAAGGTATCCTTTTCGGNGATTCCTTCAATCGAAAAAGATACCCTTTGTGACAGGNTGTGNAGATCGATTCCAGTCTTTTCTTTCAGAGTGAACCCATGAGAGAAGGGGTATAGAAGAGCAACGGCTAGAGAGGGACAAGNTGATTCTGAGTGCACAGGCTGCCCTCGTCTGCGAGACCCCACCAGGTGAACTTACCCGTCATGTGAGCATGGTTGCACCAGTTGGGGGATGTACTCATCAGCCAACGTACATCCTTTGGCTAGATCGTTTCATCGAGTGTAACATTTGGGCTGAGGCCTAGCTTAGGAACCCCACAGACACATGATAATATCTCTCATGCCCAATATACCCCGCCATGCAATGCCCCCCTTGACGGTCTACTTCCTTTCCAGGCACTCTCGCGGGCTTACAGATTTAGATTACAAGGAATAGTAGCGAATTATGCAGATTAGTCTGCATCTGATGTGTCATAGGTTCCCACTAGATGGAAGGTCTTTTTTATTACATGGCAAGCTATAGCGGCACAGACAGTTAGTTTCATCGGACTCAAACGCAAGAGCGCTCGGGATGCTAGCCGACATACCCAACTCATGTCTCCAGTAAAGTCCCACAGATTTACAAGCTCACTTGGAAGGTGCGATAGATCGAATTCCGGCTCGGACGGCGATAGCATCTTGGGCTCTGTCACAGACATTGACCCATCCAGTTGGTGATCGAGGGACACCCCAAGCATGGGATCGAATTTCTCTATCTCGGTCTCCACTATACCGGTATTAGAGAAGGCTAGAGGGAACAAAGGACAAACGTACTGGAGGTGGTGCTGTGGCCGCTGGTATTCTCGCCACCGTTACTACCATCTGATGGGGATACGCTGGCGTTCAGCTTCCTCAGCATAATGCTGGTTGACTGCCACGCTTGCCAGGCCTCCGCAGACTCATCCTTATACTGGGCCCAGATCCGATGCGAGGTCTGGAGGGCAAGAAGCAGTTCGTCCCTTCCCGGCGTTCCAGTCTGCCCGCCTTGTGCACCTTCCCGCTCAAGATAGTGGAGCTCCAGGCATACCACCATTGCCGCCAGCATAAAATCATTTGTGGCCAAGGAAGTCACGAACCAGCGACATTGCCCCAGTACTCCTCCCGCTTGAACCTGAACATCAATAGTCGCTTGATGCTGCAGGATCCTCACTGCCGCATCGAGACAGATACGTCGAGACTCTGTATACCGACCATCCGAGCGGCCCTCGCAGAGAGACTTACGATGGAGGATACATCGCGTCTTCTGATACAGGATTTCCAGGTTATAACGCAGCATGACGATACGGGGCGATGCCGTGACAGACTCCGTTACACTACGGAATTGGAGACATACCGGAACAGCGGCATAGGACTCGTTCAGCTGCTTGTCGAGTTGATATATGAGTGCAGACGGGATAGGTGTGGTGGATGCAGCATGGTCAATCACAAGACCAAATACCCTGGAAAGTCGACTCTTCGCGATCAAATAAGCCACCGGGGTAAAGGCTGTGTCGGGACGGGGTGGTGGCAAGCTCGTTGAGTCCTCAGAGAAATCCTCGTCCAGCAGATTGCGCGGCGGCTGTGTATCTGCTAGCCCGTCATAGATCATTCGGGGCAGACCCAGCTGAAACGATATAAGTGCATCCAGCTGGGACATGAGCGTCCAGATGCGTCGTCGCATTTCGGCTGCAAAGCACGAGAGCTCTGGGTAGCGGGAACCGTCCCGATGCAGGCCAGCCCGCATGGCCAGACGGTTGACGATTCCCATTAATAACCAGACCTCATGATGAAACTCCTCTCCCCGGAAGTACTCTGTTTGCGCATAGAACATTAGAGCTTCTATGGTATACTTCGTCAGAGTTGTGTACTTGTTGTCGATAAGGCAATAGGCAGCTTGTTGCCGGAAATCATCACACAGCCCATGAGTATCGCCAATCGGGTCTGGTCTGTGGCCCTCAGTAAGCTGGTGATGGTGGATCGCCAGGCACATGATACTGAAGAGGATACTTAGCCATGCCAGATTGACATCTTGTGGATGAGTCCAGAATTGGTCATACTGTGAACGTCAGCATACCCTACACGTGTCACGTGGATGGGCTCGATACTTCTTTCTGGAATGTCGGAGAATGCAGGACAACTGGACAACTTCTTTAGTATCCTGGACCAAGATCTGAATCAAGCAAGGTTTACATACGAATACCCGGCTCCATCGAACTGAAAAATCGCGACACCAACCGATCGACGGTCGGTCTTGGCGGGAGGTGGCCCAGGACCTCCGCTATCCCGCCGGGCGGAGACACGCCCCGGAGAAGGGCGGACCCGTGATTACTCCGGGACGGCGGAAACGATGGCCCTAATTCAACACACTCTTTGAGCTCGGCGATCTGTCACCCCGCCCATCGGCTCTGTCAGTGAAAGTCTCAACTGCGATGACTGCAACTGGAAGCTTTTTCACATACACTGTCTTGCAATGCAGTCCAATGTGCCCCGGAGACATAAGTCATGCCCGTGTGATCGACCCGCAGGCTGCCAAAGGAGTTGGTCACCGTCTCCGGGCTAGCTGCCGGGGAATCTTTGCTTTTATGCGCTAGGTGGTCCGGGTTCTCTAGTCTTTGAGGGGTTTCGCCCTTTTGCAAAGCTACCACTAGGTCCTCCAGCTGACGGATCCGTTGGGTCAACTGCCGAGGCTGAGTAGATCCATTCCGCCGGGGAGCTGATGAGGGAGTTTGAGCATAGACGCATCCCAATCCACGCTTGGTACAGCTGCTACAAGGCTGGAGACGATCACATCTCAACCTTCAGGGGGTTATTCAGTCATTCTCGCGGAGTACCACAAGGACGTGTCTTACTTTTTCTGGCGACAAAAGGTACAAGATATAGGCGTCCGGATGGGAGGCTTAGATGCCATTGTCCCTGATATATAGGCTTCGCCTGAAAAAGGGGGTGCCTTCAATGAACTGATGTTGGATGTCTCTGGCGGGGTTCACCGCCGCGGCTTACTCAGCTGGCTATCTTGTAGTTATCTTGATACGAGTCTGTAGTGATTTCACTACATGCTGCGCAGTTTATTGTGTTGTGCCTGACGCCTTCGCAGGATGTACACTCCCTACTATCATACCCAGCAGCAGACATTGTCAGTCTGCTAGAAAGATTTAAGATAAGCCACACAAGCCAGCTTGTTCTCAGAGACATTCATTGCAGTTGGCTCATGACACTCCAAGATCGCCCGGGCTTGGCGCCGGGCCGGAGATGCTAGCGCCGGAGATGGTCCCGCCCTGCCGAATTGTGGCTCCGGAGCGAGGGTCCGGAGGGCTTCATCTACTATAAATCTACCATTATGATCCAGGTATGCCTCCCTATTCCAATCCTCAACCATTTAACATTGCCTGACTCTTTCAAGCATAATATATCATATCACATACACACACACACACAATGGCACCCGCCCTCGGCCAAATCTTCCCCCCAAATCCTACCTTTGTCGAGAAAGACATGCCCGACTTGACAGGAAAGGTAACCATTGTCACTGGTGCAACGTCCGGAGTCGGTTTCAACACAGCATCCATCCTATACTCCAAAAATGCCACCGTATACATCGCAGCCCGGTCCGCCGACAAGGCCCGCACGGCCATCAACGAGATTCAGACCTCCGCGGAGGGCGCACATAGCCGAGGTCGCCTCTCCTTCCTGCAACTAGATTTGTCCAACCTAGCCAGCATCAAAGAAAGCGCCAATAAATTTCTGGAGTTGGAAGACCGTCTTGATATATTGATTCATAATGCGGGAGTCATGACTCCTCCGGCGGGGAGTAAGACGATAACTGTATTACTCCCGACAATAGCTAGTGATAAATGGAACACAAACGCTGATATTCGAGATAGGGGCACGATCTTGAAATGGGAACAAACTGCCTCGGGCCCTTCCTCTTCAACAAATTCCTTCTTCCGCTTATTCAACGCACCGCGGCCGCAGCTCCCGCGAGTAGCGTGCGCGTGGTGTGGTTGTCGTCCATGATATCATCGTTCACTGCGAATGGGGGGATCATCTTCGATGAAGAGACTGGTGCTCCTAAGGTCCTCTCTGACCCGATGCAGAATTATATGGAGAGTAAAGTGGGCAATGTGTTCATCGCTAAGGAGATGGCGAATCGGGATGGTGGGGAAGGCATACTTAGTTTGGTTCGTTTGATCCTCAAATATCATTTTAGAGTGGATGAGTCAAACTAACTGGTAACAGAGTGTACATCCTGGCCTTATGAAGACTGAGCTACAGAGACATAGTTCTGCCATTCAGGCTACGGTTATGGTATGCTTTCCCTTTCCAACGAGCAATGGAACTCCTAGCTGACGATAGGCAGGGCTGGATATTCAAGGGTCCGCGGTACGGAGCGTACAGTGAGCTCTTTGCAGCGCTGTCTCCGGAAGTGACGCAAGAGAAGAACGGAGCGTATATAATTCCCTGGGGGAGGTTCGGGCCTATCCCTTGTCATCTTCAGAAGGGGTTGGTGTCGAAGCGTGATGGAGGGGCGGGAACGGCGGAGAGGTTCTGGGGGTGGTGTGAGAAGGAAACTGCTCCGTATCTCTGATTTTTTTTTTTTATCCTTTTATCTCTGCAGGGAGTATTGCATTGGGAAGCGAGTTCATAGTATAATAGCTTTAGTTACTGGGTGGTTTGTACCTTTCGTCCGGAGGTAGGACTCTATATATTGTTTCTCGCCTTTTTGGTGCTAATTAAATACTTGTCGCGAATAGGGATTAATGGTGGCAGGCTGGTCTCATAGACATATAACAGAATGATGCTGACTCTTATTCCGCCCCAAAATACAGTGTCATTAGTCCATTTCTTAATGACAGTCCAGTCCCTTTGATACTTAGATAGTCCAGACAGGATGTTTCGTATCTTCACCCATATCCCTCGATATGCTCCATGTACATCTGCGTCGATCGGGTATTTGGTAACTATTTTGTCCCTGCTACCGTGTACCTGAATCAAGGGAAATCTGTTCCCGCAAAGCTCGCAACCCCGGGCAGACGAAAAGTCTTCTTTTCGGCATCGGTAGAGCTGGAAGAGGATAAGGATGGACTTGCAGCCCAACATTTCACATATGTACAAGTTTGTCAGACTACGACCAAGGCTCCTCGCCAGGCTAACTGATTCCACCAGGGCTACATTGTCGGTGACCATCGCCCTGTATGCCTGATAATGCGTGAGTATATCGCTAGAAGGTTAACCTCTACTTTCCCATATACTCAGGTGAACAATCTTCTCAGAGGCCTTCAAGTTCAGCCTATAATCCCCAAGCACCTCGGAGATGAGAGAGATTTCTTTACCGCCCCTCGATAGATTTCCTTCGCTCTAAGCGCTTCCAGCTGCGTGATAGCGTTACAGGTGAGGAGGACATGAATTTGCTGGAAATAGCGGTTCGCAAACGTGGGGCAGGTGTCGTAGAAATTGCGGCATGTTAGTCTCCAGGCACAGCAGTCTGCGTAACTAAGTGACTGAATACACCGTAAACGAGGGCCAAGGGAAGTATATCCAACATTGTCGGTTCTTGGTAGATGTCGTTTTCATACGAGATGTAAAGGATGCCGCGGTAGTCATTAAGAATAGTTCATAATATTGGGAGTGTGTTAGAGAGATAGTGAATAGATGGATGAACTTGGAGGGACTTGGTAGGTAGTATATCGGAAACAATACTGGTCCGTAGGTTGCACCTAGCAGAGAGTGTGTGGGTAAGTGGACCATTGAACCCATGCACTGTTGACTTCGTTCGGCGGACTAAAACTGAAGAGTGTCAGTGAAAGGGGGGGCTATTGCGTCTAATGATAGACATTAATGAGCCGTCTAAATCTGTCTGTGGCGTTGGTGAGAACTCTATCTTACCAATGAATTGTACCCTGGGACGTACGTCGTTCACTTCCATGATGATGGGACATTCGGTTGAACAACTACTCCAGCTTTATTTTCAGGAGACAACAGGCCGGAACCATGATTTGCGCTAGGAGTACAGAAATGTTATGACAGCGTGCAGCTGTCACTCAACGAAGGTGCAACAGGGGCATCTTCAACTGCAAGGATTTCGGGAGACCCTGGGTTGAATCCCTTGTCGCATATTCCTGCATCAAGGGAGTATTCCGATGTATAGTAGCCATGCTGCTAGCATGATAGCTAGCAGCTCAGATGACCCCTCTGATATATATAGTTACTGACAATTGATGTTCTGACTGAAGAATTACGCAGTTGCTGTTCTCAATTTGAGACGCACAAGGTATAATTAAGGTCAAATCCAGTGTAGCTGAACCATGAATCTTGTCAATTATAGTGGTATATACCGTATGAAAAGAATTATCGGACTGCTGAGAGCGCTAGCTGGATGTCGGGACGACGAGACCCTTTTATGAGCATGCGCGTACTACTATAATTACCTTTTCACTGTAGGATGGGTCCCATTGAGCGTAGGCAAAATCCGTGGGGAATTTGCAACACATCGGAATATTCCATAGGTTTAGGATTGAAACAAAGGTAGTGAGCCCATGAGGTTGATGAATGGAGTACGAGTGCATCGCAACATATATTCTCTGAACATGACTCGGATCCGCCACGGGAAAGTCCACCGTCTTCACGTCCTCAGTCCCAAGCATAACGAAGCGACTTACGACTGATACTATTTTTCTAGATTATGTTTTTAATCTGCTAAGGTCTTTAGTAAAATATCACCTCAAGTGGCCCCTTTCAAAAACTACGCAGGGTCTCTCCAAGCGCCTGTTCGGCAAGGCGCAGGAGCGTCTTCCAAAATGCCTCTTTCAGCATCTCATAGGAAACCCTATTAGAGTCTCAGTATACCAGAACTACGACTTAAATACTCCTAACCATGCAGATATATATGTGACTGACATACCTTCACTCCAGCAATAGCCACCTTCTGTCTAGCTGTACGGTAAGCCTTGGTGATATACAGAACATCCGAGGGTCAGTCAGAAACCCTAAACTGTGTCATATTAACCACCACGAAGCTCCAGCGGCTCAATTCCCCGTGCTGGCTAATTCATACCCTCCTTGTAGGAATGATTCTGAGCACTAAATAGCGCGCGTCGCAGGCTACCAACCCTTCAGCATAGTGACCGCAACCGGAAATGCCGATCAGCGGAGCCAACCCGACGGGAATTCCTTAATCCGATGCAACATGCACTGCTTCTCTCCCACCGGAATAATCTTCTCAGATGAAGGTCAACGACCACAATGCATTCCTCGGTACGAGAAAACGGGCGACGATCTCGCAAGCATTTTTGACACGCGACCTGCTCCGTTCTCTTCCTCAGGATCGGAATGACGTCGTTTTTCCGAGGACGACCGGGAGGGACTTTTGAGGGTAAATGGTGGATACTCGGCTAATCCGTTGCACCACTCAAGGGGCCCTGGTGGCGCGGTTCCGCGGACGAAGCCGACGGCAACATTCGGACTCTCATTTCACCTTCTTCTTTCGCCCGTTTTAGGGGTCTTGGCACGTGCGATTCGATGGAGACAGTAAGACCTGACTGGCTGATTATTGGATATGAGGTTATCCACTTGGATGGTGACCCACCCACAGTCAATGTTAAGAACCGCAAGGCTACCCCAACGACATCGAATCATACAATCCTGAAAATTTTTCTGTTATGTCCTGCTTTCTTTTCCCTTTTTTTCTCACCTTTCTCTGGCTCCTTCCCATTCTCCACCGTCATCCGCATAACCTGCAAAGCGCGCGCACACACACACCAGACCAGGTCAACCCGAGTAGCAAGAGGCAAACTGCCCTGAACCCAAAGCGCCATGAGGAGAGCAATCCTGCATCTTCCAGTCACATAAGACTAGCTATACCATTCCCAAAGCGACACAGTTCACCTAGGACATCATTCCAGCCGCTCATACTCAGCTGAGTGTGCTTTTTGTGTTCGTACAGAGGCAACCAGCAAAAACAATCGAAGCGACATCATCAGCTCTGCCTTGGGTCACTGGCGGCAAGCGGGGTACTTCGTACCGAGTAGTTATGGGTAGTTATGAGTGCTGTGGGCCTGCCTGTTACGCATTGATGTTATGTCAAACTTTTTCCCAGGCCTCCTGCGGTGCATGAATCGTGGGGTTTATATAGGGTCCGACAATTCCCCCTCCCGTCGTCCCACGGCTTTCCTTCCCATCTCACTCCTCCCCGGTCTTTCCTCTCCACACCTCGACCCATCTTGAGGTAGTATTCTGTTACTCCTCTGTCTTTTCCTGCAAGTTGGATTCCTGTTTTGCGACCGAATCAACTGGCATTTCTCTTTCAAGCGTGTCATCCTTTGGACTGCAAAAGACTGTGAATATCCGGCTACCAGGCCGAACTTATATACGAAACAAAAATCATTTCCGAGCGTTTTCTGTGTGGTGTCGTCACAACACTAGACATAGTCATTCTAGGACCGAACGACGGACACGGACACTCCGACCACGCGCCCAAGCAGAAACCCAGGGAGCGACCTGTTTTGTGAATATTCCATTGCGCCAACTACCATCGCGATCTCCCTTCGCACCTCGGTTGCCCTTATCTGCCCGCCCGCCCGCCCACCATTGCACTCCCTAGCGTCTGCCCTGATAGCGCCCTGCGACAACCTTTCCTACTCACGGTCTAGGTTGTAAGAAGAGACGAGATTTGAACCGTTTTTCCCGAGCAGCAATCCCATCACTCGAAGTTAGCCCCGGCGACAAGGCATACCGTACCCTATTTAGGTCCCCGGCAGACAAACCCCAGCGACATTCTAAGACGATACGATTTTATTTTTAGCCACGCGCCACATCCCGATCGTTGACACCCCCTTGCGACTATCCCTGGAACGCTCTTCAAGATGAGTAACTGGTGGAAAAAATTGCAGCGGGACCGCTCGCAGATCCCCGAGGTCGTGATTCCTCTTGCCGATGCCCCCAATACGATCTCCCAAACGGATAAGGATACCGAATCCAATGTCAACAGCTTAGATTCCCAGGAAAAGGGTGCCAGTTCCGCAACCCAGAGCACTACGCTAACCCTGGAGACCCTCCGTGCAGAGGTCGACTCTGCCGTCTCTGCATCGGGCCATAACACTGTCTATGATCGTATGTTCCTGTTGCCATGTCATGGGCGATCTTCGACCCCCCAAGGAGCCGGCTATTCAATACTTCCCCAGCCAGGACCTTCCCCTACTATTGACCCGAGAATCTGGATGTCTGACTAGATGATTACAGGCAAGGCCAAGATCATTAACAAGGCCATTCAGGATATCGGCATGGGCCGCTATCAGTGGGAGCTTTATATCTTGTGCGGATTTGGTTGGACTGCTGACAAGTGAGTGAACTGATTCTTTTAATCGGTTCAAATTTGTGCTAACCTCTTTTTTCGTGCAGCCTCTGGCTACAGGTGAGACCACTGGAACTATGTTCCGACGGTGTCGAGTGAAGTGCAGCCGAACTAATCCAGTTTAACGCAGGGAGTTGCCCTGACCCTTACCCCTCTCTCCATGGAATTCGGCATTTCCGAGTCCTATGTTCGCTTTACTACCTGCGCCTTGTTCGTTGGTCTGATTGTTGGCGCCACTTTCTGGGGTCTTGCATCTGATATGATTGGACGTCGATTGGCTTTCAACACGACTCTCTTCCTGTGCGGCGCGTTTGGTCTTGCATCGGGCGGCGGTCCCAGCTGGGTTGGGTATGTTGCCGCCTACCCTTTGAGATGCCGCAATGGCTAATAAAGTATCAGTACCTGTGCCCTCTACGCTTGCTTGGGATTGGGAGTAGGTGGTAACCTGCCCGTTGATGCTGCCATCTTCCTCGAGTTCTTGCCCGGTGCTTCAGGAAACATCCTGAGTTCACTGGCCACATTCTGGTCAGTGGGTACTTTCATTGCCAGTATGCTGGCCTGGGCTTTTATCCCCAACTACTCTTGCTCCGACTCGAGCAACTGCACCAAGGAAAATAACATGGGCTGGAGATACCTTGTTCTTTCTCTAGGTGCCATCACCATGGTGTTCTGGATGTGTCGATTCTTCTTTTTTAAGTTGTATGAATCGCCCAAGTTCCTAGTCTCCAAGGGTCGGGATGAGGACGCCGTCGCGGCTATTCACGGCGTTGCCCATCACAACAAGAAGAAAACCTGGCTCACGGTGGAAATCTTGCAAGAGATTGGCGGAGCTGCCGAGGATAGCAAGGAACAGAACCTTACCTCTGCGCAAATCCTGAAGCGCTCATTGTCCAAATTCTCCGTGCAGCAGATCGGACCTTTGTTCTCATCCAAGCGTCTTGGAATCACCAGTAAGTCCTGCCCTGGTATTTCCATACAAATGCCTATCATCAGTTAACGACGAAAATCAGCCGCCCTCATCTGGCTCTGCTGGACCACCATCGGCATGGGATACACCCTCTTCAACGCCTTCCTGCCCCAGTATCTCGGCTCTTCGTCTTCCGTATATGTTACCTACCGTAACTACGCCATCACCTCCGTGACCGGTCTCTTCGGCCCCATTCTCGCCCTCTACATGGTCGACATTAAGTACGTCGGTCGCAAGGGTACAATGGCCCTGTCGACGTTGGTCACTGCCGTCCTGCTCTTCTGCTTCACTGCAGCCAAGACATCCGACACTCAACTCGTCTGCTCTGCTCTCGAATCCTTTACCCAGATGATCATGTACGGTGTCCTGTACGCCTACACTCCTGAGGTCTTCCCCGCTCCCAACCGTGGTACCGGCTCTGGTATCGCCAGTTGCCTGAACCGCATTGCTGGATTCTGTGCCCCTATCATCGGTATCTACGCTTCCGCGAACCCCAGTGCGCCTATCTATGCTTCCGGTGCGTTGTTGCTGGTTTCGTTTGTGGCGATGATCCTGCTGCCCATTGAGACTGCGGGTAAGCAGAGTTTGTAGAGCAAGGAATCCCTGGTGGGGATGTGTACATGTTGGGGTTTGGTAAGATGGAGATGTCTTTCTGTTGATACCACCGTTGTTTTGTATGTATGTATATGTTGTTATGACCGAGATAGCGTGCATGATTGGTTTTGGGGAGAGTTGATAGAAAAATAGACGGGTTCATGATATAATTCATTCAACGTTGAAATAAGCAAAATCAAGTATGCTACCCCCTCACACTAGTTTAAAACATTCTTCCACGCCTCATCCCGATACCTACCCCACACACGCAACACACTTTCTAACGTATTCTCCTTCTTACTCGCCTGATCCCTACGAGAAGAAAGCTCTCCCTGCAGCTTAGCCAAAATACTCCCCAACAGCCAATTCTTTACCCCTGTCAACCTTTCAATTTTCTCAAGCTGCCTCATCATTTCTACAGAAAGATCACGCAAAACACTTCGGGTCGCTTCCAAGCTCCCACTCCGTTCAATCACCCCAAGGATGAAAGTCTTCATCTCAGGAGAGGTGTTGGTTTCCCCTTGCTGCTGTAGCCATTCCATGAGAACAGTAGCGTCTGTACTGCTTTGTATAGCGCGAATCAGTGGGAATGAGAATTTTCCCTCGTCAAGGTCTTGGCAGAAGCCGCGTTGGGTTGTGTACTAAATACGGATTGATTCAGCCTTCTTTGTAGGAGGTATCTGGGGTTGCAGTTAAGTGGCTTACGTCCTGAGATGCTAGGTTCTGGTAGTCGTCTCTAAGTTGGTGGCTTCGTCCGATCAGATTCATGAAGTGGGTTAGGTCGAGGGTGCTGGGTAAATCAGTATGATATGTATGCCTCGCTTGGGGATGTTTGACGTGATGAGGGTATAGTAGGGTGACATACCGGTTTTGTGTGGCTTCATTCTGCATGAGCCGCGATATCAATATCAGGAGGGCACCGTTTTCTTATCTCTGTCGTTAGTCATGGTGACACATAATGAATTTTGTGCTGTAGATATACATACTGCCATCAACCATTCTGAAGTAGTCTTCCTCTGTCGGGATGCTTTTGTGTCTGGCCCATTGGAGGTCGTGGGCTTGGCCGGTGAAGAGTTGGGCAATTTGATCTGAGATAGAGGCTCGAGTTTAGTATGATTAAAGTCTGGCATTGTGGGAGCTAATATAACTCACCGGAGAAGATCAACGATGCAGAAGGAGAAAGCTGCAGGCACAGGCGCAGGGCGTTGTTTATGTGAAAACGTGCAGAGTTGATGGTTTGACCCACGCCGAAGATGGTATGTACTGCAGGCTTGCCGCGCCGGAGGGGGCTGTCGTCTTGTATATCATCTAACCTGGTGAGGTATTAGTACTACTCATGTAAAGACAAGTTGCAATCATTGCGGACTCACATTAGAGATGCTTCATGGAGCAGAGAGGCCACGCCGGAAATGACGGCCAAGGAGGCTTGCGGGACCTTGTACCACTCTTGAAGAGCGTCTATCAAATGATTGCGAAAGCCTTTGGATGGTGTGGAGGTAAGGTATTCGTATGGCTTCCATAGGATCTAGAATTGTTAGACTGATCAACAAAAAAATGTGATTATGTTCCTTACTGTGTCGTCCAGCTGCAGTATTGCAGCCAACGCAGGATTCTTTCTTTCTGGATCTGTGCATATAAACTCTTTTAGTCGCGACTCGCATCACAATAAAGCTAAGTGGGAAGAACAGAGGATACCAGCGATGCCCCCTTCTCCTAATCCCATATCTGGGGCAAATTGCGTTATCTTCAGAGAGCTGAAGACGGAGGGAAAGTCAAAAGATCCTCTGTAGGGATTCTGGACGTCTTGATGATATCGTAGCGCGCGGATGCTCCACAGTGCATTTCCAGCAATGGATAGCTCAAGGATCTGAAACCACTTTTTGATTGATAATGAGGTATCTGACCTCTTGAGATAATCATCACGGAGGCAGCAATAGCGTTCTTCATGCTCACGGATAATGTTGTGGACAACCCTTTTCGCGCTTTCTTCGTCCGTATCATGTATCTGCATAATCATCTGCACGGCGTTGACGAGTGGGATCGATCCTCCTGATTTCTCTGTTACCCGCTTCTCCTTCTCCCAGGACCAGATATCGTTCGTGACAGCTAAGACAACGTAGGCTAGATATGTAACCGGTCCGGCTTGTTCTTCTTCTTCTGGTGTGAGTACGACACCACTAGCCCAGCCCATCATACGGGCCACCCAACTTACAATGGAGTCAGTTGCTGGACGACCGGAATCTTATAAGGGCTTACCGACTTCGCTCCACAGTCCAAGGCTCTGGTGGCCAGATAGTCTTTTATGCTGGTAAAATGCTTGTCGCGCATCTGCCTGCCTGTCACATGCCACTGAGTGAAGTTAGCTTGGCAGCGACTGTAGTAGTCCGGATCGATTTCTTTCAGTATCGCCCAGATCTTTGCCCCAATTTGCTTTTCTCGTCCGATGAACTTCATTTGGTTCCATGAGAATTCCCACTTTCCTTGCCCCAAGAACCCTCGTTAAGGTAGTGTCCTCCAATAAAGGGTTTGTTGGCTGAATAGCGTCGACTGCAACATCTGAAGGCCGAACAGGATGGATCAGCTACTCGGGCGTGCCGTGATGCTTGGTATTTGGAGTTGACACTCACCATCATAGACAAAGGCATATTCAATAAAATAGGAGCAGAAGCCAATACGCTCTGGTAGTGCTTCTGGGGCGCACAGTGCTGTAAAGTCGCCATCGTGCGCGTTCATTCCCCCGACCACTTTTCCCACTCCACCTCGCCCAAACAAGTCCACATGGCACTCTATGCAAGCGTCATGGGAGATGGAGCTATATTTGCTTATTCTTGGCTGGAAGCGCGTCAGAAGTTGGCTCTCCGTCACTTCATCGACTGGGGCAGGCTCAGAGCGTAAAAAAGGTAAGGGACTTGTTGCTGCTCCAGGTTCTAAGGAGCCACAACTTTTTGTGTGACTGTCCATGTTGGTCACAATGGAAAGTCGGTAGGGCAATGCTGTATGGCGTGCTTATTCTCGCGTTGTGGTATCTTCTAAACCCTCTTTCATTCGTTGGTCCCGGATGGAAGGGATGAACCTTCCATATAAAGGGCCTGTAGCCTGCCTGTATGCATAGCTAGCCAAGTCGAGCGGTCCAGAATAGGTAATCCTGCGAACAGTTTGATGGGAATAGATGCGAGCGGGGAAACCTTGTCATATCACAGGCATTAGCCAATAGAAGTAGAGTTAGCAAAAATTTACATTCTTGGTGCATTCATGTCACTGCCCCTTTCATCCGCGACTCACATTTCTTAGTCCACAAAGTACTTTTCTGTGCCGCATCGGCATGTCAAACCCCCTAATCCGTATACTTGACCGGGTCTGATTTCACGTGATTTGGAATAACAATATCTGTGATCCGCAAATGGTATCAATGTGAATCAACTGAGTTCAGTCAGCAGTATAATACCCGTCTGTGGCGGCAGCAAGGAGGACGGCGCAATAGGAATAGCCTTTGCTCAGTAGCTATATGTTAACAGCTGCAGCAGGGCATGTTACTGGCGCAGATTGGGGCTGTGACTAGCTGTATCAATAATTATTTAGAGTTTACTCCCCGCTGGCCAGGGAGCCCGACAAACACCACTTAGCAACCACAATTAACCTGATTAACCTGTTTAAAATGTTATTACCATGATTTCCTTGCTTCGATCTCGATCACAAACAGCCGACTACATTTTGGTAATAACTGGTGGATATTCTTTGTTCTCTTGGATTGTGTAGTGGACAATATTCCCAATTAGGCGAATTCCTATGCCTATGAATAGTTGCTGTTGTATGCCGACGTGAGACATCCCTAATGAGATGACGATGAGTACTCTTGCAGTTTCTCTATGCAGCTTTTAGGATTGGATATGTAGGATTCTGAGCAAATGATATCATATTTCCTTTGACAATATATATAATACGAAACTGCCGTAAGACCAAATGCTCTAAAACCAATAGACATTTACTGCTTCATCACAGTCAGCCAAACACGAAAATCAGTCTATTGGAACAACATTTGACCATAAGATGATAGTCGTTGGGGTGGTTATGTTTAGTAGAATGGCGGTGGAGGCTGCTAGAGCAAAAGCTGCATAGCTTGTTGACATGACAAGTATGAATTTCTCAAAACAAAACAGGATGGGAAAACAGGATGCGCTAGGGTGAGCATCAGGTGTCACAGCAAATTAATAGAAAACAAAAGATCTGTTGGTCCGTTTGAATCAGAGCGACCCTACTAAAGCGGGACTTCTAAGCCGCCATTCCCGCATCCGGTGACAGGCATCGTAATTGGGGTACTAGATTGGGGGCCTCAACATTCTACATGCTGGAAAGTATATGAGACGACAGGATACAGTAAATGCAACTAGATAGTAAGGTCCTGCCAAAGTAGTTACCCTCCTCTTTTCTTCTGTTCTCATCTTCAGTGGCTTCCCCGGAAAGGGTGTTGATTAATGCAGGACGGCGCCAACAGCAAGCGAAGGGCCTGGTACTAGCAATATGACCCGAAGCAGCGAGGAGTAGACGCTCTACTACTATAGATTGGAAGCTATCGCCCGTCTTGGTAGGTCACTCCGAGGCATCATGTCTTATTCGTATCTCCAAACATATAATATTCTTTTGCATTCAACATAGACCAGCAAACCTTGGAGGCTCAGCTTACCGCTCTCAAGCTTCCCATCTCGCACATCCCATGGGCAGGAGAAATAACAGCGTACGGACCCCTGGTCGAGGCCAGTATGCTTCAATGGGCCGATAATGATGGCTTGATGATCGACAAATGTAGCCTACCGTGAGAGAGTGAAGCGAATGGATCCGTGGGTATATGGAATGGGTGGCACTGGATACTCAGCGATATGGGGCTGAAATTGCTGTCGGTGATGCTAAAGATCGGAATATTCTTTATTGTCAGCAAGAAATGAATTACAGAAAATTGTGCGAACGTTGATCCCATGTAATGGCCGGAGTACTTGACTGTGAGAGAAGAGCCCCATCTAGGCCAGTCGTTAGGCGGCTCAATAGTGCTAGCGCTCACGTCAGCATACACGATCTGTAGACGAGGGCGAATCAAACAATGATACCTGGTGTGTATACAGGCCTAATATCTTCACTGCTACCGTTCAAAACTATTACTATTATATATCAACTTAGGCAACAACCTATTCAGGGCAAACCCTAAGCTTATGCATGCTAGGCTTCCATCATGCCACGGTATTTATATGCCATGCAGTGCAGCTATGATGCCATCGCTAGAAACACCCCAAAAAATTATCAATCGTCTACAACAAATTCACAAGTCGCGAATAAGTTCTTTCAAGTATCAAACGGAGTACTAGAAGACCCACGCACCATGTCCTCCACCACGTTCGCCTCCGAAGCCACCACCTTCGAATCGGCCCTAACCAGCCTCTTCAGCGGCCCTCCTGAGACCACCGAAGCCGATCTAGCCAAGCTCTTCACACCTACCTTCACACAGCGTGACGATGAGACAACGCGCGACTTCCCTGCCTTTGTCGCGCACATCAAGTGGCTGCGGGGGATTCTCCCACCAGGAAGCGTGACACTCAAAATTACCCAGTTCCTGCGGGACGGGAATCAATTTGCGGATAGACACAGCTCGACCATGAAAATGCCGGATGGAAAAGTGGGCGCCGCGGAGACGTTTATGTTTGGGGAGGTGGCAGAGGATGGACGAATTGAGTGGGTGGTGGAGACAGTGAAGCGGAAGTAGTGAAAGTGAGGACTGGGATAATTCCGGCGGGATGAGGCATTAAATTGTTGTGATTGCTAAGAGACATCACATTGCTCATATGAGTTTGATTGCGACTGTTAATATTAATGTCCGACTGGGAGGAAATGAGTGGCGTTATCCAGGCAGCTGCATGCAATACTACATTCCCCTCACGAGGGAAATCTGGCCATCTCGGAAATCAATGGTGTCATCCGAGTTGATTCCCCTCAATAATGGTCCTGATAAGCCACTATTGCTGCAGAACGCCTATCTGTGCCGTTAGTGCATGCATAGTGTCCCCAGTTCTTTTTCTGCCGATTAATCTATTGCCAGACGGACTCCGTCGCGCTTCCGAATGCCGGGAACCGCGGCTAAGCTTTGCTGTAGCTTTGCTGCAGGAACATCTGCATCTTTCAAAATATCTTCAGAGGAGCCGATCGCTGAGTTTCTCAAGAGATTAGATGAATGTTCGTACTTGGCCGCAATATAAGCTTCATGGCGGCTTCAACCTTCCATGAGAAATAAGAATAAGGCTGCCGGGGATGGCCTCACCGTGTCCCTGCATGCAAGGGATGCATAATGCACCGTGACCTGTTCCACCACGCCGGAGCCCGCCCGCCCTCCGACGGCCCAAACCCACTGCAGAATGGCTTGATTAAGTTCCCCTTCTATAACTAACCGGTTGTTCCTCGTCGTTGTCTGCTCTGCTCTCCACCCAGGGTCGTTTTTGCTTTTGCCTCCTTAACCATGGTCGCCTTTTCCCGCATCTCGGCAGGCTTCGCCCTTGCCGCCCCTGCCCTGGCCAGCGTCGTCCTGGAGACCGTCAAGTCTGTTCCCAGCGACTGGAAGCTCGTGGAGGCTGCTGATACCAGCTCCACAATTTCTTTGTCCGTTGCTCTGGCGCGTCAGAACCTGGACCAGTTGGAGGAGAAGCTCCTGGCCGTGTCCACCCCTGGCAAGGACACCTACGGCCAGTTCTTGGATCTGGACGACATCAATGAGCAGTTTCCTCTCGCAGATGACGCTGCTGTTGTGGCTTGGCTGAAGAAGGCAGGCGTCACCCAGATCCATAAGGAGGGTGGTCTGCTGAACTTTGCGACCACTGTGGGCACAGCCAACCAGCTTCTCAACACCACCTTCTCGGTGTACAAGAGCGGATCTACCCAGAAGCTGCGCACAACGCAATACTCTGTTCCGGATGAGCTGACCGGGTCCATTGATCTCATCTCGCCGACTGTTTTCTTTGGAAAGTCCAACGCTGCGCGCTCGGCGGCCGTGCGTGCTTCGCAGACTACCAAGGAGACCAGCAGAAAGAAGAGCAGTAATGTGTGCGAGTACATCACTCCGGATTGCCTCAAAGAGCAGTATAGCATTGACTATACGCCCGAGGCATCGTCGGGAAGTCGTGTTGGGTTTGGCAGTTTCTTGAACGAGTCGGCCTTGTACTCGGATTTGGATCTGTTCACCCAGTACTTTGACATTCCCCAGCAGAGTTTCACTGTTGAGACTATCAACGGGGGAATCAACAACCAGGAGAATGATCCGGATGGTGAAGCCGATCTCGATGTCCAGAACATCGTGGGCATCTCGCATCCCTTGCCGGTGACGGAGTACATTACCGGAGGATCTCCGTGAGTGTTCCCAAAGATGCAATTGAATTAAAGCTAATGGTTCAGTCCATTCATTCCCGACGTCGAGACTACTACCGACGAGAACGAGCCTTACCTGCAGTACTACGAGTATCTGCTGGCCAAGACCAACGACGAGCTGCCACTGGTTATCAGCAACTCGTACGGCGATGACGAAGATGTAAGCATCCCTGCCTCCCACACAAATCGCCTGCTGACAGAATAGACCGTTCCCATTGCCTACGCCACCCGCGTATGCAACCTCATCGGCCTGATGGGCACACGTGGTATCTCCATCCTCGAGTCTTCCGGCGACTCTGGTACGTTGTACCCCATATATATTGCATCAAGTCCCGACTGACAAATACAGGTGTGGGCGGCGCATGCATGTCCAACGACGGCACCGACAAGACCGAATTCACCCCCATGTTCCCAGGAACATGCCCGTACATCACCGCGGTCGGCGGCACCCAAGACGTGCCCGAAGTCGCCTGGGTGGACAGCTCCGGCGGCTTCAGCAACTACTTCTCGCAGCCGTCGTACCAGTCGGATCAGGTGGAGACCTACCTGGACAAGTACATCTCTGCCTCGACGAAGAAGTACTACGAGCAGTACACCAACTTCAGCGGTCGCGCGTTCCCTGACGTGTCTGCGTTTGCAGGTTCTCCTTAGTATGTATCCATCCCAGATGATTGTATGGACATCTGCTAATGTCCGACAGCTACGAAACTTATATTGATGGTCAGCTCGGCCTTGTGGCGGGTACTTCTGGCGCTAGCCCTGTGTTTGCGGGGATCGTCGCGCTGCTGAACGATGCCCGTCTGCGGGCCAACAAGACATCCTTGGGCTTCCTGAACCCTTGGCTGTACTCGAGCGGCTACAAGAGCCTGAATGACATTACCAGTGGCGAGGCAGTGGGCTGCCAAGGCGATGTGGAGGGCGCTGGAGTCATTCCTTGGGCGAGCTGGAATGCCACGACGGGATGGGATCCGGCGACAGGGCTGGGAACGCCTAATTTTGCCAAGCTGAAGGAGGCGGTTCTTGCGTTGTAAGCAGGAGGATACTGAGTGGACGTGCGGAGTGAAGGATATGTGCAAGGCGTTAACTTATAATAGCCTGTGTGTGGACTATAGAATCATCTACAGCCCACAACCAATTAGCTTCTGCATAGTCACCACCCTTAAACTAAGGATAATCAATTGTTTACCGCTGTCAGTCTCAAATCCGTCATGTCATGGACCCTGTTCGATCAACTTGAAACAAGCTTAATCTACCAGCGGCGGTGATGAAACCGCCAGCGGACACTTGTTTCAGTTACCCGCAAGCCTGTATCCAGTATGCAAGCCCTACTTAAACCCTTCACCACCCTGATTATTCTACTCTCTCTCTCTCTCCAACCACACCATTCTTTTCTTCATTGTGCCGGTCACATCCATTCTTTACTTTCATTCTCCTCCCTTCTCTTCTCTTCTCTACTTCCCCAAGTCACTCATTATATACTACCCAAGTATCACCATGAAAGGAGCCGCCTTCCTCGTCTTCCCCGCCTCCACACTGGCCGGATCCGTACTGTGGAGCGGCATCTTCAACTCGTCCTATACTGTCGCTGACTTTGACGAATGTATTCCTCCCCCCTCCATATCCTATCCCCTTTTCACACCACAACCATTACTAAGAAAGAAATGCCAGGGTCATGGAGCAACCAAATCGCCCCCTGGCAATGGTACATCCACGGCGACGGCAAAACGTCCGAATACCTAGCCCTATCCAGCGACTACAAGAACCCGGCAGCGAGCGATGCCCAGGGTCTGCAGACTAGACTTGTACTTCCCCCACCCCACGCTCACAATACCTTCTCCCACTCTACTAATACAATGAATGAACAGGATAGTACCTCCTTCTGGGAAGGCCAATCAATGCAACGCACCGAACTCATCCCCCAAATGTCCCCCTCCAGCTCCGCCTCCGACCTCGGCTCCGGCCATCTCTACTACCACTTCTCTCTGTCTGCCAGCAGCACCAACCCTCCTTCGTCGTCGAGCGAGCACCAAATCGCCTTCTTCGAGAGCCATTTCACGGAGCTGCAGTACCAGGATAACACGCTGAAGTGGAATGCCGGCGGGGATACGCATTACTCTGTGGAGCTTGAGACGGGCAAGTGGTACAACTTTGCGTATGATATTGATTTCGATAATCAGAAGGTTGGGCTTTGGGCGTCGAATGGATCGGATGCGTTGACGGAGGTGGTTAGTCCTGTTAGTGCGAGTGCGAGCTCGAATGGGGAGGACTTCCATGTGGGTGTGTTGAGTTTGACGGGTGATGGGACGGAGGATTGGTTCTGGAGTGGGGTTTATATTGAGAAGGGCGATTTGACGAAGAGTATTGGGGATGGTAGTAGCAGTGAGAGCTCTTCGAGTGGTAGTGCTACTACTACGGCTCAGGCTGTGGAGAGTACTTCGAGTGCTGCCGCTGCTGCTACTTCTGCTGCCACTACTTCCGTCGAGGCTACCACTGCTGCCGCTGCTACCCCTACTCAGAATGTGGCTGTTGCTTCGTCGTCTACTACTTCCGCTTCGACTACCTCCGCTGCTACTACCAGCTCCGAGTCGACTGCCGCGGCTACCCCCTCTGCTTCCAACCCTGTCATCGCTACGCCCTCTGCTGCTCCCTCTGCTGCTCCCTCTGCTGCTGCTGCCTCTGGATCTGCCGCTCTTCCCGTGCCTACTACTGCCTCTCAGATCCTGACTGATGTGCGCGCCCTCTTGACTGCGCTTCTGGCTCGGCAGGGAGTGCATGCCCGTGACTTTGCTGTTTAGACAGTCACTTTTTCGCGAAGATGGGCGAGTATATGGTGTGTTTGATGAGATTGTATTAGTTGTTGTTTGGTGTGAATTGATTAACCCATTTATATTGGCTTGGGAGATAGTGGGCATCACCACGCGAGAATTTCTTTCTTCTGTCGTCCATTGATAATCTGCTCCGCTTGATCCTCAACCCATCGCTCAACCTGTAACAGTTAGCGATGCTCATATTCAGTTACTGAGACTTACATTTGTAAACTTGGTTGACAACCATACTGCCACCGTTAATAGCAGTAACACTCCCCCGACGAGCGGATACCAGTGCCATGGAGGATTGTCGCTCAGAATATCCACGTTCATGCCGAATAAGCTCTGCGCAGTCAGACTAGTCCTGTGAGCGGATGGTGATATACATACCGATGCAAATGTCAATGGAAGGAAAACGAACTACCAAATCTGTTAGTCGCCGTATTCCAAACAAGACAGCCGACTTACTGTAATCCAACTGAGCCGTTTCATGCTCGTCGCCAAACTAGTCGACCGGTGCGCCTCGTTGATCGATACCCACGCAAATTCCTTCCAGGATTAGCCATACGTTTATCAACTGTTATAAGAGAAGCGTACAATCTGCAGCAAATCGCGAACCGTCTGCTCTAACTTATCAATCTGCCCCGATATCTCTTTATCTAGCCCATCAATCATGCCCTGCATCTTCTCACTGAACTTGCGCGTCTCGCTAAACCGCTGGTACTGCGTAACAAAGTTCCGAGCCTGACTGAGCTGCTCGGCCAACGCTGCCTGAATCTGCGTCCATTGCTGCATGCTTTCCGCGATGGAGTCGATGAGCCGGTCGTCTTTGCCTCGGGCGGTCAATTGGTGCGTTCGCTGCTTCATTAGCAGTCGCTTGACGGAATAGCTTTCAGAAACATACCAGCCGCCCCAAGTACCCTCTAGCCTCCCGGCAAAATGCGATCCAGTCGTCCCGCCACGTTTGCATAAAAAGCTGCACCAGCTCTAGGTCACTTTCTGGGATCCACCCGTATGGTAGGTTACTGAAGTAGTGAATTGCCTTCTGGGGCGCTTCAAGGACGGCCCATTCGATAATGCGGACCTTGCGGTCGTCGTCCCCGTCATCAGTAAAGGATGTTCCAATCTTCATGTCCAAGCGGATGAACAGCGAGAACGTCCGGCAGGGACTCTTATTTCCCAGGGAGAATTGCAGCTCGTTTGGCGTATCGGTCAGCTGGCAATATGTATTCCAGTAATTATTCTCCCGGAAAAGCCTATGTTGCATGAGAGAGGTGATCTTAGAGAGGGCCATTATTCACTCGATCAACTTACAACAGATGTGTTTCGTCCGCCGTCTTCGGCATTGCCTTGATGTCCTGGTACAGAGTATCATCCGTGATCCAGCGCGCCGCGCGACGCCCATCCCGGAAAACCACGATATCCACGGCGACGCTCGGTTTCAGCCCACGGCTGTAGCGTCCTTCGTAGCCATCGTCAAGCGCCATCATCTGCCTCCGATGGCTTAACAATGCCGTTAAGGTGGCACGATCACCATCCGGAATGGTCATATCCATCACGGGAATCGAGGCTCCATCGGTTCGGGCTTGAGCCAACATTAAATTTGCTGATGCTCCAGCCGTGCTGCAAGGGCCGAACCAATCTCCGTTCTCCAGCCCATCCACACCTGCCTTGTGTTCCAGGAGAACGGCGACCGTCGAGCGATCAGCCTGCTGCAGCGCCCATCTCATCAAAGGAATTGGGCTTGACTCATCCTCGTTGCTAAGGTCAGGCTTGTACCGCTCCAAGAACGGTTTCAGCAACCGAGCTCGGCTCTCTTGGACCATCAGCTTGAGCGACACAACATCATGCTTAGGGTTCATGTCGTCCCCAGAGCCAGACATAAGCATGTCCGCTATTTCGTAGTGACTCCATTCCAGCGCGTACACCAACGGGGTCTTCCTGTAGCGATCAATAGAGTTTGGATCTGCCCAGGTCGTCTTGAGCAGCTCGTGCACAAGCACTGTATCGCCACGTTCACTCGCCCAGGCTAGAAAGGTTCGCCGGGCCTTGGTCATCGGCTCCACACCATGCGTCGGTCCGAGAGCGGCGAGCCACTGTTGGAAGTCATCTGCATGCTGCCCGTTTGCCTCCCGTCTCTTATTGTGGTTACTGATGACCCACCAGAGTGGAATCTGCCCCTCGTGGTCGTGGATATCGGCGCTAGCACCGTGCGCAATCAATGCACGCACGGTATCCAAGTGCCAGTTTTCGGCAGCCCAGGATAGCGGGGTCCGACCCCGGCTATCCTTGCTATCTGGATCCGCTCTCCCTGTGGATAGCAATAACTGCACGATCCTGCAGTGTCCTTGTCCCGCTGCACGTGATAATGGCGTACGACCACGGGAGTCTGCGATATCGGAGGCCACTCCCTTCGTTAGAAGGAGGTCTACCATGTCGGAGTCTCCACCTTTGACTGCCCAGTGGAGAGGAGTCTCGCCATGGTGGTCACCAAGATCGGGATTGGCACCTCTGTCCAGGAGATACTGCAACAGAATATCGCAACGGTCTCGTTCCTCTAGGGACTGCGCCCGGGAGAGATCACAGGATGCGGCCCAGGAGAAGGCCGTCCGACCGGTCTGGTCTTGGACGTTCGGGGAAACGCCATAAAGAAGGGATTGGACTTCGCAAAGCAGGCCCTGGTGGGCTGCCTGCATGAGCTGGTTGATGCGGTCATCGTCCAATTCCAAGTAGGTAGCCGTCAGAGTCTTCTCCATGCTTATTTACATTAGTTGGCAGCAGCGGAGGAAGAGTCACTGCGTGGGATGAAGCGATGGAGTCAGCTTCAGCCTCGCGGGACGTTCCCCGCCGCTTATTGGTCGGGAGATCAGCATGGCGGCATGGCATCCAAGAGCCGTCCGAGAAACTCATCTGGAGTCTGTAGGGCTGACCCATGATGATACTTGGAGAAGTATGAAGTGACGAGACACTTTCTAAGTGAATCCGTTGCCTATGTGACCACAGCTTGGGCCCGAGGGAAGGCGCCTGCTGGGGAAGGCACGCGTAATGCGTCCAGGCTAGTTGACTAGCGCTTGTCCACTGCTGGAACTGAAGCATGGACTTCAGAGGTCAGATATCGGCAACTAAGGTGTGTCGGCAGTCGGAAAACTTCCGAATGCTAGTCTGTCATTTGGATTGCTCGAGAGTCAACATTATCAAGCTTAATCTTTTTTCCGCAGGAATCAGAACCCCAGGGTAAGGCGTGCTTTTCCCTGCAGAATACGAAAGGTTGAACTAACCCCGCACATAAGTAAGATCCAACTGCCCACAGGAGCCGGGCCATGTGTCGTGATCCATACCCCGGCGTGAAGAAATCTGAAGAAGCATCATGGTGGTGGTGGTGGTGGTGAGCCTGACAATGCCATAGTGGCTGGCCGTGCACGTGAGCCCATCTCTGCCCCAGGCCTCACACACACGTGACGCGATCACAACAGCGGGATCTGGAGGGGCGACTAATCCCAACCAGGGCTAGATCAGGCCTCCGTGAATGCCTGATAGGATTCCAGTACGTAACGGTTTGGAAGGCCACGAGGGACGTGCCCGTCCTGGAAGCATCCCCGAACCGTCTACAGCAGGTGCTCGAACCATCAGACCATTGGTGCAGCTATCTATCAGTTCATCCTGATTATTCCGGTTAGCTACGGAGTGATGATGCAGGTGGACAAGTTCAGACTGGTCGCTTAGACACTACTGCATCCAGATGAGCGCAGCAGTAGTAACAGCCGATAGAGATATCCTCGCGGAGACAGGGACGGGTTGATAGCAGAGCGTCTATCCGGATAATTCTTTTCGGCCTCCACCCACTTGGCTTCGTCGAAGCTCCACTGCCAAGACCCGCACCGTCTTGGCATTTTTAGAGTATCAGATCTGATTGGGTACGGCCGATGCCGTTATCAGTGTTGGCGGTGGTGTCATCTCCGACTTGCCTCTATCAGTTTCATATCTTTACCCCCGATATCTCATTGTTCCGCCTCCTTCATCAATCTAACAGGTCATCCTATGGTTCAGGTTAGTTTATCTGCTGAGACACCATCCGGACCAGTCAAAGCACGCAATCTGCTTGGCCCTGACTGGACCTCATCCATTGGCCAGCTCGGTCCCTGAACTTGCTTTTTTTTTCTTTTCAGGCCTTCCTGTTACGGTCGTCCTCGACCCAGCCTTATCCCCAGCTCTGTCGGTGACTCCGAGTCTCACTCCTGTTCAGCCTGCATGCTTGCTTTTTCCAAGCCTTCCTGCGTGGTTGAGAGCTGAGATAGAATGGAATATTCCTTACTCACCATGTCCATCTGCCACCCCTGTGCCTCTCCAGGAGAGACGCGTGGGAGTGCGGGGATTGTGGAAGATCCTACGGTTGGACATCCATCCGGCTGCATTAGCAACCACACTTGCCGTGTTGGCGAGAAAACTAGATAGACTAGTGTAGCCGGTGCCATCAGCCATGACTAGTGGCCCCGTTCCTATTCATTCCTCCCTCAGATAGTTTGATAGCAGCATCGCTTCCCCCTGCGAGGAATCCAAGATGTCTAGTGGAAGCTAATCCTGCTCGTCCGCCACTATGCAGGGACTTGGACAAATAATCGCGCGTACTCCAGATGTCTCTCCCGTATGGATGTAACCTCATTTGCCCACGCTGATTTCCCCCGGTTTCTTATCCACCCCGACCACATGCCACTCGGGCTGCGACGGCCTTGTTTTTGCCACAGAACCATGGAACAGAGCAGGTCCGGGTGCCAGCTGTGTGCGTTCTAGATGGACGCTAGAACCTCCCTGGATAAGCCTCCCCTCTGTCTGGCCGCATGGACAGCGGCGAAGAAGTACACCAACCCATCGCGTGATACTGTCTGTAATCCAAACTAGATAGTGGCTACCACCCACATTGGGTCCCGATCTCCGACGCTGCACCGGTGGAAATTAGGCCTTGGCACTAGGCCAGCTTAGAGACATCTGGAGTAGTGTCCGCGCACTGATAGTGGCTCCGAAGCGAGCCTGTCGCAGCTTACCCAAATGCAACACCCAACCGGTTGGTTAGGTCGCTTGTCTCTCGGCAGCTTCTCGCCTCCTATGGCTTTATTAGTCCTCTGCTCCCCAGGCTGAACGCTTTTTTTTTTTTTCTCTCGTGCGATCGTCTCTCCCATCCACTTTCCATACCTCCAGTCAGACCCTGTCAGGGCCCGTGTTCGCCAAGATGAGTGACCCCGTTGGCGCAGACGATCTGGTCTATGTCGCACAGGCCCACGTTCCCCAGAAGGAGATCCAGGCCGTCGATGAGAAGAAGGAGCCTCATATCCCCATCAACGAGAAAGAAACCACAGTGGTGTCGACGGTGCCCTCAATCCACAATGTCCACGATGATGGGCGCGAATACCCCACTGAGGAAGAGGAGAGGACCCTGCGTCGAGTCTCCGACTCGGTTAGCTGGACCGCCTACACGGTCGCGTTTGTCGAGCTGTGCGAGCGCTTCTCATACTATGGAACAACTGCAGTTTGTAGGTTTAGCAGGAGGTTGTTGAAAGCTGTTTCTAACCTCTATAGATGTCAACTTTATTCAGCAGCCTCTTCCCGCCGGCTCCACCACGGGTGCCGGATACAGTGGACAGTCCGGTGCTCTGGGCCAGGGTGAACGGACCTCTACTGCGCTGACAACCTGTAAGTCTCCTCTAGGCCTCAAGCATGAGAGCGGTCGCTAACTGAACTTACAGTCAACACCTTCTGGTGCTACGTCATGCCCATCTTGGGTGCCTGGATTGCCGATGAATACTGGGGTCGTATGCGAACCATCCAAGTCTCCATCGGATTTGCTATGCTCGGTCACATTATCATCATCATCTCATCTATTCCCCCGGTTATTGTACATGCAAACGGTGCACTGGCTTGCTTCGCTGTTGGTCTGGTGATTTTCGGCATTGGTGTGGGCGGATTCAAGTAGGTGCTGTCTAGTCATCTCGAGAATCAAACTAACCTGTCCAGATCCAATATCTCGCCCCTGATCGCAGAACAATACAAGGAGACCAGACTCTTCATCAAGACCATTCCTAAGACTGGCGAGCGCGTCATCGTCGATCCTGCGCAGACCATCACTCGCATCTTCCTCTACTTCTACTTCATGATTAACGTCGGCTCCCTGATCGGATCCGTGGCCATGGTGTACGCGGAGAAGTATGTGGGATACTGGCTGGCATTCCTGCTGCCGACCATCATGTTCGGTATTTGTCCGATTGTTTTGTTCTTCTGTCGCAAGCGATACACCGTGACGCCCCCGACTGGATCGGTCGTGACCAAAGCCTTCCAGCTGTGGAGCCTGGCTCTTCGGGGCCAATGGTCCTGGAACCCTGTCACTTTGTAAGTCTATCTGCTACATTACTCAAAACCTGGCTAACGGATCAGCTACTATCGCTGCAAATCTACCGAGTTTTGGGACAGTGTCAAGCCCAGTCGTCTTGCCAACAAGCCCACGTGGATGACCTTTGATGACCAGTGGGTCGAAGAAGTGCGTCGTGCCGTCAAGGCCTGTGCTGTCTTTGCCTGGTACCCTCTTTACTGTCAGTTCTTCACAATAATGTAACCGAGCGATGCTAACCTCCATAGGGCTGGCCTACGGACAAATGACCAACAACCTAACCTCCCAGGCGGCCACCATGCAGCTGCACGGCGTGCCTAACGACATCATCAACAACCTGGACCCCCTTGCCCTCATCATCTTCATCCCGATCATGGACCAGTTCATCTACCCGGGTCTCCGCAAGATGGGCTTCCACTTCACCCCGATCAAGCGTATCTATGTGGGATACCTGCTGGCCTCCGCATCCATGATTGCCGCCGCCGTCACGCAGTACTACATCTACAAGCTGAGCCCGTGCGGCAACCACCCCAGCAGCTGTGATGAGGCCGCCCCCATCAACGTGTGGGTGCAGGCAGTGCCGTACGTGCTGATTGCCTTTTCGGAAATTTTCGCCTCCATCACGGGTTACGAGTATGCGTATACCAAGGCGCCCAAGAACATGAAGAGTTTAGGTATGCGCTTTACCCTCTATGTGTGTTCATTACATTGTTACTAACATGTATTAGTTCAATCTCTGTACCTGTTCATGAACGCCATCTCCTCTGCTATTCAGCAAGGTCTTACCGCCCTGTCGACCGATCCCCTCCTGATCTGGAACTATGGCTTCGTCGCCGTGCTGGCGTTCGTCGGTGGAAACCTCTTCTTCCTCTGCAACTTGAAGCTTGATAAGGAGGAAGACGAGTTGAACAACATCGAGGAGTCGGCGTATCTGGGGCGCAACGTGGGTGACTCCGGAAAGGTCGAGGCATAGTGATTATGGTGTATGAATAACGGTGATGGATGCTATGTATACTTAATGCATGAGTTACGCTATATTAATACTATTGACATCTGATATTACATCCTCCCTCACTTTGCTCCAGTGCCTCTCAGTATTGAGGTGAGTCTATACAGTAGTAGTATATGACATCATTCCGCCAATCTTTCGACGGATACGGGTGGGTTTGTCTCTAACCGACACTATATATAGCCCCCAAGACTTGCTAAATAGTACTAGTATACGAGGTGACTCAACAAGAGCCCGCAAAGCACACGCGGCCATCTTGGCTTCCGCTATAGCTCGACTATTATATACCAGTCATGTCCCAACTACCAACCACCAAGCCACCCACAGAAGATCGAAGCCAGTACTACCACCATGCAATCCACCCAACCCGCCGACATCGCCATCATCGGCGGCGGTATCGTCGGCTCAGCCCTAGCATACTACCTCTCCCAAAACCGCCATGAAAACAAGAAAATCATCCTCCTCGACCGCTCTCTAACCCCCCTCAACGGCTCAACCGGCCACGCCCCCGGCTTCGTCGGCCAATACAACGACAGCGCCATCCTCACCCGCCTCGCCAGAGACACCGTGCAGGAGTACACCAAGATCCCCGGCGGATTCGACACCATCGGCGGCCTCGAGCTAGCCACGAGCCAGACAGGCGCAGAGCGACTACAGCGCCGGCACGACTCAGCCAGCGCAGCAGGCCTCCCGGCGAAACTCATCTCCCCGGAGGAAGCCGCTCGCATGGCCCCAGCGCTGATCAAGAAAGAGGATGTAACAAGCGCATTGCACTTTGCCAGCGACGGTGCAGCGAATGCTACACGTATCACGACGTTCTATCAAGATGAAGCGCGCTCTAAGGGTGTCGAGTGTCTCGAGGTAGATGTCACTGGTATCCACAAAGATGGTAACGGCCGCGTGGACGGTGTGAACACAGCTACAGCTGGATTCATCCCCGCTAGAACCGTCATCCTCGCAACGGGTATCTGGGCCCCTGAGCTTCTTCCGGACATTAATATCCCTATTCCTATCGTCCCCGTCGCTCACCCATACATGTACGGGCCTTACCACGCCCAGAAGAAGATACCAACACCATGGATCCGCTGGCCTGACCACCACGTCTACGCGCGCGACCACGGCCCCTTCTACGGCCTTGGGTCATACAACCATGCCCCTGTCGCGCAGGAACCGAAAGATACTGCCATTGGGGAGTGGATCACCGAGTTTGACGACACATTGGAACACGCGCTGGGATTCATCCCATCCGAAACTGGTCTCACTCCCAGAGAAACATTCAATGGGATTTTCTCCATGACGCCGGATAATCTGCCCCTTGTGGGTGAGATTCCTGGTTTCGAGGGGGTGTATTTGGCTGCTGCGGTGTGGGTGACGCATGCGGCGGGGGTTGCGAGGTTTCTGTGCGATGTGTTGGAGGGGAGGGAGGTCGATGGGGAGGTGAAGGGGGGATTGGATCCGGGGAGGTTTGGGGGTAAAGATGAGGAGAAATTGAAGGAGGTGGCGTTGGGGGGGTATAATGAGATTTATAGGGTTGGTGGTGTGCAGTAGGAATGGCAGGTTAAACACGGCTGGGAAAGGATGGCAGATACTCGCTCCGATCGGAGATATCGATATTACTAGATGAAGATGACAGGCTCACATAAGCATCATAGATATACTTCAGTTCATCTTCATTCGCGCTCTCAGCTAGCCTAGATACATCCTTGCAATTTGGTAGAGCAATACTCGGTACACAGGGACTTAAGCGCTTAACTCCGGTGTCTCCGCTCAGCTATTAACCAACTTATAAGGTGAACTATCCTGTCGTAGCATTGCAGAGTGATGCTGTTATACATCATTCTGGATCTTACAGAGTTTATCAAAAATGCGAATGGAACCATACCAAACATGGCTCATCACCGGGGCCTCCTCAGGCCTGGGAAAGGCCATAGCTATGGAGGCCCTCAACGCTAATCACAGAGTCATCGGCACGACACGCGACATTGACCAAGCTAAGGCTTCATATCCCGACTTCGGTAACAATGGTGGCATTTGGATACGTCTCGATCCTGCTCAGGATGATGCATATGATCGATTTGCAGAGCTAGCTGTGGAATATAGTGTCGATGTGTTGGTGAATAGTGCAGGGTATGCGTTTATTGGCGGAGTGGAGGATACGAGGTCTGTATACTATACTATGCTATGTTATGCTTGGGAATATATAACATTCTACTTTGGCACGTACATAGGGCGAAGGCTAACCAATCTATAGTGAAGAGGAAGTCCGCGCCCAAATGGAAGTCAACTTCTACGGCCCCCTCCGGGCCGTGAGGGCTTGTTTACCGGTGATGCGTGAGAAGGGGTCAGGACATATTATTCTCATTAGTAGTGGGGCTGGGTATGTCAAGTCTACTTTTGTCCCAAGAAATCATGTCTTACAAGACTGATCAAAATTGAGATTCATCGCCCGCCCCGGTCGAGCCACCTACGCCGCCAGCAAATTCGGCATCGAAGCGATCCATGAATCCCTGTCCCAGGAAGTCAAAGACTTCGGAATCAAGGTATTGATCGTGGAGCCAGGTGCATTCCGTACGCCCTTTCCCGGCCGGCAGGTCTTCCCTAAGGGGCCTGGGTTGGAGAAGGGATACAGTGATGTGTACAAGGGCACGCCGGTTGAGAAGATGATTGAGTTGTCCCAGGATATGGGCTCTACGACAGAGTGGATTAAGGGCGATCCCGAGAAGGCAGCGAAGGCAGTGGTTGTAGCTGTCGATAATGGGTATGATGGGTATGAGTTCCTTAGGATGCCGTTGGGGAGGGATTGTGTGAGGGTGTTGGAGGAGAAGATTGCGGCTTTGAGGAGTGATTTGGAGGCCACTAGGGAAATTGCGATGGGTACTGATGTTGATGAGGATTGAGGTAGCTTGGGGGTTTGTATATAGGTTTTAATTTGTGTCTTCTTATCATTGAGACAGGGGTGCGTTGGAGTAGGGAACTTCAAGGGTCGGGTGATATGATTTTGGCAGGATATTGAAGTTTACACCCGCGTTCAATTCTGATATGCAAACAGTCTCTATGGATACTTGATCGAGTGCTGGTTGAGTAGTCACTGGTTTGCATGCTGAAATTAGACAGGATAATATCCGGTCTAGCAGTTCATGAACACCCAAAGACTGGTTGCCTGCACTAAGGATGCACAAATGCATCCCGCGAACCCTAAACCATTAGTCCGCTTTAGCATGCATCCATGCATCCATCCGTCCTACTTAAACACCGTCTCCCTCGTATCCATCCTCACTCCAACAACTCTCCTCCCCTCCCAATACTACAAAAAGCCATGCTATCCATTCTCCTCCTCGCCATCCTTCCCATCATCTACCTCATCCACAAATACTTCACCGATCCTCTCTCTCGCATTCCCCCTGCCCACCCCCTCTCCCCATACACCACCAAATGGATAACCCACCACCGCGACCGCACCACAGAAGTAAAAGCCATCTACACCGCCCACCGCGCCCGTGGGCCTATAATCCGCCTTTCGCCCACTGAACTCAACGTCAATTCGCTTGAAGGGCTGCGGGCGATCTATACGCAGGGCGCGTTCGAAAAACATGCGTTTTACGCTGATACATTCATGAACTTTCAAACGCCGAATATGGTGGGTATGCTGGAGAATAAACCGCACGGGGAGCAGAAGAGATTGTTGAGTGGCGTTTATGCCAAGAGTTACCTGCTCAGGTCGAGTGATGTCAAGGTTTTGGGGCGGGAGATGGTGGTCGGGAGGTTGGGTGAATTCTTGAGGGGAGTCGTTGCGAAGGGTGCAGTGATCAATGTGTTGCCTGTTTTTCAGGCTGTGGGGATGGATTTTACCTCTGGGTTTGTGTTTGGGATGCAGAATGGGACGAGGTTTCTGGAGGATTTGACTTCTTGGGGAGTGTGGTTAGGGCAGTATGAGGCTTTCAAGAGCATGAGTAGGGAAGAGAGGTTTATGGGGTTTGTGGAGAGGTGGTGTTTGGGGTTGTGCGAGGGGGTTGGTCTTTCGAAGCAGAGTGGAGGCCCGGTGACGCAGGCTGTGGTTTATGATCGACTTAGGGAGGGGTTGGAAGAAAAGAAGAAGGTATCTGGAGAGGATGTGGACGTGAATCTAGCCGTTGCATCAGAGGTGTTGGATCATTTGGTGGCTGGGCATGAGACGACTGGTATTACAATCACATATATCATGTGGGAGTTGTCAAAGAGGCCAGAGCTGCAGACGAGGTTGAGAAAAGAACTGGCCAGTTTGCCTGGGTCGTTGAGGTATACAGAGGGAATGGAAAAGGGACTGCCTTCTTTGGCAGACATCGATGCACTTCCATTTCTGGATGCAATCGTCCGGGAAACTCTTCGACTCCACGCACCGGCTCCGGCACCATTACCCCGCGTGACTCCTCCAGAGGGGACATGGATACATGGGTATTATATACCTGGCGGGGTGCAGGTCAGTTCTTCTGCATACTCACTGCACCGGATAGAAGAGGTATTTCCATCCCCGGAGGAGTGGATTCCCTGGCGTTGGATGGATGTGAAGGATGACAAGATCCATGATATGCGACGCTTGTTTTATCCATTTGGAACCGGAGGACGAATGTGTCTGGGGAGCAACTTTGCATTGCTGGAGATTAAGCTAGTTATCGCTATGGTATATGCCAATTTCGCGCCCGAGGTTGTGGATGATGAGGGAATCGGGCAGCACTTGGAGTTTATTGCGTTGCCAAAGGGGAGAAAATTAATGGTGCGGTTCGTTCCAGTTGAGGGCCACCCTCATTGATATTGTCGGGCATTCAAAAGATATTTTATAACATAGATTGAATCAAGAATCCCGAGCCAGGTGGTTAATAGAAGACATCCACATAGTTCTACCCATGTATGGTTCCCAATCCCACGTAGCCGAACGTGCTGTTGTCAATGCTTGACTGCTCTATCCTAACCCATGCCATCGGGAAAGGACACAATAGCAGTCATACCTATATTGTTAGGCCGGGCCCCTTCATTAATATATGCTACTGGATCACTAAAATGGCCTCAGGCCCTCAACCCCATTTGGGCATGTTGTCCCGTGATCCGGCAGAGAGAGTCTCGCACCTGCCGATGAAAACAACGAGTTGAGTCCCCCTCACTTACCACAGATCCAATCACCAACAACTTTGGGAAAGTGATAAAGTTTCAGCCTGTGAATAATTCCCAGTTACTCGAATGACTCCGAAAACTCCCTACGTCATTGTCTTTCACTGGATAGTGGCACCCAGTCACGTCACCCACCTTGTGCAACGGTGATTAAATCCACCTGATGAACTAAGTTTCTTGTCAAAGTCTGTCGACAAATAGCATTCTACTTCCTAGCTGACCATGCACATAGATGATAGCTGTTCCCTGGAGTCTGACATGCCCTCGCTGGTCGCATGCGAGTAGCCAACGTACAGTAATCGGCACCTAGATAATGAATGCACCATACAAACTAGCTTCTTCAAAACAAGGGAACACCACAGGTAGTAAGGTACCCATGCAGGTGAATCTGTGCCGCCTGTCATGGCAGTAGGCGTTGCCATGCACCAGGGCAAGGGGTTGACATGGCCATTGGGGCAGGTGCAGTACGTATTTATTCTTCAAATCCCGCCTAGAGTCGCGCTTTTACCAGTGCACCCCCACGAATAACAACTGTGCTATAGCCCGCCCCTTCGAGCAGTATGTCTACAGTATCCTTCTTTTCAAATCTAGATGAAGTACCGGAGCCGATATTCTACCCCCTGTCAGGTTCGACATACCAGGGTACATCCTGTTGTTCATTCATTCTCCTATCCCTATCTATGGATTATGCTGCCGGTTCGGTGGCGGGGCAACAGTGTTGAGAAATACACCTCGCCTGTGGTCGGTTCTGGATGGTTTACCGTGGATCCCCGTGATTAATTAGAAAGAGGCAATCATGCTGGGCTGCATGGGAAGCTTCGTCAGTATCTGCATAGTCAGGTAAAGCCGTCCGTCATCTGCACCTGTGTCTCACTAACACATTCAACCCAGCACCTTCAAGACGAAGACTATCCCTACGTCTTTCTCCTTACCGCCCCCAAAGTACTAGGACATGTCTTCAATCCTGTCTCTTTTTGGTATCTATATTCTGTCAATAGCACGTTGGCCGCCGTTATTTTAGAAGTGAACAACAACTTTGGCGAGCGACATATGTACCTCCTCCTATCGACTGGGTCAACTTCCGAGGACACTAGTGTTGCCGATCTTGCAGATCAGCCTTGTTCTACACCAAACCGCTTTGCCAGCATCTGGCCGAAGGACTTCCATGTCTCACCGTTCAATCCCCGAGAGGGCATGGCATATACCCTTAGCACTACTGATCCCTTGCGGTGCGAAAGACCGGTCGACAGTCGGATCGTGCTGGTTGCCTCCAATCGGGTCCGACTTATAGCCTCTATCCGCGCTACGGGCCCGGCGATCCGCCCAGCTGCTCTCTCCGCCTACCAGCGATCCCAGCTGATCTTATCGTGGGGGTGGGTGGGGGCTTTGACGGAGCCACGCATCTATTTCCAGGCTGCAAAGCTGCATGTGCAACGGAAATTACGGGTCTGGTCTCTGCCGGTGCCATTGGAGAAAACCATCAGTCGACGCGCAAATCGACTCGAACGATCGCTCGAACATTTTGTGAGGGGATACCTGCGGCACCGAGTGGAGAACACCGACGGATCATTTACCGTGCGGTATTCCGCTGCAGGACTGTTTGCCAACGACACGGTCGAGATCATGCAATCACCTTCGGCGCGTGCGATTTCGAGCAAATGCCCGGGCAAAGCCGTTGAGTTTCGGGTCCTACGGCCGGACTTTTACACCTCCTTCGTAGAGAGTCAAGCCTTGACCGCCGAAGCAGTCTTCAAGCTCCTGGCAGGAAATGATTTCCTGCGCGTGTCGCGCATGCATGTGCTCCGGGATCTATTTTGTGACGAATCAGGCTCCTTTCCAGAATTTAGCAAAGTCTCTGGGTCTGGTCATCTCGCTTTCCAGGTCCTCTCCTGGTTCCGAAAGGGGCGGCCCGCAGCTATTGCTGGTCCGCGTTCTTTGTCTGCCCTGGACTGCTACGTACTGACCTGCTGTAGTCCTGCCGAGCAGAGGGACTACTGGCTGCAGGTGATGAAACTATTCCTCAGTCGCTATGTTGCCTTCGGGCACACATTTCTTCTTGAAGCTGAAGTTCTTGTCGCCCTCCTGGTTCTGGGGTGGACTCTCTTAACCACTAATAGTCTGTATTATGGTTCATACGGTTCCAGTTTCCGATCATTCTTTGTCATCTGATGCTGTAGAGTGATATTTATTGGTAATTGACTCAGCGCTACTGCTCAACAAATTATAGCTTCTATAGCCCATATCTTTATAGAATTCAAGCTGCTCAACGCAGACACTAGTACAGTCGACAAAGCTAACGTCATTTATACCTGATACCGTGAAGTTATTGTGCGACCATGAGTTATTTCCAGAGACCTTGTGGCGGAGATAAAGGTCGATACTGATTGCCGAGCCCCCGGCTGACCTCAGAATATCCTCTAGTTCATCTTGTCCAACTATCTGATTCTTGCTTTCTCTCCCTGCTCAAGGCACATCGCTCAGTGGACATGAACCCAATAACCCCACCCTCATCGATTTTGGGGTTCATAACTGCCACAAGATTACTGGCCTTACCACAGACCGTATGACCAGCCAACATTGTCCTGAACTTTATCAACAAGTGATGTAAACCGAGCTTAACATCTGGCTCGGACTGCTCGGCATCAAACCCTATTCGTGATTTTATACTATGAGATAATGGGACTAGCCGCCACCCTTCCACAGTATCAGCTGGATGTGACAGTCACACAAAGACATGGGGACTGTCCTACAGGGAATCAACCTGGGCGGTGACTTCTTGGGCGTCAATGGTAGAAGTGTACTTTAGCCTGGGTGCAGGAACATTGCAAGGGAATGTACACCCGGCTTAGCTGCATGCAGAGTGACAAAGCACGTCATGCTGTTACCTGAGTGAAGCAACACGCTGCTTGGCAATATCTTGGTTCGTCCTTCTAGGACATAAATAGCCAGTGGCCATCGAGTCACACTCATGATCTGCAAAATATCACTGATTATCGTTAAGATCGCTCATTACACAATATGCAAGACAGGTGCAGATTCCGTTGTACTATAGCTATATGTTGACTAACATCACACAGCAAGAAGATAGCCATCATTGGCAGCGGCGCGGCCGGCATGGCTGCTCTCTGGGCCCTTCACCAGCATTCTCCTCACCAGGTCTACATCTACGAGGCGGCTCCTCGCCTTGGAGGTCACATCAACACAGTAGAGTTCAAGAAGGGAGAAGATAGCGTCAATGTCGACACTGGATTTATCGTGCTCAACAACTCCACCTATCGTGCGTTTCCTCCTCCAAACTTGAAGCTTGGTCTGACCGAACAGCCAACTTTCTCAACTTCCTCAAAGCCATCAATGTCCCAACCACTCCCTCGGAGATGTCATTTAGTGTTTCGCGATTCTCCGACTCGGGCTCCTTTGAATGGGCAGGCTCCTCCCTGAGAAATCTTTTCGCTCAAAGCAGAAACCTGTTCTCTCCTTCAATGTGGCGGATGGTCTTTGATATGGTGAGATTCAATCACTTCGCCCCTGATCTCCTCCGCCTACCCGACGTGGACAATACTATGTCTATTGGAGAGTACCTCGAGAAAGAAGGATACTCGGCATTTTTCCGCGACAACTACCTAATCCCATTGACGGCGTCAACGTGGAGCACGAGTCCAGACAAGTGCAACTTGCAATTTCCTGCCGTGACTCTCATCCGGTTTCTGTATGTTTCCTATATCATGTCGATGCAGAGCTAATTCCATCAGGTACAATCACAACCTGCTTAATACGCTCGGGCGGGGTCTCGAGTGGCTCTCCGTGACCGGTGGCGCAAAGAGCTATATTGATACCATAATGGCCAACTTTCCTTCCAAACAAGTGTTCTTGAATCAGCCCGTAATATCCGTCGTGAACGATCCAGCCACGGGTAGTGTTACAGTCACCACTGCCGACGGCACGACAGCCACCTACGACCACGTCATCCTCGCTACGCCCGCACCTCAAGCACTCTCCCTAGTATCTAAAACAGCAACTCCACTAGAAAGTTCCATCCTCTCAGCCTTCGAAACGACCACCAATACCGCAGTGCTTCACTCCGACGAGACCCTCCTCCCCCAGAACCGCCGGGTCTGGTCCACCTGGAACTATCTCAGCAATGGCGCAGCAGATCAGGTATGCGTTACGTATAACATGAACCGGGCGCAGGGGGTCTCGCATGCGAAATACGGGTCGGTGTTGGTGACGATGAATCCGCTGTTTATGCCGGACGTAAGAACAATCCAGGGAGTGTTTCAGTATGAACATCCGCTGTTTACTCCGGCGGCAGTGCGGGCGCAGACAATGCTACCGAGGATTCAGGGCACAAGGGGGATCAGTTACGTGGGGGCGTGGACGATGTATGGGTTTCACGAGGATGCGTTTACGAGTGCGTTTGGAGTGGTGGAAGAGTTGGGAGCGAAGATTCCGTTTCCAGTGGCTGACAGTCGGTTGAGAGGGGGTGCAGTGAAGGAGGTGAGATGGTTGGAATATGTGTTTAGATTGGTGTTGCAGGGAGTGCAGGGTTTGATTGTGTGGCTGGTGGGAGGGGGAAAAGGGAAGCAGAAGGCGAGGTAAAAACTTTACACACTGCCTCTCGAATGAACTTTCAGCTCTTTTGGATAGACAAGGTTTCTATCGGTGCTATTCTGGGTGTTGCATTACCTGTCACATTGAATATCCTCCGAGGTGATTATCCACGCAATCCCATATCATCTGATATACCCCTTGCATAATCTGTCTTTACCAAATCTGGTAGAAAGTAAGACCATCCGGATAGGCTGTATACTACCTCGTGTCCACATTGGGGATACTGAATACGATTGTATATCAATTCGATGGATGGGAGATAACAACCCTAAATGAACCAAGCAACAGCCGTGGATCTCCCCGGACTTTCTCCGATGGCTTCCCCACCCGCCAATCCAGCATCAACTAAACAACCCCTCACGCTCTTCATCACCTCTCATTTCACTCCTAACCATATCATCTACGGCTTCACAAACAACATCACTCCCTCCCAAGCACACACCTCTACTGACAAGATACAACGATGGCCGACTCCCTCCCGAAAACCTACGACGACCTCCCCGACAAGCGGCGCTACTGGCCCGCAACCCCCAACTCCGCCGACGAGGGGCTGGGAATGCTCCGTCTCCTCACTCCAGAAATCGTCGCCAACGCAGCACGCACCCAGATCCAGACCGGCGAGCGCGTATGCCTGAACTGGGACCTGGAGAAGCTGAACCCACCAGGTACCCTCCCTTCTACCTCAGTGACATAGGTTCACCCCCAACCTCACCCATCAACCTAACTTAAAAACATAGGCTTCGGCCGCAAACCCTTCGCCCACCACGTAAAATGGGTCTCCGAAGGCCACGCCTTCGACGACGAATACCACTTCAACCCGCAACAATCCTCCCAATGGGACGGTCTGCGACACCACAACGCCCCGGCTCCAACCCCCGACGACCCTAACCGCCGGGTCTTCTACGGCGGCACCACCTCCACCGAGATCCTCGACCCCTCGTCCACCCGAATCGGCATAGCCCACTGGGCCAAGAAAGGCATCGCCGGCCGCGGCGTCCTCATCGACTACGCCTCCTACGTGCAACGAACCAAGGGCGTCACAGTAAACGCCCTAACCCGCCACACCGTCTCCCTGGACGACGTCCTCACCATCGCGAAGGAATGCAACATCACCTTCGAACCAGGCGACATTCTCTTCCTGCGCGTCGGTCTACCGACTACATGGGATAACATGACCGATGAGGAGAAGGTCAAGTATAGTCAGCAGGAAACGCCCAACCATGCAGGATTAGAGCAGAGTGAGCGTGTGGTGCGGTTCCTTTGGGATCAGCATTTCGCCGCTGTAGCGGGTGATGCGGTCAGCTTTGAGGTGTATCCGCCGGTAGAGAAGGAGTGGGATTTACATCATTTTTTGCTGGCTGGGTGGGGACTACCGATTGGGGAGATGTTTGATCTTGAGGGGTTGAAGGAGGTGTGTGAGAGGTTGGGAAGGTGGACGTTTTTCGTTAGTTCTAGTCCGTTGAACTGTGGGAGAGGTGTGTCGAGTCCGCCGAATTGTATGGCAATTTTTTAAAATGCAGAGGTGGTGTGGGAACGGAGTTGGATGGACGATGGAGTGGATAGAACAGCGGGAGTTGATGTATTGAGCTGGGGCCCTAGTCATGATTTGTCTGAATCTGGAGACTATACATAGCACCTTCAGGGCATCAAGAGGCATAATATGCAGTTATACTTGTGATATTACATTCTTTGGCCACAGTTATGACTGTCTCTTATATTGACTTTGAAGTGTCTTCTTTGAGCCGAGTATACTTGGATTATAGGATTCCAATGACGGTACATCCCGAAGGTCTGTCCCAGCATTTCCCTAATCGCAGTGGTAATACCTACTACTAGCCAGTATATCTAAAGTACACCACTCGGAACTCATTCACATATACGAATGGTGACTATGAAGGGGTAATACATTCACAACAAGATCAGTAAATAGCAGTTGCGAGGAATGCAAGACTAGCCCTTCGTACATTCAATATCAGAAGTTGGGACTATAAAGGCCACTGCCTCCCTCACTAGCCCGTAAAGCAATACCTCGCTGCTACCATTGCCAACTGCAGGGTGTTTCCAGTAAACGGAGTGGCTGTTCCCACCGTGCAGCACTCTGTACCCACTCCCCTTCCTGCTGTCATTCTGATTCCTACTCTAATGGCACCAGATATATACCCTGAATCGATAATCTTCGGCTTCCACAGTGACCTACATGTCTCGGGAGTACTCGAAAACACATGCATCCTACAGTATGAGAACGACTCAGTCTATTTGATACTCAGCAGCCGGAGTACTGTTGGGTCATCTTCATACCCACGACCACACCCTCCGAACCCACTTAGCATGCAACAAATCGCGAAGATGGTTGGAAGATGGATCATAAGGCTTCGAGCGGCGTCCCGTCCCTATGAGTTTTGTATTGGCCTATACGATTACCATCGTCGATGAGAGAAGCTTAAAAGTATGCAAGGACGTCTGAGCAATGTTCCTGTTAATGGGAAGTCATCCTCCAAACCAACTGAAGCGTTTAGCTGCCGAATCTGGTTCAAGAACTCCATCACCGCGTTGCATAGCAATAATCTCATTGTGCGCGGTCAGACAGCCTCTAGTCTGTAGAGTAAAATGATGAAATGTGTCGATTGCTATAAAGCAGAGATCTAAGAGAAGAAACGGCGAATTCCAGCAATGAATTGATTACTTGTGGTATACATATCCGGTCTACATTTGGAACAGCAGATAGTTGTCCTTGGACGAATTTCAATGTTATACCGGACTCACGACAAGGCCTCTCTGATCTTAGGCATTGAAGAGAATCCGGGTGGATATAATGTTTGGAATTCTCATGAAACCTAGTCCAACGGTATGGGTTAGCGAATGAGAAGAGATGGGAGAGGGGACCTGTTCAGAGGGCTTCGGTGGCTAGGTATTTGAGAAATCCTAGGCCCGATCGTCTGGCAGAGGGATCCGATACCGATGGGGTATACCTGTTAGTTAGATCAGATGGAAGGTTCCGAAGTACATAGACACATTCTTTCTGCAATTGAATAATACAAGCTAATATTGACTCCTGGGATGTATGTAAATCCCAAAGCCCAGGACCAGTGAAAGTGGGAGTGTTTTTTGCAATACTAGCGTCCAGTTTACGGTTTGGCTTGTATTTGCGACGGGGACCTCCAATGCTAGCATCCAACCATCACGCTGAACAATTATCCCTGCTTCACGAGTACATATGTCTTGCAGACAGCTCAATGTTTTCACCTACTTATCACACGTGTTCCCGGACATCCGATCGGCCAAATGTTCAATAGAATGACCGATGAGCAAGTGGAGCAAGTCGTGAAGACTTGAAGCGATATGTTGCCGAACTCTGAGCCATACCCTTCAAGACCGACTCCGAATCTCGGAGCTGTATTTCCCTCGGTGAAGGATTCCTAGACTATTGAAGTCCTGATAGCCAGCACGAAGAGCTAAGGTTTAAGAGTGAGGCTGATTTCAACAAGTACTTGACCGAACCCTTCGGTGAACGCGCAGACGTGCTGCATAATCACATAATATTTCTCATGCAGATTGCTTTAGTCATGGGAATTTGATCCCGAGGAATATCTTTGTGGAGAATGGCAGGATCAGTGGGATTGCCGACTGGGAGAATGCAGGCTGGTTTCCGGCGTATTGGAGTATGCCAAGGCTCATTATAGCGTGCGATATGTGATGCGTTGCTTGTGAATAATGTCAATCGAGTCTTTGAGGCTTAACGGGACGGATTGCACGTGGAGAATAAGCTTTCTGACCTTTTCGGTCCATTCTAGTTCCATTCTTCCTTCTCTCCAGATTGATTGTGTCAATGACTTTCCATTAGTTGACTACCCAATACAAAGACAACATCCAGTATCACAGCCCACAGAACAACCCCTACATTCCCATAACCCTATAGACCAACGCCGCCACCACCACGGGCCCAAACACCCACAACCCAACCCTCCACCCCAACCTCATCATCCCCCTCCACATCACAATCCTCACCTTCTCATCCAACCACTTCTTCTCATTCAAATGCGGGAATGGCACATCGGGCACCGGCTTGCCTAGAAACTCACACAACGGCCCCCACCCCTCACTCAACCTAAACTCCAACAGCCTCTCCGGCGGCGTCAACCGCCTCACCAACGCATAATGCTCCCTATACTTCTCCCGACTCACACGCTTCGCATCCTCCGGGCCCTTAATCCCCAACCACCCCTCAAAGGTCGACTTATGCACCTTACCCAAAGGATGCGTGAACCACCGATCAATCGTATATATGATTGTCACGATAGGATCATACGTGTTGGCAATCACGCCGTTCATCCAGCTTTCGTACCACGAGTCGATGTCCCGCTCCACCAGCACCACTTTAGCTTCGGGGTACGCACGGATCAACTCCTCGGAGAAGGCGATGGCCGGGGTGTCGGAGGAGATGGCGGCAAAGTCGTGTAGGAGTTGGTCGAACTCAGCTCGGCCGTATTGGGGGCCCGGCGCGTTGAAGAATTTTCGGTCGATGGCTTCTTGCCACATGGGTATGGTGCCGAATTTGTCGGACATGAGGGTGATGGAGTGCCAGCAGGGAAGGGAGAGGGTTTCGAGGGCGAAACACATGGCTATCTTTGCTCTTAGTATGGGTTGTTTCGCTTTTGGCATTTGTGTAGTGGGATGATATGGAGGATACTCGAGGTCATACTTACAGGCTGTTCCTGTTCGGTTGAACCCCAGACAGAGGACTTCGAGTGGAACGGTGCGCTTCTTGCCTCGTGGGGAGTCGCTGTTCACGGGACGGAAGAGTTCGGGGTGGCGTTCTTGGGGGGTTGCCATGGTGTTTATGTAGATATATTAAGTAGAATTGGATGATCTGCTGTGTTCTGTTGATAGACAGGCGTAAATGAAGAAAAGAAACTATGAAGTTTGAACTAAAGCTCCCCTGGAATTGTTGAAGATACATTTTATAGTCCTTTCATTCACTTGTACTATATTAGCGCTTACTTGTCGGCAGTTGGAGGGCTATGTTGATTGGCCTGCTCGTTCATGCATTTAGTCGCATTCACTAGCTCGTTAGCGCTTAGTTGAGCGGAGCTAAAAGGTGTGTTGTATAGTGTTATAGACCGTGGTAGATGCGAACATTCAGCTGCAAACTAGTAGAAGGCTACCTTTAATTCGGTGATAAACGACTAGAGTTTGAAATAAGCGATATAGCACAAGTATCAGACACGAGCAACAATATGATGTGTCGAAGTGGGTACAAGGCAGTTCATCAACACTATACCGCTTCGGGTAATTCACATGTTATACGATGTATGATCGGTTCTATGAATGTGGATAATCAATTGCAACCATGGCAATGTACTAGAAGATAATGACAAGATGTACTCCATAACCATCTTTTTATTTATTTGGAATAAATATCAAGAAGATCTACATCATAATCAACTGCCTGCCTCTCCACTGTTTCACTTGTGATAAGATAACTCCGACGGCCACGGAGTACCGAGGTAGTTTTTCCGAGATCGCCCAAGATTGAGTCTCCGGCTTACTTCCCCAACAGCAATCAACTCTCCTTGACTAACCTCCTTTTATACTCATGCAGGATCCCACTCGTTCATTCTCTCCCTGCTCTCATCTTCCTCTTCATCCTTGAGTTCCGGGGCATCCCCGTTCTCACTGTGCATTCTTGTACATAACAATAATAATCACCATCATGGCCGACCTCTCCACCCTCCGCGAGGTCATCCTCCCCTCGCTCTTCTCCTGGAAATCCCTCGCCATTGTGCTCGCCTTACTCAATCTCAAGAATATTCCCTTCTCGTGGCATGTACGTATCCACTCCTACCCCCAGCACCACTAATCAACATTGACAATAAAACCGATAGATCCGCCTCCTAACCCACCTCCTCCTCAACCTCCGCCGCTCCCCGACCTCCCCTCCCTTCCCTACCTGTCCTCCACCCTCCACCCTCACCACCAAGGAAAAGACAATCCAAACCCACCCCATCTTCTACCCGCACACGCTCACTACGCGCACCTCCCTCTGGGAAACCGACTACAACTTCCACAAATCAAACAGCACCTATTTCTCCGATCTGGACATCTCCCGAACAGCCATAGTAACGAGAGTCTACACACCGGGTTTAGCGCTCGTGAGCTTGGAACTCGACCACGAATTGAGGAATGGGAAAGATGAAAATGCCAAGGTCAATGCGGGAAAGAAGGTGTATGTCGCGCTGGGATCTACCTATACCAGCTTTAAGCGGGAGATAGGGCCCCTGCAGAGGTATCGGGTGTTGAGTCGGATTGTGGGCTGGGATCGGAAGTGGGTTTATGTGCTCAGTGCTTTCGTGAGTATTCCTTCTGGGAAGAAGGGGAAGGGGAAGGGGAAGGTGTTTGCTACGGCTGTGAGCAAGTATGTGGTGAAGAAGGGGTGGGTTACTGTTCCGCCGNAGAGGGTGTTGAGGGCGAGTGGGATGTTGCCGNAGAGGAGTCTTGCTGATGGGGAGAAAGATGAGGATGGGGTGGTGGTTGAGGAGGAGGAAGAGGGGACGGTGGAGGGGATTGTGGAGGGGGTGGGGGAGGTGTTGAGTAAGGATAAGGAGGGTGATGATGGGAAAGGGGAAGGAGTGTCGGATTGGACGTGGGATATGATTGAAGAGGAGAGAGTGCGTGGGATGAAGATCGTCGAGGGATATGTGGGGTTGGATGAGAAGTTGTTGGCCGAGTGGGAGTAGACCAGTACTTATTATTTACATCGACTACTCCGTTATCTGATTTCTGTACATATATAGATACCAAGTAAGAGCTGGATAGATGATAGATAGATCCATAATCTTGTTAATTATCAGTCACGTCATTTATATCATGATTCCCTTTACTACCCCATCCTTCCTCGATACACATCCTCCCAATCAAGACGACCCGCAAATCAGATTCTCCAGATTGATTCCATCTACCCAAACCATCAGCCAAATCCACATCCTCGTATACTGCAGTTTAGAGGGGACACACATACCCTGCAATTCATCTCCACACCCATTATTATTCAAGCAATCCCGCACGCCCTGCTGGAAGCTCCCATTGGTGCAGTAGCAATTAACATCACCAGAGTTACAGACTGTGCTGGATTCCACGCAATTGCCCTGGGATTGTTAGCAACCATATACTAACTCCCGATCATTGCCTCCTTGAGAATGTTTAGAGACTTACCAGACAGTCTGGGATGCTTTGCGCCGCGGCGAAGGACAGAACGGCAGCGAGAGGAAGGAGGATGGAGAATTTCATGGTGGGTAGAGTCGTATACTAACTTATAATATAGGGTAAAGAGATATGATATTGATTCTAGTGAAATGATGTGCTACCACGAGGAACTTAGGTGATTTATACCAGCAGGAATAGAAAGTACAAAGTGGTAAATAGGGATGAATGATCTCCTTGCGTGTGGGGTAGATCGCATGAATAGATACCAGGACTGGTAGAGCAAGGGAACAAGTCTATAGACAGACATTGATCACTAATGATCGATGTAATGACGATCTTTATATCGGTTACTCTGGGTTGATGTATCTTCAGCTCGCATTGTACATCACTGGCATGTATATCCATGGATGTCTTGGATTTAGGGAAATGTGTTAAAGTGAGGGTTTCATACCCATTGGATGTGATACACGGTATGTAGCAGTTGACATCATGGCATGTTTCATAAATTTCATGTAGGATATGTCAATAATCGCCTGGGTAGATGTCAATGATGGTCGAACAGTTAATTTCTTCAATTCCATGAGCATCTGGTATCTGCAAGGGCTACCATCCCGGGTATTCAACCGCCACCCTTCTCACGAGGCAGCCACTGCAGCTACGGGTGGTGAAACATGCGTCAGCCCTTGCATGGTGTTCGATGTTCTTCGGTCTTTCTTCACGACAATATCTGTTGGAGTACATCATTGACGCGTAATCGGTGGAAAGCAGAAGAGATGATCGTAGTGTAGAAATCTATTATGACTGGTATCTCTAGTCTAAACATATGAACAAGAAATGGAGCTCAAAATATACATCTGAATAGTCGGTCAAATAGATAACATAGAAAGCAAAGAATAGAAGAAAGTAAGGGGAAAAAAGAAAGCAAGAAGGGAAGCAAGAAAGAAAGGAAGGAAGAAAGAAAAGCCATCTGCTGCCACTCTTTCACTGCTTCCGCCATTTCTTCACACGGAACAAATAATAAAACGCCGCCGCGGCCGCAATCTGCACAACAATATACACCCAAAAGATCCCAAAATTCCTCCACTTGTCACTCGCGACAATGCCCGACATACTGATATACGCATCTGCCGTGCTCACAGAGCAGTACTCACACCCCGTCGTAGCATTCGGATTCAGCAGATTGCCTCCAGCAAGCTCCGCATACTGTCCCAGATACTCGCCGCAGGACTGACCCGCCGGGGGATCAAGGACCGACAGCTCTGACGACGAGCACACCACCTCTCTTCCTGATACCTGTGTAGACACCATTGCCGAGGCCCAGTATGTGAACGGTGATGCACGGTACATGAAGATCCAGAATCCTGGGAGAGCGGAAGGCGATTGCATGATACCGCAAAAGGTCAAGGACATGGCGAAGAGGAGAGTAACGATAGCACTGGCGGTGACGGTGTCCGGAAGTGCGGCGATTATCATGTGCGCAAAGGTGCTGACGTAGATGAAGAATTCGATGCAGAGGATGAGCACGGTGGCTTGGCGGGCGGAGCTTTGGATGCCTACCACCGGAAAATAGTAGCAGGCAAAAACGATGATGCCGAGGACGATTTGGTATGGGATTTCGACAATGATGTTGGCCATCAGGAACGCTTTCCAGCTGTATGCTTTGCTGGGACGTTCGCGGACTTCGTAGAGGTCTCGTTGGGTGATGAAGAGCGGCATGATCTGCTGCACAAGAGATGGAAAGAGAGAGCACAGCATGAAGATAGAATAGATAATCGTCTGCAATCCTTGGAGAGAAGATTTGGCGTGATAGAAGGAAAATCCGATAAAGAGGCCGCCAAACACGCCCAGGCCCCATTTGGCCAGCACATACGAGGGCATGCGCCAGTACTGCTGGAAAACACGGTACGTGACTTGATAAAGCTGGAACCAGAACGGCATGGCGAATTCGGCGTGGCTCCATTCGGTATCTTCGTCGACAGGTGCTCCCTGCTTCTCGGCGTGAATGCGATCGATCTCCGCTTGGACATCTTGGCTCTCATTGCTTTGCTTCCAGACATCGAACCAGTTCTCCCCCTTGGCATTGGAGCCTTTGTTGACCATCTCAAGCATGTACTCAGCCGGGTTCTCGTCCTCACCGCAAGGACGTGGAGCGCCGTTGGCCTCAAAGTAATCGAGCAGTGTGCGCGAGTTTTCTCCCACTGGTCCGAAGTAGACGGTCTTACCGCCGCGAGCAAGGAATAGCAACCGATCGAATTGCTGGAACAAAACGGCGCTAGGCTGGTGAATGGTACAGAGGACAGCCTGGCCATGGTCGGCTAAACGGCGCAGAAAGGCGCAGATCGCCCATGAACTCTGAGAATCGAGGCCACTTGTGGGTTCGTCGAGAAAAAGAAGAAGCTTTGGCCGTGCAGCTAGCTCCACGCCGATAGTTAGCAACTTGCGTTGTTCAACGTTCAAGCCCTCTCCCGGAACTCCGACTACTGCTTCAGCAAAGTCCTCCATCTTCAGCATAGAGATAACTTCTTCGACATAGTCGTACTTTTCCTTGAGCGAGACAGTAGGCGGCTGGCGAAGCAGAGCACTGAACTGCAGTGACTCACGCACAGTAGCCGTCTGGAGATGAAGATCTTGTTGCTGGACATATCCAGTTTTCCGCTGGAAGCTAGCATCCAGTCCATTACCATTGACAAACATGTCCCCAGTAATCACTCCCATGGTGGTTCGATGGGCGAGGACATCGAGAAGAGTGGTCTTTCCTGCTCCACTGACACCCATGAGTGCAGTGAGAGTACCAGGTTTGACCCAGCCTGATACATGATCCAGAAGCCGTCTAGTTTCACCTTTGATGTCCACATCATAACACACGTCGCGCCAAGTAAAGATATCCTGTTGTGGAGCGAGTCCTCCAAGATTCTCTGATTTTCCCGTGCCAGTTGGTTTAATGGTACTTAGCTCAACTCCATTTTCAACATCAGGGGATTTGGGGCTCGTGGCACGCGACAAGGCTCGCTTCTGGCTGCGGTGGAAGACCAACACCTCCGCTGTGCTGGTGGTGGACGAGTTTAACTCCGTAGCGACGAAGTAGATCGCCATGAATGCGATCAAGAAAGCGATCAGTATCCCAAAGTTGCGCCACACGTGGCTGTAGTAGTACTTGAAATTGACGGCGATGTAACGATCACCACTGACGAGTTTTTCGCCGGCAATTGATCCAGACGTGGAACAAACGAAGGAAGAGCCATTCATGTCAGCGTATGACGGGACAAATGAAGAGCAGGGGAATTCGCGCCCGTGGAATTCGTTGGCGATGAGTATTTCAAACGCATAGTAGATCGGATCTGAACGGTCAGCGAGAATCAACAAGAGACAAATGAGCACATACTGAGATAATGAATCCACTCAAACCATGGATGCATTGAAGGAACGGGCAGCACAAATCCAGTATAGACAATCAGAGCCAGGATCAAGACGCCTGCCAGGGACATAGCCTGGGAAATGGTTTTCGTAACCGCCGCCATGGTCCGGAAGACTGCACTCATGACAAACATGATAATGAAGGAGATCAAAAAGTAGATGAAGAACTGGGCCGGTTCGCGTCGTAGGTTGACCATAAAGTAAAGAATGATATTGAACGCGACAGCGAGAGCAAATTTCACCGGTATATCGCTAACAACGCCCGCAATAGCTTCTGTTGCTGGATGGTAAAAAGCATACGAGGCTTGCTTTTCCACAATCGGTCGCTGGGCGTAGAGCGTATTGATCTCAGACATAGCTGCCAGGGCGTTCAAAAGGACGGCGAAGAAGAGCGCTGCTCCTTTGGAAACAAAAGAGGCAGTGTCGTTGGGGGCATTATAGTAAACCGAGCCGATAATGAGGGCCATGATGATCTGTCCACAGACTGTTGATACAGTGGACTGGATATCCATCCATAACCGCTGATAAGCACGTTTCGTGTTTAGTTTAATCTGCATGGGCACACTCAGCAAGAATGGCGACTTGGGCCGCGTGTGCTTAGCTTGCACAGCCCGCTTGCGCTCGTGGAACTCTGTATTGGTAACCTCATCGTTATGCAAAGGATGTTCTTTTTCATACGACGCAACCTCGGCAAGCATCTTCTGGTACTCTGGTGACTGACGCCAAAAGGCTTCAAAGTCGTCAGGAGTGCGAGGAACACGGTCTTCCATGCCCGCACGTGGGCGACGCTCCTGGGGGTTGGTAACGGAGGTCAGGAAATCACCTGTCGTTTGTCTCGGGGGGCACTCCCAGCCCTGCCGCTCAAAGAAGGCTTTTGCCTCCGAGGTAGGTCCAAGGTAAATTTGACAGCCCTCATAGAGTACCGACACTTTATCAAAGATGTCATAGATGCTCTGGCTCGCCTGATATATGGCAACTGCATGAGCTGATCCTGTCAGGTCAGCCATCAATCGCAGAGCCTCGACGAATTTTAGCGCGGTGGCCGAGTCGAGACCACGAGTCGAATTGTCCCACGCAGCTAGAGGTGCTGCAGCCAGAGTCATCTCGGCAATACTGACACGCTTGCGTTCTCCTCCAGAGACACCTCTGATGAACTCATTTCCAACTTTGGTATTATAAGTGTGGCTCAACCCGAAGATAGCCATGACAACCTTTGTGAGATGCTTTGCGTGTTCCTCTCGAGATAATCCTTTGATACGATGCTGTGGAGTGCGCATAGCGGCGGCGAATTCGAGGGTCTGGCCAACGGTGAGGTGAGGGAAGTGCTTGTCCACCTATAGTATAGTTAGCGGGTGTAATGCTAAATCATGACCAGCGTAGACATACCTCTTGGTTGTAGACCACTTCACCTTTGAACTCCTTGATCATCTGATGTTGGGGAATACCTAGATCGGGTCAGTAAAAAATAAAAAGATGTAGTATGAGTGTATTACCATTATAATGTATCACGCTGTCATCGTTGACAGTCAACCCCTCGAGCTCGCCACAAAGTGACTTCAGAAAAGTACTGCAGCCCGCACCCGGACGACCAAGCACAAGAAGAAGCTCTCCGCTCTTCAACACGCCATTGAACTCGTTCAAGATCCGTTTCGGTGGAGAGTGACGATTCCGAAGTGCCTCACCAATCTGGAAAGGGGCAGCGAAGGTCGATGCCACGGTATCTTGGAATTGAACCGCCGCTCCAGTCCCGGAGATGGAAAGGTTCTTGAACACGATACCTGGTCGAAGATCGAGAGCACCCTCTCGACGAAGCTCACCAAGACCATAAGCAAGCCACTTTCCGAGATCAAACTTGTCCGTCTGGGGGTCAAGACAGGGGTCATTCTCTCGGATTGTGTCCATGGTTTCTGGGCGACCGGAGGCAGCTGTGTGATGGGTGTAGACGCTGGAGCGCCGTCTGATCGACTCTTGAGTGGCGATCCGAACTAGATTCTGTCTCTCCTCGGGACCAATGAGGGCCACAGAGGGGTGTGGTGAACCTTCTTCATTCTGGGCAACTAGTGTGTTAGGTGTGTTCTGTCGTAATAGGTGATCCTCGTCCCGGGACCAGGGGACTGTCTGATCGGAAGCCATGTCGTAGACGCTAGCCACCTGTCAAATGGCAGCAATCACGAGGAGGTAGGAGAGGAATGCGTTGAGTCCGCTGCGTGTTTTCGAAAGAAGATTAGGCATCGCGCCCCAGTCTTTATATGACAACCTCGCATACTCCTGTTCGGGATATCGGTCCTCAGGGGAACCGGATCGGCTTCCATGGCTCAGCATACAAAGCTTGCTAGCATGCAAATTGGGTTGACTTAGGCTGTGCGTATACTCGGGTCCGGATCTTAGTATGAACCGGGAAGTTTATGGAGCAGGGTTCAGCCTAGTTGTCCATCGGATCTCGCAAGAGTAGAAGCCGTTAAGGGTGCCTGAAGCACGACCACCAATGAACGGGGCCATTGTGGGATGTGTCAGCGGATCTATTGTCTTCAGGGCATCCGATCAGCCACGTTGATCCGCAAGTGGATCGTGGATGAAGATGCAACCGATCTAGCCCAATTGCCGGATCGGGGAGATAGCGGAGCCCCCGTCAGCTTATCCCCGCTGACTAAATAACTCCGCTGACTTGTCATGGATACCTCAGGCGAGTCCAGCCCAGATCATCCAGACTATCGGATGTTAAAGTTTGCAGAGGCCAAACCATCACATCGTAATTCAGTATGCGGATAATGCTGTCGTCGGATCTGGAGGGATCTACAACGGTTTATTGTCATGTGAGTATGGAGAGTGGATGCTTGCCTATCCCTACTTCACATGCATTGTAGTAGATTAGTGTACCAGATCGATCTCCAGGATCCACAGAATCAGGAGATATAGTAGATAACCCAGCATGCCGATGGTTGTCACCCCTATAAGTGTTGGGCGTGGCTGCTTTCGTATCAAGGTAGCAAGTGAAGCGACCCTTCCCTTATGTGCTGTTGAAATGTTCGAATTGAGCCACTGTAATCAGCGCCAGCAGTACCTAGAGTGACTTCAATGTCACGATGATCTTTGTTAGGTTTGTGGGTGGGTTTGGCTAATACCAGGTCCTCGAAGGGGGGAAGACTGGGCAGAGTCACGGTCTTTAGTGAAGGCCACATAGACAAAGCGTCTAGCTTCTACGCCGTGAACAATAGCCCGACAGTCAATATATATAGCAACGTCTCCACTTCCCATACCATGGAGCACGTGCTCAGTAATTAGGAAATGCGAAAGGACCATCTAATCAACAGCCATAGCCGTATCTACCATCATCATTTTATGACCATTCATCTTATGTACACTCCATATGTCCACCAGTATCTTCATCAAGCATAATACTCCTCCACCCACTCCTTAATCTGCTTCACCTCATTATCAACCACCTTCCTCACACCCTCATTCGCATAGTAATCCTCCATATACAAGTCCGAGCAATGGAACCCGCCCGGAATAATCTGCACGGGTTCGTTCGCCGTGCTAACCAGCGGACCACCGGGCCGGAAAGTGCTCGACACACCGGAGTCGCGCCAGGGGTCATATTGCCTTCTCAATTTATTAGCATTGAGTTTATCTTCACATCACATTCAACGGAAATTAGGGGGAGACCTACCCGTTCGTCCAGATCAACCGCGTCGTGTTGCGGGTCATATCCCATCCACCCGTCCAGCTGTTCACCGTAGCGGAGTTTTTACCCTTCGCGCTGCCGTACGTGTAGCCGTTAACTTCGGGGAAGTAGAGCGGGCATTGGCGTTGCCAGTAGGAGGCGCTGACGAGCCGGGGCACAATAGTGGAGGTTCCCTCGGGGGCACCGCTGGATCTTTGTTAGTGGAATTGTTCGTGTGTTATCATGAATGAGGTAAGGGGTACGCACTCCTGCCACCAGAAGAAAGGCTCGTTGCAGAGGAACCATTCCCATTGGCGGTCGACAGGGTTACCCACGGAGGTGTCGGTGAAGATGGGGCTCGAGGCATTATAGCTGTCGAAACAGGCGACGCTCCATTCGTCGGTCCAGTAGCCGTAGCTTGCGCAGTCTGTCACTAGGTTAGTCTGGGAGGATAAGGGAGAGGAACGAGACAAGAGATGGTGAAATACAGTTAGGGAGTATGGTTGAATTGAACCAGTTTGCGTAGTTGGCCAGGGCCTTTTCAAGTCCGACGCCCTCGGGGCCGGGGGTCACTGCCGCGCCGGCTTCGACACCCTGTGTCCGTTAGTATATTGCTTCAATCAAGAGGAATCTGGTGGTAACTCACCTCGACAGCATCACAGAACTGGAAGAAGGAAGAGTATCCTGTGACAAAGTCGTTGTCTTGCCAGAGGTACGGTCCGTTGGGCAGGACACTGTTCCTGTCAGAAAAGCTCGTCTATAGACTTTGAAGTACTCACGCGGCAAAGTCATCGTAATGCTCAACAGCTCCCAGACCAAACAATTCTTTGAGCTCCTGCTGTTCCTTGGCAGTTCCATTCTTCCCAATTTTGTCGACATACTCGGCTACCAGAGACACATCCTTGCTGCAGTTCTGTGCCATACCTTGCTGAATGGGGTAGAAGTATTGCCACTGGCTTGGTTAGCTGCAAGTATAGATAACAAGAGCAGGCTACACCTACAAAGTCATAGATAGCCTCCACAGGCGCACTGGTGGCATGGTAAGCCCAGAACGTTCCAGGCGCGATAGACTCGGTCCAAGCCGTCAAGGCACCGCTGTATGAGCCACCGACCATGACCCAGGGCTACGTTGTCAGTACCTATCAGAAACATAGAGCGGTGAAGGTAACATACAGCATTCTGCGCATTGCTGCGGCTGCTATTATCGAACTGCAGCTTTACCGTCTCGGCGAAGTAGGTCATGTCCAGAATGGACTGATCCAGTGTGAGATACTGAAGTGTTTCGGCATTGAGCACCTCATAAGGCGAAGAGTCGCCCCAGTAGCGGTCTAGATTGGGGTCGATCAGCGAATGTCTTTTTTCCATGGTAGCAGTGACACTCACGTTCAATGAGAATGACGGCACCCTGGATCTCCTGCGCATAGACACCAGTGAGAGTATCGTTGGTGAGATACCCCTCATAGCCATCGGCAGAGACCTCTCCAGGGTTAAAGAGGACCACCTAGTTTAATCAGCAATGTTCCTCATGATTGCGGACCTTGCCACCGGCTAAGTTTCAATATGGCCGGTCATAAGACCAAATGTCAGAGACGCACCGGTGACCCAGGTCCACCCCAGTATTCAGTACTCCACCAGTACCGCTGGGAAAACGTTCCCTTCTCCGGGTTGTGATGGTCCAGCAGCTGCTCAAAATAAGCCTCACCCGTAGTCGCAGCCGACTTACTCGAAGCTGGCCGAGAGATAGGCTTGGGCACAAGACGGGGGCGAGCAGCCTGGGCCAGAGACGCCCAAGAGAGCGCCAGTGACGCGGCAGCGACAACGGAGAAGGAACGCATTGTGAGCTGTCGAGGGGAACAGAGGATCCTACAACCACAACAGACAAACTGGCTCGAGAGAACGGCCAGCGCCGGAGGAAACGAGCGATTTATGTCTGCGCCGGCACCATGGCGTGAGCGCAGCAGGAACTCCGCTCCTGCTAGGCGATACTACCTTACTCCATTGCATAGATTAAACCAGGCACGGCATGAGGAGTCCGGCAGGGACGAATCTTGAGCGTGACTGCAGAATTGATTGTTGTGCACCGTCGGAGAGCGTCGGGGCGGCCGGAGGGGGTGGAGCCTGCAGATGACATCGTCAGAAGATAAATGGATGAGATGCTGATGGAGGTGAGCACATTGGAGGCTAGACTAGACACTTTAGTCTTTAGTAGTGCCGGCGCCGCGGGGACTCCGGCTGCAGTGCCATCGGAGGTGCGCCTGCAGGAACGCGTGATAACGAGGAGAAAGAGATTGCAAGATTGCAAGATAAGGCGGAGAAGTAAATTAATACCGGGGATGGCAATGGCATGAGATTGGAATGAAATAGAATGTGGGATGCTATGCTAAACGGTGCATTTGAATGCAGTATCTATAAATGGAAAATACATTGGAATACAAGTGATAAATGACTCCTTCTGCCTCTCTTACAAGTCACCGTCCTCATCCTCGGCCGTTGTCTTTCCCTGCTTGTTGAGGCGCGACATCTCCACCTGCTCCCCCCGGCCAGCACCGCCGGCCGTCGACATCGCAATTGCCTGTCGTCCCGTATCCGAAGACTCGAGAAACTCGCGCAGTCGCTTCTTACCCTCCACGAGTGCCTGGTTCGATGCAGCCTCCGTCATCTTCATGATCGGTCCCCACAGATTGAGCTGGTACGTCACGTACCCTGCAACGAGGCACACAAACAAGAGGAAGAAGTAGGCAGGGTTACGAAGAACTGTGCACAGTTAGCCATGATCAACCCAGAACCCGAAATTCATAGTGCGAAACTTACCAGCCACAATCTCGTTCCAGCCAAGCGCCAGAAGAATGCCATAAAAGTACAGGGGCACCTGCGTCATGCCGCCGATGGCGCTGCGCTTGGCCTCCACGTACACTCCATCCGCAGCCTTCTTGAACCGCACCGTCAGCTCCTGCCGCTTAGACTCGCTGAGAATCGTCATCTCCTCTTCCAAGCTCTTGCCCTCCTCCTCGTCTACTCCACCGATCGGCGGCAGGTCCTCCTCATCGGCCGCAGTCGCAGAGCTTGGCGTGTGCCCAACCCAGCGATCCAGTGGCGGTGGTGCAGAGGTCTCCGCCAGTCGGAACCGTGATAGAAGGGGAATCAGGGTTAGCGTCGACTCGCGCGCACGGGTGTAGATGCCCTCAATATCATCGGTTGGCCGCCAGATTCGGGGAACACCAGCGTCGTCGTAGCGGAACTTGTCCTCAAAGTTCTCGCGCAGCTTCAGCAGCAGATTGCCCTCAACCATCTCTTCGTCAATCTTTGCGCGCAAAACACCCCAAGATTTCCGGCGCAACCGCCACAGCCCTACATCCACCTCCTCTAGGCTGGCGTCGAAGCTACTGGCGCGGTCGGTGAATCTGCGCTCGGCATCGAGCACGGTCTCCACAAACACATTCCATACACGGTCCCAAAATTTCTTCTCCGTAGGCTTCTCTCCCTCTTCCGGAGCGCCACCTCCGGCCCGTCCGGACCCAAGAGCATTGAACTCGAGACCAACCGACTCGCCCAGGCGAGACTGCACCCAACGCTCGACCCGGCTGGCCAGTCGTCGCATCTCCTCGCGACGCAGCCGTGCGCTCACTTCCGCGAGTTCCTTCTCATACAGTGCCAGCTGCTGTTGAGAGTCACTCCAGGCGGCGCCCTCCACGGCCGTTTCGTGCGCAACCTCCTTGAACTTCTGCACTGCCTTGGTCACTTCCTCGTTCACAATTTCGGCGAAGTCATAGCCAGTGCCCTTCTTCTGTCCGGCCTTGACAGCACCCGACACTGCCTCGCTGAACTCGGTAATACCAGACTTATGGGTCGCATCCAGCTGGCCCTGGAATAGAGCCTTCAAACGGGTATCGATCTTGCTCTCGAGCTCGGCGCGTTTGCGCTGGTAAACTCCTTTGTGGTACCGACTGGCTTCCGTTTCGAAGCTCTTAAAGGCCTTGGACCGCGAGGCCCGCATCGCCGCTCCCAAGCCGCCGAGGATCTCCGGTTCCCCGAGGCGAGCCGCCTGCGACTGCTTATCCTCGAATGGAACGATCGCCTCGTCAAATGCAACCATGACCTCCCGCAGAATTTCATCACAGCGGAACTGCGCAAGCAGTTCCTGCTGAGTGGGGAGGTCGAGATCCTTATTGTTCACAATCTGGTCCCAGATTCCCTCCGCATAGTGGGAAAAGCCGTCCGCGGGAATGCGACGGTGGTACTCGGGGAGGAAGACGCCTCCATCGGAAAACTCGCCCTTGCGCGCATCCAAACTAGGGTCCTTCTGTCCTTCACGGAAACGCAGGCTCAGCTTCTTTGTCTCCGCAACAAACTGTTCTGGCTGGTAGCTCTTGTGTGGGAGACCGTAGAATTGAAAGTCGAAGTAATCATGCACTGAAGAGTGTTCCAAACCGGCAGGCTTAGAGATCGAGTCCCAGAGGCGTGACATATCCTCCATCAGTGTCCGCTGCAGGTTCTGGAGAGGCGTGTTGCCGACAAAGTCACGAATGACGAAGAAGAGAAGAGAACGGTGGCTGGTACTATACGCTAAGGGTCAGCAAAAAGCATGAGCAACACGTAGAACAATATGCGAAACGTACGCCCTATCTTTCAGGAAAAGCTGCATGTTAACTTCAAAAACGGTCTTCAACAAGCCCATGTTGGCACCCTGATACAATCCAACCTGATGCTCCCAGATATTGACAATGAGGACCTCACTCGTTGCAAGCGCAAACAGGGCGCTTTTGCGCTCAAAGTCCTGGTCCTCTCCACGTTCGCGACCATCAGTACCCTCAACATCCATAACCAGGATGTTGTCGGCCATTGATGAGTCGCCGCCATTCTTGTTCTTGGACATCCAGATACCCTTGGTAGTTTGACGGCGTTCCAACTCTGACATTACGGAGAACTGGGTGCCGAAAAGGTGGTTGAGCAGGGTCGACTTTCCCGTCGACTGGGAGCCGAAGACGGATATGAGGTGATAATTGAAGCCGGCTGGTGTGACATCCTCTAAGGTAAGATACTTGGACAGATTCGCACTAGAGTAATTGTAATTGTTAGCTGATGCGCCGTTCAAGAGCCCCTGAACAGGTGATGCGGATGACGGAGAGTCGCATTCTGCGTAAACCCCTTGAGACTTGACCCCAACGTCACAAACAATCACCTTTGTATTGGGACTCATAGACAACCGGAAGAACCTACTTGAACTCCTTATTTTCATCGATGACCTGCACCCCGTGCTCATATGCTGTCTTGTCGCTGCTGCCGTTGCCAATGGCGGCAAAATGGCCATTGGTTGCCATGACGGAATACGTCAGTTGCGCTGCTGCCGCAGAATGGTCTTAGAGCGTAGATTCCGTGCTGGTGAAAGAGTATGAGATATGGGATAGTTGTTCTGTTTCCGGGGGGGTAGGATGAGACGACGGACGGGGAGCGCCGCTGGGGACAACGTCAGATGCGGAGAGCGTGGCGAAAGTGAAAGGTAGGGGCAGATAGGTGCGGGATGTAAAGGTAAGGGGAGAAGGAGAAGAGTCGAGACGGATGAGGTCAAGAGAGGATCACCATGGGAGACGGGCAATCACAAGACTACAATGGATCCACACCGAGGTCTGGTGGAAAGCGAGTGTGAGAGGAGAGCTGGAAGAAGCCGGGCAGGAAGGAGGGCAGGAGGGCTTCTAGTCCGGGCGGTGGTCACTCTGGCCAGCCTCAGGAGTTGATCCCCCGTTGCCAGCCAGTCTGGTCGCCTGAGCCTCCAGGCCGCGATCGTCTGATCCCGCCTTAAACCACTTCGGGCTAGTCAGAGTCCGTGATCTGGGCAACCGGATCGGGGAGAAATGGATAGATCGGATCGTCTCTCTTGATCTACCCCAACTATCGGAATATACAATTATAAAACCTATCTTGCAGTCAAGATATTCGAGTAGATCATTCAATCATATTCAACGACATACCGAGAAGTGAGAAGAGAGGAGAAGAAATACAAAAGTCTACAGACATTTCAATACAAATACAGATACATGGATATAACTCAAAAACTCCGGTGCAATCCACCACCCTGGCGTATCAGTCCCGGATGCTCCCGCTGATGCCCGCGCTGCAAGATGGTGTTTAGACATTATGAACGATTCCCTGTCCAAATTCTGTTTTCGCTTCGTTTTATCCCATAGTACACAGCAGCCAGTGTTCCGGGCCTGCTACACAAACCTCGGTAGGCTCGCTTTTTACTCGGTCAGGACACGAGTGACCAGACCAGTGGCAACAGTGCGACCACCCTCACGGATGTTGAAGCGCTGACCGGCCTCGGCGGCGACGGGGCGGTGGGTCTTGACGATCATCTCGACGTTGTCACCGGGCATGATACGGCGGGACTGGTCTCCGTCGGGGAAGCTGAACTCAGCAGCCTCATCTGCAGCAGACAAAATTAGAACCTGTTCTCTCGTAGCGGAATGTAAAACGATATCACTTACCGGCAGTGCGGATGAACAGCTGGGGACGGTACTGGACACCGAAACCGGTACGGCGACCACCCTCAGCCTCGGTCAGGACGTACATGGAGACCATGAACTTGCTGTTGGCCTTGGCGCTGCCAGGAGCGGCAATGACCATACCACGGCGGAGATCCTCACGGCGGACACCACGGAGAAGGAGACCGGAGTTGTCACCAGCACGGGACTCAGTGCAAGACTTCTTGAAGGTCTCAATGTCGGTGACCTTGGTCTTGATGACCTCGTTGGTGGTACCGATGATCTCAACCTCGCTATCACGCTTCAGGAGACCACGCTCAACACGGCCGGAAGCGACGGTACCACGACCAGGGATGGAGAAAACTTCCTCAATGGACATCAAGAAAGGCTTGTCAAGGTCACGCTGGGGAGTGGGGATCCAAGTGTCAACGGCCTCCAGGAGAGCGTCGATACGCTCGGCACCGATGTCGGGGCGGCGGTCCTCAATGGCGCAGAGAGCAGAGCCGAAGATGATGGGGGTCTCCTCACCCTCGAAGCCGTAGCTGCTGAGAAGCTCGCGCATTTCCAGCTCGACGAGCTCCAGCATCTCCGGGTCATCGATGGCATCGACCTTGTTGACGAAGACAACGATCTTCTGGACACCGACCTGACGAGCAAGCAGCAAGTGCTCACGAGTCTGGGGCCTGTTGATAGCCAGTGTAAGCACATATACTCAAGGGGGTTATTCTGTTGGGGTTTCAGCGTACATCTGACCGTCGGAAGCGGCGACGACAATGATAGCACCGTCCATGTTGGCGGCACCAGTGATCATGTTCTTGATGTAATCGGCGTGACCGGGGCAGTCGACGTGGGAGTAGTGACGAGCATCGGTAGCGTACTCGATGTGGGCAGAGGAGATGGTGATACCACGCTTACGCTCCTCAGGAGCCTTGTCAATGGCACCATACTCAAGGAACTGAGCGAGACCCTTGGAGGCCTGGTGCTTGGTGATGGCAGCGGTCAAGGTGGTCTAGAGGAAACGTGTGAGAAGTTTTCGGACCATATCGGGGAAAACATCAACGCAGCGAGAGGGGAAGGAATTGTGGTCTAACCTTGCCGTGATCGACGTGACCAATGGTACCTATGAAATAGCGATGAGTAACTGCATTGATGGATAAGAGATGATGATGGCAACCTACCAATGTTGACGTGAGGCTTGGTACGCTCGAAAGCGGTTGCCATACCACGGGCAGCCAGCTTGTCGCCGAGGAAGACATGCTGGATGGGGTTGACAGCGCGGGGGCGCAGCAGGGAGGCCCTGCTAGAGCGGAAAAGGAGGTTGGCAGATCTGGCGAGGCTGGACATGATGGCTACCCTGCGATGGAAACACAACCGGACAGGAATGGGAACAGGAAGAGGACGAGCTGAACGGCCGGGAAGTTCGAGCAGCGCTTCTTGTTGAGCCCGGAAAAATTTAGGGAGGCGCTGACTCAGCCGTCGACCAATCACACCTGCAGTATTGCGGAGTCGCCAGGGACGAATAACCTTGAAGGTTGGAGATACTTAGTGTATACCAGGTACAGGCACAGCAGACCCTGAAGGGCTAGTTATTAATGACTAGTTTTGATTTGGTTCTGCTTCTTCTTTTCTATAGTTCTTTTTCTTTCCCCATCTTGATTGGATCCAGCTTATGCACTGTTCGTGTCCCCGAGTTTCCGTATAGCTTAGCATCATGTGCCCCATACCCCGACCTGACAGCTCCCAACTCATACTGTCGGAACGGGAGCTGCAATACAGTATCAGACCCCGCCCGACATGCTAATAAGGATGCACACCATCCTTCAGTCGGGTAAAAATATATATCCCATACAACAGTGGTTGGAAAGTTTGCTAGAACATTTCCAAGCACCGACGATAAACAGTGGTCCGTTATATGTACAGAACCAATACCACTCAAGGCCGTCAATAGTATACATACTTAAATCCATCAACCCATCATGCTTATATGACCTCTCAAACATCCTTCTTCACCACCAACACCACATGTTTGCCCGGCTCCCCTTCCATGGGTCTAACTGGCATCGCCTTGGCCTCCCGCACCGTCTCCATCACCTTGTCCATGAGGTTCTTCACTTCCTCCACGGTAGGCGATCGCTTGTGCTTTTTTCTCGTCAAGATCAGCTCCACCTTCCGACCCTTCTCGAGGAAATTCGTGAGTTGCTTTAAGCGATGTGAGAGATCATGGGCGTCAATGGCCCAATTCAGTTCTAGCTGCTTAAGACCATCCTTGGCAGGTTTCGCCTTTGCCTTTGCTATTTCCCGCAGCTCGAACTTGTTTACAACCTTGCAAATCGGCACCCCATCCCCACTACCCGGTGACACCTGCTGCAAGGTTTGACTGGAACGGTCGATTTGTCGCAGAGCATCCCGAAGGCTCACAGGAGGGTCAAGGCTGTTGTTTTCATTCACGATCTGGACATATTGTGCTCCGATCTCTTCGTCGAGGACGTATTGCGGCAGGGCGCGAGGAGTAGCTCTTGTACGAAATTTGAGGAGAGGACTAGTTGGGCTGTAGGAACGAGAGGGGACTTCATTGATTCGGGGACTGAGTTGGAAGAACTGAGGTCGAAAGGCAGGTTGAGGAGTGAGGAGGATCTGGCGAAGAGCCCGTGTCGGAGGGACGAGACGGCGCATGTGCTTCATTTCCACAAAAGTGACAGCGGCGCTGACACCGACAACGGACGAGGAGCGGGATTCGGATGGATTGGACGAGGGCAGAGATCAAGATCGGGGACGGAAGAAGCTGGGAGAGATTAAATTCCAACGGTCGCTATCATAGGCTGCAGGGAACCATGTGGTGAGGTCAATGTCCGGGAATGAGGCCGGCTGAGTCTGGCTGCATGCGGCGACCGCCCACCAGCCACGGGGAACCTCCAACGCCACAACTTGAGCCAGTTGGAGCCCAGGTTAAGCCAGCAAGTGGAAGCGGAGCCCCCCATTCGTTTCAAAAAAAGACCCTGAGAGGCCAAGAATAATTAAGAACAAGTACTAACTGGCCTTCATTTGCCTCTCCGTGTCTTCCTCCTCCTCCACCCTCATTCTTTCTTTCTCTCTTCCTCCCTCCCTCCCTCTCTTCCGCTCGCTCTCCCCCTATCGTTCTCCTTCCACTCGTTGGTCGGTCTTTTTGCTTCCCACTGTCTTTGTGGCCTGCACCGGAGGCGCCCGGTCGATCCTATGCTTTCTCTTCGTTCCTACCGTTAATCGTCTTTCTTTCCGTTTACTCCAACTCGGTCGGAACCCGAGAGCGTTGTCCCCGGGACCTAACGCTACAGCCTTTAATTAGTACTTGGCCTTGTCCGCATGTCGACTGGTGTTGACAGTCGACATACTCGAGGTACATCGTCCTTTTCAGCGTCAGGTTCTAGACCTAGCAGGCGTTCGGTGTCGCACGCTTCCGAACCCGCGATCCCCTTAGTCGCCTTGGACAAATCGTTTGGCAGATCTCGTCGCAGTTTCTCCCACATGATGATGTCCCAAAGCCAGCGCTCCCGCTACCTGAAGACAGGTGCCATCGTTAGTGCAGTGCTTCTTCTGTTGCTGTGGCTGTCGCCGTCCAAGCCCGCTGTGGGCAACTTCGGATCTCGTAAGTGCCCTCCACCCCCCTATAACGGGGAAGTCGACTTGGACTGACGGCCAATTTCCAGAGCCACCATTGAATGGCGTCGCTCCCCTAACTGACAAGTGCACGAAACCTCATGACCCCTCCAAGCCTCTGATCCAGTATGCGCTCATGATCGACGCTGGCAGTCAGGGCTCTCGCATCCACGTCTACCGCTTCAACAACTGCGGCCCCACTCCCGAACTTGAGAACGAGGTCTTCGAGCAAACCGAGAAGAGACAGGGTGGCTCCGGACTGAGCGCCTACAAGGAAGATGCCGAGGGAGCGGCCAAGAGTCTGGACCCTCTGATGCAGGTGGCTCTCAAGTCCGTGCCCGCCGACTACCAGTCTTGCTCTCCCATTGCCGTGAAGGCCACCGCTGGACTGCGTATGCTTGGTCCCGAGATGAGCCAGAGGATCCTGGAGGCCGTGCGTACTCGCCTGGAAACCGTCTACCCCTTCCCCGTTGTCTCCCGCGAACAGGGTGGTGTGCAAATCATGGATGGCAGTGACGAGGGTGTCTATGCCTGGATCACAACCAACTACCTCCTCGGTAAGATCGGCGGTCCGGACGAGACCCCTACCGCTGCCATTTTTGACCTGGGCGGTGGTTCCACTCAGATCGTTTTCCAGCCCACGTTCCCCAAGAGCCCGTCGGGCGGTATGCCCGAGCACTTGGCGGACGGTGACCACAAGTACTCGCTCCAATTCGGCGGTCGTCACTTCGATCTCTATCAGCACTCTCATTTGGGTTACGGATTGATGGCTGCTCGGGATGCTGTACACAAGGCGATTGTCGATGCCAAGTTGGCCGCCAGCCCCGTTGATATGTCCTGGTTGAAGCAGCCGATTTCCAATCCCTGCATTGGACCTGGTATGGAGCGCGATGTCGAGTTGACCTTCGACAATGACCACCCGCTCGCGGGTAAGGTGACGGTGAAGATGGTTGGCCCGAAGCAAGGCGCTTCTGCGGCACCTCAGTGCCGTGGCTTGACTGAGAAGATCCTGAACAAGGATGCTGACTGTAAGCTGGCGCCCTGCTCCTTCAACGGCGTTCACCAGCCTTCTCTGGAGAAGACGTTCGCCCGCGAAGATGTGTACATCTTCTCCTACTTCTACGACCGCACCAAGCCCTTGGGCATGCCTGACTCCTTCACCTTGGACGAGCTGCACCAGCTCACGTCGACGGTCTGCGCGGGAGAGCCCGCATGGAACATCTTCGAGGGTGTCGAGGATGCGCTGCCCCAGCTGCGCGATCGCCCCGAGTGGTGCCTGGACTTGAACTTTATGTTGGGTCTGTTGCACACGGGATACGAAATGCCGTTGTCGCGCGAGGTGAAGATCGCGAAGAAGATCAAGAACAACGAACTTGGCTGGTGCCTGGGTGCGAGGTAAGACCCCTTAAATTACTTTTTGCATTCACGTACGATACTAACGAGTGATAGTCTGCCCCTGCTGAGCCAGGAATCCGGCTGGACATGCCGGGTGAAGGAGGTTTCCTAGACGAACAGACGTTAGGTGATGCAGCGACGACAGTTTAATCCACCTTGCGCATCTGCGCTTGGACGTATACATGTCTAATATCATGCAAATAAACTAGATCATTGACTCAGTTTTTTTCGTTCCCTGTGTATTCTTAGACTTGGCTGGTGTTTGTTTGGGTACGATTATTATGTTATGCTTGATCTATGATACCAGAGACTGTATGACATGTAGGCCGAAAACCACTTTTGTAAAACCACTCCTTCGAGTATGCCAAAATGCAAATAACCCTGAGAAAATCTATAGTAGCGACCAACTTTTATAAACCAACAGGTAACCCAAAGCGCCAACCCATGCAATCAGCAAACTTCCTATATCTCCTCGATCGTCGGCTTCTTCTCCGCTGAAGAATCCGCATTCCCCATCAGAGTATCCAGGACATTCGAGTCTTTTCCAGACTTCGGCCTCTCAGGCAGGACATGTTGATTGTTCTGGTCACCCTTTGACTCGACATTATCCTCTTCGTCATCATCTCCCGGCCGCTTCTCTTCTAGAACACCTAGTCCCAGATTCTGCACACTATTAGCATCCCATCCGCCAGATTCAGGAATTATATAGTCCATACCATTTCAATATACCGCCTCCCTTCCATATCCTCATCATCATCATCCCCATCCAATTCCAATCGCACATCCTTGCCCCTTCCCGCCGCAATCTCCTGCTCGAGCTTCTCATTCGCAGATTTCATCTGCGGCAGGAAAGCCGATAGCCGGGACAGCAAGTCCGGGTTTTTATTGATGCGGTGGATGCGCGGTTTAGGTATAGCACGAATGCGCGGGATATCGTCTGAGGCAGTTGTGGTGGGTGTAGATTCTGATTTCGTAGTCTCCTTCTGGTTTACTTGCTCTTCTTCTTCTTCCTCATCATCGTCGCTGTCGCTGTCGCTATCGCTAGACCCAGACGAGGATGTGTAGTCATCGTCGTCATCCTCATCTTCTTCACGGCCAGTGGTGGAGGTAGCGGTGTGTTGGAGATGGTCGTCATCAGTGGGGGAGTGTTCGCGCCGATCGAGATCGCGAGCGGCGGTAGTGGTAGTGGTAGTGGAGGAGGGATCGGCTCCCAGGCGCTTCGTAGTGGAGGGCATATTATTGCTTCAATAATGGAACAGAAAGAGGGTTGGAAAGAAAAGTAACAGGAGTGGTGGTGATTGAAACAGGATCGACTGAAATCTGCGGGCAAATTGGCGCCGCAGTGGGGAATCCAAAGGCGGGATTGGCGGGGTCAGCCAACTACTCCTAGACTAGTGTAGGACTCCTTAGTTAGTTGGTGACTTGACTTAGTGTAAGCAGCCTTAATGCTGCTAACTATGGAATAGTAGCTGACGCCATGACACCAATCGATCTGGCCAGTTATCCGCCTGCATATGTGAGCGGCAGGCACGCTGGGTGGCTGTGTTGGTTGTTGGTCACTGTCTGGAGAGTAAGTAGTACTTAG